ACCACGGCACTAGGTTACTAATTCAGTTGTATGCCAGGAGCGTATCGCAGACTTGTAGCACTGGCACCGTCTCTCATCCCCTGCACCCGTTATCGTTGCAATGCATCTTCCATCCTTCCTCTGTCGCTACGCTACTTAAGGCATTTATTCGCAAGCTTCCATAACTCCGCAGAGCTGCAAGATTTGACCACGTAGGTCCTCGTTGGCAAGAGATAGACGAGGTGTGTGGCAAGCTGAACAGCCACAGAGAGCCAATTGGTGCCCTCATTGGTACGACCTCGCTCAGTGTAGCGATTGGTCTTTAGGACGATGTGTAGATATCTTTTACATCTGCGCACGATGCTCGTGAAAGAGCAGTCACTTTCCGCCTGTTGGCATCAGCGTGCACAATGGACCCCACCATGGCGCAGCAAGACGTCCAGTTGGGAAACTGGCCCCAACGTCTTCTCTACGTCCCAACAATGACATCTTATGTCTGGACACCCGGCAACTGTTACAACAAAGTCAGAGAGCCTAAGTATCGCGCGCTAAGCTATACGTGGGGGTTATTTCGACTGAAGAAAGAGACTGATCAACCAGATGTCAAAGCTTTTCATATCGAGGGCATTACTTGGAAAGTACCAAGGATCAACGCGAACATATACACCACCGACGACTTCGTTCGTGTGCTTCAAGAAGCATGTCAAGCAGCGAGGTTCGACAGCAACGTGACCGCACATGAAGCACCCAAGACATATCTCGCTAAGACGGATTGGCTTTGGCTTGACATTGCTTGTATCGACCAGACGGACGGTAGTCCCCAGATGTGGTTTGAGATAGGACGACAAGCGAAAATCTTTCGACAGGCGACTGGAGTTGTAGTCTGGTTGAGTCAATTAGCCAGGAACGAAACGGCCATAAATCATCTTGCTACGGTGCTCATGTGCCGAAGGGCGGGAGCACGCGGTAACAGATTGGCTGCCGCGACTATGGGAGACTGGGAGCAAATGGTCATGGCAGGGCTGGACGTGCTGTTCGCTGATCCGTGGTGGTCGTCTCTTTGGACATTGCAAGAAGCCTTCCTTAGCCAGCGAGCGTATTTCCTTTCACATTACGCTAGGCCGCTCCAAGCGGTCACAACTTGGGATGGGAGCCCTTCCATTTTCACCCTGGGAATGTTGGCCTATGCCTGTTTCGAACTGCAAGCTGAATGCTATACGGAGCTCGCCGTTCAAAACGTGGGATCAAGTTTTGCGAATCGCTTCCTTCATCATATGCGTATGACTGGTCTTGCGGCGATGTTTAAGCAGAACCCTCTGGTTCTGTACACTTCTTCGAGTAAACGGAGGGCTTCCCGCCTCGAGGACAGAATCTATGGGACCATGCAAGTCTTTCAATACAAGCTTGGTACTGCAGCTCATCCGCTCAATGCAGGAGTGACGTACTCGCTAGCTGAGCTTACTGATCAACTTGGACAGAGACTACTGTCCGACAAGCCAGTGCAAAGTCAGCTCCATCGTCTCGGCGCGGATTCATGGCCTGGTAAAGGATGGCACATCGATGATACCTCGACTCTGCCGCTGGGTTACACGACGCTGTTGGAAAATCAGCAAGGCGACGCGTCTTCTGGCACAGAGTATACGGCCGTATGCACGCTGTCGACTCAAGTCCTGTCTGACATTTTCTATGGTCACCTCGAAGGTTGGAAGTGTCCCTTTGGCGCTCTGAAACAAGCTTGGGATGCTATAGACGATGAAGGGATAGCTGCGTCGCCGTCAGCCGTACCGCCTTATCGATATATTTGTCAGATTGTTCCGGACAATAGCGCTGACTTTATTAACGCGGTGCGCTCGAATCTCGTCCCAGCATGGAACGATCTGGACACTTCTGGCAGCCCCAACAGAGAGCGTAGACTGAGTTCTTGGATTCTGTCAGAATTCACGAAAAATTATATTGCGGTGGCATTGCTCGGGCGAACATTTTATCGTTCTTATGGCCTTCTGCTGGCCTACAGTCGGCAAAACTCTGTTTTGTATTGGAGACGCATTGGCACCTGCGCATGGTATCATAATCGGGACACCAGGACTCCCCGATTCCAAGCACTCTTGCACGGTCGTTCTCCCGAATGGACTGGTTTTAGGGGTGCTTTCGGTTAGATGCTAGGAAACAACTCACATGAGACACGCAAGTCTTGGAGCTTGAGAGCGACAAGAGGTTGTATTGAACTGCCCGCAGAATTTGCTTGCCACGTTGCTGGTGCTACCAAATTCCTTTCACAGAATGAGCGTAGTGTCAAAGGCCTGCCCCGCTCGATCTGCCAATTGCTTCGGTCATCAGTTCCGAGCGCCATATACTCGAACGCATCCAGTCGAAGCTCGTTTCTCCGAGGTGGAATTGTCGGATGGCTGCGAATCAGACTTCATGCAGCCTTTTTGGCGTGCAAGCAGATCTTTCACGTAGCTCATGGCATGGCCATACCGGCTATGAGAGGTAGTATGGACCTCCGCCTTGACCACACGAGTCATTGTTGCTGATCTACTGGCCCCGAGGTAAGCTCCGTTTGGACTTGTTGCGATTCGTTTCGCTATCAACTCTTCGGTCGATGTCCAGAGTTCGGGCGAAAGGCAGCGTGAGATGTACATGGCTACAACCAGGTACATCTGATGTGACACCCAGAAATACTGCATCGTGTTGGACATGATCGTGACAGAGAGGAGAAGTCCACAGGAAACAGTATGGCCGAAGCTATCACAAGAGTAAGCTGTGCGATTTCGCGACTCCTACATCGCTTTGGGTGGCCGTAGTGACGAACAAACTGGAAAACAAGATATAGTGGACCGAGACCTGAGCTCTGGATGCTTGGACGCGTGTTCAACCACGCTCCATCTTGTGATGTGTATCTTGCGCAATAGCTTGTGAACATGATGATAGCAGCATAGATACCCGTCGCCACAAGCAATTGCGAGCAGCTTCAGTAAGACCTTCAAGTTGATTGTCGGTGCTGTGGAGCACGTAGACGCTCTCTGATTGCGGAAAGAACGCAGATCCAAGCATATGACCGAGACCAGCTCCTCGCAACAGTCCGTGCGAATATGCGTTGTCCAAAACTTGCAGGGCAGCTTTATAAACAGGCCCGCGCGACGACCCGAAGATGGCTAATTGCGTAACAGATTTTCAGGTAAGCCCAGCATGTGCGCGCTGCGGCCAGAGTAGACGTTCGAACATAGTCGCCGAGGCTTCCTCTGCACCAATGTAGCCAAGTACTGCACCGATAGCGCCAATAGCCGTGTTTTGGTCATTCATGGCGAAGATACTGGGTCCGCGACCGATCGAGTGCTGGTAGGAAGACATGTTTATGGGATCGATGCCCTGCCCTCCATTCTTTGCGCAGTATAATGTAGTCGAGCTGCCTCGCCACCCTGACGCACAGCTGGCACAGCCTTAGCATGGGTTTCTTTGCCCGACAGTCCTCGCTCCGGTGAGGTCCATTGGACAGTGTCGGCATAGCCGATTGCCACCACCAGAGAGGCCGGCGGGGTATCGCATGACCCGCTTACTTACTGGTCAATATGTACACTGCGAGCAGCCCCAGTGCAAAGTATAGTACTACGTCCTCGAGTATGTAGTGACTCCAAAAAGGCTCCAGCTGGGACATGTCCTATCAGAAGCAGGCATGCTGCAGAGTCTCAACGCGACGCAGAGCTATTGAAAAGTGTCTAATGCCGGTGGCCGTCGCCCAAGTCATCGTCGCGTAGCCTGTGGCTAAAGGATCGATGAGTTGAGCTGTGTATTCGTGCAGAGCCTGGCCGAAGTTCGCACTCCTCTTTGAAGCGCCATCTTTCCCTCAGGACGACCGCACGCTGTAGTTTCACTGTCAGTAGTGGCTATGCAGGCGACTCAGCCAATATCAGAAAGTCATTGAAGGTGTTCTGCTGAGAGCCCAGCAGGAAGATCTACCACGCGCATGCCTCCGTGTGCGGGGCAGTGCAAAAGTGTGGTAGGACAATCGTAGCCGAGACGCAGGTCGGCCATACTTTTCTGCTCTCAGAGTACATTGAAGAGTCTTGAGCGTGAATATGTTGTGATAATGTCCCATGGAAGAGGCCAGATCAGCAAGGCCGTAGTCTTTTCCCTAGGAGTTGGGGTACGTTGAGCAAAGCATGCCGGCCAGCACTGCAAATGAGCATGAAGATCAAGTTCCGCAGCTGGAGTCACAGCATTGCTGGCAAGTTGCAAGATAACGCGACCTTCTTCCGGCCAGAATCGCGAATGAGCCCTTGGTTGTCCCATGCGCGGAGCCTTCTTTCCAGCGAGTCCAAGAACGACATCTGGATGAACGAAGGAGTCACGGCAGTCCAAATGCCAGGTTTGCCGGACCGAATATCCAACATCAGCGTGTTTTCCGAACCGGCAGACGATGCCGAAAGAACCACTTCTTTACGGAGCAAGCAACGCAACGCGTGGGATGGGTCCGGGATCAGCGCACGGCAATTCTGCTGGGATCGCATGCTTTGTCGGGGGTCTTTCGTCAGTTTCCACGCCGATCCACTTTCCTCCTTTTCACCAACCTCGCCTAACTACTGGTCACAATCCTTTCTGCCTCTCGTCACAAGCGACAAAACAGTGGAGTTGACATGTCATATCTCGAGCAATCTTGCAACAAACTCAAAAATTTGACGAGCTGCACTACGCGCAGAAGAGACGTACCGCCGCTTGGCCGACCGCCGTTCGCACGTTTCTCCTACTGCATCCGGCAATCTGTGGAAACACCATCACTAAAGATGACTTAGCTCTGTGGATAAGCCTTCTTTTGACCAGCTTTGCGAGGGATCTTCCTTGCAGAGCACTGAAGAAGCGCTCCTGAGCGCTCAAACGACCCATCCCAATGGCTGGGGAGATGAACCACGCGAGCCTCTCAAGTATGCTCGTTGGAAAGTGGAAATCCCACCAGTGGGTGCGCGTTTCGCGTCACGCATAGATTGCAAGTCGAGAACATCCTACGTTCAGCCCTGTGTTGAGGGACGCTTTCCAGTCATCAGACATGCTCTCCTCTCGCATTTCCTATCAATCTCAGACGAACGCTTGTTCTTGCCCCAGTTCCTTTCTTACACTTCTTAATCGTGTGGTGGAGGATCTGCCGTTCTCCCCATGCTGACGACTTTCGCATTGGACTTCGTGGATCTTATGACTTAGCTTCAGGTCGAAAAGAAGTCTTCAAAGCTTTTGGCGCGACCAATAGCCAGGATGGGAACCTTCATCTTCGAAGACCACGCGCCGAACGTGGCCGCGACAATCATTACACTATTCACGATATCAGCGATAGTGTTCCCATTGCGCATATACACCAGGATCAAGCACAATTCTTTCGGCTGGGATGATTGGACAATGTCGATGGCAGCGGTACGCCTCTCGCTTCCCAGGCCGTCCATTGGTACTGCGGATTGGACTGACATGATTCATCACGCAGCTTCCGTACACTGCCTTGACTGTGTTTTGCTTAGGATCCTCCTTTCTGGGTGTTGGGGTGCACAAAGAAAAGCTCAACGACGCGCAGACCGAGCGAGCAATGATGGTGAGAACTGCTGTGTCGCCTTGGAGCGCTAATAACTAATTGTTGCTTCAGTGGTTCTTCTTCTTCGAGATATTCTTCTGCCTGGCTATTATTCCAATCAAGCTCAGCATTTCACTCATGCTCATTCGTGTCGCTGGTCCGAAAACAAGATATACCTGGGCGCTATGGGCAATGTCTGCATGCTTCGTGCTCATGAACGCGATCTCGTTTTTCTACATCATCTTCAGATGTAAGCCGGTCAGCTACGCCTGGAATACTGATATCCCCGGAGGAACCTGTCTGCCTAGCCAGGACCTTGCGGATATCTACTACGCCGACACTGCTGTAAATATCGTCACAGACTGGTTCTGCGCGCTAATGTGAGTGGGAACAATCTGAGGTTTGGCCATCCTTGCTGACACTGCTACAGACCACTCCCATTGCTGTGGAACCTCAAACTCAACAGAAATGCGAAGGTCTCGGTCGGGTTCCTACTCTCGCTCGGAGTCCTGGCCTCCCTGTCTGCTTGTATTCGGCTCAAATATACCGTCAACCTCAACAACAGCCACGATTACCTCTACAGCGTCGCCGATGTCATGATTTGGGGTTACGCAGAGAATGGCGTCGGCTTCATTGTTGGATGCATTTCAACACTTCGGCCCCTATTCCGGAAGATGTTTCAGCTTGGTGGCAGCGATTCCAGTGCAGGACATCTAGGCGGGCCGAGTGGAGAGCTGTACAACAGGGATGGGCTGGCGTATAATCGAGATCCCAATGCCTTCGGCGGCCGCGAACGAGGAGATATGAAGACCGATGTGACAACCAGCCAACTGGGGAGAAAGCTTTCTGGTGATTCTGGCTCCACCAGCGAGGAATACATCTTGCAGGACATCATAGGCGTCGACAGGCGACATGATGTTCGTGGTATTCAAGTGCAGCGCAGTGTACATCAGACAATAGATTGAACAGATGCGACAAGGCCAACAACATGCCATGCACACGACATGACCTTCGCATGCTCATTTCCGTGCTCTCGGCACCGGTCTCCAAGCGCTGTAACACATGTTGGTGCCTCGATAGGAGCCAGTAGATTCTCTTGTTCTACCTCTACGATCGTCATATCGAATTGAGATCAGCTCGTACTTGCGATGCACTTGGCGGCCTCAAACCTGCAGCGCAACCGGCCAGCGATCCGAAACGTGGGCGTCTGCTACCTTTTAGCGAAGCGATGCGGAGCGACCTTTGTGCAAGTTTTGTGCTCTTCCGACAACGTTATAGGATGCCACGAGCTCTGGTATTGGTGGCACTGACGAGCCATGTGCCGCGCTACCCCAGACTTCCCGCATTCAGTTGGAGTCATAATACATGTGGAGGAGTGCAGCGAGTGGAGGACAAAAACTCGCCTCGCCGTCACCGACCAATGATTCTGTTCAAGACCCTGAGAATGCGAACTTGCAATGCAACATACCAATCCTGTTGGCGAACCCCGCATAGGATTTTTGCTCATGCGTCCACTTTGCCTAGAAAGCTGTCCCTGGTATCTTGTGCTTCTGGGCGCAAATCCTAACCTACTTGGTTGGTGTATATAAGAACTCTGGAGCCGGGATTGTGCTTGGAACTTTTGATCTGATTTGCTGGAGCTTTGGCGTGTCGGGAGAGCGTCGCCCGACAGGTCATGATAGGTAAAAGGGTCACGAGGTTTCCGATGTGGAGGCACAGCACATGGGAGCGTACCAAGCACGATGAAGTCGTGTTCCCATGCGATGTTGCGGCGTGGCGGCGTCGCACTCTGTTAGTAGGGGCGCAGTGAAGATCAATCCTGCTTGGCTGGAACGGCATCGGGTAGGAGGGGTGTCACGCTGGCGAGCTGAATGCGAGGAATGCGCTGTGTTGATATTTACTGCTTGCTGCCGCTCTGCTTGTTTCAAAACCTTTTGGACGTCTTCGCCTTTGGCGTGCATTATTTTGTCTCTCCCGAAGTGACGACTAAGTGAGTCGATAGTGGTCACCATGCCGTGGAAAGTAGGCAATATCTATGCCATTACCGCTGTGGCAGTGATTGGAGGTGGACTGTTCGGTAAGTCGCATACCTTTGCGAGTGAAATGATGTGAGATTACTCGAGCACAAGTACTGACACATGCGCCAGGCTTCGATATTTCGGTTCGTTCTTGGATTAAATTTCATACTGGGATAACATAAACTGATCACTGCCAGTCTATGAGCGCCATCATCTCAACAACATCATACCTCTGCTACTTCAACCAAGGCCCGGAAGGCCCCCCGTTCAATGACAATGTCAACTGCTCCGGCCCACGTGCATCAACCCAAGGAGGAATCTCAGCAGCTATGCCAGCTGGTTCCTGGGTCGGCGCCTTAGTTTCGGGATACCTCTCAGACATTCTCGGCAGAAAGAAATCCATCATGATCGGCTGCATCATCTGGGTCATTGGCTCGACAATCACCTGCGCTTCACAAAACATCGGCATGCTCATCGTAGGCAGAATCATCAACGGCTTCTGCGTGGGAATTGAATCTGCCCAGGTACCGGTATATGTTAGTGAGATCGCACCACCTTCGAAACGCGGAAGATTGGTCGCTTTCCAGCAGTGGGCGATCACTTGGGGGATTTTGATTCTTTACTACATTTCTTATGGTGCTAGTTTTGTGGGAGGACAGACTTCGACGACTTATAGTACTAGCACGTTCCGGATTCCATGGGGCTTGCAGATGTTGCCTGCTGTGCTTCTTTTCGGTGCTATGTTCTTCTTGCCGGAATCTCCTCGTTGGCTTGTAAGTACTCCTCCGAAGAACATGAGATCTTGTGCTTACACGACTTAGGCTCGCAAAGATCGCTGGGACGACTGCAAAGCAGTTCTCACGCTTGTCCACGGAAAAGGCAACTCAGATGCACCGATTGTCGCGCAAGAGCTGTCTGACATCCGCGAAATGTGCGAATTCGAAGCTCGAAATTCGGATGTCACTTACTGGGAGCTTTTGGCGCCACGCTATATTTTCCGCACACATATTGGAGTGTTCACTCAGGTATGCTCCCCACTGGTATTGCCCCATTTCTCGTATATTTTGCTAATCGAGTTTTGTTGAAAATAGATATGGTCTCAACTAACAGGAATGAACGTCATGATGTAAGTCATTCTAAGTGCTAAGCTCTGATGCTCCGTACTGACCTCTCAACAAGGTACTATATAACATATGTGTTCGCAATGGCCGGGTATAGTGGCAATGCAAATCTGCTTGCCAGTTCGATCCAGTACATCATCAATGTACTGATGACTATTCCGGCTCTAATCTGGCTTGACCGATGGGGACGACGACCTACGCTCATCGCCGGTGCGACATTGATGATGATCTGGATGTTCACGAATGCTGGATTGCTTGCCAATTACGGACGTGTGGTTCCTGGAGGTCTGAATGGTGTTGAAGCTGTTTCGATGGAGCTCTCCGGAGCGCCGGCGAAGGCTTTGATTGCTTCGACGTATCTGTTTGTGGCGTCTTTTGCGCCGACTTGGGGTAAGACAAGAATTTCGTGGATCTTGATTATCTCGAAATACTTTTGCTGACATGGTTGTGCAGGTCCTGTGTCATGGGTGTACCCTCCAGAGCTGTTTCCACTGCGTCTGCGAGGCAAGGCTGTTGCTCTGTAAGTCTCCCATCGAGAAGCGATTCTTCTTATCAGGTCTACTGACATCTTGTAGTTCCACAAGTTCCAATTGGGCTTTCAACACCGCACTCGGAGCATTCGTTCCTCCCGCTTTCGTCAACATGTGAGTTCGAAGCTCCTGCATATCTTGACCACTATTTGCTGACACTCTATCCAGTCGCTGGCAAGTCTACATCGTCTTCGGTGTCTTCAATCTTTGCATGCTCATCCACTCTGCGATCCTATTCCCAGAGACTGCAGGCAAGACTCTCGAAGAAGTGGAGTTCATGTTCGAAGATCCGAACGGCATCCCATATATTGGCAAGGCGCCATGGAAGACTTCGGTGCAGTATCATACTGCTGTTGCGATGGAGCACGGAAATCTGGAACAAAGGAAGCTACACAAGCTTGAGCAGAGTCCAGATAGCTCGGAGAAGGTTGCTGAGACTGTTGAACAGAAGGTCTAGTTTCTCAAGGGTGATGGAAGACCGGCGATCTTGCAAGATTGATACGCAACGTGCAGCAGATGCAATTTACGAATACCTGAAACATTCTTTCCGACGCACTACGTATCAACATGATCTCCACGAAGCGTGACTACGAGCGTAGACCATTTCTCCACGTGCAATGACAATGTAGCGTCACTGCAGTCCCCGATGGCACTGGTCCAGGCCAGTCGATCTATGACAATGTTCCTGACGTTGGCCTTCGCTCACTCCGATAGATTACTGCATGTAGCTCGGCTGCCTGACTTCCGCCTTGCGGACCGGCTTTTCGATCACGATATGTCTCTGCGAAGATAGTGCCACGATAGGTAAAAAGGCCGCTGCAAGGTCGCCCATCGATGCCTAACAACGACCCGAGTGAACAATTATAGTTTACACGCTTGCCTAGTTTACACGTTACAGCATGTGTCACGGCTCCAACAATCGAAGGAAGCCGGAGTGGCTTACCGCAGTCTGAGTGAGACATTTCAACCTCTTCCGAGACATCACTCTACCTCCGGCAGTGCAATGATATTGTTGCGCAAGTATTCTTGCATGTTGGAAAACATTAGAAGTTTCATACTCATGTGGTATCTCATGCAAATGTGGACGTTATCTATACCCTGCTTTCTTTCTCCAGAAACAAAAACACTCGTACGAAATAAGAGAGATCCTGTCACAACTCCCTCTGTAGCAAATTAAAAACGAATAGCTTTCGTGACATTCTGGGAACGTCTGCGGCTGTACATCAAGTCCGAACAAATGTGTCTTTTCTCGTCGCTTCCGCTTATCCTGCAGCGAAAGTACTCTTCTTCCGCAACGCTTCTCCGAACCACCATAGGATGAATGGCGAAGGAATGCCGACTGCAATGCCGATGAATGCCAGAGTGGTGTTGCCCCAGCCATAGCCAAGGCCGCTGTACATTGCACTTGCGAACAACGGAAATCCGAAACCTCCCAAAGATCGCAAAACTGCCGTTGCGGCGATCGCAGATGCTGCATACCTCGTGTACGCATCGACGAGGTAAGTTTGACAGTTCTGGAAAACAAGTTGGTTTCCAGCTGCAAAAATCGCCGTTCCAATATTTGGCACAATCCAGTGGACTCTGAATTGGGCGCTCCAGCCGTAGATCAGTAGTCCGATTGGCACCATCGCTGCACCTGGGAACATCAATGGTACGCGGAACTCGGATCTGCCGATGTCGTTGTTTTTGGCCTTTAGTCTCTTGTAGATTCTGTCTGCGAATTTTGCAGCGATTTGTGTTCCGATCAAGAAGCCGAGACCTAGTGAGATGTAGTTTAGGCCGCCGATGCTGACGCTTTCGTTGTATTGAGTCCGCCATACTGCCGGGAAAGATGCGAGCACGAGGTAAAGTACTCCGTATACGTAGCCGATGTAGAGAGCCAGGACCTGGACAATGGGCTGAGTGAAGAGCAGGATGAAAGGTCGCTTGAGCGCAACGCCGAGATGGTTTGCGAAACTGCGCGATGGGTTGTCGAATTCGGTGTGTAGGTCCTTGTTATCGGTGAGCTTAATCAGTCTGCGCTTCTTCTTGGCCAGAACTGTAGCGGCGTATGTCTCCTGCAAGAAGAAGAACCCGAGAATCTCGACGAAAAAAGCCATGATTGAAGTGGACCAGAAGACCCATCTCCATGTAGAATATTCTGAGACGAAACCTCCAGCAATAGGACCGATTGCTGGACCGAGAAGAGGTGCGAGAGAGTACAGAGCCATCGCTCTACCACGTTCTGTGGGAAGCCAGAGATCTGCAAGAACACCACCACCAATACCCAAAGGCGCGGAGCCACCGAGACCGGCGAAGAATCGAAATGCGACAAGCTCGCCAGTGTTGTTTGCAAAGCCGCAGGCCAGGTTGAAAGCAAAGTAGAATACATTGCTGAGTAGTAGCACGATTCGTCGCCCGAAAAGTTCTGACAGCGGTCCAAGAAACAAAGGCCCCAATGCGAAGCCGAGAATGAACACTGAGAGCGAGAGTTCCGCTAAGAACATGCTGTTCATGTTGAGGTCTTGTCGTACTTGAGCCAGAGCTGGTGCGACCATGGAACTCGATACCGGTGAGATGAATGTGAAGAGCGATACTGTGATTGTAGCCGCCCATCGCTTGCGTTTTGACCAGTTCTTCGGATTCGTTGGGTCGTCCGGTCCATCCCAAGTGACGAGATTGTGATCTTTCTCGCCTTTGCCCTGCTTCTGTGAACCACCGCGCTTGACAGTGCCGTTCCTGCCCATCCGTGATGCATCTCGAATGATTTGGATCTGACCGAATGTGCTGCCTTCATCGCCATCGGAGAGTGGCCAGTCGCCAGACGCTTGTTCTTCATCCCATCCTTTGAGATCGTCCTCGAAGTTGGCTTCCTCGTCTGCCTGATAATCGTGTACGGCACCGGCGTAGTAATCGAGATCGGACACAATCAAATGCAAGTCGACAATACTATCGCGTGCACCGCTTCTCCCTGTTCGTCCCGATTGTATTGATTTTCCCGAACGTGTCGAGATGTTCCGGTTTGCGTTTTGCCCTTCTCGAAACCATTGCGGCGGCGTTCCTGTTCTCGCATCTTGCACCGCTTTGATGGGCTCGAATTCTGATGATAACCATGGAAAGTCCTCGTTCGAAGTTCGTGGTGGTCGCAGCTTTGCTCGTTCTACCTCCTCCATTCCTCTGTTTTGCATGGCGTAGGAATCATCAGTCCATCCTGAATAGCGACTGTTCCAGGACTTGACGGTCCCAACCGTCGACCTGGGAGTTTGTGACATATTGATTAGCGATTACTGCATACGAGCGAGCGAGTGTGCTGTGGAGCGTGGGAAGGACGCAAGGCGTCTTTGGCGACCAGCCAGCCGGCAGCCGTGTATATGAGAAGCGCCGCTCATGGATCGCAGGGTTGCTTCCGAAATCAAAGTCAGAACCTTCGGCGTATGACCGCCGCACGCAAGCGATCGAATCCATCATGCTGGCGCACGCTGGAAGCCTCGCCCGAAACAGAGAATATTTACTGCTATCCTGGGTGAGGTTGCAGGTCTTGGCCGCGGACGAAGTTGGGAAATGGCTCAACAGGGTTTAGCGCGGCCCGCAAAACGCTATTTACATCAGCTCCGCCGCGTTCTGACAGGCTGCGTCTTCCTCCAATCTTCCACGACCGCAGATCGCGGGGCCGATGTGCATCTCTGCGGTGGTACGGCTGCACCTCGTAGGACAGCAGCACCACCGCACGCATCTACGATGATGACACGACTTGATGAGGGCCTGGGCTGAATGCAAGGAGCATCATCTAGCGTGAGGCTTGTGGAGGTCGCGTGGGCACCATGCTCTCATTGTTCTGACTGTATGCAAGGCGTTGCCTAGCTCTGTCGGGTTTGTATACTGTGACATTGTCGTAGTAGTAGTCTAGGTAGCTAGGGACTTAGGATCTCTCCTTTCGGTAGGCCGCATCGGACCCTCGAGAGATTGGTGGCAACAAGTCACACTGGTAGACTGGCTGCTCTGCGAGTAGTCGAATCCGTAATCTCGGTCGAATTGGCAATCAAATTTGACTGCATGCGCTCATCAAAGGCAAGCAAACTTTGAGCTGCGCTGAAACTCAGCGTCAGAGTGCTGTTGTCGAAGGGCGATGATATGCTGTATAGTGACAGTACTGGACTTCGCGCTGGCTCCATCGCTCGCGGCATTCCTCATGGTATGCTGCACGCCGCGTGGTATAGACTCTTGCTTCGCCTGTCATGAGAACTTTGATGATGAGCGTTGGGGGATTGCGTGAACCAAACTCAAAGATGTTGCAGTATTTGTCTCACGACGTGAAGTCAAGTCTCGAAGGTTGACGTCTATTGAGAGTAGCGAGTGTGTCGACCAGCATGCCCTGAGCAGAATGCCAAGACATTCGACCGGCGCTTCTCGCTGTGCAAACATGGGCGGATTCTCATTGCTCCTAGCCAAGTCCTGTTCAATGTCTCTCGTCTTACACAAGAATGTTGGTTGGAGTATACATGCGGTCATTGTCGCCCATCGTGTTGTAGTTCACTTCATAGTGCAAGCGCACGGACCAGTCTTGGCATTCCGGCTGAAAGCTCAAAAGACAACATCCTGCGCACACCAAGCCTCGTAGTACTTGTAGGAATGATGGAAGATCTGTTCAAACCATGAGTGAGCAAATTTGTGTATTGTGAAGTTCTCTGGCAGCTCGGCGCTGAAGTTTCGTTTTGTGAACAATATTGCGTCAAATACTGCCCCAATGAAAACTCCAGTGCACCAGCACTTTCAGCCCTGCAAAACATATCGTAAGTCTTCGAAGATGAGCGTTTGCAGTCGTGCAAAACGTATGCTGAGTCCTCAAGACTGTTCTGAACAAAAAAGAAAGCAAAAAGACTGGAAAGTCAGATAGAGGCTATCGTACGATGTTAGTTCATGTCCTATTCACTTCACAGGCACATTACTTACGCGGTATCCCGGGATTGAACCGGGGACCTCTCGCAGATTGTCTCAGGGTGAGCCCTAAGCGAGAATCATACCACTAGACCAACACTTTTGACATGGTTAGTGAGAGCTTGATGGTGGAGAACCGGAGAGTACGAACCCGCCTCAGAATTTCCGACGCAACCCTATTGGGTGTACGATGCGGAACCATGATTTAAACGTGTATATAACGTCTATCGTCATGCAGCTTCCTGGGAGGTAGAGATAAATCGTCTGGCGAGAGGGCTTTGATCAGCGGAGAGTTGTCCCGGGATGGCAGGCTTTCGGGCACTTTGCGCGGCTGTATTTAGAGCGCCGCCAGCTTGTGAGAAGTCTGGTCGTGTTGCTCGTCTTTGTTGATGAGGCAGAGAGTCGATACATCGGGTTCCAGCTCCAGGCTCGGCTTGGCTTTCTGCGGGCCGTGATGAGACTTGGCAGCACTGAACAGAACCTCTGCGGAGGAACATCAGCATGCTTCTTGCATCAAGATACTTGCCGGGTTCGGGTAGAGCTTCTCATGGACCAGCTTCGTTCTGTGCTTCCCAACAATTATGCTGTCCGAGCTGAGCATGATCGAGACCGTGCAACGCGATGCACTACGCGAAGCACGGCGCGATAGTCCCACAACGATTCGATGTCTGGGACGCGAAGACCGACATGTCGCGCGTGAGAGTGCTGCCTTATGTTCGTGCTGGTCGGGGATATCGCGTAATTCCAGATACAGCGCACAAGGAAGCTAGCACGAGTGTCGCCGCAAATCTACGACAACGCAGTCGCCTGCATGTATCGTGAGAAGGCAATACCGCTTGGTCCCGCCCTGGGAAGATATCTGCAAAGCACAAAAAGACACAGTCCAGATGTCCGAAGAGCCTATGCAAGAGGCGAGGTCAGGATGCCAAGGCGACTACTGCATATTTCATGCCGCTTGGAGCTGGCATTTGTTGGCTGGAAGCATTCCACGGAGATGGCGCAAAGACAGCTGGGCGCCGTCCGGAAGAACCAGACGGCTTTCCTAGCCATATCGAGATGCGAGTTCGGCAGCTGTACATCAAGATTAACTAAATGACGACGCGGTATATCAACGTACTCCTGGTTTCACTGCGGTTATTGGCTGCTTGCGGTTCACTGCGCAGCGGCGCGCGTCTTGAGAAGTGGAATTCTGGGCAGCTTGCAGAACATACTTGTCGCAATCTGAAGTCTAGCAGGAAATGCCGACGGCTGGTGTATATCTTGCTGTCGTGCATATCTTGAGAATATATACCTTGACAGAGCCAATGCGTTGTTTGTGGTGTCAGTGGTCTGCTGGCAGTCTACGGTGATGAGGTGACGTTGAAGAGCTGGTTCTTGCCGGCATGAACGTCAACGCAACGGCACTCAACCTGCCCGCTGACCTCACCTGTACAAATCATCGGCAAACACATTCGAAGCACCACAGCTGTGCATCGACTGCATTGCTTTTTCGAGCAGCTTTGTTTGCGACCTGCTGCCAGCGACGCCGACAGCAGTTTGAATCCTTGACAGGGACAACAATTCTGAGGCGGGTTCGTACTCTCCGGCTCTTCACCATCAAGCTCTCACTAACCACGTCAAAAGTGTTGGTCTAGATTAGAAGTGTGGACAAGGGAGGCTATAAACAAGTGCCGCGACAATACAGCAATTCTCCTCAGTTAGCGAGCTTATCCATTCGGAATCTGAAGAGTATGCCTCAAACGGTGCACCAGCGGTATGCCTACGAAAGCTGTCATCACCCAGGATCCCGTGTCGAATTGCTCCTGGTCTACACGTGTCCTCGAGGCTCATCGTGGCTGTTCGCATTTTGAGCGTGGCAAGGTCGTAGGCTCTGTCACTGGAGAAGGCGACCAAAAGGCACAGAGGCAGTGGTCAATGCAAGCATATTGAAAATTGTGCGCGATCTCACGCGGAAGCCGGTTTCTTCAAGCCGCCTCGGCAGATCTGCCCCTTCGCATCTGGGTGCCGTTGTAACGGTGCAGAGAACAACCAGGCCCAGCCCAGCCTACATGCGACCTACTAACTGAATCTCCACGGTTGAGTGCCATCGTATAATTGTGCTTTTGCAGCATCCATGCATAATCACTGCGCTCACGACTTCCTGGTGTACTGTTCGACGTCATGCACGCTTGAGGCTAGTTTTGAACAGGGAACGAAATGAGCCTCAGCGAATGGCAGAACGGATACGGGAACGGATACGGAGAACAAACCGCGTAATCGAGAATGCGCTACTGGACAGAGGCGGATTCCAAATCGCCGCTGAAGGATTATACACCAGCTGCTACATGGCGCAGGCACTCCATATATCTCTTCCACGATAGTGGCCATCTCTGGAATTGCCATTCTCTACTGCTATCTCGTCTGGAAACACTGGCCGAACACGTTCGCCATGCACCCCCTTCTCATCGCTTTAGCATCCTTCCCATTGCTCATTGTGGGCTATCCGGATCTTTTGTTTTCTCGTGAGGGCCCGAGAGAAGTCTACCATCCGGACATGGAGGCGCATAGACCCGCTCTACACCCAAATCACTTCACCTGGCAGCCGCCCGGTGAATGCGATGGTATGCATACAAAGGAACATACCTTCTTTCAAGGCCCGGCTGACGAAGCGCAGTACGCTCTCCTTGCCCAACTCTGAACACTCTGGCGAACCATGGCTTCATTCCGCACGACGGGCGCAACATAACTCTCGATGCCTTGACAAAAGCCTTCAAAGATGCCTTGAACATTGCCCCTTCACTCACGCAGGGAGCGTTCTCGCGCGCCGTACCCGTCAATCCTATGTTCAATGCCAGCGTAAACCTATCTTTCCAACGTTTTCTCTTTCTCCGAGCTAACATCTTACCAGTTTCTCGACCTCGACATGCTCCACGTACACAATTTTATTGAACACGATGGTTCTCTTTCGCGGAAGGATGCTGTTTTCGATCGGACTAATTCTTTTGACAACGGTACTTTCAACAACTTGCTGTCCTATTTTGGAAACGACACCCAGATAACGATTGAGTCGATGGCGAACGCAAGAGCCCGGCATGCTCTCGAAATGAGCAAAGACAATGATCTGTTCGCGATCACATGGAGTCAGGTTCCTGTCATCTTGGGTGAGAATGCTATGATGCTGCTGGTGTGGAACAAAGACACCGCGGGAACGCCGGAAGATCCTGTCGCAAATAGGGCGTACTACGAGTACTTTTTCAGTAAGTCTACACGTCGATGTTTTGCACATGAGTTCCAACCTTGCCATCGAGCTCCACTCTTACGAATGGCGTTAGGGAATCAAAGACTACCAGTCGAGCTTGGATGGTCGCCAGTTGACACTGAAATCACTGAAGAAGCAGCAGGAAAAATTGTTGCAAAGTTGCAAAAGATGAGCCCAGCGGGCGTTCCATTGGCTTTCAATCCTCGACTGGCTGTGCAGTCTGAAGATTAGTCAATCACACGTGTGCGTACTTTCAGTTTCCGGGTTCAGCCAAAACCCTGGTCTCTGCACTTGGCAGTTGTGTAGTTCGAGGCTTAGACCACCATGGTCGTGGTGGCGCACCTCTTGTTCATGCTGGTCTCTTTTCAACTCTCTCTAACTTGCTTGTTCTTCGTGCCCAATCTCACCTTCGGTATACTTCTCACGTAAACGCAGTCGCTCATCTATCCCGGCCGTTAACGATTCGTCGCCCCTCCCAGACGCAATGCCAGTCAGGCGGTCGCACAAGAAGTCACGCTACGGATGCGATCAATGCAGACAAGGGCGGATGAAATGCGATGAGGCGGTCCCTCGATGTTCACGATGTATCGGGCGCGGGCTACCATGCTCATATGGGAAGCGACTTGCGATGCTTAAGCGACTGGAGGAGCATTCTATGCAGATGATCGTGCCCTCCGCATCGGCCAATATGGAGGACAGTATCACCACAGTCCCTTGCATGGCAGCAGCTGTCAACAAGAATCGCTCAATCCCCACCTCGGTGGGATCTCCAGCGGCGATAATAAGACGCCGCGAACTGCGTCTCATGCATCATTGGTCTCGAAGCACGTGCGACAGCTTTTCTCGCGAGATTAGCAACCCTGTGAAAGATCACATCATCGAAATCGCATTACAGCACGAATATCTCCTGGAAGCGGTTTTTGCTCTCACGGCAGCACAAATCGCCAGCTCACCCGAGCGTTCCGACATAGTCCATGAGTATACCGACGTCGCGCGGGACTATCAACACAGGGCTGTCGGTGGCCTGAGAAGAGCGATCGATACACTGTCTCCGGCGACATGCGACGCCATCTTCATCTCGTCCACAATCCTTTTGATCTGTACCATCGTGTCGCCTTTCCTTGGGGATGACCACCATCAGAGTTTCCAAGCCACAATGGACGCGATGCTGGAACTAAGCAGCTTTCTCCACGGGCTCACGTCTGTTCTCGCTGTAAGTCGAGATTGGATCATACAGGGTCCGATGGCCAGCACGCTTGATGCAGATTGTCCAATTGCTTCAAAGCCATTCCAGCTTCCCTTCATGGAGGACTTGCGGCATGCGAATACGGAGAAGGATGGGGAAACACGCGCTGTTCTCGCACATGCGATGGATATGCTTGAGACTTCTGTGCAAGGAATCAGGTTCATCATTCCGTGGGTCATCAGAATTCGACCCAAATTCTTCCAGCTCTTGAGAGAAGGAGATGATCTCGCACTTGTGATTTTCATGCAATGGGGTGTGCTGCTAGATCGGATGCGTGGTATGTGGTGGGCTGAGTTCTCTGCACGCGGTCTGGTAGAGCAGGTCTCGAAACTGATACTTGTCCACAACGACAAGTGGGCGTATGTGGCAGATTGGAGTCGATCTCGTGTTGGTTTGTGTTCGCAGGAGTTTCAAGCAAATGAGCAGGCCAGCCTGACTGGGTGAGCCTATCAAAGTCGATGTTCTTTGTTCGGATTGATGGCGCCGTTCGCATATTTCGTATATGTGGCTAGATGAGACATAGTATAGCTTCGCCTCGTTCAGAAAATATAGCTACGCACTCATTCTTGTAATATTAGCATGCCCGTTCCCGTTCTCGTTCTTCGCCGTTTAATGTCTTGGCAATATTCTGGTTGTGCAGGGATGACTTAAGGAACACGACGGGTTTCATTAGTCCTTGGCAAGACAGCGTACTCGTTCATAATATGCATAGCCTTATTGATTGTCTGCACAGCCGACAACCATTGGTATTTCATCCAGCACAAGTATCTGCAACCTCAAGATGTACAACACTCCAAACCTCTACCGCCTCCCATTCCTAGCTTTGTCTCTTGCATCTCTCTCGTCGTCTGTTGAAACGATACACGAATTACGGATTGCCCTCCTCGATACCGCACTACATCGAAATGGCCGAGAAAGAGTCCTACTACGATTATGAGCCCTCTGTGGCTGCAGCGGGTATCTTCGTTGCCATATTCGCGATCTTGGGTGTGATGCATTTCTTTCAAACCTTCAGAACTCGCACATGGTTCTGCATCCCCTTTGGCCTGGGAGCTCTCCGTAAGTATAACCTCGGAACCATGTTCACAAATCTAGTCATCGTTTCTCACTTCGTCCAACCACGCCGTGCCTTAGTGCCATAATGCTAACAACTCCCAGTGGAAGTCATCGGCTACCTATGTCGTGGCCTCGGGAACTCCAAACCGGATGTCCTTATCCTCTACATCATCCAGACACTGTTCATCCTGCTCGCACCAATTCTATTCGCCGCCTCGGTCTACATGTTTCTCGCTCGCATCATGCGAGCAACGAACGCCACCCACCATTCGATCATCCGCATCAACTGGGTCACGAAAATCTTCGTCGGCGGAGACGTACTTTGCTTCGTCATTCAAGGTGCCGGGGGAGGCATCCTTGCTGGGGCCGATACCCAGACCTCTTTGGATCTTGGAAAAGGAGTCATTCTTACAGGCTTGTGCTTGCAGGTGGTGATCTTTGCATTCTTTATGGTTGTTGCTGCGATATGGCAGAAACAAATGAGAGGCTCCGAGGAAGATGAGATGACATCGTTCAACTGGTTGATCTACCTGCAGATGTTGTACGTGGTCAGCGTCCTCATCACAGTCAGAAACCTGTTCAGGGTCATCGAGTATGCCATGGGTCGTAAGTTGTGCCCAAAAGATCTCTGTGAGAAGGTGACTGACAAATTGTAGCCGACGCATACCTTCTCATGAACGAATGGCCTATTTACGTTTTCGACGCTTTCTTGATGGCTATTGTGCTGGCCATCTGCACCAGGTGGTATGTTGCCGATGCGATGAGGAAGGCGCAGAATGAAGGCAAAGACAACGAAGGCAATAATGTGGAGATGTTGACACAGTCGGATGCCGGCGCCTGCTAGTGGACCAGTTTTGAAAGTTTCATCCTGTGGCCGAATGCACATTTCGTATGGTGATACACATCAATTTGAGAGCTGTACGTTGCTCCGTCCACAGCAAGCAGAATATGTAGCAAATGGGAACTGCCAATATGATGCCCTCACCCACATCTCAATCACGACCCAAGCCGTGATGGCGAATTCCGCGATACACTTTGCTCTGTCCTCCTGGACGAACCGGGGGTCATGCTTGTTGTCAGCTCCAGCATCCTGATAGTAGACAGATCGCCTTCTGCCTTTTGACGATCTCGTGCGTTCCTGTCACTGACGACCGACATACCCCAGCTCCAACGCGGATCCCGTTCCTACGATCCAGGCCGACGCTGAGACTGCTCGAGCTGGACCCTAGAGACCCGCACGTCCGATGTTCCAAATTCAGTTACGATCTCAAATTTGTCGATAAGCCAGTATCCCGCGCCCCTGAAACACCATTGTACGACCTGGGCGTACAGATCGTCTATGCTATCTTTTCGATCTTGCTCGGACCAGTACGCAATATCGTTTACTTCCGAAGAGGAATTATCCGCTTCGAAGTCGACTTCGATTCTTACTGTCTCGACATGGATTGGCTCGGCAAGTCGCGAACCGACGCCCATCAGAGGGCCATAGTGGAGTATGTGATTGATGGTCTGGTAAAGCTCGAATTGTAATCGAGGTGCGGTGTAATTTTCGCGCCATAGGTTGGGTCGACCGGTCTGGCGCTCTTTTGGTATGCGAATTGTGAGATGGAGCGAACGCACAGTGTCAGCGGCGCATGGTAGACGCTGCCATACCAGCTGTGCGAAGTGATCATCACGAGTCCAGCGGAGCCTTGTAGGAAATCGGAGAAGAGGCATGTCCAGCTTCCACGTGCTGTTTTCGAGCTTATTCAGCGCGGACCCAGTGCGCATGAAATCCGTGAGTTCGTAGTAGATGGTCTTGCAGGCCAGTCGCATGTTAGTCCAAGGGATTGACAACTTGACGTATGACCGTCGCTTGATGCGTTGAACGTGTCCATCTTTCCTCCAACTCTGGTCCCCGCGCCTGTATTGGAACAGATTGCAGTTCATGTCGAGCACGAGGATTTGTTGGTAGATCAGACATCGAATCTCTGTTGGTAGGCTCAATAGACAAATCTGCTGGGGAGGTGCCATTGTACTGTCGTTATTGAGGCTGAAATTTGTGTGTCCGGGTGGAAAGATGGGAAATGAGAGATGAACGGGATTTTTTGTGAACACACCGCATGAGCCCGAATTCATGGGTGACACGTTGCAGCTCTTCAGCTATTTTGCAGTAAGTGCTCGGTAGTGCCAAGGAGACTACCACATATCGGTCTGGCTCATCCGGCCTTCTGAGAGCTACTTGGCGCCATCAATGAGATATGTTCACGGGATTAGTCCAGACTGACAGCCGTCGTACACAACAAGCCACGCTGGAGCGCGAAATTCTCGCTTCCCTCTCTCTGCAACCTCCGATTTAATGACTTCTGATTTGCAAGATAGCAGTGACCCCAGAGCATGGCAGGGCACGCAAGCAGTTCTGCCTGACTCTGCCTGAACTTACCATCCGTACTGCAAATTTGTGACCTCTGGTAACGACTTCGGATGAGGAGCCCCGAACAAAATGCTCGAACGGACGCCAGGAGCTTCTCGTTAATATACAACTGTTCCTGTCCGACTGGAATATGATAGCAGAGTCCAGTTTGAAGACCATTTCTCGAAGAGCTTTCGTAGGCGGAGTCTCTCGAAATCCCGGGGTGCTTTAGACGCTTCTAATGCTCCTCTGTCATTTAGTCCAACTCTGCAGAGATCCCAGGCTGGGGAGAAAATTCATGTATTGGCTGTAAAGAAGGTATCGGGCAGCCCAGGCATTTCGGGTTCCAGAAAAGCTTGCGATTTTCTGGTGGATCTGGAGGCATGGCCGATTGGTCGTTGACCATAAGCATGAGTACCTTTCTGACTGCAGCCCCAGGGTCGTATCCGCCATAGTACAGCCTCGAAGCAAAAAGTGTAGACGGAGACAGGAACAACTTCGACGGTGATGTCCACATCTCTGCCAAGCCCCAAAAAGCTCCGACCAGTTGTGACGTCTTCACTTCCAAACATCGACCAGATCTTAGCGCGATCGCGTGTGCAGGAACCATCTGCATCATCTACGATCGTTGAACCCACTCCTCAGCTCTGAAGCTGCTGCTCTGCAGCTCTCAGGCGCGATGACATCGGTCTTAGTTGGCTGGATTGCCAATGGCTGGCAGGTCAAGTATCTTTTGTCCCTCTCTCATGCCTCTTCTCCTATACCAGCGACCACTCGTGGCAGCAATAGCATCCCTCAGAACACCTAGAGTCTCTTCATTTCGACCATCGCACTATTGCTACTCACTACAGTACTCCAAAATGGCGTCCAAAAAGCATGCGCGCTCCGAATCGAGCGACAACATGGACGGCCTCAAACATCCTTCCACGAAAGTCGCGAAGAAAGTCGACGCTCATCCTCCTTTCGAGAAGCTCGCCTCCATTCTCGAAGACACATCGTCCGACTCAAAGCCCAAGAATGTGCTCCACTGGTTCCGAAGCAAAGATCTGCGCGTGCAAGACAACAAGGCATTGTATGCAGCGTCGGAGAAAGCGAAAGACGGCGGCAGTCTCATCACAGCCTATCTGCACAGTCCGAAAGATCTGGAATGGCATGGCACATCGCCGGCGAGGACAGACTTCATCCTTGAGTCCTTGTCTTTGCTACAGAAAGAGCTTGCTGAGAAGAATGTTCCTCTGGCAATCTTGACTGCAGACGAGCGAAGTCAGAAAACAGATACTGTGTTCGAATTTGTGAAAGAGAACGATATATCGCATGTATACGCCAATTTTGAATACGAAGTGGACGAGCTCCGCCGCGATATTGACCTGGCCGAGAAGTTGAAAGACGAGAGCATTGGCTTCGAACTCTTCCATGACCAGACTGTTGTAGTCCCAGGGGAGTTGACTGGTAGCGGGGGTGGTCCTATGAAAGTGTTCACACCCTACCACAAAGCGTGGCTGAGCGAAACGAAGAGCGACCCAAGCCTTCTTGATCTAGCTGGCGAAGTCGAGGGTAACGATGCTTCCGCGAAGAAACATCTTTCCAAGCTATTCGACAACAAAATCCCCGCTCCACAACCAAACAAGCAATTCGAAAACGATGAAGAAAAGAAACGAGTACGAAAACTCTGGCCCGCCGGCCACCAAGCCGGAATCGAAAGACTACAACACTTCCTCGACAAAAAAGTGAAAACCTACGCTGCCCACCGCTCCGAACCAGCACTCGACCCCTCATCCCGCCTTTCACCCTACATCGCCGCAGGCGTTATCAGCATCCGTGAAATCCTAGACCACGCCAAGAAAGCCAACGATGGCGCACACTTCGACGAAGGCGATCGAGGCATCGATTCCTGGGTTCGCGAACTTGTCTTCCGAGAATTCTATCGCCACATCACAGTCATCACACCTCACGGAAACATGAATTTGCCTCAAAATCTGAAATTCGATTTCGTGCAATGGGAAGATGATGACGAAGGGTACAAGAAATGGGAAGAAGGGACTACAGGAATGCCTTTTGTTGACGCTGGAATGCGTCAGCTCAAGCATGAAAAGTATATGCATAACCGGTTGCGTATGAACACGAGTTCGTATCTTCGCGCGAATATGCTGATTGACTATCGCCGAGGTGAGAGGTATTTTGCCGAGACCTTGATTGATTGGGATCTGTCGAATAATACCCAAGGTTGGGAGCCGAGTTATACGATTTTCAATCCGGTTGTGCAGGCGGAGAAATGTGATAAGGAGGGAGATTACATTCGGAAGTGGGTGCCGGAGTTGAAAGAATTGAAAGGGAAGGATATCTTTGATCCTTATAATCGGTTGAGTAAAGAGGAGTTTGAGAAGTTGGGGTATCCAGCTCCGCATGTGGATTTCAAGGAGAGTCAGCAGAGGGCGAAGGTAAGTGATGACATGTGAAGACTTGAAGCGCGATGAGGCGCTTCGCTAACGTTCTTGCAGGAGAGATACAAATCCGATTTAGCGAATGCGGACCCATAGATGCATGCAGATATGTGTGAAAATGCCGATCAAACGGCCATGAAACCAGGTCACGCATCGATCTCTAACCTCCCACCTGCCCTTCGTGAGGCCTCTTTGCCTGCGAGTTAGCTCTCACGCTCCAAATTTATCAGAGACAATGCCGGCTCAGGCAGAAGGAACACGTGTTCGCGTTTCAACCGTCGCACTGCCGTGCCACTTCGTCAAACTAGAGAGCAGAGACATCCCACATTTTCTGGAGAGAAGCAGGCTCTACTGCGAGATGCGCTCACGTCTCAGAACGATCTCAGCGGCACCATCTGGACCGGAGCTCAGCAGGGTGCCATTGAAAGTCTCCGACAATTGGAGCGAGGCGGATATATGCCAATGAATACAGTATCAAGAGCCATTCAAGTTGGCCAGGGCCAACCGCCTGTCATCGCCCACGAGGATCACATCCGCGGCCTCTACTGCTCGCTCCTGTTCGACCAGCGCAATGTAGAGGTTGATCTCAAGGTCTCTGGCTGCTTCATCAATGATGATGTTAACGCCCCTTCATGGTTCGGGTCCATCTGTTCACACCTTACGGAAAGAGGCCGCGCGGCTGTTGTTGGTTGTGGTCACAACGACGCGAGTCTGCGCAATGATCCAAGAGTAACACGCCTTGTGGAGAATCGGTACATTCGTCGATGGTCGGCGTCGTCCCAATCAAAGATGCCACTCTCATCGTTCTGGAGATAGCGCCACAATTCAGCCAACATATCCACAGGTCTGGACTCTGGGATGGCTCTGCTCGAGTCACTCTGGCTTCGACCTGTCTCGGGCTTGGTCTTGTCCGAGAATGGAATGACCAGCTTGCCAATGTTGACACCAGAAACTGCTTGCTCAATGACTTTCGCCTGAAATCCAAGGGCACGGACACGGCACTAGCATGATGCTCGTTCGCTGCCTGGTACTTAGTCAATGCAATACCGTACTCAAGAAGCCTTTCTCTCTGCGGCTGCGGACCAACCTTCTCACCACCGGTGGCCATGCCTTTCGCAGGGCGATCAGCTCGTACTGGGTAGAGGCGGCCGTGTTCAATATTGGGCGCCGCTGCTGAGAGCTTGAGAGCAAAATCGCCGGTATTTGCGTTGGTGGGTGTCAGACACAGCACGTGGAGACGCAGTCGGTCGAAGAACCTAGCAAGTTCTTACTGTAGCAACGTCTTGCCGATTCCTGCGATGCCGAGGATACACACCAGTCCGCCGGGTTCCTTTCGAAAGAGTCGCAGTGCCTGCAGCTGCTCGGCATTCCATGCTCTCCAGGTCAACAGATCTTCCCTCAAGCCGACTCGACGGCTGCCTTCTAGGGATCGTGATCGCAGGTCTCGTCCAGCTTTGAGATCCACGCAGTGGCTATGTCGACTCTGTTGTGCAGGTCTTCCACCCAAGGCTTCTGACTCAGGATGGTGCCCATCCACTTCGATGCGAGATCTGCAAGTAAAGCCTTCGCCGTAAGAGTCTGGCTTTTGTACGTGCTGTCCATGACCTCAACGTTACAATCGACGCGAAGAGGTGTCTTGCGAAACCGCGTCCCAATATCCTCGACTTTGATGGTGTCTCGTCTCAAGTCGTCTACGGAATGGGAAGTGACGATAGCGTACGCATCTGCAGCGGGCAGGTGGCCCATCAGCCTGTCCGTAACGAAGCCTCGCAACTCTCTCGTGAAGTTTCCCTTTGCACCAGACGTCGTCTTGACAGTGTACGTCATGGTCACATTGGTCAAGTTGCCTAGACGAAGGACCGCTTCGTTGTTGTGAGCTTCGAGCTTGCTGAAATTTTCGAACCTGATCGCGGCTACGACGAGCTCGCCAGTACCGAAGAGCACGATAAAGTGCGGGACTGCGCAAAGTTTCTTGGAGGCCTGGAGCAGCTCAGTAAACTACATCTCGGCACGCCAGCCAAATTGCCCCTCAGCTTCCTCAATGGATGCGAAAGTGTCCTCCGTGAGCATCTCCATCAGCGGATAGCACTTCTCCATCAGTAACCCTCTACCCGGCATGGCATTCGGCGAGATCATCATGTCGCCTTGCTGCGTACGGAGAAATGGATACTCGAGCGTGTACAAAGAGCTGAGCAGGTGACCTGAACCTCCAGGCAGGAGTGCTCGGACAGCCTGCCAATGGGGGTCCACCTTGTGCTCAACTTTGAACTCCGCCTCGTGGTCATCGCCGTTCTTCTTTTTGCCGCGTAGAAGCTTGCCAAAGACACCGACTGATGCCTTCTCTGCTTTTGTCGGAGGCGAGAAGTTGCACATATGGAGAGTGATTCTGTGGTCTTTCTTGGGCTCGAGAAATCTCCAGAACATCTTCAAGATCTTGTCTCTTCTTCGATCATATTCGGAGCATACCTGCCTGTCTTTTGCAAGTCTGACACGATGGTGGCGTATGCAGATGTCCAGGACATTGCTGTTAAGCCAGTTTCTGGGTCTGGGATATCTGCGATCGAAAGGTCTTTTACTCCACGGCCGGGATGCTTGGAGTCGTTCGCGAAGTGAAGTTCCAAGACGATGGTTGGTCGCGTGGTCTCGTTGCGTCGTTGCGGCATTGCGCGTGCAGGCGAACGACAGGTGCGTACAGCACTTTTACAAACTGGACAAAGACGTTGGTCTTGTTGCCACCAAAAGCGAAGTCTGGTGCGTAGGGAAGTAGCCCATCTTCGGTCTCGATGTAGCATCTGCGGTAACATATCGACGTTGCAAGACTGTTGAGAAGCCTCTCTGTTGGATCATCCTTGGACTGCGGCTTCCACAATGCCACCAGCTCCATTTCGTCCGTAATCTCGCCCGGTGCGGCCGCCAGTATCGGTACATGCTCTGTTGGAGCATCTTGCGGGGGTCTAATGAAGTCCAAGAAGTTATCTGTCGTGGTTTCGATGACAGTGATGGAACAGCAGGCCACCATTTCCACGCAGAGTGACATTCAGTACATCTTTTTTAACAGAGACAGTCACTAATTAACATCCTCTCGGGTGAGAAGACTGCTCTTGTTGCCGGTGATCCTCGCTCTGGATGGCAGCTGGTGAGTCCGTTAGGCAGAGACAAGGTCGTTTGACCTCTTCTCCGGCGAAAGGCCTCGTTGCAATGGTCCGCATCCCCACCCTTGGCGGCATCCAGGACAAGTATCTCTCCGGAAGAGGAGACAACTTGGCACACTCTCAAGCAAGAGGACGGCTCCCTTGAACTTGCTTTTAATACTCAGAATAGCTTTCCTGGATGTATGTGAGCAGAGACAAGGGCAGCTGCACAGGAAAGATGAAGACTCAAATCAATTCATGCAGCTAAGCTGCACAGCAGCAGCAGCATATACGTGTCACCTGGCAACCGCTGCATCAGAGAAGGCTCGAAGCTTGGAACATGACAGACGCAGCAATGGCGACTACGATATGAAGGCCCACTACAGGAGTGATCCACTCACATGCTGCCGAGAGCAAGCTGTCATCTTCATTGGAATCGCTCGAGCATCAAGACATGCAGACATGACAGTGTCTCAATATTCGGACGAAAAAGTGAGGCCGCAGTGATCCTCCGAAGACCATCTGTTCGCACAGCTGCCCGGTGGACTTCGTGAGGACAAATGTGAAGCACAGCATGTCGGACACCGGTTCTCATGTCACTCTTCACTTCCACTTTGCTTTGCTCACGGTCTACCTCCGACCTCTAGTAACGAGACCACTCACATCATGTCGATCGTGGATATCCTAGCCCAGGTATGCCCATGCGCAGTTCGAGCAGCGAGCTGCACGGCCTCAGACCTTACGAATGGTTCTCGAGGACACCTTGAACCTTATTCACCAGGACCCTCCTCATTCCACGTAAAGGTAATGAAAATTCCTGTGAGGGGCATGAACTACATATACTACTACTCTCCCTCTACAAGTCCGTTCCCATCACTCACACCCACTCGCGCACATCACAAGATCTGAGATTGCTTCACTTACAACACTTTCGACACATACTCTCTCGACACCGACCGACGACCATGGCATCTCTTGTCAACACTCGCATCCTGATCCTGTCCGACACGCACGGAGATGCGCTCAAGCGAATTGTCACCACCAGCGCAGATGTAGCCATACACTGCGGCGACCTCACAGAAGAATCGAAGTTGGACGAATTCGTGGCGGCCATACAGCTACTGAAAGGCATAGACGCGCCACTCAAGCTCGTGATCGCAGGCAACCACGACTTCACCCTGGACGACAGAGCGTACGAGCGCCACCTTGCTGAGGCCGATCCCTCGATCGACTCTGATCTGATGAGCAGGACCTACGGCGAGCTGGGAGCCGCTCGTCGCCTTTTTGAGGCAGCAGATGTTCGAGAAGCTGGCATCGTCTACCTGACGGAAGGTACTCATTCTCTCACACTCAAGAACGGCGCCAGACTGACAGTGTATGCGAGCCCATATACAGCATCAGTGAGCACTGGTTGGGGTTCCACCTACAATCCCCGCGACCCGGCACAGGAACACAAGTGGGATATTCCGGAGACAGTTGACATCGCTGTAACGCACGGACCAGCAAAAGGCGTCCTAGATTATACCGACTCTCGCACACGGGCTGGAAGCGCGAGCTTATTCGCCGCCATAGCACGAGCAAAGCCCAGAGTGCACTGCTTCGGCCACATACACGAAGCCTGGGGTGCGAAGAAAGTGACATGGCGAAGCGAATTATCCGAGGAGCCTTCACATTTTACAGACATCGATCAAGATGAGTCTGAGTTGATCGAGAGTCTAGCAACACTTCGCAAGGGTAAATTTGACTCTGAAGACGACATCGCGCGAAAAACAGCCAAGAGGTCGGAGTACGAAGCACGAGGTAGCTGTGGTGTATCGACGGAGATCCGGAAAGGAGAGCAAACTTTGTTCGTGAACGCTGCGTTTGAGGGGTCGGAGGAGGGCGATCAGCATTTACCATGGCTGGTAGAACTTAATCTGCCGAAGGAGATCAAAAACGTGGAGAGCAAGAAACGCAGAAGGCCCAGCGGCAGCGAAGCGGGTGAGGAGACCAGCAAGTACCAGCGCATAATGGACGGCACTGCTGAGGAGAATGGGAGATCGGGAAAATGATTTATTGGGGAGCTAGATGCTCAGCAAGAAAATGTAACGCCGTGTTGTATTCCAAGTAATTTCACTTCTTGCCTTTTCCGGCATGTCTCAATAGCTTATTCCTGTGCACAGTAGGAGCCATTACAGAACGTCAAGTCTTAGGGCCTTCCTTCAAGCAGCGACTGTTAGGTACCATTCACCCTACTCAGCTGAATGTCTTTATCTACAATTCAAACCGGGCTAACATTCAGCCATCTATAAATATAAGCAGCGACGCAGTGCTCAGATATTAGAGGGATGCAATCAGCACACGCCATGGCTGATAGATCTTGAAATAAGAGACTGCTCGTTGATCCCACTGGCCCATCCACTTGGCCTTGTCTCTGTTTTGATGCACACCTCAATGCTATTTCCAGTCGAAGATGCAGGCCGATATGCTCATCGTGCACGAGTGTGCAAAATCGTCCTCTTTCCTCGGCCACGGAGCTTGCTACCCCTGGTGGTGTGCAGCAACACCAGCGTGGCGCTCTGCAATTGGTAGCGATTCGATCGCATCGACTGCACGCTGAGGTCTTATGCAGCAGATCTGCAATTTGTGGTCCGCAGGAAGAGATGACGCTGCTGGTAAGAGAGTGCCTTGATAGTCAATCGCTCGTAAAGGCTCCAGCTGGCACAGCACTGGATGGCCAGCATGTGCTAAGGGGGAAAATGCGGACCACACAGCTGGCAGAGCTTTGAAATACGCTCTGTCCCGGTTCTGCACTAGCAAAAGCACATTGCATTGGCCCAGATCGAGACCGCAGGTGTTGGCAATCACAAGGCACTCGGCATTGAAAGGGAACTCCGAGATCTCAGAAAAGATGGTGAGGGACACATCTGTGTCCTCGCCGACGCGAAAGACTTCGCTCGAGAACCCGAGTTGGGGCCGAGTCGACCACTTCACCGCAACAAAGACTTGGTCCTGGTTGGCGATGATCCGGCCATGGTGGGCGTTTCGATGCAACGCTTTCAGTATGTTATCTGTTTCGAGTTGCTGGATGTGTGATCCATAGCCAAGGTACTCTGCCTGACGCTCATCGACCCACACCGAGGTTGCTCGCAGCGGTTAGAACGGATGCCCCTGCTTGATAAGGAGCTTGGGAGGAATCTTATTGCTGGCCTGAACACGAGGATGGCCAGAAGATCTCTTACACGGGTGAAGTAGATCGGAAGACATAGCATCTGATGGCTTCGCCGATGGCTAAACTTCCGCGTGGATGTTATATAGGCCGAAGCTGGGTCTTGCCGACATTGCGCGCACCAGGAAGTGACAGCAAAAATGAGCCAGGCTTGAAATCGTCTATGGTGCCTGTGTTGCGTGCCGTCTGCTCCTCATCCGATAGTGGTACACGCAGCTGGATGAGTGCACCGCTGTCGTCAGGGTTCGCCAGGCCCAGAAGCTCGTCGATCAGCTTAGTCTCTGAAGGTCGCACCTTGAAGTTGTTGCGCGTCGAAACAAAAGGCGGATTCGTAGGCACACCGGCATACGATGTCCACGCGATGTCGCAAGATTTGCCATCGTCGGAGAAGGCGTAGGTGACATCGGTCACGCCACGGACATTGTTGTATTTGCCACCCACAGCACTAGGATCTCGACGATGGATCTCTGCAAAATAGAAGTCGACGAATGCAGTTGCGGCCGGATCCTCCTTGTTGCGATAACAGCTGATAGTGAGGCGCAGTGACGGTGAGAGCGCTTTGCTGTTCAATGACAACCGGAGGTTGGCGCCGTCCCAAGTGCGACGCGCCTGCTTGGCCAGATCGAGGTCCGGCATGAAAGTGTCATCAGGCCCCTTCAGCTGACAAGGCGTCATGAACGCCTTGCGGCTGTTCTTGTACGCAGATGAGGCGCGCTTTGGATTGTGCATCTGAACAAGAGGCACGTTGTCGGGAACTGCCAAGATTGAGATTGGGGTCTTGCCGTCCTTGACGAGTTCGAGCTCTTCGACCACCTGCTCGTAGGTAGGATGCCCAGCGAACACTTTGAACCCATGGGGAAACTGGTATGCGCCATCGACAAATTCGACCTCCTCTTCTTCATCAGAGCTGATAATCGACTCAGAGCTATCGCAGCTCTCGTCGTCGGTATCATCGGTGATCTCAGCCACGGAAGAGAACTCGACATCGGAGACGTCAGATGAAGGAGGCGTCGGCACATGGCAGTCACGCGTGTCCAAGATGGGATACTCTTCGTTTGCGACCAGGTTTGCAGATTGCTTTTGCGCGTACTCGCGAAGCTCCTTGCAGTGTGTTGTGATTGCTTCTTTTCCCTGTCGGTCGTACGCTCTCACATCCTTCTCATACGCCGCGAGCTTCTTGTCCATGCTCTTCTTGGACTCTCGCACAATCTTTCAAAGACCTTTGTACTCGGCGCGCCAGTCGTTAAATTGATGATTGATAGCCTTGACGCGGTGTGGAGGACTGACGGGCGTTCAGGTGACATGGTTGCTCTCGCTGGCCAGCGTTGTCATATAGGGTGGCACCCATGGATCCTTGCAGCAGAGACAGAGCACCCTTTGACACACTCTCAGGTAACGAATTCCCTCCGGTAAGCCGGCATTGCTGGTCGGAGAGCCATCCAGTGGATGCTCTGAGGCAGAGACAAAGACTTTCTGGCGCCCTCTCAAACCACACGGATGCTTCTCGCTGGCTCTCATTCCCATCTCAGTTGCCTTGCAGTGAATCCTGCCAGCGGAGACAGGCAGAACGTGACACGCTCTCGCGCAGTAGGGCTGCTCCCAGTGGCGATCGTTTCCACATCATGTGGCATGCAGCGAAACCCCTCAGTAGAGTTAGGCACGATGTCGTATACTGACGGCCGAGAGATCCACCCTCGTTGCACAATTTCGCTGCTCAGTCGTGGGATCGTGAGCTTCCAGATCTAGTCCTAATCTCTGTCGGAAGAGTTGAGAGCGTCGGTCTTTCATGTTGCACCCGTGAAGTCGAATGGGCTGAGCCATAGTGATGCTTGGCTGCTTCGATGTATACGAATGGATATCGACTAAGCGATTCGGAGCGATATGTGAGTCGACAGCAAGTGGATGAACGTGAATCCACTAGCACAATTGCCTGCTTTCTGTAGGATATCGCCAATAGTGAGAAACAATGGCGCAATCAAGATACTCATTTGAGCTGAAGCGAGGGTCATTTGACACACATTCGAGTGTCTCTGCCTCGTTTCCTCAAGCCCGTTGTCTGCATCCGTGGACCGATCGGCTTGATCTTTTCTGTCGATAATAGAGCCATGTGAGATGTCATTGGAGTCTAGCATCTTGTGGTTCATTGTTGTCTAGGGTCCTCTCGTGTTTGCCGATCACTGGCACTATCGTCGTAGAGATTGATGGTTACATTTTCAACGTCGGGAGTGAGATTCGACAAACTGATGCCATTGCTGTGCATAGAATTGGCGAAGCTGATGCTGCTGACAGGCCGACTGATGGCTTCGAAATTCATTGGCCTCAAGATCTGCAAATATGCTCATATGAAGATTATCGCCTGCAGGATGTCGATATGCCACAGCCATGGCCAAAGATCATTGAACAACCAGAGGGGATTGTCCGCCTGGAACGCAATGTGAGCTTATCCGCGTCCTTGTGACTTTGCTTCAGAGGTTGCAATTCTGCCGAGAATCTCTTTGGTAAGGACACCTACGCGGCTTGCCCCAGCAATGAAAGACGTTTGAGCCAGATAGTCGGTTCGAGTGATGTCCTTGCCAATGACCAACCTCAGCGTGGATCCGCAAAATTGTGCTGGAGTAGCTTGACGCTGCATCATCTCTCGCAGCCCGTCATTGAATGAATACAAAACCGTTTTGGTCTCGTCAGAAAAGTCATTGGCATAGACTTGTACGGCTTCAAAATGTGCAATTAGTTCATCGTTTGACTCTCGAGAAAGAATGGTCCGGTGCTGGCTGGAAGGTGCAGTACATTTGTGCCCAATTGTCGAAAAAGCTGGGGGTTCTCGGCATGCGGTAACAAACTGTTGTAGAACCCTCCTGGTTGGCGATTCAGAGGCGTCAGTGAATGGCTGAATTGTATCAAGAGACGCTCTGTATCCTCTGCGAACAGATTTGCCGACTTGGCTGGAGCGACGAATGCGTCAGGTAAAGGAAAGATCTTGGCGTTTGCAGCGACTTCCTGTGCCCATTGTTCAGGAATATTCAAGAATCCTCCAAAATTGACACTTGGCCAGCTGCCGAGATCTTCCAGGCGACGAACAATTGATCGATCCGGACCTTTGCATGTTCCCCCTTTTCGCACAGTCAAGATCCTCACTCCAGTCGCTTTGCTGATCTGGACCTCCTGCTCTCGTTCTCTGAGTTCGGTGAAGTAAAAGTCGTCCTGTCTGAAATGCCCGAGCAGTTTTTCGAGCACTTCGGTCTTGAACGTCCAAGTACGCGCAGGAAATTGGAAGCCGTGCGGGTGGGTGGTGACTCAATTGTGGACAGCTCCATCTTCAAGACTTGTATGAGCTGGTAACTGAGAATTGTCCTGGCGTGCTATGGCATGCTCTCGACAATCTTGAGTTGAGATTCAGTAGCGTCGTCACGCTGGAGGAGCCATCGATGAAGGCTCAGTGTCGTCCTCTCCGTCTGAAGCTGGATCATTCTTCGCTTCAAAGCCTCAAACATCTTGTCACCAAACGCTATAGCATCAGTTGTCTCGTGAGTTGGTAGGCGCAAGACGGTTGTCCTGATCCGCTTCTTGATGACCCGAGCCTCGTTGCGGTAGGTGTCGCTGGCCTCTTTGGCGCTGCAGCTTCGCGTGATGAGCGATTTCCGAGACGTGGATGTGCGCTTGATCAGGTCGATGGTGCAGACCTTGTCCTTCGGCGTGACCTGATCATCGCAAGTTGTTGGACTTTGCTGTTGCGTATGTGCGCGGCGTGTTACGTCTGCGTGTACTCGCGAGAACGTCGAAGCTCGCGCGTCAGGAGACGCGTCGCGGTCAGGCCATCATGAGCAGCGAAAGAGGCAGTCGCCAGCATGTCTTCACCAAGCCCATACTCACGAAAAATGCCTCGAACTGGCGAGTGGTCGGGATCCTGGGACTCGAGTTAACTGGGAGGCATTGGATGTCCCCTGAACGCATGATCGGGCGGTACTGTAGAAGCTTTTGCTGGGCGCTTCCTCGCAGTCTGGAACTCTTCGTCGCTGGATCGTGACGGCCATGATGGCGATTCGTTCCACTGGGCTAGAGCTGCAGGTATGCAACTCGCTTCAACCTGCGCGGCTGTCACATGAATACCATTACGCTAGTGCACTAGGTGCATTAAAGTGGGTCGCTGCTTTCCACATATGTTTATTCAACTTTCGCCATCTTCTCTGCCTCCTCAAACTCGCCGACCCAGCGCAGTACATCAACTCAATCACTACCCCACTCATTACACCACGTTTGTCGCGCTCAGCAAACGAGATACCCAAGACCCAATCATTGAGCCCCTGCAGCGATTCAAGAGCGAAGGAGACACGGAAGAGGAGCAGAATTCCCTAGGCGGGCAAATGGCATTCGGCGACGACAATGATGTATTGAGACGTATCGAGGAGGAACAAAGAGCGCAAGAAGCCCTCAAGGTATTTCATCAGAAGACGCTAAGGTCCATCGTCGGTGCTGACCTTCTTCAGAAAGATCGCTTCTCGCATTGGAGTATCAGAGGCTACGCGTATGCGAGGAAGAACCATATCGAAGTCTCTGAGTTGAATTGGCACGACATCAATGACAATCCGCATCGGCGCAGGGCGTGGAGCGGCCCTGGCGTCGTGTGGGTTGGCCTTGACTCCAACGGGAACGTACTTTTTCAGGACTGGCCGGAACACTATAAGGAGCCAATACGGACGTCTTCCACCAAGCTGATTGAACTCGATCTCAGCGAACGCCTCGATATCTTCGAAAAGTGCCACCGGCTGCACGAAACGGCAAGATGCTTCCAGTTGGCAGAAGAGGCGGGCCACATCACTCGACATGAAGCGCAGCTGATAATTGACTTAGAAGTCTGCTACAAGGCGGGTGTGAAGCTACTGAAGCATAAGAAGATACTACCAGGCGTTGACGAGTGGCCCGAACTTGCACAGCAGCAGCAGCAGCAGCAGCAGCAGCAGCAGGGAAAAGAAATCTTCGCCGAAATGCAGCAATGCTATGGCACCACGCTCTTTCCATGCATTGAGACCGTCGTCATCGCGGCCAGGTACCTGGATAATATGTGGGATCATGCAGATCGTGGAGGGTACCAGTGGCTGCTCAGCGACAGCAAGTTCCTCGACATATTCTTGCTGCGTATGCACAACTTCATGTGGCGCACTCACGGGCCTGCCAAGTATCGCCAGACCATCCACAACCTTCCGCTGGGCAACGTTTGTAAGTCCCTTAGTGGGGTGAAAGACGTCTTCGAGCGGCATCGTGACGCGAACGGTCTCGGATGCAATGTTGTCAGAATCCGCGACAGGCTCAGAGCACTCGCAGAAGCAAGTCCAATTGCCGCAGCAGCCTGTAGAGCCGAAATTCGGCGCCCAAAAGGCCTCGATCGAGATGGATGGGACGAACACTTCACTCCAATTCTCGAACCAGCTCAAGAGTCTTCCATTAGTCTTCTCCAATTCCGACACTGGCTTGAAATTTTTACCGACATTCCGGCAAGCCTAGGACCCTCCCGAATGTCATAGAGCCGCTGGCAATTATGGAGACTGCTGGGTATGAGTCCGACACGGCAGCATTGCTGGAAAATATTGCAGACTACCTGGCTCCATACTCGCATTATACGCTGATCCAGATGGTCTGGCGAGACTTTCTCATACCCGCCGCAGTTGAAGGTGATGATGAAGAGCTCATCAACCACGGTGGACATCTTATGCTCATGTTACAAGGTGAAGAACCGCAAGTATACCCACATTATACGCTCAAAGCTTTGATCACCGATCAAGACCCATATGATGAGGAGAACTACGCTTCCGATAGCGAACTCTTTGACGCAGCGTATACCAATATCGATCCTCAAGGCCCTGGATGGGATGAGCAGTAGCCTGGCCGTCATACGATCTGCAAGCCGTACAGGGTTGAGAGATGTGCATCGAGGTCGATGAGGGTTTCGAGGGGTGACTTATTGCTGGAACGTGAGGACAATGAGTCTGTAACCAGCAAGCCTTTCTCAGATCCAGTCTTAGATGGCGAAACGGAACGCAGTCACTGCAAGTACAAGTGCCTTTCGAAGTGTGACTGGGAGCATCGGCGTCCATTGCGTGACTTGTTCTCGCGACTTTTCGTGAGGAATACACCTAAATATGCAATCAGATTTGAATCTCTTGCTCAAGCACATAACAAGAGCCAAAAGTGGCAGTCGCGACCACGCCCTTGTCGAGCGCACAGTAGCATTCCAAAAAGGCTGGCTTGAACATATCCGTATTTCCACACTGTCACATCTGCGACGGCAGCCGTAAATGCCAGATTGTCTTCGCCGCTGTTGAGAGCAGCCACTGGCTGCCGCTTGGGGTGGACTGCATCTGTGTATGCACCAATGCAACACATCGGCATCGTGCGAACAGAGCCAAAATCGGCTATAACGAACTTCCAAAGATAGATTCGTACATCGGCACTTTTGCGGCTACAAGGAATTAGACCCACTTGTCGACCTCATCTGTACGACTCGAAGCAAGCGCTCGTGCAACGATGTTCGTGAAAGTCTCTTCTTCTCGCCACATTGAGGAAGATCAGTTCCTTGGCCATCACTGACAGACACTGAAAAGGGAACAAGTGCTACGCCTTCTCCCTTGGCAAGGCCGAAAAGGGAACAGCATGCTGCAGCAAGGAAGGCGCGAATGTGAGCAGTCGGTTCACATCCCAACAAGAGTCTGTACAGCTCATATTATAAGTACTCTGATACTATTTCAATTCTGCCGTTACAGAACATCAAGCACGAGTCACTACATACACTTCTCATCCACTTTACCAACTCACCACAACCAAAAATGCTCTCTCTCAAACCCACCACCGCCCTCCTCACCACCCTCCTCGCAACCTCCACCCAAGCCCTCTACTTCCGCCTCATCCCCTTCACCACAACCTCCACCTACTCTCCCACCGAGTGCCACACCGTGACCTTCACAATCAACAACCCAGACGCAGTCTTCGAACAAGGCGGTTCCTACCCACGAACTTGTAACATAACTTGGTGCGTATCCTCCACCTCAAACCCCCACCCAATTCCTCGTCTAGCCTCATCCCAACCTAACCCTTCGCTTCTTGTCAACAGGACCGGCTGCACCCCACCCACCTGCTGGACATCCTGCGACGATGACGGCTTGAGTCCAGCCTACTATGCCCGCGTACTCCCATCTTCCACTAGCAACAACAAATTCTCTCCCGAAGCCTTCACGCTCGAAGTCGAAGAATACTACGTCTATCGGAACTCTGCAAGGAACAATGCCACGATCTACATTTCTGAAGGAGAAAACGAATACGGATGCTCAAGAGGAGAGGGACAGAGTACGACTTGCGGATTCGCAGAGGGAACGACTTCGGATTTGACTGCGACGTATTCGGTGCCGTCGAGGGATAATGTTTGTGCGTATTAGAGCTCTGATATGGGTTGAGGATGGGATGTCTGGACCTAGAGCTGGCAGTGAAAGGCGCTGGTGGAATTAGAAAGTATGCCTGTGAGAAGTGGCAGATGGTGCATAGCACAGAAAAGTCAATTCGGGCTGGATATCTTGTCCCATGCTGATTGCATTATCGACTGCATGCTCACTCCTTCATGTTGTGCTTCTGTAAAATGTGCTCGCATCGCAGCAAGACCGCCATGTCGCTCGCCATCAAAGTGTTGATGCAGATCTCATTGCTCCGCGTCACTCGTGCAGTTTCCTTGCCGATGCGTCAAGGCCACCGCCTCAGACTTACTATCCCTTCGACCACCGATCTCCTAGTATCTTCCATAAGCGAAGCGACTCATTCCCATTCCCATCGAGTGCATGCCAGGACTGCCGATCGTCTTCTGAGACATTGGCGAAAGACCTCCGAACTGAAGATCACCACGATCACGACGGTACCTCGGATCACGACCAACCCGAGCTGGCGGCTGGCCCCAGCTGTCATCAAAGAAGGACTTGTTGCCATTTGGTCCGCGATCGATGCACCACTCCGGTGGCTGTGACCACTGACACCAGTAGTCGCGGCGCTGCTCGATAGGTCCTTGAACGTACGAAGCGAGGTTCTCGTACACCGGAATGAGGATGCGCGTGTTGGTCTCGCTGATATCCGAAGAAGTGTTGGAAGCAGATGTGTTACGTCGACTGCTTGTTGCGCCGGCAGAGAAGCTGGCGCGTGATGACTTGGGCGTGCTGTTCATCACAGTATGGAAAAGTTCCTCTTGACGGGCAAACTTGGTACCACCCGTCCACCAGTCGCGAAGCTCGTCGTCGTAGCTCTTCTTTGCAGGCTTTGCGATCGGCTTTAGCGGCACGACGGGTTGCGGACGGTGGACCTCTTGCGGCTTTGGCGTCATAAAGGGCTCGACATCCACGTCGGGAACACTCCCAATGGTAAGAACGCTGGTCTTGCGATCGGTGGGAATGTGGACATCACCACCAGAACGCATCTGAGAATCTTGCCAGTTCCAGCACAACTGATTCAGATCAGCTATAGTATATGTTCGTTCCGTAATGAAGGACATGGCACTCACGTTATTGATAGGGAAAGCCGGCGGGCTGGAGCTATGGGATTGATCGTCCCGCTCGGCTTTTCGCATAGGATCGTGAAGAACAGTTCGCGCGAGGTTGGCTTGGCTGAGACTGCGTTTCACCGCGATGTCGACAGTCTTGTGCAATTGGTCGCGTAGAGCTTCGCGAGTCGGTGTGGATTCTGTGAACTTGTCAGTATGCAGTAAGGTGCTGCAATGGGACAAAAGGCTGACCTGGACCTGTGTCATGGCGTCGTTCTTGACCCGTTGGTATCTGCGACAAGTCAGCTTTACGTGCGTAATGCTTGTATTCCGCTGTAGCATACTTGATGAATGCTCGAAGCAGTCGGTCTCAGATTGCCATAGCTCGACTGCCGACCGAAAGTGGTGAAGGTATCGGCTGTGCTGTTGCTGAACGGATCTTCTTGCCTCGAGGCAAGAGCCATGGGATGCACTTTTGGTTGTTCAGAAACCGGGTAGACGCGCGGGTTCGCATGAGCGAACTCTGATTCGGCATGCTCGAGAGACGGTTGAGGTGCATATCTTGATGCAATGCTGTCGCTTTCTCGCTCAGGAGACGCCGGCTGCAGAGGTTCATGAAGTGCCGATTTGATATTGTCCTGACCAAAAGGCGCGCCCGTCACCGAAGCTTCGCGTTGCTTGGCGAGGACTCTAAAGTATGCAAGAGTGTGCTGTTGAAGTTTCTGGTACGCTGTCTCCCCCTTCAGACGGTCACCACCCAGCTGACCTTCTGTTCGCTTGCGGATGTTGCTGAAATGACCGATGTTGTCCCACGCGTAGTTGGACAAAGACCACATATGCGCAGCCACATCACCGTTTGGGTGCTGTACAAACTGGACGTAGCCATTGCTCATGCCGGGGGTGGTAGCAAGGAAATCGGGAGGAGGCAGCTCCTGCCGGAAGACATCGAGAATTTCTTTCTTGTCGTAGGCCGCCTCAACTGTCTTCTGCTTTTCGATTTCGGGTCTGTCACCATACGTGTTGACCTCAGTAGTGGCCTTCATCGCTCGAGGGCCATGTCGAGTCATGAGCTGAAATCCAGACCCGTCATCGAGCGCTGAAGTCTCGCGCAAGTCCACATGGCTGGTATTTGTCGTTTGCTGAGATGCACTTGACATGGAACGCGAGAGCGAGGTCTCCCGGGAAGGCGCGCTGTACTTGTTGATGCGAACTTCCACGCTGCTCTCGCTGCCGCGCGTGCGCTGCTCTACGCGATCGCTGAGGTCGACCGGCTTCCAGACGAGCTTTGCCTTGCTGCGTGATGGGTCGTATCGAGGCTTCTCGACCTTTTCTGCTGGCGGTGGATTGTACAAGGCAGCTTCGGCTTGTTGGATGCGCTCCTGCTGGCGACGAAGCTTTGCCTGGGCAAGGGCCATGTCGGACGTAGACATTGTCGTGTAGGAGGATCGTGTCCGAGTCGACTCGTGCAGGTTGGATGTTTCCGCGGTGTTCTTCGAGGAGCGCCCACTGCTACGAGACAGGGGTCGCTCTGTTGTGACTTCGGGCGTTCCGACTGGCAGTCTCCTCGTCGGCAGATGTCTTGCCTGCGGTGCGCGCTGTCTTGCTGGCATCGGCGGACCACTTGCGAGAAACGATTGGGAGATGCAAATGTGTATTAGTGGTGGGGTGTTGTTGAAGTGCGTGCTTGCAAAGTTGCAGCGCAAAGCCGTTGCAGGCGCTAGTGATCGAAGTCGCATCAACGTTCGAGTCGGAAGGCGCAACTGGAGCAGAAAGTCGCGTTGCCGCAAGTGCACTCCACGAGAGGAGGCTTGCCGACGCTCGAACGGCGCAGACGTGACGGGAAGCCGCGCGAAGACGAGCAGCCGACGTGAGTTGCATTTCGGCTGGCCGAACTCAGTCTTCACGCTTCACGTCGCGTGGCGGGCTGCCACTGTGTTCTGCACTATCATTGCTAGACTCGATCTTCCGAACAAGATAACGCGCATAGCGCCATTTGAGACTGCTTGTGGATCGATCGCTCATAAACGCCTGGATGGTCCTCCAGCGTATGCCATATTTCTTGACGAGACTCAAAAGCGTCGCGTCATCTTCTGCACTCCATGCACGTCGTAGCCCTGATTTATGCGAGTGAGGCTTTGTGATTTGGGCTTTGGAACAATGTTTACCATAGCGATACCATAGCTCGCGTACAGTGCGACCCAAGATCGATGCGATCTGTTTCCACTTGAGACCTTGTTCATCTCGCAAGTGCTTCATCTGCTGAATCTCGGCAGCACTCCAAGGCGCGGAAGCAGAGCCTGCGGACTGACGACTGAGATGCGATCTCAGCGCTCTATCATTCGACAGGGCCACGCCGTTGCGACCCTCCTTGACACCAATCTCTCGCCAAGTCAGGCCAGCTTCCCTGTCAGCGCAGATTCGGTCGATGTCAGACTTAGTGAGTGGCGGATGGAACTCGCGCTGGCGAGCAAGTTTAACCAGACCAGCTTCTCGGAGTCGATGCAGACGAGCGTGTACCTGCTCGATTGTCTTCTTCGAGGTCGCTGAAAGCTTCGCGGCGATGTCGCTCACGCTTCGGCCGTGGTTCATCATGCGAATGATAACCTCATCTTCTGAGGAAGAAAACACTCGACCTTTGCTGGGAGGGCTATGCGATCCGCGCAGGCGAGATGTCCAACGAAAGCGTTTAGCCACTGAGTGTCTGTCACGGCCCAGGCGATGCGCGATGCTGGCAAAAAGAGTGCCACGCTTTCGCTCGTGTAAGATGTAGTCATCCTCTTCTTGAGTGAACCACCTTCTGGGCCCTCGAGATACTGACTTCACAGTCTCGGCTTCCATAGCCTCTTCTTGAGCGTGGCCGTACCAGCGTGCTATAGACGGACACCGGATACTTCTCGACTTGGCAAGCGGGTGAAAGACCAGGAGGCATTGCACCCAAGCATTACGGCACCCTACTGCGCCACTTCCCACTAGTCGCAAGGAGCTGTACATGGGGATGCCCTCTCAAGTCCGCAACACCGTATCCAGACTGCTGTATTGGCCCGTCTGCCATGTGAAATGGAGGAGATGGAACTCACGTTGGAAGTCGCGTGAAGTCCGACGCGGCGAGACCCGCGCTAAGCAAGGATGTCATTTCGGGAGTTCTGGACGTGCATTTGCAGTTCTTCTCGCGCCTCCACCTCCTTCCGACCTTCGCAACTCACATCACATACCGCATTGCCCGATGTCTTGGGCTCAGCATTGCTGCTGCAACAGAGAATGCTGCACGCCTGCGTGAGATGGTTCCCGCTATTCCGAAATCTCGGCATCGGTCATGCCCGTCCCGTCTGGCATCCCGGTCCGTTGCCACTTTGCCGCCGCTTCGCGACTTTGGAGGCAAGAAAAGTCCCCTCCGTCAACATACTCGGAACGGAAAAGCAACGATCGGGACCTGATGAAGAGTCTCAATCAGCTCAGATCTACCGGTTTTACTCTCCCGCTGAAGATCAACAGATACTGCGGCGTCGCAAAGAAGGCGCGTTCTACAGAGCCATAGGCGCTGAGCTTGGAAGGTCTGAGTATGCCGTTAATGCTAGGTATAGAAGATTGGTCCTATTGCATGGCCACGAAGGCGAGGTGAAGAGAAAAAAATTCCCACGGCCAAGTAAATTTACGGCTGAAGAGGATGCTCACATCATTCGAAGGAGGGCAGAAGCAGCAACATTCACTACAATCGCCAGCGAGTTAGGCTCTTACTCACGGCACAAGGTGAACACTAGATGGCGCGACCTATTCGCATCCGGCAAAGCACGTGGCACTTCGCCCTTGAAAGAGCGCCCTCGACCCTTGACTGATGGCCAATACAAACAAATTCTGGCACTCAAACAGAAAGGCCTCAAATGGCGCGAGATTGCGAGCCACGTGCAACGGAAAGTCGGAGGCCTCCAAAACATGGTCTATTACAGGTCACTGGCAGAGAACGCCCCCAGTACTATACTTAAGCGCTGGACCGATACAGAGACCGCCACGTTGATCCGGCTGCGCGAAAAGGATTCCAAGTCCTGGTCTGAAATTGCAAATGCGATGAACCGCTCATACAAGTCGGTGGAAAGTCAATACGACCATGTTCGTCCACGTGTTAGTGGCTCCGTTCGTTGTAGCCGCAATCCCTGGACGAAAGCCGAGGACGAGAAATTGCTTGAACTCGTCAAACAGCATGGAAGGAAGTGGTCTTTATTTGGCGGCCTCATTGGGTCTCGCACTGTGGACGCAATGAGGAGGCGCTATGATTGTCGACTTGAACACTCCACTGTCTCCACGCCCATTCACGACACTGGAGCAGGCAATGAAATCGAAAGCGAACGATTCGCATGTTCCCATTGATAACACGTGCCTGGAATGCCATGAAATCTCCATCCGATGGCTACCTGTAACGGGACCATGACTCAGCATTCGTCCGCTTTTACGAAATATCGCAGTGTCTCAGACTTGGTTTACGGCACTAGTGTGCTCTATGCCTGGCTCGACGTGGTGTACTTCAAATTATATCTGCGAGAAAACTCAGCAGCAACCTGATCCAGCAAATCTCGAATTGCCTTGTGGAGTTCCGGATCCTGCAACTCGGTCGTGCCTTGGGCGACTTTCAATGGGAAAGTCGTGACGATCAAACTGATCAGGTTTGAGTCTTCCGCGGTTATCTGCGCTTTGGAAACCAGGACAATTGCAGAAACCAGTTCATGAAGTGTGTGGGGCGGACGAAGGGCAGTCCTCATGAGGAAACTCCTCTCGCCTAATCGCTGGGCTACACGAGCAAGGATCAGCTGTGCGCCAGTATAGCAGCTGAGAGCTTCTCCTAGTCTGGCGTCGTAAGGATGCAACTCAGTGATGAGCTTGCACAAAGCAAGGAGATCCAACTTCCTCAGGTCGGGTTCTTGGGCGATTGCGGGATAGGTCCAAATATGGAGGTTTTTCCATTTCTCCAGGTCCCAGATCAAGCATCTGACCCTATATGCCAGTTCAAAGGCTTTTTGAACGAGAACATATCGACTCAGTCCGCCTTTCGACAGATTTTCTGCTGCAGCCAGCACCCCCGGAATTTCAGTCAGCGAGTCGAGGAGCATGTCCAGTATTGTCTTGGGCGGACCATCTCCTGAGAACGGAATATTTCTCCAGTCTGCCTCCGCTAGAAAGCAAGGCGTACGATCAGCGACACCGATCATGAACTACGGCGGTCTCAGCGCGTTGACTTGATTGGCGGACATCCCGGAAGACTTACAATGTTGATCCTGTAATACCGAAATGTCTGGTGCTCGATACCAGAAATGAAACTTTGGGGTCCTTTCGCTTGTATGAGGCGTGCAACGCCTCGAACGTGGGCATGACTAGCAGCAGGATCCCGGCCAGCAATGCGCTTTGGGATAGTCAGACGAAGAAGCCAGTACTCATCACTGCAAGTGAACGTACATCGTAAAAGGATATGATCATGCAAGTGTGCAAATAAAGTGTCGCTCCAGCTGGGGCCTCTCAGTAACGCTTGCAACCGCTCGATAACGAACAAGTAAAGCTTGGTGGCATGTTGGGATATTTCAGGATGCTGCAGATCGTTCGCGCAAAGTGCGCTAGCATTCGCTTGCAGAGCTGTACTTATGAGCGAGGGAGTTGACGAAGACACTGCTCTGGCCATGACGAGCTCAATCCAAGGACGTTCAGCCGGCCCGCCGGACTTGAAACGACTGAGGAATTGCGACAGAATGGCAGCATTTGCTTGTGCAACAGGAATCGGGCCTCTCAAAAGAGTATGAGCATGCACAGCCATTGAGGTCTCTCGATCTGAACCGGTTCACAATCAGGATTGCATTAGTCCCGATCCTCCTTCGGCATTTCTTTGGGTACTGACGCAACCACACCCACCTCGATATTGTGCAGCGAGTACCTCGCTTTCGCGTTCCTCGCATGCTGATGCGAGAGGTCGGAGTTGTCTCCTCTGGCCTGATCCTCCCGACAACGCAACTTGAAAAACGTGCTCGACCGGCTGCGTTGTACGTTTTGGGACGCGTTTGCGAATCGTTTCGAGCCGGGCATTGGAGCTGACTTTGGCCGCCTGGGCGCGAATCCTCTTCCGATGAGCTAGCTTCTTGTCACCTTGCGAGGGTGCACTCTTTGGTTCGGTTTCGACGAAAATCCACTCCTGGACAGGCTCGAAAGCATTTTGCGAAGACATTGTGCGATGATTTCGTACAAGAGTGTGTTTAAGGCGACTTTGAGTCTGCTGAGCAAAGTCGAAGACGGTGTGCCGCGCATGCTTGGGCCAGAAACGTGACGTCGTCCTACATGTTATAGCGTTAACCATATCTGGAAAGGACTTTCCAGATACAGCCTACTGGCATTGTCTTAAGAGTTTGCACGGAAACTCACGCAGTGCCAATGGCTTAGGAAGATCTTTGATTTGTTGAGATAAATGATCATGATTATCTACATATGCTGTCTGAAATAGGCGCGCGCTGCCCAAGCCGCTGATCAACATCTAGCATCACACCGCCAACAAACATGCTTCGCAACATGCAATGGTTCTGCAGGTTACCTCCCATCCATAATCTTACGTGCAATCCTAATTCAACACATTAAAGATATCGCCAATAGCAGGAACCAGCAACTGCAAAATCGGCTTGAAACCAGGCAATCTATCAATCCCCAAAATCTTAGGAATTCTCGGAGGATTGATCGTGTTTCCTGCAATATCTGTCGGAAGCATGATATACGTCGGCAGAGATGTGATGAGGCAAGTCTCTGGGTCGAATTCTGCAGGGACGACGATTCGTGTTCGGACTGGGGCTTGTAGGACTTGGAGGACTCCGAGGGTCTGTTCAAATCAAGTCAGTATCGCGTGTTTTGAGGAATATGGGAGTGGTGTTTGTGAGATCGACTTACCACAATCGCATCAAGAGTCGCTGTGCCGTTGTCTGCGGCGGAATATCTGCCTTCCACGTATCCGAAGGCTTGTCGAACGGTTTGAGAAAAGGCTTTGACTGTTGTTGAGTCAAAGGCTGGGGAGATTCCGGGGAGGCCGTTGATAAATCTGAAAGAAAATTGTCAGATGTCAGGGTTTCTCGAATGACGATTCGTTCGCATGATGCCTACAGGAATGCGTCGCATTGTGGTGCAAGTGGCATGCCATTGATCAATTGCACCGACTCGAGGCCGACCGCATTGAATGCTCTGACAATGTACTTCAGTGCATCGATACGTTGTTCTGGAGGGCAATCGGCCACGACTCCGGATGCGAGCGCAAGAGCTGTAAGTGCGTGTGAGAACTTCATGTTGATCGAAGAGACGCTGATTTCAAAGCGGAAGTGTTTTGCTGTCGCTATTTGATGCCATGATCACTGCAAGTCGACTGCGCTTATATACCACTTCCTCACCATTATGCACCAATGCTGAGTGTTGCGCTGGTGGTAGGACTTGGCGTACGTCCTGGCAAAAACCGCCTCAGAGGGGTAGATCACTGCTCGAAGGAGAATATGCAGGCGCTCAGGATAGCTCGTGCGGAAGTGCGTTGACATGTCTCCTAGCGAGTGGCTTCTGGAAACCGCAGATCTCTACTGGATGAAGACTGCGCAGCACCCAAATATGGTTAGTGCCTGGAGAAGAGCTTCGTGTTCTCAGCGTGAAAGTTTCATTGTCCTGCAGGAAATCGAAGCGGCTCTTTGGAAGCGTGTGGTAACTGGTAAGAGCAACAGAGAACATACGGAAGGTCCGATAGGATTGTCTATGTGCTGGCAAGGATGGAACGATTGCAGTAGTGGCTACCAGAAATTCAGATGGTTCGTCAAAACTCTATTAGCATATATGCAGCTGCAAGACCACGATGTAGCAGGAGCCAATCGTTGTATGGTGGCTTCCTGCGGGCTTTGTGCCACACAGCTGCCATCGCATCTGATTGCATACCAACATGCTACCGATAATCTCATGTTCGGAATGCCCGAACGTTCAGACGTCGCGATGGCAGACTCGTTGACACAACGGAAAAGGTCAAGGTATCACCATGTGGTATACTCTGAGCCTGTTGACAAGGTGAGGGAATTAATGCCCAGAAAGCGCGGCCTAACTTAGCTGCGCTACTGCAAAGGATCGCAACGAAGCATCTGTTTATTCACAGCAATTTCCATGTCTTATGGCCGGCCTACTGCAGAACAAGCATATATGACATAGAAATCCAGCGAAAGGACGCCCTCATCATCACTGCTGTGCGGGTCGGTGGCTGTATGGGCTTCGACCACATCGCAACCACAACGCCTCTTCATCATCGTAGGATTGCGTCGGCTGCATTTGCCTACTCACGCGGTCTCAGTCCAGCCAGAAGCAAAGCCATCAGGGAAGGCTAATCGGTGAGCTTCATCTGTCTTGCTAGTTCTGTCGACGATGCATTGTGTAGGATGGGCCTCGATAGTATACTCCTTACGTGTGACCTAGTGTGCCACAAGCTGAGTAACCCGCATGCCAACATTGCCAAGTGAATCGGAGACTCCGGTCGTATACATGTTGACCTGTCAACCGCTTTTATGGAGTGACCGAAAAAAAAGGTGTCATAGCATGTAAAGCTTTCATCAACGTCAAAAGTGATTGAGGAAACTGAAGTAGCGTGTGGTGTGGAATTTCCGTTTACAGAGCGTGACATGTAGATCTTGAACGGTGAATGTCATTGTGCGGCAAAGTATGAAAGTGCGTCGGCATTAGTGCCAATAGCCTAAACTAGTATCAGAGCTTCGAAAGACGTGTTGAGACTGCTTGGGGCCCCCCAAGGTGACCTGAAAGGCCGGCTCTACCTCCGTTAGCCTGCACGACGATCGAAGCACATACTGTAGTCAGAAGCTCGATCGTAGCTGATCGAACAAGACACAGCTGGGCAGAGAAGCTTGTTTACACGTCCAAGCCCAATTCATACTTCGTAGCAGAGATGATACAGCGCAAGACTTTTTGAGCAAGACGCGGGATGAGGATAAGATCGATTCCGAGATTGGACTATTCGAGATTATTCGAGCTTCAAACACTATCTAATGCCAGATGTGGATCATTGAGCGTCTCAAGACCTTCATTACTGCCCAGCTGCTCATAAGTCATCATGTACTGTTCCTTCTACATGACTTTGGTCATCAGGTCTAAGATCCTAGCAAAGAAGTGCCAGAATCCTCCATTGGACTGCAAGAAGAACAACGTTACTCATAAACATAACAATATCTCTCTCCATCCAACGTAAACAGACCCTCTTCAATCGTCATCCCTTGAAAACCATCATTGACACCCAGGTCAAAACGATCATCTAGTCTGGCCTCACGACTAGGTGGGAAATTCAAGAATGTCAAAGTCCCCGCAATCTCCTTCCACTTCTCGCCCTCATCGAACAGATGCAGGTTCTGCCAGATCCAGTACACTCGATCAACTTGTGCATGATGTAAATAGAACCACGGGTCTCCAGGCGAGGTGTAGAAATCTCCACCAGGATCGCCGCCGACGGTATAGTGCCCTGCAGCATGTGCGCCATAGAATGGCCGAGGAGGAGAGAGCGCAAACGGTCCTTGAAGGACGTTTTGGAAAGTCGCAATATCAGGAGAGTTGGCCAAAAGCGTCGTGACATTGTGATCAGAGGCGCCAGAGACGGCTTCCACAGACAGGTCGCGGCGCAGGCAACGAGGATTGTAGCCTAGGCCATTTGTCTGAGGATTGGGTGTGATGAATGTGGGGTCGTAGCCGGCAAGACCGACAGGACCGAGGGTGACGCTCATGTCTTTGAAGGGGCCTTTGGTGACGCAGCCACCGCCTCCAGCTGGGTTGATACCAGTGACGGGAGTGGTTTCGTTCGAGAATACAATTGGGATCTTGGCGGGTTCGAAAACACCATTTCCGCCAAGAGATGTATCAGAGCCATCGAAGATTGGAGCGTTGATGACAGAATTCGACAGGCGTGCCCAGTTTATATAAGGTTGATAGCCGCGGTATCCACACTCCTCACGCAAGGCTTTCTCATATGTCCAGACGAAATATCGATGCCAAGTCAAGAAGTTGCCCTACCATTGCTGATCAGTGTCAAGGCTAGTAGCTTATGCAAGAGTCGAGACAAACTGTGCTATGAATCCTCAAGGTCTGATTGACGTGAGTGGCAGTGAAGTCATCATATCGGCTCTTGGCACCTGGAGCAAGATCGCCACTGAGTGCAGGCTTGCTCTGGAGACATTTGACAGCCTGGATATATGCTCGCTTTTCGTGTGGTCGGAGCGTGTCCCACTCCTTGCGTCGGTAGGCGGTCTTGAGAGAGCATGTGTTGTTTGTGACGTTGTGCTTCACATATCTCTGCAGATTTTGCCAGCCTTTGCGTGCGAGTGCATCAGTTCCGTTGGTTGGCCCAGGAATCCATTTCTGGGGCGGATAGGTTGATGGTGGTCTGTATGAAGGTGGTGGCGCGGCGATTGCTGTCGAGAGCAGGAGCCAGCAGGTAAGAATTAGTGTATACATTACAGCGACAGTAGATGGGAAAGGGAGAGCCGTGATCTACAAACAACGTGGCATCCACGTTCCTATCTGCTGCTACTTGTACAAAACGTCGCGCCGCAGGATTCTAAGCCCTCTGCGAAGGAAGCGTATGAGATGTAGGTATGCGAGGTGCAGACCGGTCCTAGGAACGGCAATGGCGGCAGCGAGCACGGCTCGCTGGTAAAAGCGCATCTTTTCGACAGACGGATCCAGTGGAGTGGCGCACAACGAGAGCGCGGCTGCTTGGCGACGATGATCAGCTCAGACCATGGCAGTACATTATACTGCATTAAGCGTAGTCCGGAGCTAAAGTGAGCCACATGCAAAGCGAGATGTAGATCGGCCTCAAGTTCGCGGAGTATGGGGAAGCCGAAAATTGTTATCAGCAAGCAGTGAACGCGGCAGGATGTCGCTGCGATCACGACAGACGGCGCGAGGTCTAGAGGGAGCTGGTCGAGTGGGAAAAGGCTTGAGGCATTCTGGGATACTGCTTGGGACAGGCACCTGCCACCGCTTTGGATTTGTTCCTGTCAGCATCCATGATTAGGCAATTGGGGGCGCGATTGCGGCCTAGGAGCACATGAGCGGCAGTTCTGGACTTCTCGTGCACATCGCCCGCATAGAGAGGAAGGATTTCGCATGGGCATTCGGTCAGGTCATCATGCGGTGGGACATGAGTCCCGACGTCCTTCCTTTTCTAGCTCTAATTCTCCGAACTTGCAGGTGCAGCACCTTGCGCGTTGCGAACATCAAGGCGGTCAAGCCGGAGCTGAGCTTTCATTGTCAAGGCTGAGACTGATCAGCTGTAGAAGGGTGCTGATTGTGGACACAGTGGGGCATGGCGAAGAAATGTTAGCCAAAGGTGCGCTCGTAGCTTAGGATGAGCTCTTAGCTTTTCTTGGCCGGCAGTGGGGCTTGAGGCGAAGCAAAGGATCAATCCTGTAGCACACATGAGAGCGCATGCAGAGAAACCCGTTTAAAAATTTTGAAGGGCGTTGCAGAGCCGGACCCGACTGAGATGTCGGATCAAGGTCGCCAATTCTTACAGAAAGTCAATAGGTTTTTCCGGTCGAGGTCGACACATCGTTGGTTTGCGAAATTCCTTGGTGCAGGTTGCAGGTCATATTGCCTCAGCCGCATATCAAGCTGCTCGATAGTGCCGCATGCCGGTCGTGGGTAGCACCGTGCAATATCTGACGGGAGTACGGCTACGTGGGGTGCTGTGATCAAGGTACTGTAGACTCTTGGATCCAAGGGCCCTGTACCAATGCGGTGGTTCGCACTGCATCTGCACATGGGACACGCCTGCTGATCAGTTACGTGCATTGCGCATGTCTTTAAGATCTAGGCATGAGCTCACCATACCACGAGCTGGCTTGACTGGCATCTCATGCGTGCGTGCCGGGGTGCACGGCTGCGAAATCAATATTTTCGATCCTCCTGCTCTGCCCAATTGGCAGGATTTCATGCTTGCCGCTGGAGCCGGGCACCTCTGCCTTTGCTAAGCGCTTCCTTCTGTATCGATGCACCAAGTCACTGCGAAGCGGAAGGCTGAGAGGAGTGGGGAAGCCCTTCAATGCAACACTTCATCCACCGCGTCTCGTTACGTGTGAAGATGTCGAAGCGAAATTCCAAAAAGCTTGGTTCCCGCGGAGAGCTGCATGTTGAGAATCAAGCATTAGATATGACTGTTGGGTCGATAAAAATAGCTTCTTGCATCCCCTCGCTTCATCAGCTCGCTTCAGGCACACGTTGAAGATTCCCAATGCAGTCCGGCGGTCGAGTGTTCCGCGTCGAGAGCTTGAAGATGGTACGCCTACCAGATTGGTGCTCTGAGGGAAGCTGGTCTGTAGAGATCGTTGTTCGGCACTCCGCCATCAGAACGTGGGGATGTGAAGTAAAGAGAGATGAGAAAACATCGGATGAAGTCTTGAAGCTGTCGAGTGACCAGCAGTAGTGGTAGTGGCCACAAGTCGTTACTCCCGGCGGCAGCTGCCGAGCGCCCGCGGCGAAGTGAAACCTTCTGTTCTTTCTCCGCAAGCGCTCGGAGAGAGCCCTCTTCTCGCCGTTCTTCTCATCAGCAAAGGGCTCAACACTCCCAGACTGAATACCTACCAGAGCTTGTGCTGGCATCTACTACGACCCAAGCTGCACGGTAGAATACATCAATGCAGGTATCGCCCTCTCGATGCGCCAGCCAGCTCAGCGTCCGCACCGATACGCAGCCTGCGAGCCTTGCCGACTCTCGAAACAATCATGTGACCATGGCAGACCTCCTTGCGCTCGCTGTGTACGCAGAGGAAAACAAGCCGATTGTCATTATCGAGATCGGCCATTCAAGAGGAAGCGCCAACCCGAGGCGTCAGATAGCGGCCAAGTCCGAACGACTGCCGAATCAGACACACTACCCAGCGTCTCCTTGCCAGTCGCAGACGATCCAGAGCCGGAGGAGCAGCAGCAACGGTATGCTGGCTTCATTGGCGCTTCGAGCCATGCGACCATCTTTGACGAGTTGGGCCGCGAATCTGGAGAGGACCCAGTCAGCACATTGAGCCAGCAACAAGTAGCAGTTCCTTCTCCTATCAATGCGCCTCCCGCTGCTGAATGCGTGACAGTTATCGAGCACCTGCTTCATGACATTGATCACAAGGCTGTCTCTGGTCTCATCCATTTCTGGTTGGCAAAAGGCACCAGCATGACTCTTGCGGCCCCATTACTTCCTACTGCCATAGATCTTACACTGCAGGCAATCTCAACTTGGCAGGAATCCGCATCTGATCTGTGTGCACATTTGCACAAATTGTCTTCAGCCCCTTTGACCAATGAATTCCCGCTTGATTTTGGCTGCTTTACGCATGAAGTCTTTGCGATTCTCCGCTGGGAAGGCATTCTGTTACTGCTGATCGCAGCTGGCCGTGCTGTGATCGACATCCATCATTTTCCTATTCTTTACAACGACCGCAAGGCTCGTCGAAAACTGCAGCAAGACTTTCTTTCGTGCGCTGAGCGCTGCCTGGAAGCAGCGCTCTCACGTGATTGTGCGAACGATCTACTACTGATATGTCAGTTCGAGACCTGGATCTTATATACTATGGTCAGAGGTGATCAAAGTAGGTTCTTCCGCGTGGAAAGCAACTGTGTCGACTCACTGATTCTTTTAGATTTCGACTCATGGCGAAAATTAGGTGATGTCATTAGTTCACTGTTATTCCTGGGCTTGAACGAGGAAGTTCTTGCTGGTCTAAAGGTTCCTGGCTGGCTAGCAGATCTCAGGCGAGCCATTTTCGCAGTGACATACGGAGCAGACAAACACAATGCAGTGTTCACCGGGCGACCGCCACGCCTCAACAGGAATTTCTGCTGCTTCCAATTACCCTGCGGTCCTGTTGGCAGCACGCGCAGTGTGCCTGAAGAATTCGTGGAATCTGGTCGCTACACGTTATCTGACTTGCCTCTAGCCCAGGATGCCGCACTGGACAATTCCAGCGCCATAAGATGGATGGCCATCTGCGCGCTGCTGAAAGAGGAGGCTCTGGAGCTTCTGAGACGTCCGAATTGCCCCAATAGAAGTCAAGCTATTGAGTAAGTGCAACGAGATACCCCTCTCTCTCAAGCAAGTACTAACCGCGCTCCAGCACTTTGATAACTCAAGCCATCAGCCTCTGGAGCCGTCTTCCTGGGCATTTCAAGATTACTGATACTCTGCCACTGCATGATCGACATACGCCCTACGAGTTGGACTTGGTGCTCGATTGCCGCCTCCAGTACCTACAGATCCTTTTTCTTTTATACGGTGGTGCGCGACGCGATGGACCGGAAATCCAGGGAGTGTCGGAAGAGATACTGTCTCTCGTTGTAGATGCTGTCATCTTGCGGGATCGTGTTGTCAACTCGGGAACGAGTCTGATCTGGAAGGTGTCCAACTTCGGCCTCAGAGCAGCGGGACTGATCGCGCTGTCGCTTCTGCGCGTCAGACGTGGTACCTTGGTAAGACCCTTGGGTAAACGTGCCGTCCCAGATCTCTGCGTCATCATTCGAGAAATACAAGGTGGCGGGTTTGTAGCTCAAGGAGAGCCAAACTACGACCTGTTGTTCCGTGCTGCGTCAAGTATCCAACGATTACTGAACCAGATCATTCCCGACCTCAGCTCTCCTGCGCGCGCCATTGATTCAGAGCAGCCTGTCCCAGCTCAAGACAGATTGCCACTCCTGGACACAATGCTTCCACTTGATACGTGGGAGACCGAGTTTGGGTTCTGGCAATGGTTAGACGAGCAGCCTGTCTGAGTCTACAGACCTCCATGTTCGATATCAGCCGAGCTTCAGAAGTAAGAATGACTTGGCTTTCTGCCCAATGTAGTATCGGACAGGGCGTGCTTACGCCGCACCGAACCCTGGCCTCTCTCCGATCGGACTTACGCTTATAAATCGCTCAAAGCATCCGAGCTTGCCCAGATACCTGAACACGATCGAGCCTGTGAAAGAATCACTGTTATCTCCGATCAAATATTTCAACATGGCAGCAGGTTTCACAAATATCCCAATCCTTGACCTCGGCGAGGCAAGAGACGCCAAGACAAAGCCAGCATTTCTCGCAAAGCTTCGCGAGGCAGTCCTAAGTGTGGGGTTCTTGTACATCAACAACACTGGGATAGATCAGGCATTCTTCGACCGCGTGTGTAAGGAGGGAATCCAATTCTTCGACTTGTCGGAGCAAGAGAAACTCCGCATCGAGATGAAGAACCAGCCAAGTTTCTTGGGATATTCAAGAGTATGCACGTAGTAAATGTTCACATCGCCGGTGATATCTGACTGGCTATAGCTCGGAATGGAAACGACTGCCAAAGCTGCGGACTGGCGAGAACAGCTGGATCTTAGTACGCCACACGAGCTGAGAAAAGACACCGAACCATTGTACTACAATTTGTTTGGGCCAAACCAGTGGCCGGATCCAGACATGCTCCCGGACTTTCGTGAGGTCTTTGAGACGTATATGGAGAGACTGAGCGAGATCAGCATGGTCTTCACGCGGCTGATTGCGGAGTGCCTTGGGCTGCATGCTACTGCATTCGATCAATTCTTCGATGAGAATCAGTATGTCTGCGATGATCTAGCATGCGGATGTGATTGCGCTGACTGGTGTGATAGGCAGCATAAATTGAAGATCGTCAAGTATCCTGATCATGGAACAGGAAGAGGGCAGGGTGTAGGACGTATGTTCTTGGCTTTTGTTCGAAGGAGGAAACAACGACGAATGCTAACTGGATTGAATAGCTCACAAAGATTCCATGCTATCGTCATACCTGCTCCAAGCTTCGGATCATAAAGGTCTGCAAGCACAGAATAGCAAAGGACAATGGATCGGTATTACGTGCCTCGCATGTTGGTCTAAGTGACCCTTCACTAACATGTCAACAGACGTTCCTCCAATCCGCGGCACCCTCGTCGTAGCTATCGGTCAAGGCCTCGAAGCAATGACAGACGGCGTCTGTACAAGCACCACACACCGAGTACTCTCCCCAGAAGAAGGCTCCGGCGCTCGGTTCTCGATACCTTTCTTCCAGGGCGTGAGCTATGATGCACAATTCGAATCAATGTCGGTTCCGGAAAGTGTGAAGAATCTCAAGAAGGAAATTTTGGAGAAGGAGGGGCAAGTGGTAGATCAGAATATTGAGATGACGTTTTTGAAGGGAAAGTGGAAGCATTTGGGAGAGGCAACGTTGGCGAACAGGGTCAAGAGTCATCCTGATGTTGGGGAGAAATGGTATCCAGAGATGTTGAAGGCTATTCGTGAGGAGCAAGCGCAGGTGGCTGTGGCTTGAGAGTGAGGTAGTGGCGCAACGTCGTAACAGCAATTGTTGAATCAAGTGGAACGAAAGATTGCTGGGCGGACTCGTATGCTGCCAGTGTAGCAAGCTATCAAGCTGCGTTTCTGCGCCTGAGTGTAGATCCCATGTTCGGCGTAGTGAGTTACGCCGATCTCGGCCTGTTCACTACGCCGCACCTGCATATTAGATAAATACCATGGCGAACGGCAAGTCATCAAATCAAGGGTTACCTTTTTGAGACGAATCATCGTTGCGAAATCTCCTTAGATCAAGATGTCGACCCCTCAACAACAAACAAGCCCATTCCTCTTGCTTCGCCCGCTTCTGCTCCTGTCCTACTCCATCTCCTTCCTCCCACGGACGATCACCGAGCTCCTCAAGTCAGGCAATCTCAAACCCTTCTTCAGCCTCTCCAGTTTCGAGACCCATCATTTCGCCACCTTCTGGCGCTGGTTCGGCCCTCGCTCACGCCAAGATGCCGAAGCTCATGTCCTGCCTCTCCTTCGGCAAGCCGCATCTGGAGTCTGTCTCGACATTGGTCCCGGATCTGGTCAATGGCTTTATATGTTCGCTAAAGCGTCAAACCCCAGTATTACGAAGATCTACGGAGTCGAGCCGAATCCTGGTATGCATGCCGAGTTGAAGCAGAATGCAGTTCGAAATGGATTGGATTCTGTGTACGAGATCTTGTCGTGCGGAGCGGAGGAGTTGGGCGACAAAGGGGATCTGCAGAAGGAGAGTATCGATACGATTATTACGGTGCAATGTATCTGCAGCATTCCGGAGCCGGAACATGTTATTCGGAGTTTGTATCCTTACTTGAAGCCTGGAGGCAAGTGGATTGTCTATGAACATGTTAAGACGCCGTTTCAACGTGGATATCTTGTTGGGTTCTGGCAGAGTGAGTTTGCTTCTAGATCCGCAGCTTGAAGAACTTCGTTTTGTCTGACGTTCTGCCAGGGTTCATCAACATTTTCTGGCCGCATCTGTTCGGAGGATGTGATCTCACTCGGCCTACTGAAGAATGGCTTTTGAGAGCAGGAGAGTGGTCGTCGGTTGACCTGCATATGGGTGAAGGTGAGGGACCTTACAGCACTATACCACACTCCATTGGTACTCTGGTGAAAGCATGAGTGTCATGGTACGTCGGGCCAAGGACTTCTGTGCCGTCAAACGCCAAAGTCAGCGGGTGTAATGCTGGAAGATTTGGCGTTGCGGCTCGCATCGGTCTGATGGATGTGTTGGATGAAGGAGGCGCGATTTTGAAGATCGATATGTACCAGCTTGCTGCCTCAGGCCGCACGCCAAGGCTCGTTTTGCGGCGCCGACCATTGCGAAAGTCGACGTCACAGGAGATCGGAGCAGCGACTGCACGCCATCCACAATGCACGCCTGGCCCGCCCAACGCACTGTCCAAAGTCGACAGCAACCAGGTACGCTTGAAGACTTCCAGACGCCAGACAGCCAGGTTTCCTGCTTACTGAGAGGAGAACCACTGCGCCGAAGAAGCGGCGACCAGAATATATTTATAGAATTGGAAAAGAAACACGGCCCGCAACGCAGCCTGCTCGATATAGACGAAGAAATCAGCGTGTTAGGTTTAGACAAATAACAAGCAATCTCTTTCCTAGGATTGTGCAATGCCGACTGTGCTCGCATTCGCAATCGGCGGATCTCGCGCTAATGAATGCGGATGTCACGGGTAGCATGCGGAGTCAATCGGGGTCTTGGAAAGTGTTCTGAGGAAAGTGCTCCTCTCTAACCCCGACTCCATGGTAGTAGCGTGTGTGTCTGTATATCGGTGGGATCTTGGAACGACAGTGCCCAACCCCGAAATCTCCACAGACCAACCGTGCTTAAGCTGGATAATTCCAAGCCCCACAGATCGTTCTCTCGAAGTCGGCGAGAGCGCACCACAATGAGGCTCAGCGCCGAACTCTGCACCTGGACAGCACGCGACCACAGATACAACACGACGGAGTGCATAGCTAAAAAAAGAACACTCAGCCTCAGATAGGAGTCGAAGCAGTGTCTAGCGAGTCTGGAGACGCAAGCACGCCAAGCTTCAAACCCATGAAAGCGTGGCCTGATCCATACACCCAATCGCATCCGCAGTCAACGACGTCTGCACCACATGGCAGACGAGGTGACATTCTATGCCGAAGACGACGTGATGAGGCCGATCGCTTGTTTCGCAACACGAGTAACGCTAGACTGCGCCATGCCACGCGGTCTCCACAAAGATCGTCTTGGCAACCCTTGCCCTAGGGTGCAGCCTCCCACACTGAGACTCCAAATGGTTCGACGCCACAATCGAGCATAGCATCAGAACACCAGAATATCAGTCGTCATCGCCGCCCCAGGCGCTTCTTGAGACAATGTGTTGGTCAATCAAAAGCAAGCCTCGAATGTACAAGATCTGTCTCTCAGCACGGACCGGTTCACCCGACTTTTCTTCATCTGCCGTGCAATGCTTCTGTCAACTACCCTACATAGTTTCACGCGGTGCCGAGACTAGAGGACATCAATACAAGACCCCGGAATAGATTACAGTCTTCTTGGCAGACATCTTAGCTAAACGGCTTCGAACCTCAGGCTTCGTGGTCTGTGCCTGGAATAACCAACACATACGACGGAGTCAATGCGGCTGTTTCCCACCAATGTCTGCCTCATCTCCCGTCAGAAGCATCCATTATGGCTGGCAATGCTGTACGCACAGGCTCTTTGCGGGAGATTCGTGCCAGCATCGCTAAAAGTATACTACCAGATGTACACGCGTCGTCGTCCAGACCTTCATGGCTTCGATGGTTACTAAGGCTCATACACATTTGCCATTAACGCAGTCATGTCGTGGCTCGAGCGCCGGCTTGGAAACGGCGACGTTGACTTTGGATGGTGCGGCACACTTTCGATCGTAAAGCTCTGATCATATCCTTGGATCTTTGTAGACACCAACCCCAATGAGAGCTTTGCACCTGACGCGGTACTTGAGCTTGGATGGTTGTAACAACGGTGATCAAACGATCTCTGCGCGCCCCTTACGCGAAGCAGAAGTCTATTCATGGGGCAACCACGGGCTGTTCTCCCGCAAAGGCGCAATACGATGTATGGTTATGAGCACAATGTCTCGCAGGCTTCTATTGCAATGTTCTCTCACTGACCAGATCTTCGCCTGTTGAAGGTGAATTGCACTCTCGCATCATGGAGTCCCGACGTTTGTCACTCATTTTCAAAGCCGTACCGATTCTCTATCTGGTGTATCTCCTCCATCTGGCCGTCAAACAGATATCTTTCGACCACTTCCTTGGCTCTTCATCCATCTCATTCAACGACTTCCCCTTTGAGTACACCACAGCACTGCAGCAATCGACTGCCGACCGGCAAAAGTTGCAATACGACTATACTTCCTACCCTCCATCCCCATCCCCCGACTACGACATTCCGCCTGCGATCCACTTCATATTCTTCGAGAACCTCTACGAAACCCATACTGACCGCACCCTCATTCCCTCCATGGGCTCAAAAGCTCCTGAGCTCTGCCAATTTCACAACCCAAACTTCACCATCACAACCTGGAACGCCTCCGCCTCCCGCGCCCTGCTCGAAACGCATTACCCCTGGTTCCTCCCGACGTACGACTCCTACCGCTACCCCATCCAACGCGTCGATGCTATCAAATACTTCATCCTCTACCACTTCGGAGGTATCTATATGGATTTGGACATCGCCTGTCGGCGACCCCTGACGCCTTTGCTGAGGTGGCCTGCATGGCTGCCGAAGGCTACACCCTTGGGGCTTAACAATGACTTGATGGCCAGTCGAGCGAAACATCCGTTGATGGAAAGAATGGTGAAGAGATTGATGCCGAGGAATAGGTGGTTGGTGTTTCCGTATGTGACTATCTTTTGGAGTACTGGGCCACAGTTTGCGAGTGACATGGTGAAGGAGTGGTGGTCTGCAGGAGGGGCGAAGGGAACTGATGCTGGTGAGTCTCATGCTTGCATAAAGCTCAATCTTCACGTCCACGATACGGATACTGATGTCATGTCGCTAGACATTGTTCGCGTCCTGCCATTGGAGTTCTACTCGGAAGAGTACACTTTCTTCGGTCACAGCCCTGGTGGCACGTGGCACGAAGACGATGTCGCAGTTGTGCTTTGGCTCGTCGATCGGCCCTTGCTCGTTGTCGGACTGGCAGCTCTTGCGCTGCTTGCTTGTGTGTCGCTAGGACTGTATCGACGCCGGTCGCGACGAAGAACGCTTCTGATGAAATAAGCATTGCTAGTTGGCACAAATGATACCCTCGCAAGACCTTCAAGATGTGCATGCAATTCTCGATGCACTTCAAGCGGACGACTTGTACGTGAAGGATCTCGATCTCGGTCATTGATGCACCGAGTCATGCACGTCGCCATCAGCTCCGACTGACCCATTTGCTACTCCACCAAATTGATCAACAAGTTCTCTGTTGCGGTTACGCCAGTCGTACAGACATGTCAACCACTACCACAATCACAGAGGCTTCCTTTGACGCCCAAGTTACAGTGCAAACTGGGCTTAATTATAGCAAGCGGCAAACCGAAGCACAATCTCGTGCTCGAATACCCCAATTCGAAGATAAAGCAGAAGAACGGAAATGGCAACTCGAGCAAATGGCAGCAGCATTCCGCATCTTTGCGAAACTTGGCTTCGCAGATGGCGGCAGCGGACATATTAGCGTGAGAGGTATGTATGTCTCCTGTGCACGATACATAATCCCGCTGACTTGTGTCTAGACCCAGTCGTAACGAACACCTTCTGGATCAATCCATATGCCGTACACTTCGGCCTTCTCAAAGTATCCGACATGGTCCATGTCAATGAAGAAGGAGTCCGTATTGGCGGAGCAGATCTACCAGTGAACGCTGCTGGTTTCATCATACATGCTGCCATACATAAAGCACGACCGGACATCAATGCTGCTTGTCACGTACACAGTCCGTATGGAAGAGCCTGGAGTAACTTTGGACAACCGATTGACATGCTTAACCAAGGTGAGTATCCTGCATTTTCAAGGTGGGCCATGGTAGAAGCTGATCTCTTATGCCGATTCCTGCATGTTCTACGACGACTTGGCGGTGTACGAATGTTTTGGCGGCGTAGTGTTTGCAAAAGAGGAAGGCACCAGGATTGCAAATGCTCTAGGACCTAAGCACAAGAATGTTATTCTGAAGAACCACGGTCTCCTGACGTGCGGCGGCACCGTGGCAGAGGCAGCTGCATTCTTCATCGCACTTGAGCGAGTTTGTTAGACGCAACTGCTAACCGAAGCTGCGATTGCTCCAGGATCGGCGGGAGCATCTTCTGGACTGCAGAAGACAATCGTTGGAGACGAGGAAGCCGCGTACACGAAGACGGGTACTGGCAACCCGGAGGTGATGTATATGCAGTTCGTGCCCGAGTATCAGATGATGCTCAAGGAAAGTGGTGGCAACTTCCTCGAGTGAAGGCGTGAGTCGCGCCCCCCATTTCTGGCCTTGCTGAAGCAGCTCTGCCCGGCGAATTCGACCGGCGTAGAGGGCAGAAGGACCACGATGCTGCTCTGGCATTGAATCACTTTAAGATCTCATGTTTCACCTGAGTCCGTGCTCCCATCAAATGTGTGCTCAATCCCACATTTGACAGGAATAAGCTGGAGAAAGAGCACCTAGTGTGTCATCAGCGCCATGCAATTGCCGCTGAGCACGAGACATTGTTCTCAGGACATGAAACCGTACCTTTGATCTCCGCGACACAGTTTGATTGATGCCATCGGCACTAACCGAAATCTCAAGGGAGAAACCACAGCACTGCCCATCTCTGCGAATTCCTCACCGCACGTGCCAGCACGACCTGTGTTGATTGCATCCGGCACTTATTGGCATTACAAGTCCCGCGGTGAACTCACATGCGTGAACTCAAATCGCCGTCGTGCTTGCTTGTTGTGTTTAGCATCGTACCACCCAAGAGCGGCGAATCGAGAGATTTCCTAGATACAAGTCTGGCAAGATGGTCGAGACCATGGGCACCACCATCATTGAAATTGCTATGTCAAGTAGCACGGAGGGCTGGTAGCCGCATGTGCCAAAGCCCGAGGAAGAATGCTAAGCATCAACAAAAGGTAAGCTGATCTCCCCGAAGAATGACCAAGCTTGCTGCCAAGCGCTTGTACTTCACCTGGAAGAATTGATTCTCCGCAGCACACTCTTCGGACCAAGTGTGGCTGCAAATTAATGTAGTCTTATAGGTACTCCACGGAGACGCCGTTGGATCATGCGTATAAGTATGGACCACTGCACAGGTATGAGATTCCAATGCTCAGAACGGTCGCAATCGTGGAAGCATCAAGTCTGTCTGCAATGTCGAACTGATGCGAATACTTGTTCGTGACAACTGGATTGACAGGTTCGGCACGTGCCTGCCTCTTACAGTCAGTCAGGAACATTCCGACTTAGATGCCAAGGACCAACACCACCCAGGCAGTTCTTCGGCGCCAGATAGTCGCAACGGTGATGGAAGTTACCGCAACTACCAAACGAAGTTCTGACCACATCGAAGAGGAGGCAATGAAAGAGAACATACCGAAGATACCGACCATGATGGCCATAGCCACAACTTGAAATGAGGAAGTATACATACAGGTGGCAAATAAATAGAGTCTGCTTCACCATTTATCACAAGCAGCAACAACATCTCCTTTCTTCACTTACATTCCTCAGCAACTGGTTTGCGACAGAAGCTCTGGTAGCTCTGCAACAAAGAAAAATCACGAAATCAACCAACCTAACACCACCACCCATTCAAGCCCGCTGTCAAGATGCGTTTCTCCACGATCACCACCATTGCCCTTGCTGGCTCTGCCTACGCGGCTCCTGCATTCGACATCGCGCGTCGCGATGCGAGTCTCGAGATCTTCAGACGTGAAGCCGAAGCCGGACTGGGCGATTGGATAAGCAGCACCGCTCGCAAATGGTTCATGGGCTTCGAGAAGCGCGACATGGACGTGGACATGCTCAGACGCGAGGCGGAGGCTGGTCTAGGTGATTGGATCAGCAACACCGCCCGCAAGTGGTTCATGGGTTTCAAGAAGCGCGATCTGGACGCGTAGGCAGCACGCGAAGCGGATCCCATTCTCGGAGCATTTATCAACTCGTTGCCTATGATGTGGCAGGCACTTGGTGGAGAGGAGAAGCGAGATCTCGCCAACTTGGCCGCGCGGGACGCCGATCCTATCCTTGGGGCCTTCATCAATTCTTTCCCCATGATGTGGCAAGCGCTCGGTGGCGAAGAGAAGCGTGATTTGAATGCACTTGCCGCGCGCGAAGCGGACCCAATTCTTGCAGCCTTCATCAACTCCTTCCCAATGATGTGGCAGGCACTGGGTGGAGAGGAGAAGCGAGATCTTGCCAACTTGGTAGCACGAGACCCGGAACCTGTCCTTGGAGCACTGATTCAGTCGTGGCCTATGATCTGGCAGGCGCTGGGTGGCGAGGAGTAGGCTGACTCAGAGTTCGTTCCTGGTTGATCTGAGCGTGGAGAAGCGCAATTTGCGTAGCAGTCTTGGGACTCCTCTTGACTTCAATGAGGAGGTGGAGACCGCTGTTATGCTACGGGCTGCACGGATTGCATGAGTTGCTGGATCAGGAATGTACTTGTGGGTGAAAGCTGATTGTATGACGCGAGGCTGGCACTTGTTGGTCATTATGAGCCAGGAGAGAGAAAGAATGCGAGGTAGACATGGATTGTGGATAGAAATTTGTATCGGTTGTTGCTCAAAGTGTTGTTGTTCAAACGAAGTCAAGGCACTGAAAGTGACTTGACGCGGCTTGGCAAGCGGAGCCAAGCCCGTCATCAACTTCATGAATCAGGAAGTGCAGCATGTCATTGTGTCCTCCTCCATCGCCAACATAAGATGGATCGCTCGCGTTTGCTTTGGCGGTCCTTCGCCAACGCCAAGCCCTTGACACCGCAATGGATCTGCAGACGTTGCCTCCACCGCCGCGAAACTCCGCCCTCCCCATCTCAGCTCCTCCGCTCCGCGCGCCAGCGAAGCCAACAGCACCAACGACAATCACGCCGACACAATAGCACAAAATACGATCAACCTGGCGATGACCCAAACTTTGTTGGCCTCGCAGATACACCACCAGTTCTCATTCGCGCCGGGAAGAAACATAACTTCTACGGCCTTGCTTTCCTCGCGACAATTCCAATCACAGCTTTCATCCTCGGCTGTTGGCAAGTCCAGCGTCTGACATGGAAGACCGACCTCATCGCGAAGTTTGAGGATCGGTTGATTCGAGATCCGCTTCCTCTTCCTCCGAGGATAGATCCCGATGCGATTCAAGAATTCGACTACCGAAGGGTGTACGCGAGGGGAAAGTTTGATCATTCGAGGGAGATGTTGATCGGGCCGAGACTATTAGATGGAGAAGACGGGTACTTGGTCATTACGCCATTGGTTCGAGAAGACCAGGGTGAAGGAAGCACGATCCTGGTATGCAGAGGTTGGATTCCCAAGGACAAAGCTTCGCAGGCGAAGAGGCCGGAGGGACTGCCGACTGGTGAAGTCGTGGTGCAAGGTCTACTGAGGGAGCCTTGGAAGAAGAATATGTTTACCCCGGACAATGTACCACAGGAGGGCGTGTGGCATTTCCCAGATGTGAAGCAAATGGCGGAGCATAGTGGCAGTCAGCCAGTATGGATTGAAGAGACGATGAAAAATGATTTGTTGGAGACGTACAGGAGAACGGAGAAGGGTATACCGATTGGGAGGCCGCCTGAGGTTAACTTGAGGAACAATCATACACAATACATCTTCACATGGTTCTCGTTGAGTTTGGCGACGACGATCATGATGTGGATGGTGGTAAAGAAGCCGCCGGGAGGTGGTGCGAGAGCTGCTGGGAGGGCAGTGAGGAGAAATGGGTAGACTCCTTTCAGATACCAGACAGGTTGTACATTTACGGACGAAGATAACCCGCCCATTTGCGGACAGCAGAACAGAAAGTCGCGCACAGCGCCAGATCAGTGAGAACTCTCTTGCCGCAACCTTGATTGCGCGCCTATGTCCCTTCGCGAGGCAGAATGCTTTGAGTAAGCTGCATGGGGTCGAGATACATTCAACCGAAGGGACGTGCTCTCGACCAGGGACACAGCACACTATGTCTCATGGTACTCTACTTTGCTGTCCATCGGTAGCTCGCAGCGGACTGCAAGCTGCCACTTCCTCGTGTTGAATTTGATCAGATGCGTCGCCTCAAACCGAGCTGCACAACCGAACGCCTTGCTTGGCCTTTCCAACCAAATCACTGTGGGCCACCAGCAGTCGTGAGTGCCCTCATAGTCCACTTACCTCTCTGCATCAGCACACCAGTCAGGAAATATTTACAAAGAATTCAGTTCAATACACAACGATCTTCCGTGGTGCAGCGGTAGCCTTACAAATCGCCTGTTGATCAGGTGTCAAGGATCTTACAACCCTGGCTCAGCCGCTGGTTGATAGCGAACTAAGCTTACTTCCATCTGTGGCGCTGGAGCAAGATGATGACCGAGCGCCACGGACGCCTGTTTTGCTTCTTGTCCGACATATTCTCGACATCAACTTTCTGCATGATCGAACGAAACAACCAAGGTCACCATCAGAGCCAAAGGTCAACCTTTATATACGGTCCTGGCGCTGTCCGCTTCAATGACATTCCATTGCGTAACGGTATCCTTGTAAGTCGTTTGTTGGCCAGGCGTCGAGGGCAAGTCGGCAGATTCAGTTGAGCTTAAGGCCTGTGTATGCAGATCTTTGACCTGGATGTGGATGCAACCTTATGCTGTTGAATATTTGCTTTTTGCTGGACACTTTGGAGACCACAATTACAAGGCAAAGGCAATCGAGTCTCTTTCCCATTATCAGCAATAGATGTCAGAATTGATATACCCCTGTTGATAAGCGGTCCTTTAGCAATCTCTCATGGCCTAACGGTATGCTCGTAAATTGCGTGGTTCACATGTGTTGAGAACATCAGCGGCAGTCCCGTCAACGATTGAGTTAGAGACAAGAACTTGTGAGTGGTGGCGATTGCGCGTTGCTTGAAGACCATGGCGGATCTGTTTTGCCATGCGGGGCGATATGCATTTTGTCTTCCAGTGGGGCATGTCATGCTTGCTCGTATCACCGAGGCGTACGTATAGCCGGGACTCTTAACGATAGTCACCTGCAAAGATAACGCTTCTATGACTTGTTTGCGGCTTTCCAGTGCATTCTGGCTTGCACCGTTTGCATGTCGGGCTGAACGTATGAGTTGGAGTTGATCACTGAGCCGAGGAGCCATGAGACATTGTATCGCATGCTTTAGTGGACGAAGACTATGCTCCAGCAATAAGTCTGATCGATATCTACACCGTCAGCCTATAGATATACGTTTTCTCACACGTGTGCTAACAATCGTGCATGCAGTAAGGGTAGTGCCGATCAACCATTGATCAATTCGATGCCAATTCCCGGATATCATTTACCACCTCGATGGCCATCTGCCCAAGATCTCGGTTACATCCGCCCTCACCAGCATCCCACGCTGCGTCATATCACATTCGCTTTTAACTCCTGCACGTAGCTTTCGCATGTGGCAAGCTACAAAGCTCCCTCGCACACGCGGCTCTGCGGGGTGCATATGCATATGCAAAGCATGGAGCTCTGCCCGCTTTGAGAACACCACTCGAGACAGCCTCCTGTCGTACCAACATCGCGATCTGTGTGTTCATCCCACAGATCTGTCTACAACAGTGAGCAGCAGGATGATCAAGCATTGCAAAGCATGAGGGGTTGTTGTCTTTCCATTTTGCCGTTCAGGAACATGACGTTCTGCCTCGCGATGGTCGGTTATGGTCGTGCAGTCGGTATTAATTGTGTTGTGTCTGCACGTATGCATGTTTGATGAGTTGATCAAGCTTTTGCTATTGTGTTGTGAAACCATCGAGAAATCTCACAGAGCATTGGAGTTGCATCGATCAAAATGCCGTACCACACGAAACTACCTAGCGACCTCAATGACGTGGACGTGATCATCGCAGGAGGTAAGTCGTTCTCGAATCTCCTCCATGTTCCCATGCACGAGGGCTAACAATCCTTTCAGGCGGTCTCGCGGGCTGTGTCGTAGCAGGACGTCTCGCCGAAGCAGACAAGAACCTTAAAATCCTCGTGATCGAACAAGGACCAAACAATTATGGCATGCCCGAGGTCGTTCATCCAGCTCTGTACCCACGCAACCTCTTTCCAACGAGCAAGATCACTCTATTCTGGCATGGCAATGAGTCGGAGCAACTGGCAGGCCGGAAGCCCATCGTGCCTTCGGGTGGAACACTCGGTGGCGGAAGTGCAATGAACTGGATGGTATACACTCGAGCCCAGCGAAGCGACTTCGACAGCTGGAAGTGTCCCGGTTGGAGCGCAGATGAGATGCTGCCATTCTTGAAGAAGGTACGTCGTGTTATCCTCACGTCTTCCATATTCTGACATTTGGCTCTCAAGCTCGAAACCTACCATGGCAAAGGCGACAAAGACCGTCACGGCGACAGCGGACCCATCAATGTATCCAAGGGCACTTACACCTGCTCTCGCTCCGAAAACGCCTTCGTCGAATCTGCAGCAGCGCTTGGATATCCAGAAGTTCAAGATCTTCAGAATCTGGACAATAATAATGCTGTAGAGCGATACTACAGATATGTTGGACCGAATGGCAGACGCCAAGACGCTGCACATCGGTACTTGCATCCAAAGTTGCAAGGAAACGAGTACCCGAACTTGCACGTTTTGACCGAGAAGCAGGTGTTGCGTGTTATGTTCGATGGCAAAAAAGCAACTGGCGTGGAGTACCAGACCAACCCGAAGTTTATGGCGAATCCAGAGTACCTCGATATCGGATACGTATCTCCTAGGGTCGTGAAGGCACGAAAGATGGTCATCGTCTCTGCCGGTGCGAATGCTACGCCAGGTATCTTGGAGAGATCCGGAGTCGGCGGCGCTGAGGTCTTAAAGAAGGCTGGCGTGGAAGTTGTCGAAGATCTTCCAGGTGTTGGATCGGACTACCAAGATCATCATCTCTCATTGTGGTCATACCGAACGAACCTCGCGCCGAGAGAGTGCATCAACGGCTTCCAGGACGGAAGGTTCAACATTGAAGAAGCCATTAGGATGAACGATGAGTTGCTTGGTACCAACGCAATGGACGGACGTGAGTACCTTCTCTTGTCTCGAGGTCGATTGGCAGCTGATGATTCGTAGAGGGAAAGTTCCGTCCTACTGAAGAAGAGGTCGACGCGCTGGGACCAGAGTTTCGAAAGGCTTGGGATCGAGATTTCAAGGACGTCCCAGACCGTCCTTTGATGATCCTCGCTCTCTACAACTGGTACGACACTGTCGCTCTCAAACATTGACATGGCTAACATTCTCCAGCTTTTACGGCGACCACAGCATGCTGCCCGATGATGCAGAGTACGTCTCTCAAGCCAACTGGACGGGCTACCCCTTCAGCCGCGGCCACATCCACATCACCGGCAAGACGATGGCTGATCGTCCCGATTTCGAGACCGGCTGGCTCAAAGACCAAGGCGATAACGATGTGAAGAAACACATCTGGGCCTACAAACTCTCACGGGAGATGTGGCGCCGCATGCCAATTTTCCGCGGCGAGCTCGCCATGACGCATCCACGCTTCCCAGAAGGCTCGAAAGCTGCCGTCGTTGAGAAGGCCGATGGACCGATTGCGAAGGGTGATGAGAGGATTGAGTACTCCGAGGAAGATAACAAGGCGATTGAACAGAGGGTCCGAGAGATTTTGTCGACGACTTGGCATTCGCTCGGAACGTGCAAGATGGCTCCGAAGGAGAAAAATGGCGTTGTTGACGAGAAGCTGAGTGTTCACGGCCTGGAAAATCTTAAGTTGGCTGATTTGTCGATCCCGCCAGAGAATGTGGGAGCGAATACTGGTGGCACGGCGTTCGTGATTGGTGAGCGGGCTGCTGATTTGTTCATCAAAGAGCTGGGCATTGAGGAGAGGCAGGATTCTCCTACGAGAGCAAATTGAGCAACCGCGATAGCGAATGTTTCCGCTAGTTGAACAGCCAGTTGGGGTGAGTGCGGCACGAAGGTGTTGTGTAAGAACGAAACTTTTGCGCCTCACACAATGGTTACAGTCCTCTTTTTTCCCCGCAACGTATCAAAGTTCGTGCAGTCATGGTCACCATCAACCAGATACAGCTCGTTCACGGCGAATACCAGCGTGAAATGGTGAGCCAGAGGTCGAAGACCAACAATGCTTCTATTCCATCGAGTGTAATCCAACGTAAAGATGGCGTCGCCAGGTTGTATCATCTCTGGCTCAATACGATCCTGAAATGGGAGACGAATCTGTAGTAGGTGCGAGGGCTGCGGTTCGGACGTCGTGTTTATCATCACCGCCGTCCAGTGGTTGAACGCCATACCCGGCACTTTGTCCACTTCGCGCACATCTCATAACCAGAAGAGCTCCAAGGACAGCTGAGAGCTGGCATCGATTATGCTTGAAGAAAGGGTTTGGCAAATGAGTCTGATATCTTCGGTTCCCCATGTACCAGGAGCCATCCGAAAATCAGGCATCCATGAGGGAATACCCAGCCGACTGCATTTGTTGAAAGGATGATCCTTCGAAAGACTGCAGGTGAAGGCGTAGTTCAGGACACGGAAGTCTCCTTTCGCAACTGCCTTTCTCGCGAAGTCCAAGCATAATTGTGGGAACGAAAGTGAGTAGTCGACTCTGAAGCTGTATGTGGGGTCTAGAGAGACCAGAGAATATAATCGATCATGCAGAGTCGAGCACTCGTGGCTCTTGAAGATCCGTAGCATATCAATAAGATCATGCTGTGATCTGTCTGCCGTCATAACGCGACAAAGGTCGCGACCGGCGTCGTGTAACTTTCGGATGTGCCAGTATAGTTCATAATCTTGCGTAACGTACGTCTCGAGGCCATCCGCACAGATCTCTATGCAAACAAGGACCGTCACGAGAAATGTGGTGGAATCAGAACTATGATTAGCCCATCTCACGATACGTCCATCCTCCTTGCCGACCAGAGCTTGATTCTCTTGGATGATCCAACGCCTTGTCCAATATCTGCGGCTGATGATGTGCGCAGCCTTCAAATCTTTGCCCGTAAGAGATAAGCACCTTTGTCATCCTCCTTGATACGGGCTCTAAAAGCGATTGCGATGTCGATGACCATTCTGTCGACGTTGAGTTGTTCAAAGCTTAAACACCTTCCGTCGAGAAATTGACTGCGGCATCCGTCACACCCTGGAAGTGTGGAAGACATGTCGAACTCCGTCTGAGCGAAGGCATGAACATGGCTTTCTATTGTCTATGGAAACCCGGGTCCAGTTCCATTCTCGTGCGCATAATTTAGAATATCGCCGACGCACTGTGTTAGGGCACATGTGTGGTTATCACAGTCAGCATTGCCATTTCCCAGCCACACAATAACGCGACGTGCCAATCGATAGATATCGAACATCATGGAGACCTGCGAGTTGCGCTCGCATGAATCATTCTTGTTGATGCATATGGCATCAATCCACAGGACTTCAGTAGTTGTAGCTGATCTCAGGCGGCGGAGTCCGTCGGCCAGACTTTTCGTGATTTTATGAGGTGAATGATCGACCTCTATGTAGTGAGTGCGACAGTCGTCCCCGTCTTCGGTTGCCCAGCTGTATGAGAGGGCGGTAAAGGATGATCGACCTGCTTTAATTTTTTGCCAGTACTCGTATGAAGCTCTTTCGTAGTGCTCGTTGTCTTTCCATCGACCATCCGCTGGATCCCGCAATGGCCACGCTGGTAGATGCTCTCCAAGATCTTGCAATTGAAGCGTTGCGATTAAAGGATCGTCTAGATACTTGGCAGGCTCGAGAAGCAGTACTCTGATCCATCGCCCATTCGGAAGTTGCTGATATGTCGATGTGGGTGTCGGTTCCATGATTCCTGAGGCTTTTATTTTTATTGCTAAGAAATGGAATTGGCTTCGACGTCTGAAGGACTCCATCCGCAATATCAATTACTGAGGAACACAGGTCACAGCAAGGCTGCGCCCTCGCGCGAGCGATGCGCTGGTGAACGAGATGTGCCCGATCTGACATGCATGGCCCATGCTGTCGTGTAACGTCCTGCAGCCTGACTGGCACGCGCTCGCTTGGTTACTTAGCCGAAGCTACGAAGGGTCCCATAGAAGACACCATCTAGGCTCTTTCAACTATTTCACGGACTGTTGGCTATCTTCAATATAAGAAGCCTGTTGCCGGAGGGATCTTGTTTAGTGGCAGGGAGGCCATCGTGCAGGCGGCTGTCCTCTTCAAAGCCTGCGAAGCTGAAACCGCTGGGAGCGGGCTGCAGAAAATGTAGCTTTGTACATCCCTTGACAAATTTACAAAAGTATGCTCAGAGTGCATAATCTACACACATCGTGCTCATATCTTACTCCCGATTCACATTCGCTCTTCGCCCCGTTCCAGCAACCGGCACTTCATCTTCATACTCCCTCTGCGACATCATTGCCTTTCCGACTACAACCTGCATCATACTATAATTCACCACAGCCTTGATCCCCATCTCTTCACCTCTCTTGACAATGTACCCGTTGATGAACTCGACCTCAGTTTGTGCACCTCTTCTGACATCCGCGAGCATTGAGCTGATATTGTTTCTTGTCTTGTGCGCAACAGACACGACCAATGTTTCCAGACGTTCGGAGCTGAAGCGATTCGGCACATTGGGAATTCCGCGGAGCTCGGGCAATGACCGAATGATGAGAGAGGTTTCGGCGAGCATGAGTCGCATCGTGCGGGTGAAGGCGAAGTTGTAAAGGATGGAACCGTTTCGATTGTCTATCAAGGCTGTGAGGGGGTTCAGGACGCTGTTGACGGCCAGCTTTTCGAGCTGGAGCTGAAGCAATTCGAGCGGAGTGAAGGCCACGCAGGCGAGTACGGGGGTTCGCGTTAGGGTTCGAGTGATGTAGCGGGCTGTGGGTTGAAGTTCGTTGACTTGGGTCTCATCCATTTCGCCGGTTTTGTCGGTGCCGTGGCCTGTGGGTGTTGGTGGACGACCACTTGTTTTGGTGGGTCGGGGCGGTACAGCGCCGAGTGCGATTGTTCCATGTCCAGCGTGTACCACGAAGAACGGGTCTTCGACAGCCTTTGAGGGTGGTACGTATGAGCCGTGCGAGACGACGCCCTGCAGATATTGCGGTCTTGTGGCCTCATCTGTGAAGATCGCCTCGTTGACTTTGTCAATCACGCCCATGCCATTTTGCAGAAAGCAGATGGTGCTGTCCTTGGAAATCCTCGATTTCACAGCAGACAAAGCATTGAGCGTGCGGATGGTCTTCGTGCATATTATGAGGTTGTGTATAGGCTCATTTGACACCGCGTAGTCGCCGGGTAGTGATTTACGCTCAGCAGCCGCAGCAACAGTGTCGTCGTCAGAAACCTCGACCGGCTTGAATGCAGTCGTCCCTCCGCTGCCCTGTTGCTGTTGCTCTTCCATGAGTTTCGCCACCTCATGCGGTTTCGTCCCAGCCTCGCTGGAGACATCATAGAAATTCGGACTACCCTCCTCCAACGTCTTGCCGTGCTGTCTCCGGGTCATGGGCATGAGCTCGACATCGAAGCCATCTTTGGTAACAGTGAATTCTCCGTCCTGGACTGTAATGACTTTCTTGCTCTTCTCCCATGCTTGCAACAGCTGATACCGGTGGAAGATCAGAGTCACTGGTGGCGGGTCCGGAATGCCTCGCAATGCATGCGCGACCAATTTCCCTATGCTTCCTGTCCCTATGATATGTATTCTCCTCGGCACATCTTTCAGCGCGGCGTACTGCTTATCGGCAGGAGACATGGCGGCTTTCAATTGCTCCATGACTTTCGGGTCGATAGGCTCCTCGTCTGCTTCGTTCTTCCCGCTCGCATTCTGCTGGTGCTGCGCATTCGCTTCGGTCGCCATGGTTCGTCTGCCCCACCACGAGCTGTATCGCCGCTGCGTCTGAGTGGGAGAGGAGATAGGAATGTATACGGCCACCCGGCCCACGTCAATGCTACCGCTGCAGCATATTGTGTGTAGCCGAGGTATCCGGCGGGCGAGGTGGTGGAGGTGTGAAGACAGGGTGGAGACAGGACAGCGAGGTGCTCTTCAGCTCATTATCTGTCTCGATCGAAGCTCTGAGCTTGTCAAGTCGACGTTGTGGTCGTGAATGGCGATGGAAATGGTGCTGGGATGCCAGAGTCCTTTCGTCATCGGACTTTTTGGCTTCGCCGAACTCCGCAGCTCCTTCCAACATCACCTCCTCCGTCTTCTGTCTGTCACATGCGAATGCAGATCCAATGACAATGTCTTCGCCTCTTCTAATGCGTCGAATATTGGCACTTCCGCCAGCGATTCGCGCTCGAGCCTTCAGCGTGCTCAACCGCCCAGCACCGAACTATCCAGGCCATGTTCCTCTCACTTTCATCGAACGCTCCGCTCTGGCCATTGGCAGTGCATTCGGCTCTCTCCGCAATCCATATCGTCACGATCTGATCGCTTCCTTGGGCGAAGCAACTGCAAAGCCCTACTTCATATCGCGTCTTCGTACAGCAATGCTCGATCATCCAGACGGGCGTCGGATTCTCCGGGATCGGCCCTGCATCACAAGCCAGACCATCAGCTTAGAAAAGCTACGGACATACCCTGAAAATACGGTAGGGCGAGCGTATGCGAACTGGCTAGACAAGGAAGGTGTCACGCCAGACACTCGAGATCCTGTTCGGTATATTGATGATCCGGAAGAAGCCTATGTCATGCAGCGATATCGTGAGACGCATGACTTCACACATGCGATTACTGGTCTTCCGGTCATCATTGAGGGAGAACTTGCAGTCAAGGCCTTTGAGTTCATGAATACCCTCTTGCCAATGACGGGTCTTTCCTTGGCGGCGATTGTGAGGCTGAAGCCTGTGGAAAGGAAAAGGTTCTTTGAAATCTATTTGCCTTGGGCGCTGAGAAATGGATTGAAGGCGGAGGAAGTGGTGAACGTATACTGGGAGGAGGAGCTGGAGACCGATGTTGATGTTCTGAGGAGTCGACTGGGAATTGAGGTGCCACCGGACTTGAGGGAGATGAGGAAAGCTCTCAGGGAGCAGAAGAAGAGAGAGAAGCTGGAGAGGGAAGCACAGCAGTCACGAAGCTGATGGGAGCTCCACAGAATGGCCCTGGAGAACATCTTGCAACAATGGTTCGACCCAAGGAATGTTCTGCTTAAAGTCGCAGGTCGCCATCTTGAAGTCTGCTCACGCCTTGGCTTTAGTTCCGGTCACGCCTACGGTAGCCGTGCTCATACCGAGAAGCGATAAGTTCCAGCGCCGCTATCGCCTCGGTCTTTCTCGTGCAAGACGTGCTACCAGATAATCCCGGAAGCACCGAGCGAGAATAATGCGATGTTGTGCTCTGCGAAACGGCACTAAGCCTTTCTGACCAAATTCAGATGTGCTGCGTATGTCTTCACTGCACACGGTCTGTCTCGTCTCACAAGGAAGTGAACTGACAAGAAGTCTCAACAACTCACTCAAAGCAAGTTCCGTTGTGAAGTGACCAGTCACAACGGCCCAAACTGTTTCTCACTTAGGCAGCTTTCTGCGCAAACACGCTCGTGACGCACCAGCTGATTGGTTCACTTCTGCCACAGCAATCTCCTGCCCACCATAAGAGGCACTCCCTCTCTAGACTTCTCCTCTTTCTTTCCACATACGACAGCTTTCCACATACGACAGCTTTCCACATACGACAGCTTTCCACATACTTCAGTCTCGGTCGCAGCATGGCGAACCGCACTGTACCGATCATGGCACCTGCAGCGGGTGCCACTCCTTCGGTGTTTGCAGAGAACTTTGCAACGAATGTCAATGCGGGCACCGACGGGACGTCGGTCAAAGCACGTGTCAACTATTTCGACGTGAAGCTGCCAAAGGTTGAAAAGCTCTACCTCTACAGCGTGAACATTACACGCAGCGACACTGGCGGCGAGGTCAAGCTTGCAGGCTTCAAAAAGGATTTGATTCGGCACCTTATCACGCTTCCGCCACTCAGCAACATGCGGAGCGAGTTTGCTACAGACTACCATTCCAACGTAGTCTTCCTGACCCCACAGGGTCGGACTCTCACCAAAACAGTGGTGTTCGCTCCTGCGGCGGGTTCACAGCAACAGACATTCAATGTCACGCTTAGTTGCACTCACACTCTGGCCATGAGCGATCTCAACGAATTTTTGCATGGTCGCAGGAAGTTTGATGTGCTGCCTTACATGACAGCTCTGAACATTCTTTCGCGCAGTCTCGCTGCAGCGTCGACAGTCAAAGTTGGTCGCGACAAGTTTTTCCCTGCGGCATTGAGTTCTGCAACCTGGTCAAGATCTCTGAACTTCAGGAACGGCTTCTTCACATCTATGCGCCCGGTAAATGGTCGAGTGATTCTCAACATTCATGGAGTCGCTTGTGCCTTCGTGGTTGAGCAACCGGTGCATCTCTACGCCTCTGCGTTCAATACGAAGTTCCGCCCGAACTTGGCAGCGAGAGACTTGAGAAACCTGGATCAATACTTCAAGGTGAGTGCTCGATCACATCAACATATCCTTCCGATAACGGAACCTAATACAATTCACAGTCTCTCGTCAAAGGACTGCGAGTCCGTCTCCTCTACACTCCGCCTACGGCTACGAACGCGGCCCGGTCCAAGAGCCTTACGAGTCCAGTCAACAACAGCAAGATCAAACGGATCAATGGTTTCGGACGCATTGCGAAGGAACAGACATTCCGACACAACGTCCACGGCGTGATCACTGTCGAGAAGTACTTCAACGAGCATGTTCTGGAGCCTAGTTCTCATTTGCGGTTTCCGCTGCTGCTGACCTGCGATCTCGGTACACGCGACAAGCCTTGCTTTGTGCCAGCGGAGCTCCTATACATTGCACCACACCAACCATTCTTCGGGAAATTGCCTGAAAGCGCGATGAAGGATATGATCAAAGTGTCTCAACGTCTTCCTTTGCCGAACGTGGACATGATCGAAGATTGCCTCAAAGTCAACAAAATGTTTGACAGCCAGGCGATCCAAAAGTCTCAGAAGAATGGCGTCTCAATCGAGCTGAACATGAGAGAAACGAACGCTCGCGTGATTAGCATCCCCGGTCTGGCCTATGGTGGCAATGTTCAGCAGCAGGGATGCTCCAAGGAGGGCACGTTGCGCAATGGCAGATGGGACTTACGAAACAAAACGTTCAGAACATCTGGCAGACTGGGCGCGCTTGGAGTCATCCAGATCGGTGGCGCGAGCGCACCCTTTAATGACTACATTTCTCTCACCAAAGTGCTGACGAAGAACGGGCTGAGGAATGTGCAGAAAGTGAAGGTCGCCGAATCTCCAAGTGTGTCTCAAGAGGATCTCTCGGCGGCTCTGGCCGAAATCGAAAAATTTAAGGAATTCAGCAATGAGGACTTACCTCAAAGAGACAGACCGGCAAGATGCCTACTCATCGTCCTTCCGAATAAGACCGCTGCAGCATACGAATCCGTCAAATGGTGGGCCGATGCCGTTGCAGGTGTACATACTGTCTGTATCGCTCCAGCCAACACAACGCAATTGGGCAAACCACAGTTCCAGGCCAATCTTGCCCTCAAATTCAACGTCAAAGCTGGCGGGAACAACCACACGCTTCTTGATGGAGAGCTTGAGCACATGCACCCGGGCGGTGTGACAATGTATGTAGGCGCAGATGTGACGCACCCGGGGCCTGGCAGTATTGCACACTGCCCTTCGGTTGCCGCAGTTGTTGCCAGTGACGGTCGCTCTCCAGTCAACTATCCTGGTTCGCTCCGTCTACAGCGCTGCAGGCAGGAGAGCATCGAAGACATGGAATCGATGATGATGGATCGTCTGGAAACGTGGCATGCCAAGAACAACTCTGTGCCCACCAACGTCCTGTTCTACCGCGACGGAGTCTCCGAATCTCAGTTCGCCATGGTGAAGAATACGGAGCTGCCCAAAGTCATGAAGGCTTGCGAGAACTTTGCACTGAAGCACGTCCGATTCAAGGATTGGAAGCCCAGGGTCACGCTGGTCGTCTGCGGGAAGCGCCACCATACCCGCTTCTATCCGCCAGCTCAGGTCAACAGCAGTGTCAAATGGGTATGTCTGACTTTCACTCTGTATGGCGCAACAAGACTAACATTGCTCCAGGCCATTGATCGAAACTCCAATTTCCTTCCCGGTCTTGTGGTCGACAGCCCATCGATTCGCAACGCCTACCACTTCGACTTCTTTCTCCAATCTCATGCGGCTCTCAAAGGCACTGCACGCCCGTGCCACTACTTCGCAATCCACAATGGTATGAACCTTACCGCTGACAAGCTCCAACGCATCACGAACAACCTCTGCTGGATCTTCGCCCGCGCTCTGACTCCAATCAGCTATGCTTCTCCGGCATACTACGCCGATCGCTTGGCCGAACGTGGACGCTGCTATCTTGCACCTTTCCTCTCCCCAATCCATCCTGCGAGACCATCCGAAGATCAGCTGTTCCAGAGTCTGGCAAATGCTAGAACCGCGACTATTGAGCAAAAGGATTTGCATGTTCTGGCGAAAATCAAGGGAGGATCCGGAGACCCGAACCATCCACATTGGGTCACTGATGGGCCGAATCCGTTCAAGAAGGAGATTGGTGGCACAATGTACTACATCTGAGGTGCTGAATAATGAGACGAGATGCGGTGAGGAGTGAGTGAGGTGGTTCTTGGCGATTTATTGACATTGCGAGATGAGACACGGTGGTTCTTGATATTCCTTGGCTTGAGGTGGCTCTGTGACAGTATGCAGAGAGACAGTTGAGCGCAGCGGTCTCCCCGTACTCTACGGAAGCAGATAGCTGGTAGCAGACAGTCATTTACAAAGATAAAGTTAGACTATAATTTCTCCTCTCCCAATCTGTATGCTGTATGCATTCGTCGAGCTGCTAGGCAAGTGGGAAGCCCGACTCAAAGATATGGATTTGGATCCGATACAATCTCATGGGACTATTCACACGTCTCTAAAGCTGCCAATCTGTGAGAGCGCGAGTGTCGTTGAACGATGCCAGGTCAACGTAGTGAGTTCGACGCGTTCCATTCTTCCCAAACTCTTCAGATGTAATATTCAACAGTGTCGCAGACGTCGTGGAGTTCGCCTTGTTGAGCAGACCCGGGAATTCCGCATCGAACTGATCGAAAATTTGCCGTGGAGTGAAGTAATCAACGCCACGAGCTTCGATCTTCTGCTGGAAGAACTTGACATATGCCTCGGTATGAGCGACATCAGTCGTCGGGCCAAAGTTGTCAATCGATAATGCATGTCCTGGAATCACGCGTCTGAGTCCAAGAGACTTGATGTACCCCAGAGTCGATAGCCAGGAGGATGTCAATGCTGGGGTGAGCAAGTCGGCTAGCCAGAGGTGCATGTCGTGCGAGTAGACGGTGTCTCCGGCGATTAAGGTTTGGATTGAAGGGATGTAGAAGAGTGTCTCGTCGATTGTGTCGCCGCCTAGTGGACTGAGGAGCTGGATCGGTGAGTGCTCGTTACCAGGAAGGGTGAAGAATGTGAAGTTGTAGGGAGTTGGGATGGTGGCTTCGGAGACGACGATTTGGTTTCCGAGGATGGAGCCCCAGGCTTGGATCTTGGAAATGTTAGCACGAACTTTGATTTCGTGAGTCAAGGGGTTGAGACTTACTTGTTGATTACTCTCGTTTTGAATGAGAGCTGCAGCATCTGGGTGGGCGTAGTACTTGGTGTTTGGGAAATACTGCAGAAATGCAGCACCGCTGAGGTAGTGGTCCGGATGAGAGTGGGTCGAGAAGACAGCGACAAGAGGCTTGTCTGTTGTTTGATTTACCCATGCTGCAAGGCTCTCTGCCTGAGGGATCGCCAAGGGCATATCCACCAGAACTGCTGCTTCCGAGCCGATAATCAGAGAGGACACCACATCGAGAGAAGGTCCTGAGTTGATGAAGGTCTCGACTCGCAATGGTTCCTTGTGAGTAGGGTGTGCTTGGCATGACGATGCAAGAGAAAGAATGGAAACGAGTATAGAGACAGGGGTCGTTAGATGCATGGTGTGTGAAGGTTGCACCGAGTGCAAGGTGAAATCTTGTGGTTGGTCTGATTTGTGTCTTGAGAGTCCATAAATCCTTCAAACTTATATTTCTTCATCATGAGGTCGATGAGTTTGGTAATTGTGGTATCTTTCCGTAGATGACCAACCTACGGCGGCTTTCCGCTGCTGCTCGTATAAGCTGAACAATCCGGCTATACCAACGCCGATGCAAGCTAAGGCCCAAGGCAAAAGAACTCTTAGCGCCGAGCCGCTGACATGAGCTATGGAAACACCACTTCTAGTCATGGAAAGTGCATTCAGTCACTTGTCAACAGCGGTTCGTGTTGTCGCCGACCGACCAAAAGTTCCTTCCTTCGTGGCGCTCGGTTCGGCCGCTCCGTCATTACCGCGACCAGATCAGACCGCAACTGCAATCGCGATGCCATCGCAACACAAAATCACCGCCCACAAGCATTTGATACCACCGGGCAGACGCGATGAGTGCCGTTGAACCTGCTGTCCGAGAATCCATCGAAGAAGCTGCTCGGGATGCCGAGGCCTATCCAAGCAGGCGACCCCTGTCCGGGCAAGAGGAGGAGTCACCAGCACGGACCCGATGGTGGTTCGCCTCGACCGCTTGCCCTCTCCTCGCCGCGACTTTTGGTCCCATCGCCAATGGCTTCAGCATTTGTTCTCTCGTTTGTCCTTGGAGGGAGATTTTGCCGCCGAAGATTCCTGTAAGCTCTTCCGGACCAACACGGAGGAGGCGCTGCAGCTAATGCAGATCACAGGAAGGCTTTGGTAACCAAATACCGGATCCAAAATGGCTGCTGGCGATAAACACCGCATCTCTGGTCTCTGCACTTATCGGCAATGCGGCATTACTCCTCAACATGGCGCAGCGATTGGAATTCTCTACTGCTCAGCCCATCACCATCGGCGGCTTCATCTTAGCGGGAGTGCTGTTGCTCGTCGATGTCATTGTTCTCAGTTCTGACGAATACTATTTCCTGCTCGACCCGGTGGGAAGACTACCTGGTAACCATGCGCTTACTGCTGCGTTCTACTACGCGATCATTGCTGCAGTTGTTTACATCGTCATCGGACTGCTCATGTGTGTCACGGTGTATGGAGCGCATCGGCGCTACTATGACAAGGATTTCCAGTTGACCAATGCTCAGAGGATGTTGATGCTTCAGGTGAGCTGACTCGCGCGTACTGATTGAGCATGCGCCGCTGACAGGAGTGTAGACTATGCTTTTCGTCGCCTACATTCTGCTTGCCGCATGGGTCTTCAGCTCGATCGAGGACTGGCGTTATCTCGACGCAGTGTACTGGGCAGATGTGACCGTTCTTACAATCGGCTTGGGCGACTACAAGCCATTGACTAAGGTCGGCCGCGGGCTGCTGTTTCCATACGCTGTCGGTGGCATCCTCCTGGTCGGTCTCATCGTTGGCAGCATTCGAAGACTGGTTCTGGAGCACGGCGAGTTGAAGATAGCAGCTCGAATCACCGAAAAGCGACGCAAGAATGCACTGCACGAAATCGATCACAACAGAGGCACCATAAAGATTTCTTGGTCCGCAAAGGCCGACTACCGTCTCACGAACTCCATGAGTCCTGCACAGCGCCGCGAAGAGGAATTCAATGTCATGCGGAAGGTGCAGAACGCGGCAGATCGAGAGCGGCGATACTTTTCACTTTCCACAAGTATGACCTTTGCTTCGGTGCTGTGGCTCGTAGGGGCAGTGGTATTCATGGTCACGGAGAGAGAACAAGGTGAGCGACAGCGCCGCCCTTTCAGTCTTTTTGCTTCCAGATTTACTCGGAGCTGACATCCCAGCAGACTTGACGTACTACCAATCAGTCTACTTCTCCTTCGTCTCGCTGATGACAATCGGCTATGGCGACATCGTGCCCGCTTCGAACTGTGGCAAGGCATTCTACGTTATCTGGTCACTTCTGGCAATTCCAACACTGACCATACTGATTTCCGGCCTCAGCGAAGCGTTCACCAAGGCCTTCACTGGCTCGACATCTTTGCTCTCAGCACTGTACTCAAGACCGAAGGAAGTGAAGCAGTCGGCAAAATACAAAGCTCGCAAGGCTGCGAACAAGGTTTCGAATATCGGCAAGACGAAGCGAGAAGTCCCTTTGAGTCCAGAAGAGCATCGAGTAAATACATTGCGCACGATGGTGGAGCGGCTGGAGTCCCACGTGGAAGAGGAGGAATTGAAAGCACTCAAGGAGGCGGAGTCGAAAGGTGCGTGAGCGCAGCATGAACTGTTCATGACACTTATAATTTCGCAGGCGATGACATCGATCGAGATATCCACTTCTACCACTTTGTTCTTGCGCGCGAACTCACGCGGGTGCAGAAAGACCTGCTGGCAGACAATCCAGTACAATACTCATGGGACGAGTGGGAATTCTTCCTGCTACTGATAGGTCATGGCAGCATAGATGACAACGACGGTCCTGACATTCAACAGGACACCCCTCAGCAACCGGTGGATCAGGCGGATAACTCCTCAACTACCGCCACAAAAGATAGACCTGTTATGAACGGACTGGTGGATAGGGACACACAGCGACAGACGAAATGGAATACGGCGCCAAGTAAACGAGGCCTGATCAAGAGGAGGGAGACTGCAGATCCCATTGGGAATTGGTCTTGGCTAGATGAGAAGTCACCGTTGATGAGCGTCAAGTCGGAGAGTCAGTGGTTGGCGGACAAACTCTCGGCAACTCTGGTGCACGAGCTTGACAGGTCAAGAAAAGGAGAGCAGAAGTTGCCGCCCATTGGGATACGGCATCTTCGTGGAAATGCTGCGGGATAAGGGAACACGTGCTGGGTCAGGGGCTGGTAGATGCTGGTGGGTATCACTTTTGTTACACGCACCTAGAACATTGATCTTCACGAGCAGTCGACTAATGTCATAGCTTCGATAATGACAACGAGAACTTTCATCAGCGATAGTGGCATAACACTGTCGATCGAGATCTGGCCGATCGGTCAAGCTCGGCGGACATTGGCAGTGGTCGATGCCTCAATCAGCAGCCATCACAAGATCAAGAGGCTATCCTCAACGATGTGCTTCAGAGGTGAATGTATGACCGTTGCACGGCCGACTCCAGACAGCTGCAAGCAGGCGCGGATGGCGGTTAGCTGCATGAGCTAGCGCGGCAGGGATGTGGCAGTGGCAAGCAGGCACAAACATGCAAGTGCAAACAGCACCACAACACGAACCGCACACCTCTTACCTTACCTCCACCAAATGGTCATACACCACGCCTTCCACCCTGAAGACGTGTCGAGTCGACAACTCGTCGTTCAGCGAGAAGATGAGCGGCAACAGCAGCAGCAACAGTAACTCCACTTCCTCCGGTCGACGAGGACGAGGAGGTACACCACGCAGGACGAGGAGAATTGCCGATGGTAAGTCACGCCTCGAGTCTCGATCATCAATTTCCCTAGTGCACTGCCATTGCAATTGAGGGCGGCTAACTCACAGTCAACACTTGCCTCACATCTCCCTGCTGGCATTGACTTCCCAGTCCTCGCCTTCGAACCCTCACACGCTCCTTGACATCCACATCCACATCGACCTCTACCTCTCTGCCTCTCCAAACTTCCAACCTCCTCAACACCAACATATGTCAATTTCACATGACAACCATCACCTGAAAGTCCTTGGAGCTAACTCATTCACCTTCACCAGCCATGGCTTTCCAAGAACTTCTTGCCTCACCAAGCACCAGTTCTTCATCGACTTCAAACTCGAACTTCCGAGCAACACCGCCGCACCTTCAGCGCAAGCGAACATCATCACACCATCCCTCAGGGGCGTCACCCATTCCAAGCTCGTCGGCTTCGCGACCTATACTCCAGCCCGCCAAGCCCGCGCTGCCAAGAATGGCGCCCAACAACTATCGCCAGTCGGCGGTCTACAATCCTTTTGAATTGCGAGTCTACTTTTCGAATGCTCCCATTAGCTGGAAGACGCGCGACGTGCATGCCTTTTTTCAGCGGTTTGAAAATGTCGCTCGAATTGAGATCTCCGAGAAGCAAGGCCGTGATGGCCACGGCGTGGTGGTCTTCCAGCCACCACCAAAAGACAGGTCCTGGGTAGGACGCTGGCTCACTACACAACATCATGGAATAGAGAAGCGCATGGAAACAAAAGACAACTCGAGGAAACCATACCACTACCGAAGTCCGCTTTCCAACAGGGTTTTGCCAGAGAGAATGACACTACCACTAGCATCGGTGGACTTCGGCATGATGCAAGAGCAAGACAAAATGATGATCTTGCACACGGCAGAGCCTTCACCTCAGACCAAGGTTGCGTTCACTGTGGATCTACAGCACAAGGAGCTGACGTTCACGTTCCCGGTCCATGTTCCAAGCAAGGGAGATGGTCTGGTCGAGCGTCATTTCAACTTGCGCATCACCCCAGCACAGATCTCTGGCGCCTTCATGGTCCGGGATCCTGACGATACAACATCAGTCGTCTTTACTACTGAGACTCCACCGCTGGTCTCCAGAAAAGTGACCAATATATCCAGCACTCACGACGACAAAGCCACTCTCTGGACTGAGCGCAGCACCTGGCTGCGCCAGACCGACATCGATCTCTATCCTTGGGCACGGTCGTCAGCTATAGAGCTTCGCAAAGTCAATACCATCATTGAAGTCGGTCGCTGGCTGACGTACAGGCTGAAGTTTCCTGCGGCCGTCACCACTTCCCAAGACTTTCAAGACATGTGCCAAGCACTGGCAGACCACAATGTCAACATGAATATAAGCAACAACATCACATTCACGCACCACGAACCGAACAATCTTTGGCATTGGTCTCAATCAGAGCAATCGAAAGACTGGAGATCGGCCGAATCTGTGCTTTCGGAGATGCAAGAAATGGCGGATGGCACTGTACCACTGCCGTTTCCATTGCGATATCAGCTTGAAGTGTGTATCAGCCTCGGACTGATCCAGGAGTGCAACCTCAGCCGCGACTTCGTCGCGAGGCTGCAGGCGCTCGATCCTCATCGTGCCGTCAAGATACTCGAGAGGGTTGCAGATCGCAAGTTGAAATACTGCAATCCCTTCGACCTATTCTCGCTGCACAATCAAGTGTCAGTGGTCGAGAAGAAGCGACCTGGATATTGCACTAAGATTCCCTCAGTCACCATCACACCCACTACCATGTACATCTCGACACCCGTTTTGGAGACCTCAAACCGTGTGATTCGCCAGTATCAACAGTTTGAGGATCGCTTTCTCCGAGTTCGCTTCACCGATGAGCGATACAAAGGCAAGATCATGCCATCGGAAGACCACAGAGATGACGAGATCTTCTCCCGTGTCAAACGAGCGATGGTGTACGGCATCAAGATTGGCGGCAGACATTACGAATTTCTCGCGTTCGGAAACTCCCAGTTTCGTGAGCATGGAGCGTATTTCTTCGCGTCGACTGCTAGTGTAACCGCTGCAGACATCCGTGACTGGATGGGAGACTTTACCAGTATTCGCATCATTGCCAAGTATGTATCTCGACTTGGACAGTGCTTCTCAACAACACGCGCCATTCCGCACTCCATCAACGTCGAGAAGATCAATGATGTGGAACGAAACGGCTTCTGCTTTACCGATGGCGTTGGCAAGATTTCACCGTTCCTGGCTCGTATGATCGCTCACCACTATGGACTGGCGAATTCCGAGCAAGATTACCCTTCGGTGTTTCAATTCCGTCTCGCTGGTTGTAAAGGTGTGTTGGCAGTCGACCCATCTCTCAAAGGCATGACAATACAGATCCGACCAAGCCAGCAGAAGTTTCCTGCCAAAGCCAGCGGTCTGGAGATCTGCCGCATCTCGCAATTCAGCACTGCCTCGCTCAATGTGCAACTGATCCTAGTTCTGTCGGCACTCGGTGTTCCAGATGAGGTCTTCCTGAACAAATTGCGACTTATGCTAAAGGACCTGCAAGAAGCCATGGACAAAGAGCAGAAAGCACTCGAGCTGTTGCAGAAGCACATTGACTTCAACCAAATGACCATTGCACTTGCATGCATGATCTTTGATGGGTTCATGGCAACCAAGGACCCCTTCGTCATAACCAGCTTGCGACTCTGGCGCTCGTGGAACCTTAAGTACCTCAAAGAGAAGGCGCGTATCTTCATCGATGAGGGCACATTCTTGCTCGGCTGTACCGATGAGTCTGCCACACTGAAGGGTCACTACACCAGTACCCAGGACGTCACAGGCACCCTCAAAGACAACATCCATGACGAGTCCAAGTTGCCAGAGATCTTCCTCCAGATCCCAGACACCGAGCGACCTGGATCATACCGAGTCATCGAAGGAATCGTTGGCCTTGCACGCAATCCGTCCTTGCATCCGGGCGATTTTCGCATCGTAAAGGCAGTGGACGGTCCAGCTCTGCGTCATCTGAAAAATTGCATCGTGCTTCCGCAGACCGGTGACCGGGACGTTGCAAATATGTGCTCTGGTGGCGATCTCGATGGGGACGACTTTATCGCTATCTGGGACAAGGAACTCATCCCACCAGAGTGGAATCACGAGCCCATGGACTACACATCGCCAGATCCAGTCTTGGCCGAAGGCCCAGTTACTGTTGACAACATGACTTCATTCTTTGTGCAGCACATCAAGAACGACATCCTGAGCAGGATCGCTTGCGCGCATCGTTACTGGGCAGACCGATTGCCCGACGGCATCAAGGAGCAAAAGTGTCTCGACCTAGCGCAGCTCCACTCCAAAGCCGTCGATTACCCAAAGACTGGCGTACCAGCCACCATGCCTGTAGAACTCAGAGTCCGAGAATGGCCGCACTGGAGCGAGCCGAAGAACAAGGCAAGAGGTAAGGTCTACCACTCCAACAGAGTCCTCGGCAAGCTATACGACGAGGTCAAGAAAGAGCCATTCCATGCAGCGTGGGACATGCCATTCGATGCACGAATCCTGGAATCTTGCGAGCCAACGGAGCAGATGCTGCAAGATGCTAGGGATGTCAAGAGGGTCTACGACGAGGCTATGCGCCGTATCATGAACCAGCATGGAATTCTGACCGAATTCGAAGTCTTCACCACCTTTGTCCTCGATCACCATCAAGAGATTGGCGACTACAAATTTGCCGAGGCCATGGGTGAGATCACGACAAATCTCAAGCAGCAGCACCGAGAACTCTGCTACGAGAAAGCAGGCACCAACGAAAAAGACCGCGATTGGGACAAGATGAAGCCCTTCATCGTCGCAATGTACAAGGTCACGGCCGATGAGGTGGGCGAAGCCGTTGCAGAGACTCGAGTCACTCGGATGAAGGGAGGTAGAGATGTTCCACTTCGTTCTCTGACTTTCGACACTATGCCGTTGATGACATTCCCATGGATCTTCGCTCCGGAGCTGGGCAGAATTGCAACGAAGGGGCATGCTTCTGGTGTCGCTATGCCGAAGCCGACGTTGCCGAAGACTGCTGCAGTGACGAAGAAGAAGAACGATCTCTTGCCTGAAGACTGGAAGCCGGTGCCGCTGATGGAGGTTGACATGAGCAGAGGCGTGGTGAGAGAGGGCGAGCTGTTTGACCTGTTGGGCCAAGACCAGCAGAGCGATGGCAAAGGAGGCGAGAAAGATGGCGCGGAGAAGGGTGTTGTGGTCGTGCCGGATTTAATCAGCTTTGACCAGGGAGCCGCGGATGAGGTTGGAGACAGGAAGGCAGATTCACCGATGGTGGAGGGAATCTCTGCAGAGGAGAAGCCATTTTCTGCCAGCGCAGAGCAGGCTGCCAAGCATACCACGGCAGCCGGCTCACCAGCACCGAACGGATCGATGTCCACCGAGGATGAGGTCGAATTCGAATTCGACGATGGGGAGGAGGAATTCTTCGACGGAACTGCCCGGCAAGATTTCGACATGAAGCCATCGGGTCTCGATCGCTTGGCTTCTCTAGTCGGTGTGGAAGACGGCGAGGACTCCGAAGACTGAGGTGTCGAGGCTGTCGACCTGAAGTAAATGGTTCCTTCATTGAGGACTTTTACATTGCTCTGCACGCTAGACTATCGAGAATTACGAGGACAATTCCCTCGGTCTGAACTGCACCAGCGGCCCTTCTTTCATACTCGTAAATGTGTCCTTCAACTGGAACTCTGTTCTCCGTTGTCTCCCATACTCTTTTGTTTCTGGGTTTCCCTCTCCCAGTGTACTTCCTGGTGCTAACCGCATATCGTACATGAATACCGTCCTCGCCAATGTGATCATCAATTCGTTGTATGCCATGCCTTTTCCAATACAACCTCTTGGCCCAACACTGAAAGGACAGAAAGCACTCTGTGCAGTGCTCACTGCTTCTGTTGTGACTTTCTGCTCCTGTGGAAGAAGCGAACCTGAAATCCATCGTTCGGGTAGGAAGGAAAACGCTGAAGGGTAGTAGGATTCGTTGTGGTGAATCGTATAGTGTGGTACTCCGATTACTGTTCCTTCTGGAATTTGTTCGCCGTCGATGGTCGTGCCTCCTGGCAGGACTTCTCTTGGTAGAAGACCGCCTACGGAGGGTGAGAGACGCATTGCTTCGTCGATGCAGGCGCGGAGGTATGTGAGGTTGTTGAGTTGGGGGGAAATGTGGATTTCTTCGACGTATTGGAAAGCGGAGCGGATTTCGGAAGCCAGAGTTGCAAGGGTGGTGGGGTTGTGAACGAGGTAGAAAATTGCGGCTGCGAGGGCTGTAGAAGTCGTATCCGAGCCCGCAATGATGAGGAGGTTGGATTCACCCCAAAGTTCCGGTGTCGTGAATCCTTTCCCCGTTTCAGGATCTTTGGCTTTCAAAAGATGATAGAAGAAATCTTTGCGATCGACGTCTGAACCCATTTTCATGCGTTCGGCGGCTTGGGCTTTACTGTATTGCATATAACGAGCGCGACCTGCGGCGATTTTGCGGAAGAAGAGTTTATCGAGGTGGAAAGTGTGGATGGGGAGGTAGGTGCCGCAGATTAAGTGGCGGTGCGCGGCGGAGCCTATGAGGTCGATTGCGAAGCGGTTTTGGGGGCTTTCGAGCATTGAGAAAGATTTTCCGAAGCAGAGGTCGCCCATTATGTCGAAGGTGAGGTAGTTGGCTTGGTCGGAAATGTCGACTGGGTTGCCGTAGCCTTTGGATTCTGGGTTGTTGGTGGGGACGGAGGCGAAGGTTGTGAGTTGGGTGTTGGAGGTGTTGTTGGTTCCGGCGAGGTTTTGGCAGAATTGGCGGACGTGCGCGAGGATGTGGTTCTCCATCGATTTTATCGCTGAGTCGGAGAAGGCGTGGCTTAGGACTCTGCGTTTCCGAGCGTGAATGGATTTGGAGATGGCGCTGTGGGTGCTGAAGGAGTCTTTGGTAGCCCAGAAGGCTTCGTAGAATCGAGCTTTGCGGACGTTTGATTTGAATCCGTAGATATCCTTCAGGGCGGTGTTCGAGTTAAAGGACAGGCTGTTGGGCCCGAATCGCACGATGGGGCCATATTTCTCATGGATGCGGTAGAATTCGAGGTGACGATCTCCGCGTAGAGCGTGGTAAGTCGAGTAGAGATCTGTGACTTTGGCGAGCAGCGGGCCAGGATACTTGGATAGTGGATGGAAGAAGATGCGGTAGATGATGAAGGAGGCAGTGTAGATGACAAGTGCTGCTGGGAGGAGGACGAACGCCAGCACGCTCAATGGCGAGCTGCCATCTATAGAAGATGAGAAGAACATTGCAGCGATTGTGCAACGTGAGGAGTAAGAGGAGGAGAGGTCTCTTTGGGCGGTCCAGCGCGTCCTACCATTTCTCACCTTAAGAACAATGTCAACCCCTGGTCACAAAGACACTTAAGCCGACATGCTGAAGCCCTTCGGAGTACGAACATCTCGGCTAAGGGCGGTTGGAGGCATAGCATGACACATGAAAGGGTCAGCGTCGTATATAAGAAGCGGACACCCGCATGTCGAGGTCCCGTGGATGACATTAGGTGAGCTGCTGAAGTCTGGGATAACACGCTAAGGAAGTTTGATGGAGCCGCAAGCATTGTCCAATCAAAGCTGCGGAAAATGCTAAGACCGAGGCTTGAACCGAAAGTAAGCGACGCTTGTTGTTTGGACCTGCCACCTCGCGTCTTGCTGATGATGCATCCTCTTCTGAGCCGCTATTGTTGGTCCAATGCTGCGCACTTGATGTTGTTGAGGGGTCACGTGTGGTTATATTACAAGCGCCTCGAAGTATCAAAGACTCGTCGCCCCTGAGAATTTCTAGCCGGGACAATGTACACATCCAGGAACTCGGCAGCTCTTCATCGCTGAGAATGTCAGAGATGAGAACTCATATCACCAACCTCCAATAATTCAGCATGCGGAATGCGTCGCATCTCGACCCCTGCTGGCCATGTTCAGGCAAGACGCTCGTAAGACAGGAAGGATTTAGTTGTGACAATGGAATCTATGGCTGCCACGTCTGACAGAGAAATAGGCCGCGTCGTAGTCGTCAATCCACCAAATCACCAAAGTTTTGGCCGCCACAGAACGCGAATAGATTCTGCTCCAATGGTTCGCACACTCCTCGGTGCACCGCGTCAATCATCTCAGCATGGTCGAGACTGGTATGCCTCTGGTCGAAATCACAGTGTATGCACCGACGAACGGCGTCACCCTACCATTCGCCAGCCTCTCGATATATGTCTTCGGACGCGCTCTTTGCTGCTACGAACATCTCGCCAATTGACATTGCAGTGCCGTCGGTCTTTGGATGCAGACTGGCCAGAGTTCTACCAAACCACAACTCGATGAGTGTTATTCCTAAGGCAAAGAGACTGGCGTTGCGTGTCTCCATTGGAAAGCCAGTTGGTTGAATTGGTGCCTTCGAAGCGTTGTTTGGGACCTTCCCCGAGAAAGCCGCGGACACAAAGGCATGTCCTAATTGTGGGCGTGAATTGTCTGGTTGGAGGAGGAATACATGTGAAGAATTCCACCACTGAGACATCCAGGAAGTGGTTTGAAGCTGCAATACCGCAGATGCCAGCTTCACTGCCAGGGCGAGCCTCAACTTTCTCTCAAGACCTTGGATCAGCGCTTCTCTCAAGCTCACAACAGCCGTGCTGCTGGAGATACCAAAGCGGTCCATCAGATCGACTCGGTGTCGCCGTTTAGGGTCCCCTTTCAATGTTATTAGGCCATCCGGGCTGGTAGTTTTACTCTTGAGCGCAGCACACAACTCTCGGTCTGGAGCCTCCCTTGCTACTATCGGGGCGTCTCTTAGGCTAAGGCTACCCAACGGTGTGTGCGGCGGAGTCACTGGCCCGCCTTGTGCACCGGAGTCACGGCTGCTCGTAGCATCTTCTCTCACAAGTTCAATGTTCTCGACCATGGTTTCGCACCACTTTCGGACCCATGGAGAGGCAATTTCAGCTGGAGAGTTTGCCGAGTGTAGGGAGAACAACACCCCAAAGTGAGAGTGCTTGTCAATCTCATCTTCTGTGGTCAAGCAATCCGGCCTGAACGAAATCCTGTTTCGGGACAGGCACATCCTGGCACCGTGCGCCACTGCACAATCGCATCCCCTTGCGAATTGACGGCACAAGGCAATGTGGAAGCTGCTTGCCTGGGCACGCTGTAGTTGGTATGCGTGGGCGGCTGAGCGCGCATCGGGCTCTCTGACTGCAGGCATAGAACTGCGGTGCCCCAGCAGAGTCTGTAGGTCATCATTGTTCTTGCGAAGCTGATCGAGTGAGGACTGATTCGCCGGTTCTGCACGTGTAATTTGGATTCGCTTCCATTCTTTTCGATAACTGCGCTCATCTCGCCACTTGGGCTGCAATTATCAGCTTACACATCCAGACGGGTGTTTTGCACCTAAGTGCGGCGACAGGCCATGCTTTGTCAAACAGACGCGAGTAGCATGAAACTGCCTGTGGCCAAGCTCATGGGCGTAGACTTCCATGTGATCGAGGAACGGAAATACTTGTCACGTACCTTGCCTGACTGATCAAGCTCCAGTCTGCTTAGAAGTGTCTCCAGCAATTCCTTAATCTCACTCGCCGTCTCCATGTACGCGCGGTAGGAGTCCCTCAGCTTCTTCTCGAGTTTGCGCTGGAGATCAGGTTGACTACATTCCGGCCCGGCAGGGTCGGCCATCAGCCGCTTAAGTTGGCCAGGCTTTGTGATGTCAAACAACAACGCCTGGCAGTTCTTCGAAAATTTCGCTCGCTCTCGCTCTATTCCTCGCAACAGCCGTTGGAGAACCTTTGAGAAGCTCCACCATCGCTTGATAGTGCGGACACCTTTCACGTACAACTCTAGCCCTTCAACGACCACCGGGAAGACGGCCAAAATCACTCCTGCAACTTCGATGCCCGACATGGGTGCAAGCTTTGTGTGCAATGGCTGGGACAAGATGTTCGGGGCAGGGTGACGTTGCGAGAGGTTTGGTGCAAAGAGCTGCAAAGTCCATCTTATGTGGGACTTCGGCGTTGCAGCTGTGATTCGACAGATCTGCAGCCACGAGGCTGAACGACTGCACACCTCCCACCAGTGCGGGGTCACCTGCAGAGGTGCTGCTGGTAGTCTCAAGATAACAGCTGCATACTACTAGACTGCACCGTTGAGGATTTTCACTCGCAGCAATTGACGTACAACATCACGAGGTTATCGCCAAAGAGTACAATCATCGAGATTTCCAGGACTTGTGCTAGCTTGTAAGATCTGTCACGAGCAAAATTGTGTGATAGAGGCCTGCTTCAGGCGCACTCAGGCTATGTCAGTCGACATACAAGCGCAATCCACGACTTGTTTGGAGAAAGGCAATTTGTTGGATGCAAGCGTCGAAAATTTAATCAGTACTCCCGCGCATACTCGGCTCCGCGATGAGCTCGGCCGGTACAGAGTATGGTGTTCGAGCAACAACGCTTGCGAGAATGGCGACATGGCGTTGAAGCATCAGCTTCGACATTCTGAGCAGTCAGAAGGCTGTATCATGCGGTTTTTGACCGAATTGGAGGACAACATCACAGATGGTAAGCCCGCCGAGAAGACAGACTTTCAATTCGCGGAGAATACTAACGCTAGCTGCACTGCAGCCAACGAAATAATCAGAGACGGAAGGATACCCTACGACGAGCTGGATTTCTCGGACAGCGATGCCTCCCATTCTAGCCTGGCTGACTCCGCCGACGGGCGGACTGAGCTTGAGCAGATCATTGATGACATAGCTGACATTGTGACAGGTCTGTTCGACCTGACAAGATTTGTCAGTCGTGCATGCCCCAGTGACCTAGCGATCAAAGCATCAAATCTGAATATGACGCGCTTCAACCTAAGTGATGAAAACGAGGCCTTAATCGAATTCCCAGGGGCGAGTCGCGAGATTATCAACCGCTTGATCGAAGCGAGTCACAGGCGAAGACAAATATTAACATATTTGCACGAAATCGAGCCGACTCATTCAGACGCAGACTCGAAGGCAGATAGGTTCCGTCTCTCCAGACCAAAATTGGTGGAGGGACTGGTCCCAGATACCGCATCAGAAAGCGACGATGAAAAGCGGAAACAAAGCTACCTACAGATGGGCGCTTACCCTTACCACATTGAGATACCTCGAGTGACAGATCTGGAATCATGGAGGTAAGTTCCCATGCTCCATTGTGCGAGTACACTAATAGTCGCGTGGGCTGCGTATCACGAGACATCTGAGACCATTCATATGCACGTATGCACACTGTGAGCAGCCTCTGGAGCTCTTCGACAGCCAAGTGGAGTGGCTTCAACACGAAAGGTCACACAGGAGAGAATGGAGATGCAGACGATGTTCTTGGCTTTCCCGGTTTGCAGACAAGCTACGGGAACATGCTCGAGCTCAACACAACCATGAACTGGATTCTACAACGATTGATCTCTGCGAACGACCGGTACCATTTGACTCTCTGACGATTTGTAACCTTTGTGCTAAAGAGGTCCCGAACTTCATTGACCATGTCTCCGAACACTTATGGACGATCGCGTTCGACGCACTGCCGCTACGTCGAGATTTGTGGCAAAGCAGTACGGAGCTCGGCATTTACCTAAAAGTTCGTGACATGTCAATATTCCACTGAGAGTGGTCCCAGACTCTCAATCGCGTGACGGAGCAACCCAGCAGCTCCAGGGACCGGAGAATGACTTTCTTGATGCAGCGAACAGTGGAGATATGGCGCAGGTTAAGACCCTCTACACCCAGATTCGCAGCGAGGGGAACCCCAATCGCCAAGAACTTGGCCGCAAAGCGCTCTTGGAAGGCTCTAAAACCGGTCACACTGGGCTAGTGGAGTTCCTGTTGGAGGAAGGGCAAATACTCTCGGATTTCAGCGATACAAGAGGTCGAACACCTCTTTGGTGGGCTGCCGAGAATGGTCACGCTGAGGTTGTACGACTTCTGATTCAGGATCCGACAGGGTATATCGACGAAACGGATGAATCCAATGACACAGCTCTATCGCGGACTGTCGAGAAAGGATCCGCTGACGTCGTTCAGATGCTCGTGGAGAGCAAGGCGGTAGTCAGGTTCGCCCATATTTATAAAGCTGCCAAGAACGACCACAAAGACATCCTTCGTTATCTACTGACATATGCAGAGGATGCCAATGAGGGGAACCGTAATTACGCGGAACACCTACTCCATGGAAGTGCTTTTTACGACTTGCCGGAACTCATGACCAAAGTGCTGGCCCTTGGCGTAAATGTCAACGCTGTCGACCGCCAGAGTCGAACAGCCCTCCACGAAAGTGCCACGTCAGGCTCTGCGAGAACCGCCGATATACTGCTAAATCAGGGCGCGGATGTGAATTCGCTTGACCAAGGCCGCCAAACACCAATCTGGATTGCAGCGACTTCTGGGCACACGGAAGTAGTACGTCTTATGCTCCAACGACCCCACGAAGTCTCCGTTTCCTTCCTAGACTACGTTGATGAGCTGTTGAATAGAGTCCCAGGTACGAGGCAAAATACGATCTACGCCCTTCTCGCCGCAAAGAAATCCGCGCTCTTGGCAGAAAATCCCCGGCGGAGACTAAATACTTCATGGACCGATACTTCGCGGACCGATACTTCGTGGACCAATACTTCGTGGACCGGCACCACTAGAGCGAACCCCGATACACGCCCTTGGCTGCGCACAAATCCTACTCACTACGGCCATTGACGTCTCAAACAATAAGCACCGGACTGGAACATTAGTTGGGTTGGAGATCGATCTATTTGAGCGACACAGTCAAGAGCATACAGTATGTTCCGTCTAGCATTCGACTAGAAGGGGTCATACTCAGCATGGTAAAGGATAGATGAGCTTGGTTGTACACCATTGTGAACCAGTACTTGGGTTCGAATGTAGGCCGTGGCGCCACTCAGGGACGTGAATCCTTCCGCCACAATAGGCTTAATCAGAGTGGAAGCGAGCATTCAACCAACAATGCAGATAGCCACCATTATTATCTCTGCGCATTTGAGTTGAACAATGCCACTCGATATCAACGTTCGATGCAAATTACCCAGAGGCGCGTCGCAGAGCTATCTCGACATTATCCGTCTAAATATATTTTAGCGCATCAATTTGCCCCTGTCCCGTTACCGTGACTCCGAATAAGCCGAGCCAACAGAGGTGCCGAATATCAAGAAACGACAGTCGACTTCCCCTGAGAATTTTGCGAGAAAGCAGAGTAATGCACGAGAAATGAGAAATGCTGCAAACGTGATATGATGACTCCGAGTACATTAAGGCAACAGAGGTGCCGAATATCGATCAATCGGAGTCGTTTTCGCTGAGATTTCCTCGAAGAAGCACAATGATAGATGGAGAACAATTCACTTTTCCCCATTCGATCATGATGACTCTGAGCGCATTAGAGCCAGCAAGGCGCTGGTGATCCAGATGCAGAAGGTATCCTCCCTATGAATTGCAATGAAGTGGGATGACGAAGCAGCGGAGTGAAACAACTTCTTTTCATTCAAGTACGATGACTCTGAGCGATTGAAGGCAACCAAGGCTCTACTAATCCGGAAGCAAAAGAACACGCTCTTGGCAAGCTGTGCGAGAGAGCAGAATGGGAGGCAATTTTGAAGTGAAGCATCTCATCTTCTCTCCGTTTAGTTCAATGACTCTGAATATATTGGGAGCTACTGAGGTGCTGATTGTGAGGACGCACAGCTCATGCACACTCGTGGCCTGTATGAGAAAGCTCGAACATAGAGATGAGAAGAAAGCCGTCACTCGATCTAAACAGGTCAACGGGGAGATCTAAAGCTCGTGTCATGTATGACCATTCATTTTCACATTACCACTATACATCAATATCCTCGAGCGCCTTTCCTGCGGCGCCAACCAGCGTGCAAGCTGTACAAAAACTTCTTGTTATAGGCAACATGACACCAATATATGTATCATTCCATGCCCCATGCTTCGTTATGCATCGCGAGAAAATTCGACGCATCCGGCTGGTTGATCATCGTCATCATCACCCCAACCACCCCTCGAGCGTGTCTCTGACCTTCATCCACACTCCACCTGCTCCGTCCCTCTCCAGAGCCTTCGCTGTCGACCTGATGGATTCAACCGCCCTCTGATTCTTAATCATCTCCGCAGAAAACCAACTCCCATGCAATCCATAAGGAACTCTTTGCGGCAGCTGCACTCGTCCCACAACTTTTTGCATGTTCTTCGCATCGACGATCCACAGCTCTGACTTAGCCCTTCCCTCACAATTGTCCGCCGGAACGTCTCCATCAGGAGTCAGTTGTCCTTCGTCGAAAGCGTAGAATAGCAGGTATCCATCATCTTCAGAAGCAGGATTCTGACGAGGCACGAAACGAGGTTCTTGCGCGAACCAGCCAGGTGGCATGACGAATACTCGAATGGAATCTTCGGGATCGGAAGTTTCGAGGACTTGAGCCATGGTGCGAATGTCCACAACACCAGTAACACTTTTCGGCGGATTCGCTCTGCCACGTTGAATGAGCTTCTTCGCATCTATCTTGACGATCGCATCGATTTTCGTAGCCTTGCCAAGCGCAGCGCCAAAGTCGGTAGTTGTCGTGGAGCAGCCGTAGACGTATTGCGCTTCACTCATTTCCCGCCCAGGATGAACAGAGGGGAATTCAAACGGCACAGCCGAGAGAGCCCATTGATGGGTGATGTTGGTGGAGTTGAGATCGAAGGAATAGTAGTACAATCTACACTGATCCTCAGCAAGAGGGTCTCGCTCATCTTCGTAGATGGAAGTGTACCGTTCACCGACGCGCAAGAGGGGTTCCTTTTCGTCCAGAGGCTGGTCTGGGTCAAAATTTGTGTGACCATTCCCGGTGTCGTAGGAGCTGAAAAACGGCATTCGCTTGGTCTTCTTTGCGACAGAAGAGGTGAGTGGCTTCAGTGGTGGTGGGGCCATGTTTCCGGCGGCGTAGATGAGTGTTGCGGATGTGAGGCGGCAGGCGAGCATGTTCACACTTGACACATGGCCATCCGACTCGACAGTATCCCACGAGTTGGCAGTGTGGAAAATGCAGCAACCATCGGTCTCGAACCATTGCGTTTCAGCGGGAGAATGTCGTGGGAAGACTCCGAATCGAGAGGGCTTGCTAGAGTCGTAGTGAACAGTCGGCAGGCCTTTTAACTGATTAATTGGGTCCAGAGTCAGAGGCAAATCCATTATGATGGTATGCTGAGACGATACCCCAAAGTCGTGCATCATCTTCGCCCCCGAGACTTTGGGTATGCCAACATTCACCAATCTCTTGCCTTTCGTTCCAGTCGTGCTAGACGCCTTGGGTATAACACTGTACTGCACGTAGGGTGGCGCAAAGCTGGCATGGTACAACAGCATCTCCTTCGATACCGGGTCGACTTTTGGGTGTGCTGTTGTCCACTCCCGCATGAAGCTGATGAGACCTCCATCTTGTCCAAATGCCTTGTCCTTGCCCTGTTCCTCCCTCTCTTCAACTGGCTCGCCTTCAGCAGAGACGCCATTGTACCAGCCAACAGTCTCCAAGCCAGGCAATTGTATTCTCATTGGTGGACCACTCTCACATGTAGCAAGAGCCCTGCCATCGTGGTATATTACGTTCGTGTTGGCCACGGAAATCTTCTTAATCTTTTGCTTCGATCCGGGAAGGTGCGACAGTAGGACCAATAGGACAGTCCGCAGTATGCGAATTGTGACCCATATGAAACTTGCCACAGGACTGACCAGTGTAGCTATGCTCGGCAGTATTGGAACGCGTAACCTGTCGCTCCCCAGCGTGCTGAGGTACAGGTCTGTCAACACAAATTGGTTGACAAACTCAGGCGTAACCTCTCCCGTTTGCTCGTCTTTCGTGAAGGACACTCCCGAGAGCATACCATCTCCATCGAACCAATGTGAGTCTCGTCCCAAGTCATCATTTGAGACGGGATTGCTGCCATTGCGGATGTATTCACCCTCAGCCAACTCTTCTGGGATACTACCAGTGTATGTGCATGGTGTCAATGGCAGCGTCTGTTGTATTGGTGCAAAGTTGCCAGACAGATACGGATGTTTCGCTTGGGGAGTAGGTTGGATATTGGTCGAAGGCGAGCGCTTTCGTTTCTGGCCAGCCAGAGGGTTTGTTATGAATCTACTGCCTCCTCCTTCGCTGGTGAGCTGGAACATGTTGTGGTAGTGGTCGACCTCATTGGGTGGTCACGACCACACGCGACGACGGGGAGGGCGTCGTCTAGTAGGCCTGGTCGTGGTGGAGTAGTCGAGAGCGATGCAGGGAGGTTGGCGATGGTCAAGGTGAGAGGGGAAGCTGCTGCGGTCGATCGAGTTATCACATGCACTTCCAACAACATGGGCGAGGGCAGTGATGAGAGCTGGTTCTTGTTGCACGAACAAGCATGTGCGTCCACGGCACGTCAAGCTCCGCTCACGGCCGGCGCGTAGCGGTGGTGAGGCGACGGCGAGAGCGGCAACACCACGAGTCTCGCGACAACATGATGCAACAAGCACAACCAGATCGATTTCGATGGGCAGAGCTGTCGAATGACATCAGCAACGCGGAGAGCTAGGAACTGACTTCCGCTCGGATCGCTTTCGAACATTGCGAGGCAGAAGAGATGGTATAGCGCCACACTTGTCTCGCTTCTTTTTACAGCGAGACTCAATTCATCGGTCAAGCAAGCGTGATGTCGGAAGTCGGAGCATTAATCTGCAGCATCGTGCATCCACCTCGGGATCCACTTCGCCAGTTCGCCTCAACGCAAATCCACGGCTGCCGGCGCGACGCGGATTTTCCTGCGCGGGCTGTCGAATTAGTCTCGCGAGTGGCGGTGTTGGGAAAAGTTGGCCTGCCTCCAGCGAACAATGCGGGCTGCGCGGACACAAGAGAGCCCGAGGACGAGGAGAGACTTGCTGGCAGCGACATCATTGTCGTAATGGAACGAGGCGCATGCATGGAATATCACCACCACTAATCAACACCACCACCACCACCACACTCGTTGCACTCACCGCATAACAGCCGGTCCCAGCTCGCGGGGAGCTGGATACCCGTGTACACTCTCAACACTGTCAACACCGTTACCATGGGCTACGAATACGCGTGGGTGTAAGTCCGCATCATCATTCATTCACCTGCCTGAAGAGATCGGCACCCACTAACCTTCTGCCTGCAGCCACCTAACCTACACCCTTCCGCCCGCCGCTCTCCTCTCCGCCCTCTACTTCCCTCTATGGACGAAGCTCGACACCTACAAAATCCTCTTCCTCATCACCATCGCCGTCGTCTCTACGATCCCATGGGACAGCTATCTCATCCGGACCAACATCTGGTCCTACCCTCCGAACGTCGTGATAGGCTGGAAAATCTACGATATTCCGGTTGAAGAGGTCTTCTTCTTTGTGATTCAGACCTATAATACGTCGTTGCTGTACCTGCTCACGAGTAAGGCTGTGCTGAAGGAGACGTTATTGGCAAAAGAGGACAAAGGGACAATTGGACAGCAATGGAAGTATATCAGATGGGGAGGGCAGATGGCTTTGGGATTGGCTCTGAGGCAGGGAATTAGTTTTGTGAGCGCAGGAAAGGAAGAGACGTACTTGGGGCTGATTCTGGTCTGGGCGTTGCCATTCCTGCTGCTGTTGTGGAGTCTGGCATACCAGTTACTTGTCAATCTGCCATTGACGTGTACGTGGTTTTCTATCGCTCTGCCGACTGTATATCTTTGGGTCGTGGACACGCTGGCATTGAAGAGGGGGACCTGGGTCATTTCGCAAGGCACAAAGACTGGGAGGGAACTCTGGCCAAATCTAGAGATCGAGGAGGCCATATTCTTCTTCTTGACAAATTGCCTCATTGTCTTCGGACTTGTCGCCTTCGACAATGCGGTTGCTGTGCTGAACGCTTTCCCGGCGCATTTCAAGAGCATTCCGCAATTGCCAAGCCCGGTCCTATTGGTCAAGGCCCTTCTCCTTCCAGCTGCTGCGTACGACGATGACCGGATATTGGGCTTGCAGCAGAGTGTTGCAAGATTGAAAAGGAAGAGCAGGAGCTTTTACTTGGCATCTAGTACATTCCAAGGACGATTGAGGATCGATCTGATCATACTGTACTCCTTCTGCCGTGTAGCAGATGATCTGATCGATAATGCTAAAGATGAGAAAGAGGCGAGGGAATGGGTCAAGAAGCTGACAAAGTACCTCGACTTGGCATATGGTGTAGCAGAGAAGGACGGAGCCGGCAACATCATCCCCAGCAACGATATGAACCGCGGCCAAGCAACGCTCTACATCATGCACAACTTCCCGCCCGAAACGCAACTCGCACTGATGCTTCTTCCTACGCATCGCCTCAGCAAAGAGCCACTGTACGAATTGCTGAAAGGTTTCGAAATGGACCTCACCTTCAATAACCAGAAATCCGGAAAAGGCAGCTCTGGACCAATCAAGACCGAAGAAGATCTTGACCTTTACGGAGCACGTGTTGCAGGAACTGTTGCCCTTCTCTGCATCCAACTCGTCCTCCACCACAATCCTGGAACCTCGGAGTCCCAAGCCCGCAAACTTATGAAAAGCGGCCACGACATGGGTATCGCGCTTCAATACACGAACATCGCCCGTGACCTGTCTGTTGACGCCAAAATCGGCCGCTGTTACGTCCCTCCATCCTGGCTCAAGAAGGAGAAACTCACACCTGAGGCCTTCATCGCCGGCCTCGTCACAACAGGCAAAGTCGACGATTTCTTCTGGAAGAAAGTTGAGACCATACGAGGTCGTCTTCTTGATCGTGCGTTCCAGTATTACCACGATGCGATACCGGCTGTGGAGGAGCTGCCCAAAGCCGCTAGAGCGCCCATGCGCGTCGCTGTGGAGAGCTATATGCAGATTGGACGTGAGCTGCGAAGGCCGGGCTACCGTGTCAAGGCTGGGAGAGCTACAGTACCGAAGTGGAAGAGGATATGGGTTGCTTGGAAGAGGTTAATATCTGCTGCGCCGCGGGAGGAACCAGCATCATGAGGATTTCGTTTTCTGCGATGTACAGCCTACGCTTGCGGCATTTGCGACTGAGGCATTTCGGGTTCTCTTTTTTCGGCATATTTTGAGCGCATTTCTGAAGTGAATATTGTGAGCATATAGATACCCTTCTTCGCGGGGAGATATTGGCATAGCGGGTTAGCAAAATCTTGTGTCTCGAATGGAAGGCACGATCAATGTATCACAAGGATATGGAATCCACTTTGGTTCCGCGAAAACCCAGAACCTTATTCCGCGGCCCAGACATCACACAGGTAACTCACTCATATGCCTCCATCGACCGCCCTGTCAATTCATCAAAACTCAGCTATGCCCCGAATGTGGTGTACGAAGGTGCATTCAAGCCATCCTGCTCTTGTTTCAGCAACACCTCCAGTTGCTTGACTACATCTTTCGCCTCCCGGAACGCATACGCCGCATCGCTCTCCAGACATCTGATCACTAAGCGAGTCAACTTCACGTCGTCCAGCTCGCCTACCGCGATCTCCCGCCAAATTGCCTGCGTTGCCCATGGCTTGCTGGTGATCTTCTGCGTGTTGCCACGATATTTTTCAGGAATTCCGGTGCTATCGCTATACCCGCTGCGATTCAGCGCATATGTTTCGAAGAGATCGCAAATCCGGTCAGGTGCTCCAGTCGCTTCTTGGACGAATACTTGCCAAAGCAGGACCTGCAAGATGCATACACCGAGGCTGTATATATCGTGTTTTCTGTCGTATGCATGCTCTGCATACCGTCCCTGCCTTTCTGGGTGCTGGTAAATGGACTTTTGCCAATTTGTCTCTCCGAAAAGGGAAGTTGCGCCAGACAGCTTGCTGATAAACGACCAGTCCTGAACATACAGCTTAAAAGCTCTGTCGCCGTCGAGGGGCGTTCCGAGAAGAAGAACCGCTCGAGGGCGAATTGATTTATGCTTCAGCTCTAAAGTATGAATGCTTTCGACAGCTTTCGCTAACTTGAGACAGATATCCAGACGCTGCAACAAGGCCGGCTTTTCGCTTCTTACAATTCTGTGCTCGAGACTCTCCCAGCTTACATCCTTTGGCAGTGGCACGATAAGCTGGAATACCTTTGTTCCATCCGGCTCGTTATATGGTGGCTGGCGATATCCGAGAACAGGGAGCAATCCTTGCAGCTCTTGCAACTTGTCTTCGTTGAGTAGACTGCAGAGCATCTGGACGTCGTTCTCCCGACTCTTATTCTCCAAGATGAAATTGCCGTCCTCTCTGCGCGAGCTAGTAGCGTAATTCCCTTGGCAGACAAAGATGCCGGAGTCGGGCAGGATGGTGAACTTGGCCTCGTTCACTGTTTCATGCTTGACTTTGAACATATCTGATGTCCACAGATAACACGAGGGACCAGTGCGTAGTTCATGAAGCATATCACAGTAAGCTTGTAATTGCGAGCACGATCTCTTCAAGAGCTGGTCTTGTTGCTCTAGCTGATGTTTGCTTCCAGGACCTCTCCAGATTGTGTACCGCAGTCTTCCCATATGGGTGTCTTGTACCTTGTCTAACCCCTGCAGCGTTGCACTTAAATCAGCTTGAAGCTTGCGAAGGCACTTTTCGAGCTCATCATGAGTGCTCTTTGGAACAGTCTGGGCCTTTTGAACATGCTGAAGATTCGCCAAGCCGCGAGAAAGAGTGCCCTCTTTCAGGTTCAACGTCGTCTCTCGCAAGCTACAAAAGCTCCACGTCAGAGTAGCTCGGTATTTAAACATGGTCGCGGGACGACTGGTCATACATGCCTACTCATGACTTCGTCCATGGTCTGATATGTCTCAAACCTATCCCACAGCGCAGTCGCTGCGCGCAAGACCACATCAGCTATTCCTGGAAGTGCGAGCAGAACTCCTGCAGTTTCGGCCATAGTGCAGACCGAGTATGCGATTGGGCTTTGGTCGGCGCTTCCGGTAGTGTTGGCGATTGACCACTCCTCTCAACTGACGTCGAAGGCGCTGCATGCAGCACAAATGCGGATGGCTTGGAGCCTTGAAGTCACGCGGTCAGCCCGCAGCGCACTTGCAGGTGCGACTCGCCTGTGCTCAGCCTCTACAATTTCTCTGGCACCTCTCTTTCGTTGGAGCATTTCTTCCCCACCTTGTTCGCGTAGCATGAGATCTGCAGCAGACGTCCATGACCGACCGGCAAAGCAGAATACCAGCACAATACGACTGGCAGGATGCGCCGCAAGCATCCGTACAGCACGACGGCAAGCCCGAAACTGCAATATGGCGTGTGCAACGGAAACGCAAAGGCAAGAGCAGAGACTTCGAAAAAGACATATACATTTGCAAATGGCAAAGTCTGGCTGGAAAGAACCCCACACAGGCCAAATACGTCTTTGGCGAATGCGACATGCTTCAGCGCTTCAAGCATCCCAACATCGTCAAATACGTGGACTTTGACTACAATCCTTCACGTCAGATCGCTCGCCTGTTCATGGAGAATTGTAGTCACGGCGACTTAAAGAAGCTAGGACGAAAGCTGAATGCAGGAGAAGCGCACAGTGTTCTCTACCAGATCTCCAACGCCTTACTATACATTCATCATGGCGTGTATCATGATGGCGTCAAACTCAAACTTGGGACATTCGAAGCACTAGAAGGTGGGACGCTGCAGTGGAGTCGTCATCTGCACCGTGACATCAAACCATCAAACAGTGATTCTTCAGGATACCGCATCAGCTTGGTATCGAGCTGACGAAAAGGACCAGTTTTCATCTCAGACACAACGAAGAACGGCATATACGTGAAGTTAGGCGATTTCGGAGTGGCCAAATCTGACATGGAAGGCACCGCCAGTTACGTTGGAACGAACGCTTATATGGCGCCAGTAAGATGACACACTTGCTGAAAGCGGAACATACTAAGACTTGGCCAGGAACAACGGACGGCATTCCGAGGTCCGGGCTCTCGCAGGACGACCTTCAGATGTGATATATATGCGCTCGGCCGTGAGTGAACGCCAATGATGGGAGAAAATTCGCTGACGCGTACTATACAGTCACAATGGAGCAGCTCGTGGACCCAAACGCGACAGCACTTTCGTCGATCTTTAAAGAATGTCAGGCTCGTCTGGACGATGACAGGCCTCGCAGTGGAGCCATCGTCGACCAACTCAGGACTCTGGAAGGTAAACGAAGTCTCATTGACGAGATGCTAAGCTGCATTAGAACCACTACTGTAGCTAAACTTGGTAAACAGCAGGCCAAAAGGATCAAGACCGAGCTCAATACATTTGATGAGCTCTGTGAGCGTCTGCTCGATAGCGGATCGCAACCGAGTGGGAATGTGCTGCAGGAGTTCCAGGAGTACGCACATGGTCCTGGCGTGGTTGAGTGGAAATGTGGCGTGGTTGAGCAAGTTTCAGCGCGACTCGCGAAGCATGAAACTGATGTGCGATTTGCAGACAGTATCATACATGCTAAGGACTTCTCTCCTCTCAGTAGTGATGATAAGAGTGTGGAGAACAGTGTCGCGGCGGCGGAAAAGGCCACCGAGAGTGCGGAGCAAGCATCGCGCGAACGCGAACTGAAAGAACAAAACGAGCGTTTGGAGCGAGAAATCGCGGAAATTCGGGCCAGGTTGTCAGCTACAGCGCAGACAGGTCGGACACGAGGGAGTGAACGTCTGGACATCGGACTCGGAGCGAAGAGTGAGCTCGAGACAACAGTCAAACCCACGCTCAACGACCGACTCGAGCGTCGCGAACCCAGCGTTAAAGGTCGTGAGCAAGCTGGAAGTTTGGATGCACGAAAGCTTTTGTCTGCAAGAATGAACCCATTATCCAAGCCTTTTGTGCCATCTCTGGTACTTCAAGATCCTATCAAGGACACAACTTCCGGAGCACTTCCAGAGCCCAACGGTGTTGGAATCCCGGATACAAGCCGGGGACCTGATGGCTCAGTCTTACCCTTACTGTCCGGCACGAGCCATGGCATTGACGCGCAGGACGTCACTGCTGACGGCCAACGTGAGCAAGACAATCGCATCGAGACACTAAGGAAGTCGTCCTGGACCGCACGGGAATCAGGTGGTCTCGGGCAGAGAAGGGGGCTCAATTCCACTTTTTCGAAGCAGACAAGGAGCGCACAACCGCTATCTCTACGCACACCTCCTATTGAATCTCAAGCAACGGAAAGCATCCGAGGTCGACGACGAGACCCTCTCCTACAACGAGACCTTTCCCAACCTGCTCGCAGGAGTTCTCGCCCTCTGTCATTCTCGCCATCCTTGAACTCGAACCCTGCAGATTACTTCCAGGTCAAGGGGTCTCTACATGAGCAACTCTTCGAGCAGTATAAGTTCCTGCAGGCGCAACAAGATGCATTGCGGTACCAATTGGAGAGACAACAGGCGGAGAACGCCGAACAGTCCGAACGTGAGGGCTGGAAAGACGACAAGTTCGAACGCCTATTTAGAACCCGAGAACTCAGTTTCTGAAAGATGTCTCGCTGAGAATCTCTAGTCCAAATCCGAAGTTTTAGACTGTCATGGCCAGAGTGCTTCGTCACAGAAAAGTTGGGCGCTAAGGGACCTTGAATTTAACTTAAGAAGACATGATGTACAAACGTACACGAGAGACTGAATTTAAGGACAGGTTTGCTGAAGGTTAGTCGTTCGGCGATGCAGCTTCGCTTGGGTCGCCGTTCTTCGCTCTGAGTCATTTGCGGTGGCGCCTCGATATGTTGCTAGTAGTACGGCCGGCAAATAGCGTGCTCAAGTTTGGACGTAAAGGTTCTCAGTCTCTTATGATACAAACATGGTGACTCTTCTCAGTTGCCATGAAATTGAGGCGCACCGTATCGTGAAAGTATCTGGTCGTAAGTGTCGAACTTGTGAAAGGGTGTGGTCAAACATGTGTTGAGCTTGGGCCACTTCGTGGTTCGAGGATGTCGCCAAGGATATCCACTTCTTTCCTTCGCATTCTGTATTGCCCGAATCGACCGCGTCTCTCAAGTCACACTTTCTCGCAGCTCACGCGTGGGCTCGAGGGCGATCATGATGTCGATTTCCCGCCTTCTGAAACGCGCGAACTCGTTCAGCAGTGGCTGGTGGCCGCCTCAGTCCGTTGTTGACCTACATGTCAGCCGGAAGGCAATACTTTCACTCGTTGCAGGCTCGCGCGATTGACACTGGCGATGAAACGCGAAATGGCAATCGCAGCCTACTCTTTACATCGCGAACTACCTAAGGTAGTTCACTGACTTCCCTGCTGACCCCGCGTTGCAAGCCAGTGAACCTTGCAAAGACACGCGACTCGCAGGCAGAGCCACAAGGGGCCTTATCTCCAACTTTTCTCAGGACATGTAGGTTGTTTCCGCAGCATCGAACTGATTGCGCACTACAGTCCTCCGCCCAAGGTCACCTGAGCAGGTGAAGTGCTTATTCTGCACAGCATACAGGTGCAGGCGAGCCTCAAGCAGCCGGACATCACAGTGCCTCGAATTTCGAATTGCTAGGATCCCGGCTGCGCGGCCAACATGGAACCAGACGTCACCACGAATCCGCAAGACGGACTCTCCACGACGCAACGAAATGCGACGCAGCCAGAGTCTTCTGAGACAGTATCTCTGCGTCGCCTCAAGAAGCGAGAGACAGATAGGCTCAGCAAACGCAGGACGCGTGAACGGAAGCAGCTACATATGCAACACATGGAAGCTGTGATGGAGAGCCTAGAGCAACACGACTCGAGTGGCCAAGTCGCTGCTCTTCGTGGCCAGCTGGAAAGGTCCGAGCGAGAACGCGCTTTACTTGTCCGAACTTTGCAAGATATTCAGCATCTTATTAGCCAGAGAGGGCCCCGGGCGAATCATTCCGAAACGAGGAGCTCGAGTACAACGAGTGATGAGCATGGCATCACCAGAGCTGGCGCAATTTACCCACCTGCATCCGCGGCGGCTCATCGACGCATTCAAGATGATATGCTCTCAAGCAATTCCAATGTCCAGGACAGCCGGAAGGCGAATCAGGAATTTCATCCAGCTCGGGCGATCCGAGGAGGGCATGAAACCAACGAGATATGTGCTCCGCCGCCGAACAAGACGTCTACCAAAACCACGATCCAATCGCAAGCGTACAATTGGATCAAACCTGCCGCAAAATGTTCCTGTCAAACTCACGTGAATCGCTTGTCCGGCCATGATGCAGTGTGGCAAGGCAACTATTGGAAGTTCTGTGTTGATGTTCTGGACGAACGATTCGACTGGGCAGAAGACATCGGGCCCGCTGACGACGACGAGTCTGACGATGTGCTAGTCCGCGGAGTGCTTGAAGGTTGGGACAGTGTCGAGCAAAATCGCCGCGCTCCATTGCATCCTTCTCTGCAGATGCTCCGTCGCGTTGACGAAGCTATGTTTGGACCAATACCGATGACTGAACGACTGGCGATGCTCCGAGCCATGCATTTACTTCTCCAATACCACACCGATCCGACTGCAGAACGCTACGAGCGCTTACCTCCATGGTATACGTATCGACCTGAGCAGCATAAAAAGCACACATATGCGGTCGAGTACTGGGCGTGGCCTCAATTCCGTCTCCGTTTCGTTGGAGACGAGCATTTGTACTGCGGTAATGGCTTCTTCCGAATGTACCAGGATGAGATGCGACTACTATGGCCTTTCGAGTTCCGAGACTGCTACACTCATGATCTGGAAACTGGGCTGTACAAGCCAAGCATGCTTTTTGATCAAAGGATCAACAACATTAATTGCTGGACGATGGGGCCAGACTTTTTTGAAAAGTTTCCGGAGCTGTCTGGCGTTATACCTACGAATCTACGTTCGGTTCCGCAGTCGATGCCCGCAGCGGGTGTGTCGAGGAGAGGGAAGCCGCAATCTTCTATGAACACCACGTTTCCAAGGCAAGCCCGGACTGGCTTTGTAGAAGCCGAAGACGACGAGCCAGTACAAAGACCAGCGCAAGGAGGGAATTACGCCGCGTGCTCTGCGCCTTGCAATACAGTATCGCTTCCACCTTATCCGCAAATAACTGGGGTCACAGCTTCTCATTTTCAGCGGATGCCTGCTACAACGTTGCACCAGAGTCATCGCCGGCCTGTTCAAAACCCTGTGAACGTCTGGCCCAATGCCGGGTATGGGTGGCATAATTTGTCTGACACCGAAGCTTGGTTCAACGAACTCGGAACTACTGGCACTGGCTCTAGCTTGGACGCTGGTATTGCTGAGAATGTCCCAATGGAGCCTTTTCTTGACATGGACTGAATTTGTTACATTGCGGCTGAAAGGTATTGAAGTACTGCATCAACAACAACACAATTACAATCAAGTGCTTGCCGCCCACTCAGAACCCCCAACGACAGCTTCATCAAGCACTCTCAACCTCACTAGGCTCTACCTTCTTCCCATTAGCACCCTTCTCCCCCATAACAACATCCTTGAACACCGCAAAACTCGACTCCGTCTCCCCCAAAACCGGAAAATGAAACCCACACTTCGGACACTGCTCCCTCAGCACAGCCTGCTCCTCACTCAACTCATACTTCTTATCCTGCGTCTCCGCACAAACAGGACAAACTCTCAACAACCTCGTCCCCACCAATTCAAAATTCGTAATCAGATCTTCCATGATTGCACCATTTGCTGCCCAGGCTTTACAGTGTTTGTGATAGGTGTTTTTATGCCAGTGGTAAAGTGCTCCGCGGGAGGTCCAGAATGAACATTCGTTGAACCAGGTTGGATCGTCGGGGTGTTCCCACCAGGTTAGGTGCAGGAAGCCGGGGAGTTGCATGAGGTGTGTGCGGGTGTCGGAGAAGAGGAGTTTGAATTTTTGGTAGGCGTCTGGTGAGGAGAAGCGGACGCGTTGCATGGAGAGATAGATTGGCATTTTTGGTGCGTGTGTGTGGGGGATGCAGGTGGAGATGGTGGCTGTGAGTGAGATCAAAGTATCGGGAATTCTGATTGTTTGGAAATTGGGCACTAACAATTCTGTGAAGGTATGGGTACTCGACTTTACTTCTATCGTATCATGCTTCTGCTGATATAAGTGCAGGCGAAGAAGGGCGAGCGGCTGTTTGACAACACTTTGGATGTCTTCGTTATCAGCCTTCCGCAAGTCGACTCCTCCAGATTGCGGTCATTGTGTCTTGGGATCGACCCCTCTTTCTTGCTTATCTTTGTTAACAGTTATCAGACAAATCATGTCAATGTGATTCGCCAGATGGATTGAAGTACTGTGCGGAGGTTCTGGGGTCAGCTCAAGTCGAGTCGATATCGAAGCGATATTCTCGACGCGATGGATTATGGAAGCAAGCTCAACTTTTACGGGTCTGTTCTGTCCAATGCGGACTCTGTGTGATGGATTCGTGAGTGCCAATACCAAGCACTCAATGCGACGACACCAAAGCGATGGCTGGTGCCTTCGAGGCAGGTGAATTCTCGTAGATGGATCAGGCTGTCCCTACCAACCAAAAGTGAGTACTGGGTAAGCGGCTTTGAACCGGCTTATCATTTAATGATGTCAATGCGCTAGCCAAAGAGTCTCTGCATAAGACAACAAAGCGATCAACGATTTCGAACTTCTGCGTACGTTGCAGATGCTCGTAAGTGCGTTCTCGACCTAGGCCGAGCGAGACTCTCTACTGCGGTAGCTCTCGCCATGCGGATGTCCACCAAGTGTTGTCGTTCGTCATGTTCGACAGTCGTGTTTTGGCCGCGAATCACCCTGGCGGGTTGTCACCATTTCTACAGTCATCCCTCTCGCTCGCGCAGCAATTCGACTGCTCACTTGCTTCAACAGCTGTACTACTCGAGCTCTCTGAGCATCTCTTGCCTGGTATTGACGGGCCATCGCGAACATGTTGCCCGCTCTCTCTGTTCCGACAGCTTATATCTCCATAACATGAACGAAGTTGAACGCCCACCCAGTCGAAGATCAGATCTCGGAATGGAGCAGATTCGACCCACGAACCAAAGTATGCTAGTCTCACAGCAAACACATGGACATACTCGGCGGTTCGCATTAGTTGGACTCTAGCCAAGTTCCGCTAGCAAGAATAAAGCCTGAAGACATCTCTGTCCTCACGATGAGCTCGAATTTTATCCACCTTCCAGCGCGTCGTACGACATTCTCACCTCTCGTTTCCTCTATCAAAAATTCTTCTTTTCCAACATGCCAAGTCAAGGGGCATTTATCCTGCTCTTTGCTTTCTTGACCCAGCTCGGCAGTGCTACGGTCTACTGCAATGCTCCTCCGGTATGTCGCTGTCAACAACGTCCTCAAAAGCTGTACTCTTCTGGTGACTGACCGCTCGATAGGGCACGTACATCTCTTGCGAGTCGAAGAATGTAGACCTGGATTGGTGTGGTCCCGTTTGTGGACGCAGTTGTGCCGGTAAACACACCAAAGTCGCGTGCGAAGCTGAGTAGTGAGTACTGCAACTGATATTTCTTTTTACCGACCTGGAGCTGAGGTCCTTACAGTTTCAATGGTGATTGTTTTAATGATCCAGATTATGGTCCACATTGCCATGGAGCAGAATGGACCGGGAAGAATTGCTATTGTTACAATTGAGGTGGCGCGTCTGTCTCCAGTCTTTGAGTAAACGAGGATGCCTGTGTCGGCGTGCTGACAGAGGAAATGTCCTGCTCGCGCGACAAAGTACAGCACATTCGATGATCAATGACTCTATGAGCGTCTCACCCACTGCATGTGCAGGATCAGGCTGGCTTCTCACACAAATCTTCAACTCCTTTTGCTCCGTCGTACTCGGTGCTCACATATTTGCCGAGAATCAAATATGCGAAACCCAAGCCTGATCGGTCACATTTGTCATTGATATTGTAGTCAACATTCTTGCCGATCAGTGATCCAATGACTCTTTTGATCAGAAGACCTGCCCTCGTGCAGTCTGGTTAAGACTCCATCTGGTGACGGTAACATGACATTACTACATCATTCGCTCTTCTCCTGCCCAAATCATCATGCAGAAATTGGGCTTGACGCCAATCAATTGACAACTATGGATATGAGTTGGGACAATTTCGGTTTATAGGCTTGGCTGTTACTAGCTCTTACATTTGAAGACGCTGGCTTGGGTCTAGAACGCCTAGTGAGAAGAAGATCTGCAACTATCAGTTTGATGATGTTCGGATGCATTGACTAGTCAAACACTAGCAGATAGAAACAAAAGGATATGAAGCAAGAGATGTGCTCATTTGAGGGGGCTTCCATCTTTCCCGTTCACCCGTCTCATACATCGAACCCAAAACGCGATTACGCAGAGTCCTTCTTTACCCTCCAGCGATTCGAATATGCCTTGCCTTAGAGATTTCATTGTGCTTTTAGCATTGGGCCAGCTAGGCAGCGCTGGAATTCTATGCAAAGCGCCTCCGGTGAGTGAATGTCCATAAGGCTCAGGGAGATGTCATTGCTCTTGCAGTCACTGATGTTTGACATAGGCGAAATATACCACTTGTGAGTCGCAAGGCGTGGAATGGGTAGGGTGCACTGGGGGTGGAGCTTGTGCGACGTCGTGCTTCAACAACCCGAAGAACGATGCCTGCGAAGCGGAATAGTGAGTACTTGACGGGAAACGAGCGAATACGTATCCCGTGTCTGGCAGTCTGACATCGACACAGTTTCGAAGAACTTTGTTACCCGGACTTTGATACTGGTCTGGAAAAATGTGACCCAGCGGGGTGGAAGGCGTCCAACTGTTACTGCTGGTAGACCGTTACAGGCGCGTGAATGCTGGTGGGGAGTTGTCCCTTGTTTGGTGGATATTCTTGTTTTGCATACAACAGTGACAAGCATGCGGATTGTTGGCGGGCTCATCGTATACGGCATAGCCGCCAGTCATGTTCGTAGCTTACATCGATTTCTACCACCTGTTGCTCCATGCATCCGGATAAGCCCTAAGTAGGACACTACGGTTTGTCCACGTCTAACAGAAATCGGGATCTCGTACTTAGGGTTTCTCCGAGCATCGTTCCAGGCGAGCGTTCAGCCTGGTTAGCCGCATTACCAATGTTGTCCATACAATGATTCCTTTGCTCCTTCAGCATGAGAGACCTGCCTTGCGCATCGTGATAAGAGAGCGGTCGCGCGGTAATAAGAACGAGGTTTCGCTACATCGCCGTTTAGCTGCAAATGATGTTAATGAGGTACAGCGACTTGATGATAATCACTGTGACTTCCTTGGATCTTAATTGGAGAACGCCGGTCCTAGTATGTTGTATTCTTAGCTCTTACAACATGCCGTGCTGGCCACCGCCACAGAAAGCCTAGAAAGAACTGTTTTTACATCGATCAGTTGAAGGAATTCCGGGATTGTCGGATGGTGAAATACTAGCAGTCCGATGCAAAGTGATATAAGACGAAGAGATGTGCTCGCTCTCATCTTCTGGGCAGTGCACTTCGATCCCCGAAGTTCTCCACCAACGACAACCTCTGTTTTCCATCCTGTCATTCCACCATGCCTTGTCTGAGAGACTTCATCATGCTTTTGGCATTGTGTCGTCTAAGCAGCGCCCAGGGGACCGTATGTCATGCGCCTAAGGTGAGTGGAGATCAATGATCTTACGAATATGAAGTTTTCCTCACGGTCGCTAATTTTCGACATAGCATCGAATTGTTCGTTGTGAATCAAAAAAAGGCGCGGAGTGGCCAGGGTGCACTGTGGATGGAGCTTGTGCCGCTGAATGCCCTGGCCGTCATTTTCATAAGACCGACTGCGAAGCGAAGTAGTAAGTACTTTGCCAGGATTCAACGAGGTGCGTCCTATCGCGCGAGTCTAATGTCGACGCAGTTCTTCCGAAAAATCATGCGTCGAAGATCCGATGACCGGTGAGGAAATATGCGATGGGCCGTGATGGAAGCCGTACAACTGTTACTGCTCCTAAAGCGCCGCAATGGTGTACGCATTCGGAGGGTCGTTGTCTCTCGTGTGTTCACAGCCGCTTGATCGAGTCGATGTTGGCGACGCGACATAAAGATGTATGAACTCAATATGCAGACCTCTTTGAGCGGGGTATGAGAACGAGCGTCAGCTTGCGATGACCAGTGCAAGTCTCTAGCGTGACCTTATCAGTCTTTCCGGGTACCCGATCGCTTCAAGCCAGACGTACAATGGGAAAAGTGATATCGTGTCGGTTTCAGATGCGGAGACTGAGATGCGAGTTGCGAGCGGTCGAGTGTGTCGAATCGACAGGTCGAAGTGGTGTGGACTACTCCACCACATCAGTGACAACAAGAGGTTGTATAAGTAAACAGATAGGTCCTTCACTCAGCTGTCCCAACGTCTTGAAACTCTCCCTTCTATCATACCATTGTGCATCATGGCACAAACCCAGACTGCAGTCCAGCTCGACGCCAAAATTGGCGTAAAGGGAGCTTCTGCTCCCATCGAGCCCGCTGACAATGCAGCTCAGCCTTTGGCTCACATCATTCATGGTGGCGTCCAGTGCCCACCAGCAGAAGCCTGGACTCCCTTTGGATGGGAAGAGCCTGGCCATGGGAAGCAGATTCATGGAGAAGTGACGATCTTTCGTCCTTTCGGGACTACTGGCAAGCTCATGGCCGGTTTCTGGAGAACTGGTCCGACTTCTCCAGGCTGCAATAAAGACGGCTCACATGTCATCAGGTACTCCTCCCCACTGGGCGATGAGACCGCATGCGTCATCGATGGCACTGCCACTTTGACAGTTCTGGGCACTGGCAAGAAGTTTCGTGTCGGACCAGGCTCCATCATCAGCTCACCACATGGCCTGGAGGTTGAATGGGCGATTGAAGGGCCATATTTCAAGAAGTTCTGGGCAATCTTTGGGTCTGGCGATGCCGCTACTCCAAAAGTCAGCCCGCCACTCGAGCTACAAGTCAATCACGTATCCGATGACCCTCCAGAGTGGACTGAATACCACTTCGTCGAGCCCAAAGAAGGAGCTCAAGTGTGTGGCGAACTGTACTTCATCCGCGATCGTGGCTCTTCTGCGTCAACCATGTTAAGCGGAGTCTGGCGTTGTGGCAAAGGTATCGCAGCTTCGCATATCCAAGACGATGGCACTGTGACGACGCCATATACTGGCACGCTGGGAGATGAGACTATTTTGCTGTTGGAAGGTCAAGTCGAAGTTACCGAAACTGCTTCGGGAAAGAAGCATCAGTTCAAGGCAGGAGATGTGATTGGTCTGACTTCGGGTATGCACATCACTTGGGTATCGAAGGGTCCATTTTGCAAGAAGTTGTGGGTTATTTCGAGGGATGTGTCTAGTGCGTGAAGCTTGAATGATTCGGTCGTGACTGAAATTGACCTCGAGATGATGCTGTTCTTGGTGTGTTTGTGTCTTTACATAAGACTGAATCTTGCGATGATGTTGTCCTTTAAGTTGTTGATAGTTGTATGAAAAACTGTTGTTCTGCTTGAGAAACTGCATCGTACCACGCCAAGGATCCCAATCGTGCGTGTCATCCATTCGGTCCTGGTCCTAGCGCCGGCCAATGCTTGCATGTGATGATCGCATGAGCTCTCTCCACACAACAGTGAGCAGCCAAATCTCACCTCAACAAACGCCTCCGCGTTGCCCACCCTCTCTTCTTTTCACCATGAACAATACAACACCACATCCCTCTCGACTTGCCCTCCCACCGCGATGTCGTCCTCAGCGAAGAAGCCGACCGCGATAGTGATCGGCTCTGGCGTTGGCGGCGTCAGCACTGCTGCCCGCCTGGCTCGCGCAGGCTTCCACGTCACCGTCCTCGAGAAGAACAACTTCACCGGCGGTCGCTGCAGTCTCATCCACTATGACGGCTACCGATTCGATCAAGGGCCCTCGCTCCTCTTACTCCCCGGCCTCTTCCATCGCACTTTCGCAGAGCTCGGAACGAGCTTAGAGCAGGAAGGCGTAAAGCTTTTGAAATGTGAACCGAATTACATGATCCACTTCTCCGATGGCGAGAAGTTCACCTTGTCAAGTGATCTGAGTGTCATGAAGAGGGAAGTAGAAAAATGGGAAGGAAAAGAAGGATATACACGCTATCTCGAATTCCTGAAAGAGAGTCATGGACACTACGAGTTGAGTGTACGAGAAGTCTTGCTCAGGAACTTCGAAGGCTTGACAGCAATGCTGCGTCCTGAGTTTCTACGACATCTGTTACAATTACATCCTTTTGAAAGCATTTGGACAAGAGCGGGGAAATATTTCTGGACAGAGAGGCTGAGGAGAGTCTTTACATTTGGAAGCATGTATATGGGCATGAGCCCGTTTGATGCGCCGGGCACGTACAGTCTGCTGCAGTATACGGAACTGGCAGAGGGGATTTGGTATCCTGTGGGGGGATTTCACCGGGTTGTGGAAGCGCTGGTCAGGATTGGGGAGAGGGAGGGAGTGGATTTTAGGATGGAGACCGCTGTGAAAAAGATCCTGCTGAGTGAAGATGGAGGTGCTGCAAGAGGTGTGGAACTGGAAGATGGGACAAGATTGGAGGCGGATGTGGTGGTCAACAATTCAGACTTGGTGTATGCATACGAGAAGCTGTTGCCGATCAAGACACCATATGCAGAGAGCTTGAAGGGGAGACCTGGGAGCTGTTCGAGTATATCCTTCTATTGGGCGTTGGATCGACAAGTACCAGAACTGGAGGCGCACAACATCTTTCTAGCAGACGAGTACCGGGAGTCATTTGACAGCATCTTCAAGAAGCACCTGATACCAGACGAGCCGAGCTTCTACGTCAACGTTCCGAGCAGAGTCGACTCTACCGCCGCCCCAGAAGGAAAAGATTCTGTCGTGGTATTAGTACCCGTAGGCCATCTCCTCGAAGAAGATCGCCACGCCTCACAAGCACCTCAACAGTCAGCATCGCAGAACGGACACATCTCCTCCGCCTCTCCAACAGACCAATCAGGCCTCACCCCAACAGAAAAACAAAACTGGCCCGCCATGATCTCTCTCGCCCGAACAACCATCCTCTCCACAATCCAATCCCGCACAAACGTCGACCTCACCCCCCTTATAATCCACGAATCCACCAATTCCCCTCTCTCATGGAAACAAACCTTCAACCTCGACCGCGGAGCTATCCTCGGTTTATCCCATTCCTTTTTCAACGTCCTCTGTTTCCGCCCTAAAACTCGCGCTCGCAAACCGGGTGCGTTCGATGCGCAGCTTTTGAAATTAGGAGTTGTGGGGAGAGCAGCGGAGGTTATTATTGATGCGTTTAGAGGGAGGAGTAAAGATATCAAGGGGCTGTATATGGTTGGGGCGAGTGCGCATCCGGGGACTGGAGTGCCGATTTGTTTGGCTGGAGGGGCGTTGGTTGCGGAGCAGATTTGTGGGGATTATGGGGTGGAGATTCCGTGGAAGGAGGAGAGGAAAAGGGATGATGTGGGAGGGAAAAGGAAGTTGGATGTGTTGGAGAGGCCGATGTGGTTGGATAGTTGGGAGCAGTGGGTTAGTGTGTTAATTTATGTGTTGGTGGCGATTTTCGCTTGGCTCTGGGTGAAGTTTCGATGATGAGGGCGAAGGGAAAGCTGGGATGAGGCTGGTGCATGAAAGGAAGACGATATGGCTACGTTCAGAACATCTATAGAACGATCTTCAAGCTACGACAAAGCAATCCAAGTATCATCTCCTGATACCAAGTCGGCCAACACTGAAGCCGCGCCTACACAGCACTCTGTGCCTCATACCATGGCCTTAGCTCGCTCTCAGAACCAAATTGCAGGACGTCAACGTGATCGGGCTTTCACTAATTTGCGAATGCTCCGCTTATACAGAACCAAGACCATCGAACTACTTTGACAGTGAGGAGTCTTCGCTTCTACGTTCTGTGATTCGCTGCCCCGTATGCAGGTCGTACAGGAACAGGGTTGACAATATCACAGATCGTGCGTCGTAGTCGTGGCCTGATAAATCCATCTTCCGATCGGCCTCATGTAACTCTTGTCACTCAGCTTCAGTTGTCCATTTTGGGGCGTGGCACTTTGAGGAACAAGGAAATAGGCCAGGAAATACCGTGTTTCGCAATATAGTTCGCATGCCTACAGATTAGGGCGTGACAAAGTACAAAGGACTTCACAGCGAGCCAGGATAAGTCGTACTGTATTTTGACCTTGCGAAGGCAACTTGAAGTCTTGAATGCGGCTCCGGTCCTTGGAACGCAGCCAGGAATTGGCCGTTTCGATATACTGCTGTGGTTGATACGTACCGGTAAATGCCGGCCGGGAGATACTTAGTCGTGTGACATTGGCGGTGCTTTCGTAACCCTTGTGGTACAGGCAGTCGTACAGGGTTCTCCTCAGGTACTGGACCTTGGCGGTCGCCAGACAAGTTCTTTGCTAGACTTTCTTGTTTAGCAGCAAGCGCAAATTACATGTCTTGTGATGGCCTACAAGAAAATTCGCCGTACATTTGCCGCGAAGATGGGAATGCTGGGAGACACTGGACGTGCTTGAGACAATCCGTGCGGAGCCCCAGAGTCTCAGTGATGAAAGTACTGTACTCTGCGGTGCCGTCTTCAAGCTCTGCTGGTACATCTGCGCCAAGGGAGGTGAGTGAGCCGGGTCATGTGCTGGACACACATATTTCCCGATTCGCTGTGATAGCAGGACGTGCTATCTATCGGCGTGGTGGCCTGATATGGTAGAATGCTGCTGTAGGTTCGTGGCTGCTTTTGCGGTGTACAGTGTACAGCAGTCGCACAATTGAGGGGGATTGGCGCTACTGCAGTGACTTGTTCTGTTTGAAGCTGTGACTTATCTTTCGCATTGCCTTTTCGCTTTTCGCAACTCTGCTCAGCTGGCCGCCCTTCCTCCCGCTGGCGTTGGCGAGAGTTCGAAACAGGTCTCATCTGGTATCGTATGAACATGTTCACGTTGCTGTTCCAGGACTCTAGAATGCTGCTCCTGGTCGCACGAGGGGTTTTCAAACTGCAGGCATGATCTTGTCGAAGGACAGCGACTGTCGTGGACTGCATGTTTGACGTGGGTTGTCCTTGTAAATTGATACAGTACATGTCGCAGTGCATGGGGTTATGTCAGTGGCTGAAGCTCTTGCCACGACTGAACCTGATTGCAGCGGACCTGTGCCCGTCGCAATCGCACCTTCCTGCGGTCGATCGTGTGGCTTGTGGAAGCTGCATTGATATTGGGCGCTGATCTGTACGATACCAAAAACGCAAATGCTCTTCTTCTTGGCCAGCCAGCGAGCCAGTCTCCACCGGCGACGAGCTTGATTGTACAAGATTTTGCTTCGCTGAGATCATGATGAAGTCGGAGGGCGTGGGCGCGGTGCAGGCCGAGCCGAGCGGATGCACGATTGCGGAGCAAAATGGTTGTTGTCATTGCGCGTGTGACGGCACGCGGCCAGACCAGCGCGGTAGGGAGTGGACGGTATGCGGTGGAAGCGGTTATGTAGGCAGTGCGCAGCGCGTCCCATACATCGTCCGTTATCTCCTGCGCTGGTGTGCAGAGATGGCCGGCGTTCTGCCCGATCGCTGCGGCGCGAGAGTGATGCACGTCTGTCAAAAGTGGTGGAGAGCGACAAGCTTCGACAAGGTTGGCGCTACGCAGCGCCAATGCCATCTGGTGACCGCATCTCTTCTCTCATCCACCCATCATCTACCACTCGCCCGATCTCGTCAAGCGCATCACCGCAATTCGGCAGAGTCGAACTATGCATCAGACCACCCCTGCCGTGCCCTCTCGGTGCTGCTGCTGCTGCTGCTGTCGCGGTCGCTGTCGAGACGGCGTGATACAGCGCGCGCGCCTTGCGGCAATGCCTTCGAGCCACTACTAAACCAGACGCATTCCTGTTACTCAAGACAAAGTCCCTTGGACTTGGCCGCCGAGCTCGCTTCCGGTGCAGCTTCCGGCGCGATGCAGCACGGCGATCATAGATGACCTGCCGACACTGGTGGGAACTCGGCACAGGCCGTTGGATGAGTGAGTCGCGCTATCATTGCATATGCTTCTGCCGGGTCGTGCGGCAGGTGATTTGAAAATGCACCTCGAGCAAAGTGACAACGTCATTATTGTCGTGCAAGAGTGCAAACACTGCGCTCCGGCATAAACAAAAGCTGCACACGCGCGCCTCAAGTGCTTCTTCCTCCCATCCACCACACCTGAGCAGCATTCCACACTTTCGCCGCAGCTGTCGACCACCACAGCAGCAATCATGTCCAACGACGCTCTGAACGTCAACGGCGCCAACGTCAATGGCGGCCGCACCGCCGAGATTGCACTCACTGTGCGCGGTTCCGACTGGTACTGGGCCGTCTGCGCTGTCATGACTGTCTCGACGTTCGCCTTCTTGGGACTCGGAATGAGGAAGCCACGCCATGATCGCATCTTCCACTACATTACCGCCAGTGTCACCATGGTGGCTGCCATCGCCTACTTCTCCATGGGCTCACATTTGGGATGGACACCCATCGACGTCGAGTTCGAGCGCAGCGATCCCCGCGTTGCAGGCGTGGCTCGTGAGATCTACTACGTTCGCTACATCGACTGGTGAGTGCATACAGCGAGCATCAAATTCCTGTTCAAGACTGACCAGGTGCAGGTTCATCACCACGCCCCTTCTGCTCACCGACCTGATGTTGACTGCTGCGATGCCATGGCCCACAACTGCCTTTGTGGTCCTGGTCGACGAAGTCATGATTGTCACTGGTCTTGTGGGAGCACTTGTCTCTTCCAGCTACAAGTGGGGCTATTTCGTGTTCGGATGCGTTGCGCTTGCCTACATTGTCTACGTCCTTGTTTGGGAGGCACGCAAGCACGCCAACGGCATTAGCTCCGATGCTGGCAAGGCTTTCCTCTACTGCGGCTCTTTGACCGCATTCTTGTGGATCCTCTACCCGATTGCATGGGGCGTGTGTGAGGGCGGAAACGTGATCGCCGTCGATTCCGAGGCCATCTTCTACGGCATCCTCGATCTCCTCGCCAAACCTGTCTTTGGCGCTCTCCTCATCTGGGGTCACCGCAACATCACCCCTGCGCAGCTCGGACTTACCATCCACGATTACGGTGGAGACGACCCAGTCGTTCACCACGAGAAGACTGGAGCCAATCACGGACACACTGGACATCCTGGTGACAACCCAGTTCTCAACAACGGAACCAATGGTCACACCAATGGCCACACCAATGGCAACGCTGTTTAAGATGAGAGCACCTTTCAAAACATCGCTCCCTGGCTCGACAGGACAAGGGGAAAAGAGCTGAGGTCCACAGGAGACGACTTGACATGATGCGTTGCCTGGCGCTGTGTTTGCTGCGTAACAGTTACCCAGAACGCGTTTGCAACGACGATGAAATGATACTACGCAGCTGATGATCAGTTCGTAATGATAGTTAGCTGTGCAGTCAGCTTAGTCTATACTGCTTAATAACCGCAAATGATACCACTCATCTTTGGTTGAAGCTTTTCTGGCCCCTTTCTGTCTCGCCCGCATATGCCTGTAGCCCCGCAAATTGTGATGATTACCGCAGGCCTCTTTCCTAAAGTGTGACGCCGGCCGTCTGGGATGATGCTCGTGATCTTCTAGTTGCAAGGATCCACATGGCACTTGGCAAGGATGCTGACGAGCTTAGTGCCACAAGTGCAAATCCCTCCGCCTTGTTTCTCGTATCTCACTTCTCGACAGACGCGACGTTCCAAGCACACCTCACGAGGCCAAGACGCGTTCGCATCGTCAACCATGAGTGCGTCTGCGAATTGTGGTTTCCAGGCACGGAGCGGCTGGGTCGAGCCTGCGACTCGGACATGGCGATGGTCCGACGCACGAAGCTTTCCTGTCCGCTGAACAATTTCCTCGGGCCTGATTGTGATCAGTAGCTGGACATGCACTTTGCGTTTGCGGTATATGCAACACGCCTCCCAAGGGGCCAGAGCAGCAGTTGCGTTCGCGCAGACGTCACTGCCTGCGAACGGCGGGAAGAGCAGCCGACACTGACCCAGCTCACGCACACCTGCAAACTCGGCGACATGTCCAGGTCATCCCACCTGGTCGGAAAACACCTCGGGCAGCGTGCGGATGCCTTCTTTCTGTCGCCTCTTCCCTGCGACCACGACTGGCCCGAAGCTCTACCCGATTGAGCCTTCACCCTAGGCGGCCACTTTAGTAACAGCGGGCAGTCTGGCCAGAAAACACTCAGTTCTATCCTTGCTGAGCGACTCGCTGCTTTCATAACCCCTCGCTACTCTGGTCAACAAGGCGCGACTCCCCCAGTTCTACGCTGGTTCTCCATCCGTAGATCAACAACACGCAGATCTCGCGACCACGAGATGTGAATTGGCACCTCTCGGCCTTCCTCAGCATGACCAACGGTGATCAGGATGTCGCTCCCTACAGTCCGTTGATCACCATCGATGGACAAGAATACTTCCCTCCACCGTACAGCAAGCCGACGCTCAGCGACAATCACCGGCATAGCATAATACCATTTGCCACTCTCGCGACAATCTCGGTCGGCAGCTGCATAATCGTCATTGCAGTCATCCTCCTGCGCATGGTCAGATGGAGAGGCCACTACAAGACATGGCTGGGCTACAATCAATACGTCGTCCTGGCACTGAACCTGTTGATTGCAGATCTCCAGCAGAGCGCCGCTTTTCTCGTAAGCTGGCACTGGTACCGTATCAACGCGATCCTAGCACCTTCGACGCCATGCTTCGCGCAAGCCTGGCTTCTGCACTCTGGAGACATGAGTAGTGGCTTCTTTGTACTTGCCATCGCCGTGCACACGTACTTCACTGCCGTGCACGGCAAACGGCTGAGTAATCGAACTTTCATGGCAATGATCGCTGGAGTCTGGATCTGGTCATATTTTCTCACTGCGATTGGAATCTGGATCCGCGGACGGGACAAGTACTTTTCAGCTGCTGGATCTTGGTGCTGGGTCTCGACTAACTTCGAGGCCGAGAGGTTGTGGTGCCATTATATCTGGATCTTCATCATTCAATTCGTCACGATCATTCTCTACATGGGCACATTTTTCTCGCTGAGAAAGAAGACCAAAGAGCTGCTGTCAGATGGGGAGACACCTCCATATGGTCTCACTGCTGCGACAGTTCGGGCTGTTAATCGTATTGCGAGACTCATGATGCTGTACCCTTTCGTGTACATTGTGTTGACATTGCCTCTGTCAGCAGGTGAGGAGCAGCCACCACATCCTCCCACTAGTGCAAACTCGCTGACCTTGTCTAGGACGAATGTGGACTATGGCTCATGATAGCAGACCGACTAGTCATGCATACAGTGCCATGGCAGGCTCTCTCCTGACGTCTTGTGGCTGGATAGACGCGCTGTTGTATACCTTGACGCGCAGGCGACTGCTGCGAGACACAATGCCGGGAACATCCTACGGAACTGCGAATAGTGGTCGCGAACCCAAGGAAGGCGCGCAAGGCCGCAATGTCGGTATCACCGACGAATCCTCAGCAATGGATCTTACCCCACTGACCCCAGATGCTGCAAGGGGAGACGGATTGTTCGTGACTGGGCGAAACCGCTCGGCCTTCTCGCCGCGAAGCACCCAACGTGACAGCATGGACGACATGCTCACTGGCCATAGCGTGCGTCGAGGTTGGAATTGGAAGCCCAAACGTTTGAAGACAGACAGTCAAGAGCTGGAGACTGATGGCGAAGTCTTGACACCGCCTCCGGCATACATGGATACTCGTGCGAGTAGAATTTATTAGGAAGATCGTGTTGGATCGCCCACGCAAGGTGTATGATTTTATGATATGAGGGAGAGTGATGTGATGTAGCGAGGAGTGTGTGGTGAGCTGGAGGTTCGAGTGACACTAATTCGAGTGCGACAGATCCGGTCATCGATACAATTATGTTCAGCGAGTTCGCAAGACCTATGACTGATTTTTGCTCCACCACTCTTCAGACTCGAATTCATTCTCATTGAGATTCCTCGTAGAAAATTTCGCGTCCGCCTGCACAAATGCCGCTACCGCCACCGCCTTCTTCCTCGGTCTTGACATCGCCACAGCTCCTCGTCTACTACCCGCCCTTCGCCCTCCCATTCAACCCCATATACGCAAACCTTTTCTCACTCCCCTCTCTGAAACACCTTCAACCCACCATCCCTCTGAAGCAAATACAACAACTCCGCTTCTTTAATCTCTCCACCCTCGCCATCACCTCCATCCTCATCATCAGTTTCATCCCCTCCAACAGCAAAATAATCCCCTCCCTTCGTGATCCTCAACACCCCGCTCACATCTTTCGCCGCTCCGGTCTCCAATTCTCGGACACTGAATAACACTCGACTAGCATGTGCTTGAGTGACGATGAATGCGGAGGATTCTGTTTCGAGTGGCGATGCAAAAGAAGAGGAAGTTTCAGGTGATGCGGCGGCAATGAGTGGCAAATCTGCGGATAAGGAGAGGTAGGTGGAGTGGATTTGAGGAATTGAGCGGAGGTTTAGGAGGAAAGTTGAGAGGTCTTGGGATGTTAGGGTGGGGTGGTGAGTGGCGAGGAGGAGGTCGGGTTGGTCGAGGATGAGGAGGATTTTTGGACTGGACTGTGGGTTTTCTTCTTGTGAGAGTCTGGATATTGCGGTTGAGATGCGTGATTGTGTTTCTTGCAGGCTTGCTGTTGGCGTAGTGTTAAAGCAATCCACAAATCCGAATCGTTTGGCATAGAGAGGTTTAGAGATGTCGATGCCCTTTTTGACCCAATTATCACATATCAGTACCACTGCTCAATTCGCATCCTCAATAATGAAGAAAGGTCTCACTCACCGCAACCCTCCGCACCTCATCCTGCCAAAACTTCAAATCTCTCATCCAACTCACGACCAACACCGCAACATCTTGCTTTTCACCATCATCACTCTGCTGTCCTTCTAGTCCTGTCGTCGACAAAGAACCAAAATTCTGCAAAGCACTCCCAATAAACCTCGCAGTAAGCCAATTGACGCTACAGCCCAAAGTGGAAGTCAGCAGGATGAGGGAAGTTTCCGGCGGTAAGCGCAAATAAGGCTCGAGGGCTGAAGGCGGGGCTTTGGTTGTCATTTTTTTTTTTGCTTCTTGTTGGAGTGAGATCCGTTTGCGGGAACTTGTTTGTCGGATGCGCGAATTGCCGTTGTGATGCGAGAAGGAAGTGAAGTGATGTGGATTGGTGGATTGGACGTGCGTCTGAGTCGAATTTGGGAATTCGTCAAGTCGGATTCGGGAAAAAGCGGAGAAACTCGAAGAAGCAGTGCCAATACAGTACCACCAACGAAGCTGATGATGCCCTAAGCAATTCAGAGGACGCGACGAAAGATTGAGACCTCTCATATTCGTAAACATTAAGGTATAGTAGAAAAAACCTATACATGTCGAAACCACTCCTGCCCATCATACAGCACGCCTTTCTTACTGGTCTCTTCCACCTGTATCAGACTCCTCCCCGCATCTGCCACGCATTGCTCCAATGGAATGTATCGCAGTCCGAGTTCGGCTCTCGACTTTGAGTTATCAACTTCGTAATGCTCCGAAGGCTTTGCACTCTTCGGGTCCGGAATCTTGTGCGCCCGTTCCGGGAATGCCTTGCGAAGCGCCGAAGCGACATCAGCATACGAGTAAGTCCCACAAGCGACCAGGTACCGCTCGTTCTTCTTGGTATCTTTTTCATACGCTTTGAGGTGTGCTTGCGCTACGTCTCGCACGTCGACGAAGACTGGAAAGGACGTGTCGGGAATGCCTTTCTCGGAGAGGGAGCCATCGAGGAATCGCCATATGTCTGCAGAGCTGGTATTGAGACTTTCGATGCTTATCGTATGCGCGAGAGGTCCATATATCATTGGCGGACAAATTGCTGCGATCGTAAAGTTGGGCTGATGCTCTTCGACAAACTCGTGCGCGGCTTTCTCTGCAAATGTCTTGGACGCTAGATAGCCAGTGACTGCGTCTCCAGTCTTGGCCTCGTCATATGTAATTGGACTCCAGTCCTTTTCGGAGTACGTGTGTCCAGCATGGAGACCTTGCTTTGGATCGAGAATGGCAGCGAAAGATGAAGTGATGACCACTTTTTCGACTTGAGGCGCATTTTCGGCGACTGATCTCAAGACGCTTCTTGTCCCTTCGATTGCGGGACGCAACAGGTCACGTTCGTTATCTTCCCCAATCGGACCACAAGGTGAAGCCGTGTGAACAACGCCATCGACTCCTTTGACAGCGTCGTCGAACGCGCCTACTTTCGTGATGTCGTCGACGACGGCGTGTTCAAGATGTTGTTCAAACTTGGCATGCGTCTTCATCACCTTGTCGCCTTTTGCAGGGGTGCGGACTGTTGTCCGGACACGGTATCCGGATGTGAGGAATTGGTTGATGACCCATGTAGCAACGAAGCCCGTTCCTCCGGTGATCAGGACCAGTGATTTCTCCGAGTCGAAATGATGTGACGTGTTGGATGTCACGTTCTTGACTTTGCCCATCGCATGCGCAGCTGCATTGTTGATCTTGACCGCCGCGTTGACCATTTTCACGCGCCGAGTGAGCTTGAGCGAGGCTTGGAAGGCTTGCCGTGCCGTTGTTCGCGTTGATTTATACGTCGCGAATGGCACACGCGCGACATCATTGTGAGCCGTACGTGGTTGGCACTTTCAGCATGGCACATGTTCAGTGGGGCTGACGCAAGCTTGACGTTGTTTCCGACAGACACCCGACCTGACAGTCTTCACAGCGCGTTCTTGCTGGTGCAAAGCCCGAATTCGGTAACGTCAAGTCCCAGTGTGTGACTATGCTTGCTTCACAAAAGCCGCTTTGTAGCGCTGTGCGATCTTTCGTAGTCCGTGTTCATGTCGAGACGCGCTTCGGCCGTTTTCAGTCAATGTTCCTTCGAAGCTGAACTCACAGCGACTGCTGTTCATCGACTATTAGCTTCACTCGATGGAGCTGGTGTTGGAAAAGAGCTCGTAGGCAGTTCGACGTTCACAACTTGGAGCGGCCAGGCGACGAGTGGTCTCCATGCAGACGGCAATAACCTGCACAGTAAGGGTATCTGCCGCTGACCGATACCTTCGAACCAGGGAAAGCGCTCCTCGCTCAGCTTCATCGTGGCAAACACATGAGCGAGCATTGCAGCTGCTCTATGTTCACTTGCTTCGACAAGTTCGCCAAATCGGATCGGAACACGCGCTGGCATGGCCATTACTCTTCGACCAGTGGCAAGTGGCGAGTCGGTGCCGTTGGTCACGCCTTTATACATCAAGCCAATGTAGCTCAAAGTCCGCTCGTAAGCGAATTTGTCTTCGTGCTTGATCTCGTGACCATCGACCGGGAACAGAAGATACTCGAAGCCCTGCTGATGGTCTTTTCGGAAAAGCTCAACCTCGTCCGAGAGGTCAGGCTCGCCATACATGGCCCCGGCTGCGCGAGCCAGGTCAGCATGCTTCAAAAGGCGTTTGTCGACGAGGAGTAATGTACTCACCTTCGGAGAGCCAAGAAGGCCCTACCCAATCTTCCCATTGTTTGATCAGGAAAAGTACACCACGACTCAGCTGGAACCATTTCAAAGGGTCAAGCATTAGCGACTCTTCCGCAGGCTCATTCAGGGTGAACAGGGCGTAGTAGGAGATTAGCACGGATGCCAGATAGGCGGCTCTGACGTTGCTGACTGACAACACTGCGACGGCCTTTTGATGTCCGTCGAGGGCACGAGTGAAATACCTCCTCGATCTCTCCAGCATTTCCGCGTGATCATGAGGAGGGATCACAGTGATGCTGCCTCTGCTCGACAGGCCGTTCATCGTCTGCTTAGCCTTGTTCCATTCGATAGAGGCGGGTTGCTCCGGGAGCGAGTTAGCAGTGTTGACCGCCGCATCGGCATGTATCAGTCGGCCTTCGAGCGATGACCAGTATCTTGGTTTTGCACGCGAGGCATGGAGTGCTGTCAAAGCCATCATGGCATCTTGAACCCACGGGTACTCGAAAGCTATCATGGGGCACTGGTGTTTCCAGAATTCCCAAACCGTGGAGAAGGATGTGCAGGTGAAGGCAGTCCATTCGTACATGAGTCGGAGTTCTATCGCGTGTTCGGCAGCGTTGGCTTGATTCGCGGTCTCTGCGCCGGGAGCGTGAGTACGATACGGGTCAATCGGGTACTCGCAGAGCACGGCATGCCGAATACAGGCGCCGCATCTCGGTCTCTCCTCTGTGAAGTGACTTAGCTCTGGATGCATCGAGCCCGTAGTGCCTGTAGATACCGTCGCATTTCACTTTTCGCGCTTTGCACCTGCTGCAGCCCTACACAGAGTCAGCTGGGCTAGGCTCATGACACCAAGAACGAGTGGCATCACACCGTACGCGTCTTTCGATGCGGGACGCGAGGAGCCATCTACGCGTTGGAGACCAGCTTCGGACGACAACCGAGCATCCGGCCTCGTGCTTCACGCCGCTCTGTTGTTCATTTCTCGCCTCGCCGAAAGTTTGATGAGGAGCTGCGAGACTTCGAAACGCAAGCCCCGATTCGAGGCGTGCGGCAGTGTGACGTCGTGCCCGACATTCCGGGCCTCGAGCACAACAACAGGGAATCTGGGGGAGATGGACAACATGACGCGCCAGAACGCGTCTTGCCAGTACAGTAGTTGAGTCTTGTACTTGTCGAGCGGAGGACGAGCAGGTAATCAAAGTGTTGCTCTGAAGGAGGCGCGACGCGACACGTGGGAAGCTTGGAGAGAAGGAACCGTTCCGACTCGCGCGGCATTTGCTCGGACACTTTTTTGTCGCAGCACCTTGGTTTCTCAAAAAGATCAACCTGCGATTCGACAAGTTTCCACGACATCACGAGAGAACAGAACGTGTAACACGGCCACGGCAAGAATTTTGACGCGTCGAGGGCAGAAAACCAGCGTGTCAGCGGAGGAGGCCCATCTTTCACAGCGGATTGCTCAGCGCTTCCTTTGAACACACAGCAAGACCACATCAAAAGCGGTCAACATGGGATACATACGACAAGAGGCGCTGCCGCGTCTCAAAGAGTACAAGTACTCGGGTCAGCATTACTGCATCGTGTTTTATAAACTGCAGAACTAACTCAGTATTTGTAGGTGTCGACCACAGCCTCGTTTCACGATATGTTCTCAAGCCGTACTGGTGGAGCAAAGTCATCGAGCTGTTCCCGCTCTCCATGGCACCAAATGCCATAACGTTGACCGGTTTCGGCTTCGTCGTGATCAACGTCCTTACTATGCTCTACTACTCGCCAACTCTGGATCAGGAATGTCCGCCTTGGGTCTACGCGTCTTGGGCTATTGGTCTCTTCCTGTACCAGACCTTTGACGCGATTGATGGTACTCAAGCGCGCCGGACGCGTCAAAGTGGTCCACTGGGCGAACTCTTCGACCATGGAGTCGATGCTGTCAATACTAGTCTGGAGGTGCTGCTCTTCTCCGCTGCGATGCAATTTGGCCAAGGTTGGAAAACGGTACTGGTCTTGTTCTCCAGTCTATTGACGTTCTACATCCAAACCTGGGACGAATATCACACCAAAACACTGACGCTAGGATTCATCTCTGGCCCGGTGGAAGGTATTCTCACTTTATGTGTCGTTTACGGCATAACCGCATATACCGGTGGCAGCTACTGGCGGAAGCCGATGCTCTACGCTCTGGGCATTCCCGAATTTGACCTCCTACCGCGCACACTCTACGAGATGGATTTCGGAGATTTCTACATAGTCCTTGGCGGCATCGTGCTCGTGCCATCTGTCGTCGGTAGCGCCCTGAACGTGATGGAGGCGAGGCGGAAGCGCGGCGAGAAGACGCGTATAGCGCTCCTTGGCCTGTTGCCATTCTTTGGTACATGGGCCCTGATCGCGGTCTACCTGGCACTGCAGCCCATCATTCTGCGCGAACATTTGGTGCCATTCGTGCTCTACGCCGGGATGGTGAATGCTTACAGTGTCGGAAGAATGATCACTGCGCATCTCACCAAATCGCCATTCCCATACCGCAACATCCTGGCACTTCCGTTGGCATACGGCGTGATTGACTCGATTGGGCCGGTACTCCTGCAGAAGTTCGGGATCGGCTGGTACAGCTCACTCGGCGATGGTGTCTATCAGGTCGCCTTCCTCTTCACGTGCGTTGGACTGGCATTTGGCGTTTACGGTAGCTTCGTCGTCGATGTGATCGTTGACATCTGCGATTACTTGGACATCTGGTGTCTTACGATCAAGCACCCGTACACAGCCGAGACCGAGCAAACGGCGGAAAAGCACATCAACGAGAAGAAGGCGGCTTAGATATACTTTGGCTGCAGCACTTCTGGTCACACGACCACCTGCCTGCTTCGGACAACTTTTCCGGCGAACACTTTGGATCCACCATCGGCAAACTGGGGTCATGCATTAGAGCGTTGATGGTTGGAGCTCGCGCAGGAAGCAGACGATATATATAATCCTCTTCGTGCAAGCCTCCGCGTAATCTCGATGCCTCTTTCGATTCATCTACGATATTGGGCGCCTTGATTTCTGGTTCTCTAGGATTGCAACGACTCGAACATGTCCAGCACCCGGACACATGATAACAATTTGAACAACGACAACATGGCAAGTTCCTCCTCCGTCATTCTACTCGTGCTGAGCTGGCTTGGCTCGACCCTCGACTCTGGCCGCACAAGGCCACTGCTCGGCGAAGGACGGAACTAATGACGTGCCCAGTCTGACACTCTGTCACTGATCTTTGCGTCGATGAGAGATATCCTGTTCTCACAGCGAGCTCCGGAAACGAGATTGAAGGTCCCGCTTGGAGTTCCAGCCGGCTACGACAGTAGCACAAGTTGCACCAAGGACGACACGGCCTCTGGCAATGCGGGTGCACGCTCTGCTGCAGAAGGACAACATGACGACGATCAGTCAAAGTGAGACCGACATGCGACTGGAAATCTACATTCGATGCGAAGGCAATTTATAGCACACAGCACCAGGAAAATCGAGTTTACGTGGAAGAGTGTTGGGTCCTCGAGGATGCTGCTGTGGAACAGAACGCTCTAGCTTCACGCTGAAGTGCCAGCAGTGGTCGGACATGGGCTGCGGCATTGCAAGCAGCAACATCGTACAGACATATATGTAGAGCAATGGATGATGTTTGCTGCCTGTTGGAGGCTATTGGAGGTAAATGGCGGCGGCCGTTGGCGGGACGTGTGCAGCTGACCACTGTTTCCGTCGATCCGCCGTCAATATTTGACGTGGTTGCCCGTATGCACGCCCCTCACTTGTCGCCTACATGTACATGTAACCTTACGTGGTGGTGCAGGTCCGCAGTGGGCTTGGTCTTGCTTGCACATCTCTTCCAGCTCGGACATGCTCGAGTTCAACAGTGTTCCATACCAATTTGTGATAGACTGACCACGTCACTCGTGCCCAACATTCACCCTCGCACCGCGCACGAGCATCCCCGCGAGGTCAAAGCGGCTTCTAGGAGGCTTCGACGAATCGGCTCCAAGAAGGCTATTGCTGACCTCGCTGTATACTGCGGCTTGAGGCAGCGACACGATCCCCGGTTCGAGCACGCGACGATGCGGTAGCAGTATTTCTTCCACCTGCTCCGCCTACAACACCCGCGCCGCGCCCATGCGCACGCGATCGCGCATACAATGACACGCGAAGGCAGTGGAGGCGGCGGCGCCTTGCCGTCTGCGCATGGGACCTCGAGCCAGACCTTCCTGCCAGAGGCCGTCTACGGACAGCGGTCTAAGCACCCGCAGCCTTCGAGCATCAACATCGAGCCCACCAGCGCGCCCTCGAGTACGCCCGCCAGCAATAAATCTGCGCCCGCGGGGACCTACAGGCCGAGCACCGCGGCCTCGACGAATTCGCAGCCGAGCGTGCAGCATGCCCGGAATGGCTATCACGATGATGATGATGAGGACTCAGATGAGGATCATGGCCTCCAGTTACAGGCGAACGGTCGAAAAACTGCGGCCTCCAAGCCGACACTTTCGCGGACGAGAAGCGACTTCGGTCAAGGCGCGCATCGTCAGCAGAACGGCTATATGAACGGGAAGTCGAGCGAAAAGAAGAAGGACGAAGACATGGCTATGAGACATGGATGGGAGGCACAATTGCAGAACGAGGAGGCCGCGAAGAATCTCAGTGAGAACTTCTTCATGTACTACGAGGACAAGCGGCACGAGACTGCTGGGAACTTGCCTCCCGATTTCGACCCCAAGCACATGGTCACTGAGTGGCGCATGAAGGATCGGCTCAAGACTGTGTCGGCACTCTTGTCCGTCTGTCTGAATGTTGGCGTTGATCCGCCCGACGTGATCAAGACGAATCCTTGTGCTCGACTGGAGTGTTGGGTCGATCCCGTTCCACAGGATAGTACCAATCAGAACTCTAATAACACTAATGCTCAGATTGGTAAGAACCTCCAGTCACAGTACGAAAACCTGTCCCTCCGAACGCGATACAAGGCTATTATGGATCCCACGATCGACGAATTGAGGAAGTACACATTGCAACTACGGAAGACCGCGCATGCAGAGCGGATTCTCTTTCACTACAACGGCCACGGAGTACCAAAGCCGACGCAAAGCGGTGAAGTCTGGTGTTTCAATCGCAGCTACACTCAATACATACCGGTGAGCCTGTATGATTTGCAGGAATGGTTGCAGGCTCCTGGGCTATGGGTCTGGGATTGTAGTGCAGCTGGCGGCATTATTCAATGCTTCTTAGAAAGCGTGCAAAAACATCAGATGAACCAACAGGAGGCGCTGAAACGGGATCCCAACCGAGCACAGCAACAGTTAATGACGAAGTGGGAAGACTGCATACACCTGGCAGCCTGTCGCGAGAATGAGGTTCTTCCCACCAACCCGGACCTACCTGCAGACCTGTTCACATCATGTTTGACGACGCCCATCATGATGGCCGTACGATTTTTCATTCTGCAAAACCCACTGGGCTCGACATTCGGCGTCAGTCTTGACCAGGCGAGAAACATTCCTGGCAAGGTCAGTGAGCGCCGGACGCCGCTTGGCGAGCTCAATTGGATCTTTACTGCCATCACTGACACTATTGCCTGGAATTGCTTGGAGAAGCCTTTGTTCAAGAAGCTGTTCAGGCAAGACCTTATGGTGGCTGCCCTGTTCCGCAACTTCCTCCTCGCGCAGAGAGTGATGCGCATGTATCACTGTCACCCGGTATCATACCCAAAGATTCCAGATACCCACGATCATCCCCTGTGGCGAAGCTGGGACTTGGCTGTAGAAATGATCTTGTCGCAGCTGCCGAGTTTGATAGAACAGCAGAAGGCACATGAGGCTGCTCTGGAGGCGACACAACCGAACGGCCAAGGCGGTCCACCGCCGCAGATGCCAGAGCTTGATTACAAGCACTCTGACTTCTTTGCCGATCAGCTGTCTGCTTTTGAGGTCTACTTGACTGCAGCGCCGAGCAATCCCAGCTCGGTGGGTTACGCTAAGCCTCCGGAGCAACTCCCGATCGTTCTTCAGGTATTGCTATCGCAGGTTCACAGGCTTCGGGCACTTGTACTCCTCTCGAAGTTTCTCGATCTGGGTCCTTGGGCCGTGAACCTCGCGCTCAGCATTGGCATTTTCCCGTATGTGCTGAAGCTGCTGCAGTCTCAGGCGCTTGAACTGAAGGCACCCATGGTCTTCATATGGGCGCGTATACTGGCAGTCGATCAAAGCTGTCAAGCGGATCTGCTCAAGGACCAGGGCTACGCATACTTCACCAACATCCTCAACGCCACAAATGGCATTCCCATGGGCAATGTCGCAGAGCACCGAGCGATGTGCGTTTTCGTCATTGCCATGTTCTGCAAAGACTTTAGACAGGGCAAAGTCGCGGTCCTGGATAGCAATCCTGAGATCATCGAACTATGCTTAGGACATCTACAGGACATGGAGAATCCATTGCTGAGACAGTTCAGCTTGCTGTGCTTGAGCAACATTTGTCGCGACTTTCCGAACGCGAAGGAGGCATACATGGCACATGCTGCGCACGAGAGAATATGCGACCGCAGTCATGATCCCGTGCCCGAAGTTCGGACTGCCATGCTCAACGCGCTGACCAGCTTCATTGCCACAGGAGACATCGATGGCGACATCGTGGAGATGGAAGAGATACTTGTGGGTGTCATAATAAGCATGGGCATGGATGGCTCGATCATGGTTCGCAAGGAGCTCACAGTATTCTATTCAGAGTATGTCAAGAAGTACCTGAAGCGCTTCTTGTGTGCTGCCTTTGAGCAACTGCAAGAAGAGCAGGATAAGCGCAGTGGCAAGGAACAAGTTGTCGACGACTTCATTGCAATGCAGAAAGAGGGTGGCACTGATGGACTATCGACGACGAGTGGTCCAGCCGGGGCGCTTCTCAACGGTTCGCGAGTGTCACACCATCGCAGCGTATCAGCGACAGCTGCTGAGACGGAACCACGCTCTATCAAGACGACACCACGACAATCGAATTCGCTTGGCACTGTGTACAGGGCCGTGTGGCGGCAGGTGATGAGCTTGTCTACTGACCCACATCCAGAAGTTTCTCGCAACGCTGGAATTATCGTTGACTACGTTCTCAATGCATTGCTCGAGTCGCCTTTGGGCCAGGCAGCTGAAACAATACTGGATGAGCTGGAACGCAAGACTTCAATGGAGACTTCAACCATGGGCGCTGCAGTCCAGCCGCTCAGCAGAATACAGACTGCAGGCCATGGGCCTCGACCTGAGACTCCGCCAAGCCCTTCAGCCTCGGTCTCGTCGAAAGCGGACGGCTACTTTGCTCTGTCGAGGACGGCGAGCGTTGCACAAGCTCTCGGCAAGCTTGTTGGCTGGGGACCTAAAACACCTGGGGAGTTATCAACACCTGGATCGCCAACTCACGCGCGAAGAGGTTCGACACTGAGTGGCACAACAACGCCTTATCGCTCGCGACCGCTGACTCCCTATGATGCGTCCATGCTGCCTCCGGACGCACTGGACAACATACAAGGTCCGGCACACCAGCCGCCTGCGAAGATTCCGCCTACGCCGTACTTCCAGGCACGCGACCTGGCCGAGCTGCCTGAAGTCCCGTTGAAATCAACCTTCTTTGACTGGTCGGCTTCATACTTCCGAGAACCACAGATGCGCCCTTCAGAAGCTGATGAGCCGGGATCGCGAGACTACAATGAGCGTCTTTGGCGACGCAACAGGAATGACAAGATTATCGCCTCCACTCAACCTCTCAAAGAAGCCGCTGGGTCGCAAGCCTGGGACAAGCCATGCGGCTATTTCGGGATCGGCGCAGCGCCTGTGAAGATGGTCTTCCACCAATTCGAGAACCATCTGGTTACCAGTGACGATCGCGACAGTATCGCTATCTGGGACTGGAAAGCAGAGCAGCAACTTGCGCGCTTCAGCAATGGCAACCCAAGAGGAAGTCGTGTGACGGAAGTGCAATTCATCAACGAAGATGATATTGCCATGCTCATGGTTGGGTCCAGTGACGGCGTGATCAAGATCTACCGAGACTATGATAATCTTAAAAAGATCACTCATGTATCGTCCTTTCGAGCACTGAACGACCTCGTCCCTAGTACGGGCGGGACGTCGGGCTTGGTGTTCGACTGGCAACAAGGTCAAGGCAAAGCTCTTGTCGCTGGTGATGATCGAGTCGTTCGAGTCTGGCAGGTTGGACAAGAGCTTTGTGTCAATGACATTCACACACGCTCGAGTGCTTGTATTACAAGCCTCACATCGGACCAGGTGGAAGGCAATGTTTTCGTCGCCGGATTTGGCAACGGGTCCGTGAAGGCTTACGATCAACGTCGCCCGAACGCAGAAACTATGGTTCTTGGGTGGAAAGAGCATACCTCTTGGATCGTTGGCGTCCACCTTCAACGCGGCGGCCTACGCGAACTCATCTCCGCTGAATCGAACGGTGGAATCCGCCTCTGGGATCTCCGCATGAGCAAAGCCGTCGAGAAAGTCAATCCGGGCAAATCGCGAGAACCCAGAAGTCTTCGCACCCTCTCCGTTCATGAACACGCGCCTGTTTTTGCCACGGGAGGCAAGGACCATACGATCCGAGTATACAATACGAAGCTGCAGCCATTGAGTAAATTCGAACCTTACATGAGTTATCTGAGAGCTGGACTGGGCGCCACAGCGAGGAACGCGCCGATTACCGCGACGGCGTTCCATCCACATCGTATGATGTTGGCTTGTGGTGCGGTCAATGATGGGCATGTCAATCTGTTCAAGTGTGATATTGAAGAGGAGAGAGTGAGGAATGGAGATGGGATTGTGGAGGAGTGGCCTGGTAGTAGTGGGTTGCACTCGAGTGGGAGTGGGTATTCGGGTGGCAAGTTCCAGTGAAATTGAGAGAAGGGGCTATGGGTATTTATGATCACGCATCAGTTGAAGAAAGAAGAGCCGGCTCGACTCGAGTTGGGTCAAGTGGCAAGTGCTCATTGGAGCCGAGTGCAGCCACAGCGATTGCCTCCATGTCAATTGAGGGAAAGAGAAGACGCCGATGGTTGCCACGATCGACTCAGTTGGCATCGCTCCTGCAGGAAAGTTCGCGTCGTTGGTTGACACCGACATCGACATCTGCACCAGCAGCAGCATCTGCATCTCCGACAATCGTGCATTGCTATCGCTATGACCTACGGCAACGGTTTCTCCCGGGGAACGAGCAGGACACTTGTCTACGACCGACTCAAGGTCTTGAAACATCGAGCCAAGCTAAGATCTTCGAGGCTGCCTGAATTTGAGTCAGCATTGCTATCGAATTGTGGCGATGCGCTGGCTGTCGACCGTCGTCCGCGAGATGTCTCACCAATTCCGGTACCTCAAAGCGTATCCAAAGCCGATCTGGAGGACTTTTTGCGAGAGATGTCAATTTCCGACAATGGGCGACAAGATCCAGCTCCGTTTCCGGCTCCGGTTCCCAATCCAAAGGAAGCTTCAATAGAAGAGCTAATGCTATGTGATCTGTTGTCGGCGCTGCCACTCGCCGAAGCAGGAAAACCGGTGACAAAGGAGGATGTCGCTCCTGTTCATGCTCTCCTCGAGTCCGTCGCGAATCCCTTTTCACGTGAGAAGCTTGTGGCTCTGGACATATACTGGCATTGCCCCACTGGATTCGAACGACGATTCAACGCTTTGGATGATAGAGGTTTGATGCGACTTTACGTCCACGCTATTAAGTTCTCGAGAACACGGCAAGCTCGTCAGAATGGCGATGGCGGAGCACCTCCAGCGGAACTATGCGAGGAATTCTACGAACACAGCTTGAGCCAAGCCATGCGGTGCGCTTCAACGCATCGCGATTTGGATCTGGTCGTGATACCTGACGCGTTTGTACGGGAAAACGAAAGTGACTACGCCAGGACGGAACGATGGCGAAAAAGTTTTCTCGAGCACATCGTTCCGGAAAAATACCGTGAGCTCATTGGCAAATTGTCCATCGCAGATATGCTGCGACTCTGTGAGTGCTTTCGGGAGCATTTGGAGCCCTGTATAGTGTGTGAGGCCCTCGCAGAAGCAGGGGAGCACGGGAAGCAAGATGGGCATGAATGCCACGTGACTGAATGTCATGGGGATGAGGAAGATCAAGGCCAGCATGAAGAAGCGCCTGGTCCCGACCAACCCTGTGCGGAAACGGATGAGCACAAAAAACGCCAGAGAAAGGCAAAGAAAGCTAGGCAAAAGCAGAATCGCAAGGAGAGGGAAGCGGCCGCAGAGCTGGCTGCAGCAAACCACGCCGCTCCTGTAGAGCTTAACGATGCGAATAGCGTGGCGGCAGTCAGATCTGAGCATCAGGCTGTCAGTGCCGAGCGTCCTGAGCCGGTGGACGCCAGTACTCAGATGGATATCGATGCGAACGGGACGATTGAAGCAGCTGTGGCGCTGTTAAACTTCGTTTCTTTGAGCAAGAAGCTGGCCCAAGAGGATGCATTGGACTCAGCTGTGCCATCTGAGAACAGGGAACTGCAACTGAATTCTGCAGACGCGCGAACTGAAAACGAAGAACTGCAACGGGGACTTCCAGACGTGCCAGTAACTCCAGAGCTGCCTGAAGTTTCGGAGCTGTCGGTGCCAGGAAGTTCAGAGTCCCATACACTGGGACGTTCCACCCCTTCAGACCTCAGCCCATCGGAGCCAGATCTCGACTTTGCGCAAACAAAGCCAATAACGCCTGGGTTCTCACCGCCCGCGACGCTGGATGAAAATACTCTTCGTTTCCAGAGAGCTGGCACACCTGAACCTCACGAATTCGCGCAGACCCGTCCATCGGCGCCCAGTCCCTCTAGATCGGTTGCTGCAGATCAGACTCCCGTTCGGCTACCTGGTGGCACTGATGTGACGGGTCGTCCGGTGGTGCCGCATTCTGCAGAGTCCCAGACATCAGAACATGGTCCCTTCCAAGACCCAAACATATCAGAGCAATCTCCTAGTGCCAACGAGGTATTGTCGCGAGATTCAAGTCCTGCGTTATCAACCACGTCAGACGTGGAGTGCTCCCGGCTACCTGTTCCGTTTGGAAAGAAGGCGCTCTCCTGGTCAGAACCGGACCGGATGTCAATACTCTACTGGTGGCTCACCGTTTCGACGCCAACATCATCATCACCTTCATCCACCGCTGCGCCCACTGGGACTTCACATCGCGGCTCACCGGAGCCAACAGACCAATCGTCGATCCCATCGCCTGGTGGTGGCAGTCCTCGTGCGGCCGGAACTGCTGCATCTTCCGAACAGGATGCTTATGCTGGGATCTGGTTCGGCAAACTACCTTGTACGCACGCATCCAACAACTGATTGATCGAAAGCGGGACCATTCCTACGGTCATTACAGATTGTTTTCTGAACCTCTGTCTTGATTGACGGAGTGGGAGGACTTTCATTCTTGGTACATACATGCTTGGAAATGGGAAAGGAGGTGTGATATGATTATGCATAGCTTGCGGTGTGGGATTGCATGAATGCTTGATAGTCGTTTCAGTTGTCTTTTGGCTGGCAGGAGGAGACAAGTATCATCATTGACAGAGGACCAACAAGGCATAGTTTGTATTTTTGACGAGAGTTTCGTTAGCGGAGGCTGTCTGTATGTATTCTTTGTAAAGTGAAATGACTTGACCCAATTCACAAGAAAAGACTGATGTGTGGGGAATTTTCCTTACTCCTTGACCTCTGCTCAACACAAACGAGACCTCGGATGCTGTCCATAGCTGTTCTGGGTTTCTGCGAGCAGGCATCTTATTTCCGTCAATCCTCCTTCTTATCTCCCCCCCTCTCCATGAACGGACTGGCCATAAATTTCTCCCAATCTTGCATCATTTCTGTATTCAACTTGCTGATTTTCACTTCCTGTCCCGCGCGATAAATCATCACCTTTTCATACTCTAGCACAGCTTCTTTGTGCGTCATAACACCCAGTTCCACTTCTACCAATGCTTCCACCAACTTCAGAGCATCCGCAATGCCGTGGTTCAATCCTTGACCTCGATGAAAGGACATTGCGTGACCTGCATCTCCAACGAGAGCTATCCTGCCATTCCAAGCTTCATTGGGAATGGGAAAAGGTTCCCAGATTGAGATGCAGACAGACTTCTGGGCGAGGCTTTTCGCTGCTAATGTCTGATCTTTAGCTTCGAATTGATCGATTCCGCTTTGTAGCATTTCATTCTCCCTCCGCATTGCTATGCCGCGGTCCTTCCCTTACTGGGTTTCATATACACAAAGCTCGCTGTCCCTGACCAGTTCACACATTTCGGATGATCGCCGTCACACTGGAACAAGACGTGCGAATGTTTTTTTTTTTAAAAAAAAAAAAATCTCAACGGCAGCAGAGGATATGCTGGTTTTGAACGCGAGGTTCCTTTCGCAAACGCAACTACTCGGGCACCTGCAACAATCTAGATCGATCTGATGATGTCGCATCAGGTTTCTTCTCTTGACCTCAAGCGTCGATCGCTCTCTGTTCTTGCACATGCGCGAGGTCGAATGAGTATAATTTTTGGTTAGATGGACAGTGAAATGAGGTCGCGAACGTGGAGACGCGCGACGAACTGACGTGTTGTGGAGAAGTACCCCTGATCAGGCTTCTAGTGACCCGCTTATTAGCCTTAGTACCTTAGCTATCCTTGTAGAATGATTGCTATACAGGAAAGCTTGACTTAAGGTAAGCTTGGAACTTGTTGTGAGATGCGAAGTGTAGTAGAGCAAGGAACAGGAGTCATCACAGTTACCTGTTCATGGTATAGTGATGAGGTTCTGTCAATAAAGCACATAACTCTGTTTTACGCAATCTGTATCTAACCGGGCCCACCACTCGGGCGATGGTGCGCATTTGAAAGCCCTTAATTCCTTTGGTCTTGGCTCGCAGCAGGCTATCCTAGACCTAGCCTAGCGCATGCTAGGGCATTATAGCCCACGTTGGAACTAGAACATAGCAATCCGAAGAGGATCGCGCTCCTTTAGCTCAGCCTCGCTATCTGCATAGCACATCCTTCGCCTTCGCGTCCAAACATTGTGTTGAGCTGAGAAGAATTGAGCAAATTGTATCAGTCCCCCACGCCATTGTTGGCTTGCATGTGGATGGAACATGCTCGTGTCCCAACAAGTCTCGGCAAAATTCTATCCGTTGTTGTGAAATCTCCCATGCATCCCCTTCGGCATTGACATTATTTGCATCCGGCGACTCCGGACACACATCTCCTGTCTCAAGCAATGGCTCATTCGACTGTCAGCCGTCTGCTCCCCCAGAGCGCGGCCCAAGTCCTTCTGACCGTTGTGGTCCTCGTCATTGGGTATCGAGTTACCATCTACATCTACAATATTTTCCTCCATCCTCTTCGCAAGTTCCCCGGCCCCCTTACATCCGCGGCGAGCAACTGGCCAAAGATTCGCGCGAGCACGAGAGGAGATGGAGTCTTCCGTGTTGTGGATTTGCATCACAAGTATGGCGAAGTTGTGCGGACTGGGCCCAACGAGTTGAGTTTCAGTGGCAATGCTGCGTACAAAGACATCTACGGCCACAAGAAAGCAGGACAGCGTACGCTGGTTAAGGATCCCAAGTTCTATGGTAATCCTAGTGGCGTATGTACTTTGTTTCGCTTTTGTCATTTTCTTCGAGCATCTTAAAAACCACTTGAATTTATAATCGCAGGCGCAGTCACCCTGTCAAATGGTGACAGGTACTGGCGTTCAACCCTTATCTTGTTCCATTCCCCCCTCTTGTCCACAGCTACAACGACATGGCCAACTGACTGTCCTTTTGTCTTGCCTTTGTAGGAGTATGACATAGTCAACGGGAACGATGAGCAACATGCACGTATGCGACGTGTCTTTACGCATGCCTTTTCGGACAAGGCCTTGAAACGCCAAGAGCCACTTTTCCTGCTCTACGTCGACAAACTTGTGGCCAAATTCAAAGAGCTGTCCGCAAAGGAGCCTGAGAGAAAGTTCAACATGGTGCAGATGTACAATTTCACTACTTTCGTAAGTGATATCTGTGTGGGATCCTGATGCAGAAGATGCACTCACTGACTTAATCATGTTTTACCCGATAGGATATCATGGGCGATCTGACATTTGTAAGTACCACCGCAATCTGTAGCGATTCTACTCGGGCATAGGTTAGATAGAATCATGACTGACCACGGCGGCAACCAGGGAGAATCTCTGAACATGCTGGAAGACACCGATTACCATCCGTGGGTGGCAGCCATGTTGCCCGCCTTCCGTTTCGCAGTTTACGTCCACGTGATTCGCTGTTTCCCTCTCCTCGAATTGTTCATGCTCAAGTACTGCATTTCCAAATCGACCATCGAGACGATGAAGACGCACAAGAAATTCTGCGTGGATCGAGTAGACCGTCGGCTGGAGCAGAAAGACGCAAGGCCTGATATCTGGGGCATGGTGATGGAGACCGAGGGCAGCGTCGATGCCGGTCTGACGAAGCAAGAGCAGTATTCGAATGCAAATTTGGTAGTGGTTGTGCTGAACCGATGGCTGTCGGGACGAGAGGTATGATCATAAGTGTTGGTCGAGATCTCTGACAGTTTGATCGCAGTTCATGATTGCTGGCACGGAGACGACAGCGACCATTCTCAGCGGCATCACATATTACCTCCTAACGAATCCTTCGAAAATGTCGCGACTGATTGAAGAGACCCGCTCGAAGATCCGCAACGAGGACGAAATCGGTATCGAACGTCTGCAAGGTCTCCCGTACCTCAACGCTGTCATTGAAGAGGGTCTCCGCATGTATCCCTCCATCTCATACGGCCTGGCGAGGAAGACACCTCCTGGAGCGCCGACTTTCATCGATGGACGTGAAGTGCCAGCCGGGTACCAACCAATCTAGCTGCACAGCGGGATCCCAACAACTATCGTGATCCGTACGAATTTGTGCCAGAGCGTTGGCTGACTGGGGCGAATGCGACGGAGCTTTCGGAGCGGTATGCTGAGGACAAGCGATCCACCTTTACGCCTTTCTCGATGGGTCCTCGGGGTTGTATGGGAAAGAAGTAAGTTGGCTTCAGCATGCTCTCAGGTTGTCTATCGCTGACCACTCCCTTCTCTGCAATATAGTATGGCATACCATGAGACCCGTCTCATTCTGACAAAAGTCTTGTTTCACTTCGACTTGGAATTGTGCGAAGAGAGCCAGAAGTGGAATGATCACAAGATCTTCATCATGTGGGACAAGCCTCCGTTGTACTGTCGCGTCAGGCCTCGACACAGCTCCACATAGTTGATTGGATCCAAGGAGAAAATTGAGTGAAGGCGTTTCGACACTCCCGGAAGACCGGCGCTTAGAACATGGCGCGCCAGAATATTCGCTCATATAAGCTCGTTCCAGATATTCTGGCTTTGTGCAGAAACGCCATGGCACATTCCAGTGTAGGCTGGTACCGAGATAGCATGTGTGATTGAGAGTGGTCTCCGCTTTCTATTTGAACCAAATCTCCGTTCCAAGATTGCCGCGCTGCATGCTCGCTTCCATATGCTCCGTCGCAGGTGGATCGGTTGATGATCGTACCTGCATTGCTGTGACTGCAGGTCTCTTCCACGCTGAAAGATCGTGATTCGGCCCACATTGAGCACCAGCAGATCGGCTCCCGAAAGATTCTTTCACGCCCGTAACGAAGCATTCATCTGTTTGAGCTGTCGGTAGACGTCCGTTGTGTACGGTGCCGGAATTCCCACGCGAGCAGCCTGGGCGACCAAAAAACCTGCATGCAGCCGTCAGTACGATGCTCGTGGGAGGGAAATGTGTGATGCAAAGCCCACCAGTGATCGGAGCCAACTCTAATGCTCGTCCTCGTCGGGCATCGTACAGCATGGAAGTCACGATGGGGTCGCATGACCGCGCGATCTCAATCACCTTGTCTGGAACCATACCGCCCAGCTCGACACCACTCGCAATCCCTATTTGACGTGCTTCCTCGGCGAGGTGGCGGACCAGCTCGAGGGCAGCGGGGGATTCGAAGAGCTCGTGAGTGTCGACTCCGGTAAGTGCGGTCATGGAATTCCAGGCGTTGTTGAAGACGGCCTTTTGCCACTTTTCCAGCAAGGCATTATCTACGGCAACGAATTGCTTGTCACAAGCGAGCAGGGATTCGACGGCTTTGGATTCGTCGGCGGTGAAGTCGCTCTGGGAGATTCTGCCGTACACGCCGACGTGGAATGCGTGCGGTTTGATCGATGTGCGTTGTTCGATGACGCCGGGGGACAATTGACAGCAGACCAGATTACAGACCATGGATATTATGACATTCGACGGAAAGGCGTCACGCAAGGCCGCTTCGTTGCCCAGGCCATTTTGAGTCGACACTAGGATGGTGTTGGGGGTGGTGATGTGCTGGAGGTCGTGCACCATCTGCGAGCGACTCTGCTCGGTCTTGATCTTGTTGGCGAGGATGATGTACGCATAGCCCGCGCCGGATGGACGTTGCAATGCGGAGCCTGCCTCGAACACGCGATGGGGCGTGAAGAGGCCGTCGCCCCAGGTGGTGGTCCGCAGGCGGAAACCGTGCTCCTGGACGTGGGCGAAATTGGACTTGCAGACGACCGAGACGCGGTATGGTGCCGTGCGGGCCAACAGCCAGCCCAGAACGGAGCCCACGGCTGTATGCAGAAGCGTGTGAGCAGTTGTCTTCGCGCAGGCGTGCGTTTCGTCAAGGGTCCGTGAACGGAACCCCTTGTCGTTTCAGGCCTTCAGCGGGAAGGCGACCTACGCAGCCAGCGCCGATGATCAGGGCACGGGGCATGTTTGCAACTTGTGGTCTCAAATGCCTCCGATCGTTTCGTTGCTTTACAATAACTTTCTAGTGTATGGATATTATCAATTGTTCAATTTGCAGTACCGATGGGCTTAGTCAATGGCGGCATTACGTATGGTGATCCCAAAGGCCGAAAGGACGTTCAGTCAATACTTAAGTGGTGTTCAGGGAGCTGGCAGCACACATGCTAGACAGCATCTCTGCAGCCGATGGCCTGAAGCTTTGCCGCATGGGTTGCATAAGGGTAGCACTAGCACGGAAGGGTTCGATTGGACATTGCCCAGTGGAGCAGATCGGATACATGCCTGCCATGTGCACGAGGCATTTGATTGATAGAGCACTCCAAGATCGCGTTCGCGAGAGTGAGCGCGAGTGCCAAAGATGTCCTGATTATGTTGAAATCATTTAGGTACCGAAATCACAGAGGTGCATCAGCTTGTTCGTTGGAACGAGCCATTGAGGAACTTTTGGGGAATGAATGTGTCAGTCGAAGGCCAACGCCATCGAGACGTTCAGATTTGATTTTAGACACATGTCTATTCCGCAGCATTTGTTCAGCTAGTTGGGCCTCAATCGTCGCGCAGCCTTCTTCTTACGCAGATGCACTTCTGTATGCTCCTGCGAAATGCCTTGCCGATGTTAGCAGTTCTGACCGCCATCAACGCTACAAAGCGAGCCGGTCACGAATGAGGCTTCATCGCTCAAAAGGAAAACAATGACTTCTGCCACCTCTTCCGCTTTGCCTACCCTTGACAAAGGGGCATCTGGACCAGGATCCGGAAATCCGCTGTCCAAATTTCGCTGATGCATAGGAGTGTCGATGACACCACTAATGGCATAGTTAGTGATGAATGCGCGTCAGTGGAAGAAGTCTCGGTGCACACTTACGGCAATACCGCGTTCACCCTAATCCCACGCTTGCCAACTTCTTTCGCTGCACTCTTCACGAGGCCGGTCATTGCATGCTTAGAGGCAGCGAATACCGCACCCTTTTCAAAACCCTGAGTGAGAACATGCTGCCCACACAGACGATACTGCTTCCTGGTTCACTGACAACCCCCGGTGCCAACGCCTCTGAGAGTATGTTGAATGTGCCTCGGACGTTGATGTCGAAGTTGAAGTCGTACTCGTCGGATGTAGTCTCCCAGATGAAGTCGTGTCCAAGACGGCGTCCACCAGTTCCAGCAATGCTTCCAATGGCGTCCAGTCTGCCGAAGTGTTCTTTCGCTGAGACAATGGCGGCTTTGACTGCGTCTCGCTTGGTGACGTCGACACGGTGAGCACAAACCCGCTCCGGATCGTTGAGAGTGCTGGCAGCTTGCTCTAACGCTTCTTCGTTGATATCGGTGAGGTACACGAGGGCTCCACGCTCGAGAAGACGTTTTGCCGTTGCAAAGCCAATGCCAGAGGCGCCGCCTGTCACGAGCACAACGCGGTCTTGCAGCGAATCATCCGGCATTTCGAGGTCGATTGATGTATAGGGCTCTCCAGCATCAGGACGGACATCTTGCCTTCATATACCGTTCAGTCATGAAGATGTCTTGCATCAGGGAGGAGTGACGTGAACAGCGGCCGCTGCGCGGTCGAGACGAAGGCAAATGTTGCCGCACGCGGACCTACGCGGCCGCGCCAAGAAGGCAGACTTCTCGAAAAGATCTGTCAATCACTAACCGAGGTAGCATTTTGTCGCGTCGATGGGCCGTCGATCCAAAATTTATGAGCGCGCAGCCTCATAGACATGCCAGCACTAGCTCTACTGTAATCCTGCTGAATATGGCTGTGCATTCGTGCTCGTTTGGTATTTTGATGATCTCCAGGCTTCATCGAGTGCAATGGCAGTGATGGTTCCTGTTGCACATAGCGGCGATAACGTCAGCTCTCATTGTTGACGGCATTTGTCGAGGAGTTTGGCGTGCTACGAAGTATGGTCTATGGCCAGAACAAGACGCGTTGTGGGAAGCGCATCGTGACGGACTTACGCCAAGGAATCCGCGAGCTGACTCAGCAAATGTATCGCTCCTGCTCCCCCTTTGCTCCAGTCTCGTTTTTCCGAATGTGTATCTATGGCATCTCGTTGAAATTGTTGTTCACATTACACGAGGCTGCTCATAAAGACCGCCTACCCCATGTCTCCGCAGTGTCCCCAACGTCCGATGCAGACCAGCCATTTCCACATTGAGCTGCGGCACAGCTAGGCAGCCGCCACTGGCGAGGATGATCAAGTAGACCTGGGAAGCAGACCACCCGTCTTCTCAGACCGACTTCCGACTATGCTCCACTCCACAAGACTCAAAAACTATTGAATCGCTCGGATACGAACCAAGAACTCGAGCCAACACTCGATATCCGACATGTTGCCTAGTCGTCGTGTGGCTCGTGCCCCGATCCGGGACGAAAGCACCCGCACTCCAGGTCGTAGCCGCTCCTCGAACAAAGCAGATCAAATCGAGAGATGGATGAAAGAAGACCACGAAGACAACTGGGGACCTGTAATCTATCGCTGTACATACAACAACGACTCGGATTGGCAAGTCTTCCTGGACAGATACAGGCATTTCATCCGGTATGACTTGGAGCTCTGCAACGGCTTGGATGTATTCGACCAATTGGAGATCACAGTCATTGAGGACAAGCAGATATTGGAAGGTGCTAGCCCTGCAGCTGTTAGAGAGCACTTCAAAGCGTGGAGCGATGAGCACTATCCAGATAGATCCAATGATCCTTGGTACAACAACCAGCGCGTGAAGTATTGCATCCGCGTCGACGATGCTTGCGTCAGGTCTGTGGTCAAAGTTGCCCAGTACGTCAGGGGCAGAGACAGGGGCGGCGGATTCGTTGATCTCGTCTGGAAGAATTGGGTCTTCAGCAAGGTAGAGGAGGAGGAGGGCGAGTTCGAGGGTAGAGAGCCGATAGCGGGGATCAGGGCCAAGGATGTTGGTTTCATGCATGTTTCTCTGGACTTCGTGTTAGAACTATGGGGTTACCTACGACATGAATATGTCTGGGAAAATGAGTATCGACGGCCACCGTACGTGACGGACGGCGATTTTGCAAGAGGGTATTTGCGTACCGACTGAGTAAAGCAACAAGTCTGGGCGTCACGTCTGCTGAGTCTGGAAGTAATTCAAGAGCTTTCATACAAAGCTTCCTACAGTCTAAGCATCTTCCCTCCCTCAATGCACCCCCAAGGTACCAAGATACTTTCCAAAATCCAATTTCCGGCCCAAAAACGTCTCGATCTGTGCCTCATAGTCTTCCGATGCCCCAGGAACGAGTAGCAGAGTTCGAAACTGGCCACCAATCGACGTGCTGAATGGGTCTTCTTGGAATCGCGAAAATAGATCCGCTGCGTACAACCAGCTTAAGGAGTAATCGTAGACGCTGCCAGGCGTTTGCATGTTGTGCGAGTCGTATGTGAAAGGGTAGTCCCATTTCGATGTGTCTGTCACTCCCGTGTCGCCGATGTGGTCCAATTTGCGGTACTGCTTGCTAATCCGTTTGAATTCGCGGACGAAGTCCAGAGAGGTGGTATCGACGGGGTGGCTTTGTCCGTACAGATATTGGTCCCAGGCCGAGAGCGACGCTGAGTACAGTGCGAACCATACATTGTGCCCGTTTGACAAGCCTCTGGGGTTCGAGTCCGTGCTTCCAGCCGGAGAGTTCTGCGGTATCTGCTTCGGTGGTTGTGGCTGGTTTGGATTCGCTTTTTGCCATGCTTGTTGGGCTTCTGGAGATACGTAGGACCAGTGCTCACTGATGCGTTCTAGCGTTTGGGGATCATTTGCTGTGTAGTGTGTTCAGCGAGGGCCGTGCAGAGTGTTGCCTTTGAATTGAAGGCAGGAACTTACACCAGCCTTCCAGCGTGGATTGAATGACGTTCGAAAAGTCGCTGGGAATTGCGGACGAAACGGCACTCAAGGCGTTGTATTTGACCTTTCCGGAGAAGGAAGAAAGCACTGAACCAAACAAGCGGAATAAGAGGTGGAGCTGGCAGACGAGAATGAGTTAGCTGTCGTGGCACAACATCATAGTGTCACAACTTCGTACCTGATCGGAATCCAGCAGGGTCGGTTGGTCCCCATTTGGTGCATCAAAGTAGTATTTGACAACAACCGAGATGGGATTTCGAGTTCCATCGGACTTGACGAAACTGGATCCTGTGCTAATGGTGTATGCTGTGGATGCCAGCGCGTCGTCACTGTCGCGATGGTAAGGATCGACGTAGAGATGTCCCACCGGGCTGTTGTCGTCGGTATCGTAGACAGCATATAGCTGAACACTGGGATTCCAAACAACATCCTTGGCTGAGTGGCCTGGCACGGTAGTGACGGCACTCAGCTTTTCGAAACGGAAATGGAAGACTGGGCCCAACACTTCAAGCATCCGACTGATAGTTTCAATGGCTTCGTAGTACTCGGAGGCTGTTTGTCGTTCAGTACTTCTGATTATGGAGTAGTCGCTTCGGGCAGTGCCACTTACAATTCGGTTCTTTACTCTGTCGCTTTTTCATTCCAGCAGCTTTAGCCTTAGATTCGTAATAATCCTGGTCCCACTCGAACAAAAACTCATCAGTGCCCTCCTCTTCTTTCTTGAGCCCCTTCAAAATTCCGATGTATTGTTCTCGATTCAGAGGCTGGAGCTTGGCATCAATTTGATCAATAAAGGATCGAACATTCTCCGGGTTCGCTATCAAAGTATCCTGCAGAGCGTAAGCCGCGTAGGAGGGGTAGCCGAGCAGGTTGGCCTGTTCCGCACGTAATGCTATCGTCTGCTTCAGGCGGTCGATGTTTTCCGGAACGAGACGATTGCCTCGCAGCCACACGACCTGCCGAGTGGTTGCGTTGTTACATTGGCTAACGATATCGAGGTCGTCGATGCTGACTGCGTATCTGTTGCCGTCTTGCCCATTATCTTTGGCCAGCTTGGCGATAAGCTCGTCGGGCACGCCTGGCAGCTCTTTTCGAGTGAAGTACAACGGAGGACCAGTTGTGATGTTGCCCAAGGCGTCCATGAAAGCACTTTCCACTTGATCCGCGGAGTCGCTGATTGCCTTCAAACGGTCCTGCTCTTCGGGCTTCAAATTTAGCCCATTGTCCACAAAGGAGTGCCAGGTGATACGCAGCATTTTTATATCCTCTTCATCCAGATCCGCAGGCCATTGTTTCTTGTCGCTCGGAGCTCCTGCAGGGTCAAAGTACTGAATATAGACGGCATGAACGAGCTCATAGAACTGCTCATTCGTGAAGGTGTTGTCGAGAGCATCCTCATATGTATCACGGGCCGCGCGGCTGGGGCCAGTCAAGTCGGGATAATCTCCAATATTAGCGTAAAGATAAATCTTTGCCGTGCGTTGGGATAGGGCATTGCGGTTCTGCCAGTATGCTGCAATGGTATTGTTGAAGGTGGAGGCTTGGGGCGTCACGTTCTGGAGGAGTTGCTCGATGAAGTGTTTCTCGCCATCGGCTGCTTCTTTGCCCACTTGCTGCAGCGAATCGGCGGTCTCGTTGAGGATGAGCGGGAGCAGCTTGACATCGCCCTGGCGAACGACGAGCGACGTGGCAAGATTGGCATGAATGCCGAAGGTCAAGAGGCACTTGGTCAACACGAGTGGTGCACGCATGGTGCGTCGAATCGAAGGAATGAAGATAAACGAGTGTTGCAATGTGGTTTCAACAATAACAGCGTGGCAGGCGTGCTATAGGCATCTGGTGTGAGCGCTATCCGACGTACACGAGCACGAAAATTACCTAAGGCAGGCAATCTTAGCAATCCTTGCTAGTCAACGATATACTGTGTGTTCAGTCCGACTTTACTGGTAAGGAACATGGCGATCGACAGTCCTGTTAGCCCATTTTCACCTCGGAATCCAATTACTATGTGCTGAAGCGCTTTTTAAAAGCTGGGCTTGACGATTAAACAGTGCCCTCGCATAATTTGGACTTGTGCACACTATCGATCGGGCCTAGGGGGCTGGGTGCGAGAACCCGAAAACCTGGATGTCGCCAGGAGAACTAGACCTCGTCCTTGGGATTAAGAGTTGTGAGTCCGCGACCTTACCGATGATAGTCCGCTGGCAGACCGCAGGGGCTCCGGTACGAGCCTTACGGCGTAGAAGCTTCTCCATGGTCTAGTCGTAAAGTGGGCATAGCGTCAGCATGACTGGGGCTCGATGCTTGTGAGGTGTTCGCTACTCGATAGGAGTGTCTGAGCAAGTTATACACCGGCGCGGCCTTCCACCCGCAATTGTTTCCTGAAGTGGTTTGTTTTGACGTCCGCACCGAATCTTTCTTGAGCAGTTGACGTTCGTAATGGTGGCTTGACAGTGGATCGAGAGAATGCGACCCGGGCTTCCTTGCATGATATCAATGTCATCCAGGGGGCGCTGATAGGCTGCTCTGTTGATCAATAACGTGAAGTCTCCTGTACCACCTGAAGCAGTTTTACTGAGCACTCTTGAACAGAGGCTTGGTGTCAAAGTCTTGATTCATTCTATTCACAGTCATCTCATCATCCAAATTTGCCCATCGCACATCCCGTTTTGCCCAATGTCCATCTATACATACCCCTTCAGAACCGCCGCCTCAGCGTTCAGAATAGAGCTTCCCGCCGCACCAATGACCGTGTTGTGCGACAGAGCCACAAACTTGATATCGAATATCCCGCTCTCATCCTCGCGCACTCTGCCTACTGAAACAGCATATCCGCGGTCCAACTCACGATCCAATCGTGGCTGAGGACGATCCGGCTGATCATCGTCAAATAGAGCAATGGCATTCGTTGGTGCAGAAGGGCAGCCCAATTTCTGTGCGTCGGAGACGTACTCTCTCAGAGCAGCCTTGACCTCCTGCACGCTCGGAGGAGGTTGCTTCGCGAACTTGAGCGAAACACAAGCCATGTGTCCATCCAGCACAGGGACACGGTTGCATGCTGCGGATATGCGAAGCTCGCTTTGTTCCACAAATTCGGTGTTCCCCTCGTTTATGCCTCCCAGAATCTTTCTCGCTTCTGTTTCCAACTTGTCTTCTTCGCCGCTGATGAAGGGGACCACGTTGTCAATGATGTCCATGCTGCTGACACCTGGGTATCCTGCTCCAGAAACTGCTTGCATTGTGACGACGGAGACAGTGTTGATCTCACCAAAGCAGGCTTGGAGGGCTGCGAAAGGAATCACGATGCCGATCACGGCGCAGTTGGAGTTGCAGACCAAGAAGCCCTTCTCGAGGGAGAAATGTTGTCGTTGGTGGGGAATGAGGTTGAGATGTGGGAGATTAACCGTAGGGACGACGAGAGGCACGATTGGGTTGCGGCGGTAGTTTTTGGCGTTGGAGAATGTGGGAATGTTGGCCTTGAGGAAGGCCATTTCTGCACGATGTGTCAATATAGGGTAAGTTCAAGATATGGTGTGGCTCTTGTACCTGTATCTTCTGCGACATCGCTGTCCAGACCGGAGAAGACGATATCGACCTCATCCTTGAACTCCTCTGGCGTGCAATTCTTCACCACCAGCTCGCCCAACTGCTTAGACATTGGTGTGGCCTGCTTCCACTTGACAGCATCTTTGTACTGCTTGCCCGCCGATCGCGGAGAGGCTCCAACGGCGGTGAGCTTGAAGTGAGGATGGAGGGCGAGTAGAAGGATGAATCGCTGTCCTACACTACCCGTTGCGCCCAAGACACCTGCAAAACACAACTCCCATCAGTATCGATACAGGAGATCAAGCATGACGGAAGGGGGACTCACTGACCACACCGTTTGGCTGGGAATTTGGATCCGTCGGTGGCCATTCTGACTTCGAGAGCGTAGCCTTGGGAGTGAATAACGTGTTTGGCTGTTTCCATCGAAAGAAAGAAGTCGAAGAGGTGCAATTATAGCCCTTGACTCAATGGCAAGCGAGCAAGGGAAATTGTCGGAAAAGATGGAGAATGCCTGTTTGTGACGCATCTTGAACCCCGCTATCGGACCGCAGTCATCAAAGCTCCATCAATATTTGAGGCATCATTTGACATTGGCATGCCCACCGGTCCAGACCGCACCTTCACCTTCAGCTCACCGAGATTCGCCGCGACCATTCACTTCACAGACGTCCATTCATCTGCAATAATCGCTGCCGCAGTTGGGCTCCTGTCATCATCTCTATTTCCGAAGTACCCAGGACCTTGAGTGCCGCGACTCTTGCTCAGCCCACATCCGCTTCTCACGATATGCTCCGACAGCAGTCCTAGAAAGCCCGACAACCATGTCTCTTCCTTTGAAAAACCATCGAACGATACAAAAATTTCAAGTGGCAGCCACGGACATTGAAGATGGGACTGCGGCTAGAGATGGGCCTTTCACCTGGTCGATTGCACAACTTCCTGCCACACTTTCCAGTCCCCATACACACCATCGGGCTTAGTGAAGAACGTGAGTGCATGTTTCGACGGCCCCAAGCCTGCATCACTCTTGATGCTCACAATATGCACCCTCGCCTCCTCGCTCGGCAGATCTCCGTGGAGGAGTTCCTCCTCTTCAATAGCCATCACGCGTTCCGCGACTGCGACCGACATTCTAGAATCCCACTTTCCTTCTCGACGATCTGTCCCGCGCAGTACATTAATTGCTCGTCGACGCAGAGTAGGGTCTCGACACTTAATACTGACCCAATGCAGAGGTCCCACGATCTCCGTGTCGAGAAGGAAGGTATTGTTGTATCGTGCACGTTCCCGCTGGCTTTTGGTGCCATCTACCATGGTCGAAAGTTGCTCTGCGAGCGTGATGATCGCTTCTAATGCTGGCATATGCTCATCATGTGCGCATTCGAGCGGTGTCATCGTCGTTTTTACCCAAATGTCTGCGACAAGTCTTTGTATCTCGAGAACGTTGCAAGCGTAGAAGTCTGTGGAGCTTAGACCAGATGCGTGTCGAGCTTGGTAAGCGGAGAATCGAGAGCGCCAGAGCTGAAGATGGCGGAGTAGAATTCGCTGTTCGTCAAAAGCAGCGTGGTAAGTATTGGCGAATGATAGGTCGTATTTGGCGAGACCGACACTGCGGATGAATCGGAGAGAAAGATTCATGAGGTGAACGAGGCTATCACGAGCCGTGCTAATGGAGTGGAATTCGCTTGGAATACTTTCCTGCAGCGTGACTGCATATGGCCAAGAAGAGTCGTTATCGAACAGTGCAGCCAGCATTTCCAAACGGTTGAAGAACGTCAGGATGCCTGTGCTTCGGATCCCATCAATTGTCCTGTCTGCAGCAGATGAGCCGTCCTTTCCAGCTATGAGGTTCGCGATGATGGCCATGCCTCCATTGAAGTGTCGAACTGCCTCTTCTTCGTTGCCGCGCAGGAACTCGACGCAGATGTACAAGATGCACGCCAACAGTATTACTTCTGTGTTGTCGTTCGCAGATACAGAAAGTTTTGCAAGTTGTGTGATTGATTTGTTGTAAGTGGCGCGAGCCATATGTTCATGCGAGGTCTCCAGATTGCGCTGCTCGTTGCCACATAGTCCCGAGCGCTGTTCAGCAAATACGCCCACAGTCACGACAGCATGAGCGAGTGCGAGCTCAACCAGGCTGGCTTGCACAAGCAATGATCTCCAGAAATGATTGTCGAAATACATTCCAAGATCAGGAGCCGTCTTGGCGCAGAAGAACTCCAGAGCTCTGAGCTCGTGCTCTGAGACTTTCAATGATGACGAAGCGAGTCCTTTAACTGGACTTGGAAGTCTTTTCGTGGCATGATTATTCGCTTTCCTGGGAGGTGGCGCTGTATATCCTTCGCACTGCCGTCCAGAGCTGAGACATTTGGCACAGGCTGGTTGGCCTTCATCACATTTGATCTGAAGCAAACTGTGAGCTTAATGTTCAGGACTTACTCTGTGCGAATCAGCGAGCTTTACCCTTCGTTGTTTGCACGTGATACATCCTGCCCTAGATTTGGGCTTGCTTTCTCTTGTCTTCGCCTTGGCGATCAATTGGGGATCGCTTCGTATGCACGATGCAGACAGGACCGCTTTCGACGAGCTGAGTGGTCGGAGAGGCAAGATTGGTACCTTGGCCTCGTATCTTGTACCCATCGAGTGTGTCGGAGCCTGGGCAGTTCCGATATTCCCATCATGCGCATTTCCTTCGATGCTGGTCAGTTATGCAGCTGTTGAACATGGAGGACGAGGAGCTCGGTATAGTCGAAGGTTTTGCACATGTCCTTCCGATGTGAGGACTGAAGTTGAAGCTGTTGTTGCCTGTCGGCCAATTGTTCCCCCTTTCCGTTTGGCGGGTCTCAATCCTGCAGGATCGCCTAACATAGATGAGAACGGAAAGGGCAGTCTGCCTTCCAAAGCAACTACATTGATCCCCTCCTCGAGATGCGTCTATGGATTTGTGACGCTGTTCCAGATCGTGGCATCAACCCTTTGCAGATGCCATCGGACCCAGTTTGTATTCTTGCAAGCTCAACTCCAACGCTCTTCGCAGTGCTTCATCCTCAGCCTCGACCATTGACTGGCCAGCACGATTTGGATTTCGTTCGTGATGTAGAGTTTCCAGAAGGCTTTGCTTCTTGACATATTTCAGCACGATTTCTTCTTCTGTCTTCTCTTCTGCTGTCTTCATATCCGGCTGGTACGTTGTCTGTTATTCCCTGCAACCACGACGACTGGACACTGCACTACGACCTGAATGTTGTGACGAGTACGAATCTGCGGCCTGTCTTGCCCTGCTTGGGCCTTCCGATCTTTCTACCAAATCCTCGATGTAGCGGTCTATCGCTGCAGCTTCATCGTCCGAGTCCCGCTCCTGGCGAATGTACTTCTGGTTGGAGGCTGCTTGGTCTTGAGCAAGGGACTGGGCTGCGGGCCGATGAAATGCTTGTTGCAGGTACGCATCGCCCGGTGCATCAGTAAACGACATGTGACTGTTGCACCGGTGCCCGTCTTCAGGTGAGCCATTTTCTCGAAGCGAATTTTCAGAAGTCCTCGGAGTGCTTGCTGTGAGCGACGACGTCTCGGAAATTTGGCTCGTGGTCTCGTTGCTCTCCGCCCTTGCAAAAGTCACAGTTGGTTCACTTACCCCATCCTGGTTGTCATTCTTTGCACGACCAGCTAAGAGGTCTCGAATCATCTCTTCGTGATGGCCTTTACGCTTCAGATACTTCTGCATCAACTTCCATTTGTCGATGACATCCCGTTTCTCAGCCTCAGAGCACTGCAGCCACTCCTCGTAGCCCTGAGCTGTTCTCGAAGCAGCAATATGACTGTCGACATTGCTCGCGAACAGAAGTTGCACTTCTCTGTGCAGACCTTTCATCGTATAACCCAGTATTCCCACGCTGCCCGCGCCCGACTTGGCAACGAATCCTCCTATGCCTTTGCCAATTCCTTTGACAAAGCCAACAGCTCCATTCGTCTGTGCGCCTCTCCACGGGTGGGTAACCAAGCCTGTGACTCCATCGTACCAACCGAGCCCGAAGTTCTTCCCTGCTGCTCGAGCACCGGACGAAAAGTCCGCGACTTTTGTGGAGGGGCGCACGGTATCATCATTCCAGAGCTTTGGCATGTTATGGAAACCTCTTGTGATGGTCATTGAGAGATCCATGGGCGATTGCACAAGGGCTTTAGCAAAACGCCCAGCACCTTTACTGGAATGCGGAAAGCTTTGACGCAACATGTCTCGGTCGTTCGACGGTTCTACTACTTGAATGTTGCTGGCATGGCGTCTAGAACACTCGGACTGGGAGCTAAACTCATGGTTACGCGATTTGAGGGACGCAGAATCTGACCTATTATTTGAGGTTTGCGTTGTTGTGGCTCGGTCAGTTGTATCAGTCTCAAGATCAGGAGTCTGCCGAGTGGCCCTGAAAGGCATTTTTAGTGCTTTTGCTGTCTCGGATGGAACATCCGCGAGACCCATCGCCATACTGCTGAATGCCCCACAAGCTGCAAAAAATGAACCAGAGATTGGATCCGTGGCACCTCTGTCAGTCTCATACTCTTGTGCTCTCAACAGCTTCAAGTCCTTGGGTTCCAGAAGATTTGCGTTCACCAGAGTGCAGGCTGCCAAAGTACTAAGCCTGACTTTGGTACGCCTTATGCGCCACGCGGCTACCCGAGATGGGATTAGAGTGCATCGAAGACGGTCAACTTCAAGGAACTGATGAAAATATTGTGCTCCAGTATGAACTCCGTTCTCTGAAGCGATTTTCTGTGCAAGCTCTTTGGCACGATTCAGGCTTTCCGGCCTCAAACATGTTTCGATAGCATGGGCAAGCTTGGCTACTGTGAGTAGCTTGAATGGAATTGGATCAGGACCAGCGCCTGCGCGCGCAATCATTGAACCCCAAAATGGTTGATCGCCGAAGAATGGCACGACAACAGTCGGACAACCCGCACTAATGCCCGCGGCCGTAGTCCCTGCGCCGCCGTGGTGGACGACACACGATACATGTTTGAACAGCCAGTCATGCGGTACGTTGCCAAGTAAAAAGATGTTATCCGGAATGTCGTTCCCTCCTAAATCGCCCCATCCTCGGGAGAGTAGAACACGTTGACCTGTTAATTCTGCAGCCTCTAGTACCAGCTTGGTCATGGCAGCGGGATCCTCCAACACAATGCTTCCGAAGCCTATGTATATTGGAGTAGGTCCAGCTGCGAGGAATTCCGTGAGATCGGAAGGTGGATCGTAGCTGCCCGATTCCAGCAAATAGAAGCCAGCAATATTGATGTGTGGACCCCAATCTTTTGGCTTGTTAATAAGTGCTGGCGACCAGCAGTATGTGTGTGGGACTTTCAGCCGCTGCAGCATTCCAGGAGCCCACATGCGACTTATTGGGTCCAGTCCTAGGCACTTTGCTCGAAACCGATTAATAATGTCGCCCAGGCCCTGCCATGACAGAAGTTCCATCATCGCATAGCTCATGTAGTTGGTCAAGTGAGGATCGGCGTTGGATTGAATGTTGGCCAAAGGATGGGGAAAGCCTTGAGTAGCGGAATATGGCATGGTGAACATTATGTGGAAAGGGCAACCCAGTTTTTCGGCGCAATGAACATGAGCAAAGCTCGGAGGGTTGGCAATGATGCAGTCTGCAACGAATGGTCTGGCTGAAGTCTCGTGACGGCCGTGTTGGGAGCCAGTGGAATTGTCGCCACCCGCGAGGGTATCTGCCATCCCGTCACCTGCCTCGTAACATGATCGCCAGCATCCTTGGGTATATTGGCTGACAATCTTCCTCTGCTGCTTGATGTCTCCATCCACGACACTGCGAAAGCTCGGCATAAGGCTGGGGTTCTTGACCATGAATGCCATAAGCCGTGATGGATCACCTCCAATGCTGAAGAACTCAAGCCCGTGTTCCAGCACGAATTCTTTGAAAACAGGGTGAGTCGCCAGGCGAACGCGGTGACCGTATGTGTTCTTCAACACTTTCCCAAGTGCAACGAAGGGCTGTACGTCTCCACGCGAGCCGACAATATGAATGACGATATTCAATGGTGGAGGAGGTACTCCATCATGGCCTCCCAAAGACTCGGGTATGTAGGGTGGAGAAGGTGGGGTGGTATCTTGCGTGTTCTGTTCCTCTTGACGTAGAGCAGGAATGAAGACTTGCGATAGACGTCTGTTCAGTTGATTGATGCGGATATTGACACGACCGTCCTCGGTAGTATAGGCTGTAGTTCCGAGGCCATCTTTCTCGCCGCGGAGTTCGCCGTATGAGTCGCCGTATGCCGGAGGTCGCAGGTCATCGTCTTGTAGGTCTGACTTTGTGGACACTGGGATTGATCTTAGGCTTGCGTTCTCATCGAAGCTTGGCATGTTTTTGGCAGACGATCTGATGGCCATGGTGCGTTCGTAGAATAGAAAGGCTCACTCCATACACTGTTGTGTAGTATCGCGAGCTTCAGCAGATGTGGCCAAACATTGACAAGTCGTCCAGAGACGAATGCGACCCGCGGTATGCGTCTGTGATTTCCAGCATTGGGCCTGGCGCTGTATTTGTAGCTGGCAACATGGCTGCGGCGATATAGGCAACAACATATTGGGACGTCCAGACTCTGACACAGTTCCGTCTGCTTCGCACTGGCATACAACTATCGCGTCTCTAGATTGTAGTTTGTGGAGTCGTTGATCGGTCCTGGAATCCTGCGTAACAGCAGCGCTGTCTCTGATTGGTGCTTCGTATTTCGGCAGCAAGTGCACAAACGGCTCATGCAGCTGAATCCTCCAAGTGTCGCGGAACGAGATGGGGCATTGCTCCGACACCCGCAACATTCTACTACACTGCAAAGCTTGGTGTCATCGAATTGCGTGGATTTTGATCAAAGATGTGGCCTCATTAGATTGCTGCACCGCAAAGTGCATCTATTGGTATCAGCTGTCTAAAACACAGGTTCGTTCTCTCACAATTCAGCCCGGATCTCTGTACCCTCCCATCTCGTCTTCGGTGTTTGTAATTGAGCAAGAGAAACATTCAACCTATCCCACATTCCTTCGACTCCCATATCTTCTCGACCACTGCGACGATGGAGTTAGCCATGACTTCTTTGAGACCCTGTAATGACAAGGTCCTGCTGCAGACTTACTCATATTTCTCCATGACCACCGGCTCTGTTTGCCCTTCCGCCTCATTCGGATTGCGGAATATGATGTTGCGTTTCTGTAAGACCGCACGCTAAATTAGCGAAGCATTCAACGCGCAATAGTGAGTGATCATTTGTACTCACCAAGCCCAAACTCAAATGTATTGCTCGCACGCTGTGCTCGAATTGCGCTTCTGGCTGTTGTCCTTCGATCATGCTCAGCACATTCTTGGCCACGGCCTTTGCTTGTGCGCCACCAGGTCTCGCGGCCTTATGAAGACCAGTATCTGCGATGTCGCCAACGGCGAAGATATGATCGTACGCGGGATCTTGGAGCTGAAGAGTCTTCCGGATTCGCAAGAAACCATTCGCCGGGTTCACAAGGCTGTCCGTTGTTGATGACGGGAGACTTGATACAAGGTGGTTGTTTGGTTTCTGCCCTGTCGCCGGAATGACGAAGTCTGCCGAGATGGGCTGCTGGCCATTCGTGAATTCGACCTCGAACAGTTGTCCGTTATTGGGGAATGCTCCGTTCGCAGGAATTTTCGCGCGCGTACTTGTGCTGAGATTTATCCCCTTCTCCTGAAATGCGTCGCTGATGATTTCATGGAGCTTAGGGTGGAAATTCTGCATGAGACGATCTCGTGAATGGACGACCGTGACTTCTTTCTCGGGATACAGCTCCTTGAGATCGAGAGCCATTTGCACTCCTACCGCCCCGCCTCCGATAATGGTGACCGCACGAGAATTTCGAAGCTGCGTCTGGTAAGACTGGAGATAGTCAATTGAAGATGTGGAGTCGTTGTGCGGCATCATCGACGGCGCAGATAAGTGTGTGCCAGTGGCGAGGACGAGGTGGTCGAACGGAATATTCTGTGAGCCTTCCCATCTGCTGTCGATCTGGACATGGTTGGGGTGGACCTCTGTTGCACGAGCAGCGACATGCCTGTGACGAGAAGAGGATGGGAAAATGCCAGTGTACGGAACAAATGCTTTGTGTTCATGCCCTGAGAGAATGGCAAAGCGAGGCTGGATTTCCAAGTCAGTCTAGAGCAATGATCGAGGTAGACGAACAAACTCACGAATGTGAATATGTGATTGAAATGGGTATGAGGCTCGATCAGGAGAACACGATGCGTCTGTGGCAAGATGCTCATAAGCTCTCGGGCGGTGTTCTGTTCGCTTGCATCAGCATTGGGACCATGTCATGTCCAGGCTGTCGACACATACAAGGCCGACATATGAGCCACCAACGACAATGACGTTCCTAAGTGCAGCAGTCATTTTGATAGAGGAATAATCAGATGGAGGTGAGAAAGATAGATCTGATAAGAGTCGACGGCTCGCCTACTCTTGTACCTACTATCTCCGACATGCCTGCCCATGTAGACCGATTACGGATGCCCACTTAGTCCGCAACAATTGCCTTGTCCACCGGCTGATGCCTGGACTGCGCAGTTGAAAGCCTGGGATGAAAGTGGTACGTGTTGAACATTTCTAAGAACTCTGGCAGAATGCTTTCCAACGGCAAGCTCGGACGGGATGTGATTGGAGTTCGGAATGAAACCGCTGCTCGGACTTGGTTTCTCCGCACCTCCGAATCTCCGAGCAAGGGCAGTCGCGTCTTCTGACACTCGTAACACCGCAAGCCCCGCGCGACTCATTTCCGACAAAGGAGCTGCGGAACCACATCTACATTACATTCGATGCACTGCAACAACACCCGCAAACTTATGTCCTGGCGCTGTGCTCCTCACAGGGCTTTGCTGTGGCAGTCCATCTGGGGCCCAAATCGCACTGCCAGCCATGAAGTGAGGGACCGAACAGTGCAGTCGGGCTCAAAGACGCCCTTGTCGAGAAGAGACAAGCTGATGTCTCTGAATCAGTACCCAAAAATCCCATGCGTTGGCGTATCCCGCTCGCTCTGAACACGATCAACCGCCTCTCTCTCGATCATCCCCAAGTCCGCAAGCTGCGTGATGAATTCAGTCGTCCATTCTTGACATCTCCTGGTATTGACCTACAGGCATCGCGCAATTAGTCCGCGTACGATATACCAAGGGGCTACTACTCACCCCATCAATCGGCGCCCGAATATCCTGTCCTTTCCGGGGCGGCGGGATCTTCTGCGCTTCACGCTCCAGCTGTGACCGAGGCGTGCTTTCTTGAACAAGTTCGTCCGACTCGGGTTCGAACAGGTGCGTATCATCCACACTGCCCAGATACTTGAGAATCTTCAAGGCGGGGCCGGTGCTGCAGTCGTAGTTGCGTTTGAACTCCAAAATGTAGCCGCTCATCAATGGCTCGCCGATGACTTGAATTATCTTTCCTTTCGTTTGTTGAGACTTGAAAGTTTCACTGAGATCTTTTCTGTCATGTTGTGCATTGGGGATGAAGATGGCAAAGTGTACGCGTTCTCGACTGCTGGTTCGATATTTGGCGAGGTAGACTGAGCGAGTCGGCATGGCGGAGCTGAAGCCGTTCGTGGGCTCGTTTGACTGAGACAGTCTGTTGCGGAGATATGCAGGTTGCGATCTGGTTGGTAAGTTCCTCAGGTGGTAGAATTTGGAGCTGGTTTTACAAAGCTGCAGGGGAAGCGTGATCGTGAAGCTTACCCCAGAATGCTGTTGCCTAGGCGCTGGTTGGACCATGTTCTCACTGCTGGTAGCGATAATGGTCTATTGGACATGTCAGCATAGTCTCGTGATCTACCTCCTTCTACAACATAAAGGGTAACACATCACAGCGGAGTCAAAGTACGTGAGCTACTGCTGCCCGATCCAACTTTTTGCCTGTGGGACCGGAACGCTTCAGGCGGTGACCAAAGCGTGAGCGCAACACACATGTTGAACAGGAGGCAATGTCGCTGCCGACCACATTCGATCGATCAATTCTTCATTTCCCATGCCAAATCATCGCCAAGTCTTCTCCCTTTGCCTTTGCCATCCTCTTTCTTCTGGACCAACTCTTCATTACTTGGAACAAGCCCGTAACTGCTCGTCCCAGCATTGAGCGCGCCACGGCAAATGAAGCAGAACCACTTTCTGCCATCACGCATTGGAGGAGCAGTTTCAAAGCTGCGATAAAAGTGTGAGCAATCGGTTTCGGGCTACGAGTTGGCACTCGTTCACCTACTAGACACAGTGCAAATGAAACCATCCACCCCCTTGATAGCATACCTCACCATCGCAGTGAATCATCTCTTCGGTCGCTGGGTCTGCGCAATTGTCTTTGCACAGACCAGTATCGTAGACGCTGCAATCCAGATCGTAGTCATTGTCCCGACGACTGAGCCAGCGTGGCTTTGGGTGGAGAGGGTGCCGGCTGCGCAAAGCTGGTACTCCTGGGCCAATGGATCTGCTGCTGTTCTCTCGCACTAGTGCTGGAGCTGGCGAATCTTCATCGGGGGTCAGAGTAGCATTGTCTGATCTGCTTGTGGCAAGGGTACGTCGCGAGGGTGGCAGCTTCTTCGAAGATGGCGTATGATCTTCGTCTGTAGGGTCATCGACAACGTGAAAGAACCTGCTTGGAAGACGCGGCGAGACTTCTCATGTGATTAGGATGTGCTTCGGGGCCGTACTGCCCCGCCGGAAGCCTGCTGACAAGTATTCTGTGTGGTCATGAACCGCAACGTTCTCGTTCATGGTCTCTCTGCGAGCTGGTCTGACTTTCCTGGCTTTTGGCGTCTCTGCAAGCACTGGGCTTGCGAAATCCGTCTGGTCTCTCTCTTGAGAAGTCATTTCGATCTGTTGTAAGAAACATCGAACGAAAGTTGGTCAAGTAGCAGCATCGCCGTGATATATGACTGCGACGTTTGCTGTCAACAATATTGTAGAGGATTGTTAACAAATTTGCCATGTTATGATGTGGACAGCCCTCACCCGAATGGTGCTGCCACAGACCAGGCGAGAGCTGTCCGCAAGTAGTCGACATGTCCATGAATGGCGAAAGCAACACGATGCAGTCTTATGATGCGTCCGAGCTGGTTAGTTTTCACGGTGATGCTGTATATGTCTGCATTTGTGAACGTGCTGCGCCATGCACTCCCACGCATCGTAGAGTGTACAGCTGCCAAGCGGCGATCGACCTATTGTGAGATCCAGTAGAGCTCTCAATTTCCTCGCAACGCATACTAGTGCGTTGAATGAGTAGATGGGAGCCCAGTCGTGGTCGGTCTGGTCAATGAGAAGGCACGGCCACCGTCCAACAGCGAGCATGCCGCGACACAATACACACTGGCGGTGACCAGGACGACACTTGCGTCGGAGTTTCCACATGTGCAAGACCATGGCGGCACATTTCCTATCACACGGAAACAATCGTTCCCCGATGTCATCGATAGCCTTGAAGGTTGTGGGGTCGCAATTAGGAGGTGAATAAACAGTATGGCTGCAGGTGTCAACCAAGAAAGTGTGAACCAAGGAGAGACGACCAAAGGATCACTCGAATGCACGAAAGAATTCGGGACCTGGCACTCACTTGCCGGTCCTGTTGATCGATCATAACGCATCGTGAAACCACTTCGAGTAGAGGATAGAAGATGGTTGCAGCTGAATTCCTCCAGCATTGAGATGCACCCGACAGGTGCAATTGGAAGTGAGTATCTTCTCCTTCTCCTGATAATGATAGTCGGTGAGATCATCATCATTGATCACCACCAGTTCGAGGACTTGAAGTTGGAAGCGAGTTTGTGGCGCGGGGCCGGCGTCGAGACATCCGCTTCCTGCACCGCTGACTCGGCGACGTTCGTGCAGTGAGGCACAGCCAAATGTCTTGCGCAGTGCTTTCCAAGAAGAGTCTTCGTATGTTGATACTTGCCTTCCGCATCTGTGCCTCTTTTGGAACTTGTCATGTGCGCACTTGTGACTGTGTGCGCGAGCCATGGGACTGATGACCGGATAGACCTCAGAATCGCAGTAGTATGCGATCGCACGAAATCGATACAGTAGTGCTCGGAAGGCAGACAGTCGGCAAGCTACGAGGCATACTGTGCACAATTACAGGTTGGAATTGCTTCCCCGATCTGATCGGGCGCTGGAAAGCAGCCACATGATCCTACTGCTGGTAAGTCGTAAGCCACTTCATTGCGCAAGGCGCTACTTGTATTTCTTGCGTTAGCTCGTCTACTTGGCATGTTAGGCGCTGGTCAGTCCCAGTTGGTGGCCTAGCTGCGTACACCGCGCTTGCTACGTGGGCCATGGATTGGAAAGCCTGCTGTTAGAATTGATCGTCTGGCGAAGACCAACACACAGCCAAGGTGTGCAAGTGCTCCCGACAGGGCGGCACAAGCTGTCGAGATGCTGGAGTAGATATTAACGCCGCACAGCTGCAGAAAGCTTCCTCGTCATGGGGTCCAACCGGGGCGCTTTACATGGCTGTGACGGTGGTAATGAGGCGGAGACCCCGAGCAGATTGGCTGAAGGTGGCGGTAGCCACCAGATGAGATTGCCTGGACGAGTGGACGAGGTGTGGTTGGCGGGCAGTGTTCTGCACGGCTTCAACAAACTTGCTTCGCTGGCTGCTAATGCTCGGCACCGAAAGCGGATGTCACCAGCAGTTGGGCGGATGCGCGAGATCTGAGCAACAGCTTGGCCGGCCGCGCGCAGCATGCAAAATCATGACACCAGTCGACCTAGGGCTTCTCCTGTGCCATCGTATGTACTCACTGATCATGCAGTCCTCGGGCGGAGGCCGCCGGGCGGTCACGGTGGAGCGAAGCCGCCGCAGCGCTTTGCGGCCACATCGCTATCTTGCTGCTGAATTGCTTCTTGGGGCAAGTGTAGACTCACAGCAGTCCCAGAACCGCGAGTCGTCGGCGGCACTTGTGTCTTCCACCTCGTTGTAGCTTTTCGCGGTCGATGCTGGCTTTCCCTCCGTGCCTATTGCAGCCAGGCGGAGGCGCGTAAGCGAAGCGGCGGTACCAGAGGTAGGGAGGAGGTACCAGTTCGTGATACGTGCCGGAATAGGAGTTTGTGCCGCGCTATGGTGTGCAGGAAATGGTTATGTCAGCGTCCCAGGCTCTGGTGTAAGTCAAGCCGCGCTGCACATTGGCTGCAGTAGTGCAGAATAATGAGGATGGAGGAAGCCGAAGGGCGGAAAAGGCAAAATGCTCGGGCGCGCTGTCATCACCACCGTTGCTTGCAAGACCGACCAAGGGAAGGGTGCGCCAAATCGCCGTGGTGCCTTCGAGGTAAACCTGGCAATGGTTCTGCTGTTGCTGGCCAGACCTGTACTGGGATGGATGGATGAAACACAGGATCGGATTGCGATACGAGTCGGACGTTTGACGGCGCACCACCGCCATTCCTGATGCGCAACAGACAAGCGAACGTGCAGCACTTTAGCTCGGAGAGTTCGACGACGGTGATCCTCCCGGCAGAAGAGGCACAGAAGCTGCAGGACGATCACCCGCGGTTTGGCGGACTGCCGCTGGCGTCCAGGAGCAGTTGGCGCATCCTGGGAGTCGTCTCTGACGTTCAACCCTGCGAGAACTTGCCGGTGTAAGACGGACCTCACATCTCCATTTCCCTCCAGGCCCGGCTCTACGAATACTCCTGCTGCTGTCGTGCGAGCACCGAGCTGTGGTGGTTCATTGTCCTTCTTTCACAGGCGCAGGCCGAGGAGGTTTGAGTGTGGTTGTGCCACAGACGCTGTGCGACATTACGATTATCGAGGGGCCATTTGTCACCGACCGGAGCCAGTGGTGCAAGGAGACAGAGTACATCGCATCTACCTCTGACACACAAGAAGCGCAAACCGGAATCTCCCTTGGGCAACTCTCGCGCGCTGGACGACCTGCCGATGATGCTAAGAGATGGTCGAACAAGACTTGGCCTATCTGTTGGAACTGCTGAAGGTGGATGTGGAGACAGAAGATGAGCTGGATGAGCGATTGAAGGCAGACGCGAAAGAACTCGGGCTGGACATTGAAGCAGAGTATGTGGCAGACATCAAGCAGCCATTTAGGACATATTGCTCGGACGACTCTCGTCGGTCTGAGTCTATCGACTCACGGACATCCTACTCGACAGGCCTAGTCTCGACCTTCTCGGAGGCCTCCAAGGATTACATCTCCCACGACGGACATCAACGGCATTCTCGCGCATCGCTATCGTTCAGAGACTACGACAGTTTCGTCTCGCGTGGAGTGCCAGAAGGGCACAAGTCACTATCTTTCTCCCCAGCGTCATCAACCCGTCAGTCATTGTTCCTGCCACTTTCGCAGCCGGCATCGCCAGACTTGTCACCCAGAAGGCATCTCCGCAAGCTCCGTGGCATTAATCTGTTACGTCGCCATCGATCGAACTCTCTCACAGCAGGCGGAAACAAGTGCCCTCACTGCCCGGATGACCCGCTGAACCAGAGGCGTGCTGTACACAGATTGACATGCGGTCATCGTCTGTGCACGCAGGCATTGCGCAATACTGTCAAGACAGCGATAGACTCTGACACAGGAGCGGTTCCGAGCTGTTGTGGGAGGCCTGTGCCAGGCAGCCTGGTGGAACGTGTCATGACGCAAGAAGAACAGAGCGCGTTGCTGGTAAAGCTAGAGCAGTGGGACGACGCGCTGTCGATGAGCCCATCCATGAGCAGCTCGCGGCGCAACTCAGCGCATACCGCAGCAGCTATCAGATGTGGCGATCGCGACGGCCACACTCTATCCGACGATGCTAGCATCGCGCCATTGTCTTTGGAGGCTCATGATAATTTCAACCAAGCAGTAGCTCGTGAAGATTATAAGCTTCTTCATCTTGGACAGACAGAGCAACGGGATCGGTTGCTGAGCTGGGCATCAAAGCAAAGTGAGGAACTTCTGGCCAAACACGAGACGCTGCGACAGACCATGCTTTCGGCGCACGAGGCAGCGGTCGAAGAGATGCAGGAACAGCATGCTTTCGCCACAAGCGACGCGGAAGACAAGCAAGTCAAGGCAGAGTCTGACTTGAGGGAGGCCCAGGAAAAAGAACGGCGCGACAATGCGACTGCTTTGAAGCACATGGAAGCGTATTGCGCCGGAATGTACAGTACGGGTGAAGCGCACGACCGGACTGTCACAGAGCAAGATCTTGCGGAATTGGAGAAGGCGAGATGGCACAGAGACTCGATGCAAGTCAGGCACGAAAGTGCAATCAACGTCTTGCGCGGTGAGCAAAATCGAAGGCTTCGGCTTCGAGCGTCACGGCAAGACAGGGCATTGCAGGTGTGCATCTGCATCAATCCGGGTATTGAAACTTGCGCTGACATATTCCAGGATTTGAAGCGCCAACAACGAAAAGCGGAGCTCGAACTCGAGAGACTGTGCAATGGCGAGCTCGCCAAGCTCAACGACACACTCGAACAAAAGCGAAGAAAGATCCGCTGGAGATGGGAGCTCCAGATGGCCATCTTGGCTAAGAAGATCGAAGCCGAAACTGGAAACCATCTCGACTGCCGTTTGCCTACTGCAGACTGGCATCGTGATGGCATCAAACCCAATCTTGAATGTCTCAGCACACCCAGGACCCTGGATGCAGGTGACTCCTTTCACATGCTTGAGCGACATGACTCCACTACGACGAAGACCGGAGTTGTCTTGCATGATCCGAGCGCAAAGCTGCCCCCATCTGTCCTGCCGACGCTTATGATGCATGAGTTCAAGATCGGTGGGTGGTGAAGAATAGATGGAAGGACGCGGGGACAATGTTGAAGCACTTGGATGGCAAGAGGTTCTGCTATAACTAATGATGTACGACTGGCATATTGAATGTGGCATATGATGTGGAACGATTACGAGGCATAGCGGCCAGGTTTTGATATCGCGTGTGGGCTCGAGAGCACACCGCATGGCATATGTATGAATAAGTAGAGTGAAGTAATGAGAAACCTCATTCATCTCTTCAGGTCGTTCCGGCGGCCGCAGAGAATGTCTACCAGCATAACGCGTGCGAACCCAGCGTTGGACTCTCGATAAAAGCTTAAATCGTGGTATAGACCCACTCTAAGGCAGTTGCCTTGGTCGCCGCGCCAACCGGCCCGCCAAGCGAGCTGACACTTCTTCGACTGGAGACCGCAATGCACATCATGTCGCGACAACGACAGTGAAAGTACAGCACCGCTTTGGATATGGCGCAGTACGAGAGCCTGGTGGCGGAAGTGGACCGAATCACATCATCGCCATACCCGAGTCAGCTCAGGACGCTGCATCGTATCACCGAGAAATGCAGCGACGCCGACATTGCGCAGTGGGCTGCGGCAAAGCCGTGCCTAATCGAAACACTTGCATCTTGTCTTTTGGAAGGACTGCAGCAGTGGACATATGTTCTGGACATCATCACGAAATTCTCATTCAATGCGGCGTGTCGGAATGCTCTTTTGCGGCAAGAGCCGACTTTGCTGCATAGTGCAGTAGCTCGTGCGATCACATCGGGGAAGGATAATTCGAAATATGCCAGAGCGAGTGTTGCGCTGCTCTCGCTGCCATTGCCGGATACAGTGGCGTTGCCAGCCGAAGCGCAGACGCTGTTTATTCAGCTCGTTGAAGAAGCTGCGAAGAGACCATGTCCGGCGACTATTCAACCCATATACCTCATTCTCTCTGGCACTGGGAGTCTACTGCTCGGAGTTCTCAGCAGCGAGACGATGTCGCGGTTTGAGGACCAAATTTTGGAAATTCTGAAGAACAGCTCTAGCACACCCGATGGCTGCTTGAGTCTGTACTGCTTGTCTATCATGAACCTTGTTTGCGCGTCTACTGATCCAGAGTTCCGGTTAACGTCAAGCTCGTACAATACACAAGACTTTCTGGCAAGCACGCCTGTCTCTTCAAGATGGAAGTCGGAGGCCATGCAGCAGTTTTTCACCGGGACCAAGGCTCAGAAGAGCATCCAATTGGTTGTGCTATCAGCATACTTGGCAGCAAAGGCTACACCAAGCGACTGCACGCCTGAGAAAATCAAGGCCTTAATACTGGCGAATGAGATCATTGCTGCGATACCGTTGGACATTCGAAAAATCTGGGCTATGGCGAATACCGGAATGGTCCGCAAGTTGCAGGAACGACTTTGTGCCGGTGATGTTGAGCGACGCATCAAGACATTGGCGCTTCGTTTCGTCGGGAAGCTGTGCGAGCTGGACAGCTTACCACATCCTGTGCTGGAGAGCTTGGAGTTGACATTTCTGGAGCCGGAGCAATTGCACCAAATACACACTTTGTGTCCACACATTGATGACAGTGCCTTGTTCTCTGGAGTGCTGGCAAGAGCACCGATTGGTATATTACTTGACAACGCTATCGAGTACGCGACTCGAATGGACTCCGCAGCACTCGCAGCAGGTGCGGATGCGGTGACCAAGACCATTACCGACACAGAGGCTATCGTCAGCTGTCAAAGGATTACCAGTCATCAGATCGTGGAAGCACTAGGTGACACTAGATTTCTACAGAAGTTGCAGAACCTGCACGATCTTCTATACGAGGTCGAACTTCATCATGATCAAGCAGGTGGCTGGTGTCACAAAGCACTACGAAGAGCTAGATCAAGACTAGCACACCAGATCAGCAATATACTGCTGCGAGCTTCGCAAGGCGCATCGTTCAGTGCCCCTGCTATGACGGTCTTGCTCAATTTGCATGCACTCTCAGCTCGTGGCGATGTCGATTGCATGCACCGACGCCACAATGACAGGGAAGCCGTAAACCTGGAAGGACTGAATCTGTCAGAGGATGCAAATGACCAGTTCGACTGGAGAGAGGCGGTAGATACTCACTTCAAGGCACGGGCAAATGTGGAACAGGATGCAGTGAAGCGCTTGTTCGCGAAAGCTTGCGCGAATCTGGAAGCACGGTGTGAGAATGTCGAGAGACCATTGCGAGAAGAGCAGGAGAAAGTGCGTACACTCGAAGAACACAACTCAGCTCTCACAGCCGCCTTCGAAGAGATCGAGGCGAAGTATGTCGACGCATTGTCACAAGTCAGGTCACTCGAAGAACAGGAGCAGACAAGAGCCGACGAGCTTCAGGGTGCATTGAGACAGAATGCCGAACTTCTTGAGCGGGTTTCCAATCTGGAGGAGACACTTCGCCAGTCGCTAGCAGATGCGCAACGGCAGCTCGCAGAAATGAAGACTGCCAAGCAGACAGCTGAGCTAGACGCTGCGGCACATGTAGCTTCAAAGCAAGAGGCACTGGAAGATGCTGAAGAAGAGACTACGAAGTGGAAGTCAAAATACAACGAGCTTGCCGCCAAAGTCTCGAACTTTGAGCTCGGTCTCAATGAGGCCGAAACTGAGCGAGAACAGCTTCAAGAACGTCTGTCGAGCAGCGATCGTCGTGTGGTCGAGCTTGAACGCGAAGTCAGCAGGATGGGAGCTGAGGTCAACAACTTGAAGACGGCGAACAACGATCTTGAAGAACAGCTTCAGTCAACGAGCAGCGATGACGCTGAGAAGCTTCGTCTGCTATCTGAACTAAGGGAAGAGTTGGGGTTGTGTCAAACCGAGCGTGACGAGATTCGAGCAGAGCTCGATCGTGAGACCAAGAAACTGTATGCTTCTGTGGAACAGACCAGACGTGAGCGAGACAACCTGGCACAAGAACTACAGGCAACAAGCGAAAAATTGCACCGACAGCTGGCAGAAGCGCAGCTCGAATGCAACGAACTCGCCGAATCGAAAACGGCCGAGATCGAAGTCCGCGAAGCGAAGATATCTGACCTGAAAAAGAGGGTCGAAAGATATCAGCGCAAATGCCAGGAGAAAGATCAACAGATCGCCGAAGCGGAATCGATGCGTGCCAATCTCATGGCAGCGATGGGCATCAACAAAAGCCAATCTCGCGGCAGCTTACCGCATCGCTCGCGAGAGTCGATGGCGCAGCCAACTCAGACGCAACCTGACGATTACTCACATATCTCTGCTGAAGACATGGACTTGTCGATCTCAAACATCGACGAATCGTCAATCTGGCAGCGAGACTCGTCGCAAGAAGACAAAAGCGGTCCTACGCCTAAGAGGCAGAAACCGCGAAAGTCTTTGTCGTTTGCCGCGCCGTTGACGACGGCTGCGCAGCCAAGAGCGAGTGTCGGTGGAAGAAGATTGACGAGATCGAGTACGGGTGTGAGACAGAGTATGGGTCGACAACCACTTGCTGGGACGAATGGCAATCGTGGCTCATTGAAACCTTTCAAGACTCCGTCTAAAGAAGCTGCTAGCGCCGCTGTGGAAGCGGCAGAGGAGGAGTCGACGTTTGAAGGGAGTGAGCTTTTTACTGGTACGCAAGGTGGGCAGATGTTGGATTTGCAGGCTGCTTTTGACGAGAATTCTTGAGACTTCTTGGTGCTTGGATGAGTAACTTTTGGCGATGGTACGTTATGTTGCATTGGAGCAAGCAGAAGCTGGGGACAGGATTCCAGACAGTTGCAGAACCAGGATTTCGGATTCTACGCAGGTGTGAAGACAGTTCCTGCCGCCACTGTTGTCCCTGACGCGAAGTTTGCAAAGGAGAACGTGCGCCTTGCGCTGTGGTTTGAGAACTGCGACTCGAAGCTCACGCCACGCACATGCTTACAATCGTCCAGTTTCCCAAGACCATGAATATGATCAAGAGCAACAGTTCTGCGCCATTCGAAAGAACATGCCGATGCATCGCCACGCCCAAACTGTTTTGTTTACATCTCCATGTCTTTCGCATGCTCAGCAATGCAAAATTCTGATCACATTCCCCCTTGCATCCCCAGCCCTGCGGAAGCCGTGGAGAAAACTCCGCACATCTGATAGGTTCACAATGACTTTGGACTTCTCATGGACCAGTCACACACGAGCAATGCGTAAGATTCTATGCAGGTCATCGAGCTGCGACCGAGTTCAAGGTCTCGATCGCAAGGCTTCTTCACACCCACTTTGTGGCTGACTTTTGCTCTCTCCTCACCTGGTGCTTGGGACTCCTGGCTTTCTGTTGACGGTTGCATTCCACCCTCACGTCCGTCCCAATGGTGGGCTCTGGGAGTGGGACGTTGAGGTAAAGGTCGCCGCTCGTGCTGGGTAGGTTCGTTTGTTTCTGTCTGATCGTTTTCTCCTATTGTGCCTTGGAGAGTTTGAAGACAACATGACTACCATGGGACAATATACAGAAGATCTTCAGCTTCTTTCGCAACAATCAACCACGCGACTCGCACGGGTTGAATTTCGGCGTGAAAGTTCGCGTTCGTCAACGGGTCACGAACGAGCTTTGCGACCTAAGCCGTTGAATGTTGCTTCGAAGCAGAGCAGTAGCAATGCGAATAGCGCTAGCAGGACTGCATCACATTCGCAAAAAGAGAATGTAAATTTGTATGCCAAAGCGCAATCGCAAGGAAGCTACGACAGTCCGACAATATCATGCACCGCCTCGTTCTCTGCAGTACAACAACAAGACCGCGATAACAAAACTTCGCCGTCTCCTCGACAATCCGAAATCTCAATAGGAATACTAGACTATTACATGCGACGACCCTCACCTGGAATCGTCAGCCCTGTGCTTCCCCCGCCTCCGACTCCAAAACTTGATCCCGCGATCGAGCGATTCGACTTCGGATTACCAGCTACTCCCACGCCATGCACGAAATTCCCTTCTACGGAGCAAAAAGCCATCATGCTACCAAGAACGCGCCCTCGAGCAGCGACCAAAACACAAGCCGATCAGCCTCTGATCCCCATCTCGCCCCCATCTCGACCTTCAGCGACATTAACAAGAGGCTACACGCTCTTTCCCGTCATTCGAGACGTTACGCCGCCGCGTCGACAGCCGCAGATTCCAGCGCTTCATTCAGTAACTTTACCTTTGACACTAAGAGACCTGAGTTCCCCTCCGACAAGTCTAGCGAGTAGTGTCAACTCCCCACCAGAAACGACCTACCGCCCTCGGAAAGAGAGTATTTCATCATCGATTCGAACACGAAACGATAGTATCTATTCCTTTCAAGCAAGACTGGCGAACCGACAACGGAAACCTAGTGTTCCGCTTAGGATTTTGCCGTCGGTGAACACAAGCTCGCCTCCAAGCTCAAACGCAAATAATAGTGCGAGAAGTAGTCGTCGCACCACGACATCTTCATCTTCAACTGCTGCGTATACTTCCCCGACATCCATCTACTCCAGCAGTGAGAAATATAAATCTCGCTGGTCAGATGAAACTGCTACAACAGGAACGACGATTACATCTCCTTCCTTTGCTCCTACGCCTGAGCCGAGGAATTCTTTTGGATCGTTGTTGAGGAGGGATAGTATTTGTGGTGGGAATGGTAGTGGTAGTGGTGGAGTGCAGTATCCGGCTTGTTTCTTTGAGGATGATGATGATGGGCTGGATGAGGCGGCGCCGTTGAGGAGGAAGTTGGTTTGGAAGAAGGGGTCTTCGATTGGTGGGGGGCGGGGGAGGTTTGTGTTGGGTGGGGATGGGAAGGGCATTAGGGAGATTGAGGAGGTTGAGAGGGAGAGGAAGGGGAGGGGAGGGTGGTGGAGGGGTTGGTTGTGTGGGTGTGCTGGGAGGTAGTGAAGTAGAATAAATGGTATGAAGTTCAAATATGCTCTTGGCGTTTCGTGCTGTTCTGGATGTATTGGACAGAATATGAGCGATGGTGACGTTGAATCTCTCACCAGGAGGGTAAGTTGTCACCTTGTGATGTATGTTCTTCATCGGCAGTCTATTTCGAATATCTTGGTGTTCTCTCCCCTCCCGTGAAGGCTCTCCAGGACATGCTCTCACCGCGAGCATGCGCGGCTCAGCGCGTGAAACCCAAGCCGGGTCGCCGGAGTGCAGAGAGCTCAGTCGTGCGAGATCTGCGATCTGTCCTCCTAGCTTGTCGAGTGCAAGGGGAGCTCATCCATTTTCCGCTGAGCTTTGGATGAGCATATGCAGAGCTGTGAGGTTAATGGCACTAAAGGTCACATGGAGATCCCACCATGAAGATGACCGAGATGACCCAGATCTCCACGCTCCTGGTGGCTGCAGAGTGATGATTGTGTTGTCACAGTTTCGAAGTTAGAATAGAGATGGCTGTAGTTGTGAGAAAACGCGTGGTGGGAGCAAGAACGCGTCGTGCTGGCTGGTTGAACGACCTGGCCTTGGCAGCGCGGGAAGACGGACACAGCTCCGTTTTCGGTGGCTTGGGATTGCATCATAGTTGCCGCACGCGTGCCTTCCGTCAGACGCTCCTCACTTTGGCTCCTGCCCTCTCCTCACATGCGCGCCTGTTCCTTGTCTATTTGGCGATGCTGGGAATGATGTCGCCAGTGTGACCTCGGCTCGTCGCAGTCAGTCCTCGTGGTTCCCATCTGCAGCACGAATAAGCCCCGTTCCATTTTCGTCTTTTCTGCCTCTGCAGCGAGGAGGATTCTGTGCTGTGGAGTGACGAGGCGCGCAAAGTCAATCTATGCACACTCTGGCGCTAGCTCACGAGATCGCACCGATCGCCTTGTCAAGTCGTTTGCCCGCGTGCACATTGGATCGCGCGCCGCCAGAGCCAAAGAAAGTTTGTTGGGCCGGCGTGCGACTGACGACAGGGAAGAAAGAATCACACCCGCACCCTGGAATCGCTTACCTGCTCTGCCTTGCCGTGCCCTCTACATTCACACACACCATTTCTCGACGCTGCAGAGCATGTCGCTTAGCACCCGCCTCCTGCTCCACCGAACAACCTCATAATCGCCCGCTGTCGCCCCCCTGATGTAGCAGCCTACCTGCGAGTCACATCCTTCCTCACGTCGTGCCTCTGTCGCTCGCTGCCGCCGCCGCCGTTGTCCCTGTGTAACAGCCCGTCCGGCCAGCCATGCCGACTTTCAACAGAGCCCACTCGGGCATCCCACTGCTCCTGGAAGAGCGGAAACGAGACGATGCCAACTACCGCACGAGCACCGAAGAGGGCCACGGCCTCATGGGCGAACGAACATTATCGCAGGAGGAGGATCATGAGGACAATGAAGTGCCCGGCTACGACTCCGACGGTGCTACTCTCTCCGCCATGGAGAGGAAATACCGGATGGTGGACACGGAGATCGACTCTCAGGGAATGGGGCGCTACCAATGGATCGTGTGGTCGTTGTGTGGTCTCGGATACCTGCTGGATTTACTGTGGTCGCAGGCGTTTGGCCTGGTGTTGGGTCCCCTGCAACAAGAAATGGGCTTCTCAGACGAGGTTTCGGGCAGCATATCCGTGGCTTTCTCCACAGGTTTGACTGCGGGGGCCTTTTTCTGGGGTATCATGGGGGACGTGATCGGAAGGAGATGGGTCTTCAACTTGACCTGTATGTTCAGCGGCGCCTTTGGTCTCGGACTTGGGTTCGTCACCGCCTACTGGCAATTCCTGGCGCTGGTCGTCGTTATTGGCTTCGGTATTGGCGGAAACATACCTGTCGACACCACTATCTGCTTGGAATTTCTGCCTTCGAACCGACGCTTCCTCCTGGCTCTGCTGTCCATCTTCCAACCTATTGGTGTCGTTGGCACTAGCGCGATAGCCTACGCGTTCGTACCTTCGCACTCTTGCTCCCCAGACTTCAGCCGAGCCGATGCTTTGCCGTCCTGCAAGAATGTCGCCGAAGACGTGGCCTGTTGTAGCTCAGCTCAGAACATGGGCTGGAGATATGTCCTATACACCATCGGAGGAGTCAATGTCCTGGTCTTCATTCTTCGATGCTGTGTCATCAAGGTTCAAGAATCTCCCAAATTCCTGCTGAGTCAAGGAAATGATGAAGCAGCAATCCGAGTCTTGCAGGCCGTGGCAAGGAAGAATGGCAAAGAGTGCACTCTCCGACTCCGCGACTTCGAGCGTGCAGATGCTGAAGACGAATCCGATGCCGTCTATGTTAAGAACAGAATGGAACTCACGGATAAGAACTACTGGAAAGGTGAAGTCAAGAAGGAACTCGGGAAGTACAAGAAGCTCTTCGATGGCAAAGAAATGTTCTTCATCACGATTCTCGTCTGGCTGACATATATCTGCGATTTCTTCGGTTTCACCCTGGCAGGCTACTACTTCCCCAAGATCATCGCCATCAAGAATAGCGAAATCGACGTCTCATTGGAACAAACTTATCGCAATTACGTCGCGATCTATTCGCCTGGAATCGTCGGCGTCGTCCTCGGAGCTATGATGACTCGCATGGCGGGTTTGGGGAAGAAATGGACTATGACCATTTCTTCTGGCTTGATGGGTTTGTCGATTATCTTTTTCAGCATGACGAATTCACCTGCCTCGAACATTGGCCTAAACGCCATGGAATACTTCTTCCAAAGCATGTTCAACGCTGTGCTATACGGTTTCACGCCTGAGGTCTTCCCGGCGGAAATTCGAGGGACAGCCACTGGATTGGCCACAACATGGGGCAGACTCTTTTCGATTCTGGCGCCCATCATCGCACAGTCTATGCAGAAAGAAGAAGGTCTGAAGGATCCTGAGACGGTCAAGAAATTCTTGTACATGGCAGGTGGGATCACGTTGGGCTGTGTGTTTACCACAGGTCTCTTGCCTTCTAAGCTGAAGAAGCGATGATGAGCGCTTGCGCTTGTTTTGATGAGAGTGAGGATGCGGAAGATCTGTGATACCCCCTCTTGGTTACATGATTGACGTTGATGCTGATGAGATACGAGATGAGTTACGATGCAGCATCTTTATCATGGGGGTCTTTTGCTATTGGCTTTTTGTTTTGATCTGGGTTTTCTAGCGCTGCATAGAAGAAGAAACAACAGCATACACGAGCGGATGGGATATGATGAGTGGGGGACATAGAAAGAAAGGAAGCGCTCATCTGTGGTGGCTCCTCGGTGGATGGCCTCGGAATGCATACTTCGATAGGTTGGGAGCGTTGCATTTTGGTATTTTGGCATAGCAGACCAATAGCGCAAAGTGCGAAACTCGTTGCGAACACGCCGCACTGTCATGAAGGACATGATCTGATTTCCACTCTCCACTGCTCGATCGGTTCTTCAAACTGCCAACATCACAGTCTATTTCTGAACATCATGCTACCGTCAGCAGATTTAAGTCGAGGCGGTCAGCTAGTCCATGTTCTGGCAAAATCCGGGCGTCGCTGTCGCTGTCGCTTCGTTCTACCAGACAAGGAAAATAAGCGGAAAAGCGTAGCAGTCAAGGCAGTGAGGTGATCATATTACAGTTCTGATCGCACTACAATGCTATCTCGGTCATACAATATATGCAGTCATGCTCAAAATTCTTTCCCACGCTCGCTAATACACACCGGGGTATCGTATCGTACTTGAAAAATCCAATCTATCCTGTCCGAAAAAAAAACAACAAGAGAGGCCATCTTTCCCTTCCTTGGAATCCCAAGCGCCTACGGCGTAACAGCCCAAACCCCCCACGTCTCATCATCCCCACTACTCCCCGGCTGCCCCAACATCCACGTCCCAAACGGATTTCCCTGATTGATATCTCCCATCCCTTGTCCCGTAAACCAACAGCTCATCGGACAAGTCCCATTGGCTCCAGCTGTAACTGAACAACTCACAGGTCCGAAGGCACCGCTCGCGAGATCCGTAGCAGAAACCATTTGGACATCGATATTATCATATCCTTCTCCATCAGGGGAAATGATATCGATTGATTGTGCCGCGAGAAGACTTCCGTCGGAGGATGCGAGAGGGCCGGACATGCCAGCGGGGAGAGAGAATAGTTGGGCTGAGGAGGCGGGGATGGAGTCGAAGTTTAATGTGCCTGCTGCGTCTCTCTTGTTCTTCTTTTTCTTGTCGCTCCAGGGTGCTTGCAGGAATGCGTAGTTGAGGACGTCGTTTTGGATGTAGAAGGTTGGTTGGGCGGCTGCGCCGCCGAGGGTGTAGATTGTGGATTTGGGAGAGAGGGTGCGGGTGAAGACGACCTGTGAGAAGTAAGGTTTAGTATGATCATTATTCGGACGATGGATACGGGGGTATGTACTTACACCGCTCAAGACTGTCGTCGTCGGCCCAGAAACAAGTCTCGTCATCGTGCTCATCATCGTCGAGGTGAAAGTACTTTGCACATTGACCGTCTCGGCGATGATCTGAGTGACAGTCGCAACAGTGTTTGTCACGGTAGCCCTGATCGTATTCACGCTCGTGGTGAGAGTCGTAGTGGCGGTGCTCGTGCTCGTAGCAGTAACAAATCTTGTAGATGTGCTTGTCGAAGCACGGATCGAAGCACAGCTACACGCCGAACTCTGCCTGTAAGCGCTGGTATATGAGGCCAGGCAAGCGGGTTTGGCGATAGCTTGTCGTTCCATGAGCTCTTTCGCGAGTACGACATTGTCGTCGTCAGAGGCTTCGCGTTTCTCTTTTCTTGAAATACCGTTTCCTACTCGCATGATTGTGATTGCGGCATCAGGGTTGGGAGGCGCAGCACATTCGGAAACCATTTGCGTGACATCGGGAGCTTGGACGCTCGTCGTCCGTGTCGTTACGGTCCTGGTCGTAGTGGTTGTTCTCGTCGAAAAGGACGTAGTCGTTTGTGTTGTCGACACTGTCGCAGCAGCTATGGCGACATTCGTCGTCGAAGTCTGGCTCAATGTTCGGGTGACACTGATAGTAGTGGTGATTGTTGTAATGCCTGCAACTCTCACGGTGACGGTAGTTGTAGGCCTCACTGTAGCTGCTGTAACTGTTCGTGTCGTTGTAACTCTGGGGATTCGCAGGTAGGAAGAGCAGTAAGTCGTCAGTTGTGCTTGTCGACTGGTACCCGTACACCTGCTCGCCACAGTGCCGCAGAATGACATTTGTCTGGGTTGCAGTCCGGGAGGAGGGACAATAGCAGCACTGACTGCAGCCGCAGCAGCAAGGATGAGTGAACAGAACTTCATGGTGGCGATGAAGGCAGATCCCCGACCCCTTCTGTGTATGCAGTGATGAAGAAGATGAGAAACAACAAAACCAACTATCTCACAAAATCTGGGACGTGTACGCCTCCCAGGACATATATTCCAGCCCACGACTCAACGCCTCCGGACCAGAGCGAGCATGCCAATCTACACAGCACCCGGAAAGGGAAACAGCTCTCCACGTGTAGACTTTTCTCTCACGGGGTCACCGCAAAGGCGTACGCGTGAAAAAGTGTAGTTCAGCCATTGTCCAGCCCAGACACCCTTGGCTAGACCGCATTCGAGCTGGCCTTCAGCCATGCAAGACATGAGGCTGAAGAACTTATGCCAAAGCGGTTGTCGCATCAGAGAAGTTTACCGCAAGAGGAAAGGTTGCCTACCTTTGCCAGCTCGCCACGTGGATCTGGGCGTGAAGCATGGAAAAGTCAAAGTCGTTTCCAGCCAACGATGGAGCTTGGCGTTGCGCGCCTCTTGAGATCTGGACCAAACCTTGCGACTCGCTAAACGCAAGCCACCGCGCTCCACGAGAAGTGCTCATCAGCTCAGCCTTACCGTCGGTCCCGGTGAGACTTGGGCTGGGTGGAGGACTTCGTAGTCCAGGGACGTCGTGCTGCTCACCTGTCTCCTTCTCAGACGGCACTTGCGAATCCTGGAAGAGGTAAACTTCGGAGCGGAACAATAAAGGTGCGACGATTCTGCAGAGCAGCAGAACGTCGCGCCGCACCAAAGATAATCCGCTTCCGACATACTACTGCATCGGATGTGCGCCTGGGAGCAGACAGCTGCTCACGCCTCCTTCTCTTTCCATTCGTCGCGGATTGAGAAACTTCGAGTGCTGCTCCAAGTACTGCTTTGCCACCGACAACTCGAAATCCGGCATCGCACCTGGCCGGTTGCGCCGCGCAGCGTAGATCAAGAGCTTTTCGTCCAATGCGGCCGGCGCCGGGATAGAGGGAAGGCTTCATCGACCACGACGTCTGCTCGCTTGACCTGTCTCGGACTGCCCATTGCTGGGAGATGCGTGAGCTCTGCTGAGGGAGTGAGAGTGTAGAGCAGAAGGGGAGTGTAGAACAGAAGTAGAGGGGCGAGTATCGACGTGTTGGCAAAGAAATGAGGCACGAGTGACTTAGTAAGGGCCGTAGCACAACTTTATTGTACTGCGCATGCAACTATGGTCGCACGTTGATCGTCAGGGCGCGACAGTGCAGGATCTTGCTAACAGCATGTTGCAAGGTCAAATAACAGTGTTCGCTTCGCATCTTTAACCGCATGTCGCATCTGGACCGAACGCCTGGGCCATGGGCTCCGAGGGCATCTCTTTCGTACTCCTGCCTCTCAAGCTTTTTGCAGGAAGACTGCTTAGGGTGCTCTCCTTGGTCACGGGCTCGAGGCTGAAGGTTCAAGATCTAGAGGTTAGGGCTCACGGGCTCGAGGCCTAAGGTTCAGAGCCTAGAGAGTTAGGGCTCACGGGCGTAGAGCGTTGTACTTCTTCACGTTGAACAGTTCCAAGTATGCTCAAGGAACCGTCGCGTCTGACTGTTGCGTGAACCCTAGGGCAACTCGAGAGAGATGTGTACAGTGCAAGGACTTCCTCGATTGGAAATAGAGAACTCCTCCAGCATTGATATCTGTCTATTCTCGTTGCTGACCTCCTCGATTGAAATAGATGACTCCTGCAGCATTTATATATCCGTTCGTTTCTCGCCGCTCCAATTCTCATCTCCCACTATCACACCTACATTCCTACTGAACTGGAAAGAGCCCTTAAGCCTCCTGTTGTCTCTCACAATGAAGCTCACCATCTTTACGACAAGCGCTCTACTCTTTTCCGGCCTCACATACGGAACCGCGTGGGTTCAAGGGAGAAAATGCTGCAAGAACAATGTCGACAAATGCGTTGGCCAAGGCCACGACGGCTGTGTTCATCTCAATTACGAATACTGCGTAGAAGAGGTGAACGAGGGAGCTCAACATGACAAATGCACAGATGAGTGCTCCGACCATACCAGGATAGAGTTCAATCACCTCAGGCTTTACAGAAAGGCTGATGGGTAAATTGGAACCGAGCTTTTGATGCGATAAATTCGCAGAGGATTTATGCTGACGATTTTTTGATCTTGAATTTAGTGGTGATCCGCAATGCATCTGCACGGACTTTGATTCTAAGGACTCTGCTTGCTAATATCGACCTGTTGGAAGAGCGTGGTGGCCGTCTCTGACTCTGTGTGGAATAAGGCGTTTGTTGTTGTTATCACTACGTCAGTCTCTACCTGTATATTATGATATATATCATGTCATTCAACTCTAGCCCTGCACTTGGGTCACAGACTGGACATAAGGATACGTGCAGGCCGCGATGCCGCGTGGCGAGACCATATGGCATTGGCCTGCGGATGAGTGCACAGTCTGATGACCAGATAGCATTGTGTTCGATTGATGATGAGCGCAATTCATCAAATGCACAGTTTTGTGTGTGCTATACTGTACACATTGCGTTCCTCGTGCACAGTAATTGATGCTCTGCGCTGACGCATAGCGGGATCAGCACCAGGGGTCGATTGGGCGACGGTCGTGACCTTGGGACCGTGGCCGTAGTGATGTGAATGGAAATCGGTCTGTTGCGGCGTATGGGCGAACGGGTGATGGGTCCGTTGCGGTCTATGGCTGCCAAATGCAGATAGAGGTCTATTTTCCTTTGAGATGCGAGAATCATGCCAGCCAAGGTGCTAGTCCGACCGTTCAGCGGTATCGCTGACGTTGTGGTAGCCACGGACAAGTCCGGATCTGGTGGTCTTCCGGAGGCTCATGATGCTATGGAGACGAGCGATGGACGCAATAGTTCGGCCTTGCATCGGATGTTCCAGGGCGGATTGCCCAAGTAGACGGACGGGACCCAAGGCCTAGACGGATCCCAGATAGCCGAACCGGTCATGGAGGAGGAGCTGAACAACGTCGACAAGCAGCCCAGCAAAAGTCTGCCTCCTTCTCAGGCTCCTTCGATGAAAGGTTTGTCGGGTGTGATATTGCTTCCTTCCGCTCTTTTGTAGAAGTCGCGTACCACCTCACCTTCCACCTTACTACACCTTGCTTTCTTCTATACCTTTCTTCCTTCCACACCTACCGACACCCTTTCTCTGAAGCGACCATACGGTGCTTCCTGTCGCCATCTATTAAGCAATGCTGCGGCTGCTGGTTCCTCGAGAATTGTTCGACAACAATGACAGACTGGCCGCAATATAGCGCTCATTTGAGCCCTGTTAAGCACGTTTGGTAGCACCTCACGACCAAGGTTTATGAGCTGCGTCCTGACCTCGACAGCGAGACTAGCAAAGAGCGCCAAAATACCACTCTCAGAGAGGTATCTCCGCAGGCATGGAAGGCCATTGATCCTAAGATTATTCGGAATATCGTCGATGGTATGTCAGACAGGGGATTGAGGCAGTGATCAAGGCACAGGATTGACGCACAAATTACTGAACATAGACACTATCCCTCAGAATCAAGCCACTGAACTCAGCAATCCACATGATCGATTAGTGTGTCGATCCGTTAACTCTGTACGAAGAAAATCAACACTCAAGACAGGTGGTGTCAAGCGCTAGAGGTTTCAGGAATGCAGACTTAGTCACTTAGGGCAAGTTGCTGTACAGTACCGGTACCTCCTCGGTTGGCATGGGGAGCGCCCGCAGCATTGATATCCGTCTACAGCCGCAGTACCGCATACGTGGTACGGGAGACAGAGTAGTAGGTCTCAACTTGCAAGCACACATACATGTACCCATGATGGTGCATAATCTAAACTAGTTTCTCTCTGGTGTGTTCTGATTGGTTGACAGAGGTCTAGAAAGCACACCGAGGCGGCCGATTGGGTCGATACAGGACAAAACCCGACTCAGCATTGTCTTGTGTAGAGACCAAGCTTACTATTCATTCGGATAGGTCCTGTCTGCCGTTCCACACTTGCAGTATTAGAACTGTGTTCCAGTCCTGCCGCTAACACCTTCTCGAATGGCATAGAGAACTCCCTGCAGCATTTATATCCGTCTGACTTCTCGCCGCTGCAATTCTCTTTTTTCTCCTATCACACCAACTATTTTACCTAACTGGAAACCTCCCCCAAGCCTTTTGTCTCGGCACTATGAAGCTCGTCATCTTCACAACAAGCGCTATACTCTTCTACTCTCGCCTCACATACGGATGGTCTATTGGGGACAAATGCTGCCCTAGAACTGTCCACTCATGCGTTTCTAACCACTACGACGGATGTGTGAAAGCCGCGAACGATGAATCCTGCGTAGAAGAGAACAGCGACCCCGATTGCCTCACCCAGTGCCTCATGCATTCTGGCATAGAAACTCGAGATCTCAAGCTTTACAAAAGGGCTGATGGGTAAGTAGAGCGTTGAAAAAAAACCCCCCCCGGAGTCGATCTGCGATTTTAAAAGAAAAAAACTTCGCACGCGGCATTTATGTCCAACAACAATTTTTCTGATTTCTTAATTTTTTTCAAGAGCTTTCCCGCAGTGTATTTGCGCTTCGTTCGATTCTAAGTCTTCCAAAGACTGCCCAACCTCCTAGTGCACTAGCAAGAGCGTGGTCGTGTTTGGCTTTGTGGAACAAGGCATTGTGGTTGTCAACTACGTCAGTTTCTGCCTGTACGTCATGATATGTTAACGTCACATCGCCGCAGCCGTCCCAGGTAGCCTCTTATAATGTTCATCGTAGAGAAGCCTGTCGCTACCAATCGGGTTTCTGCCTAGAAGTCCTAGCTGCTGATCTTCCGTCTCTTTCACGTGCTCGCTGTTCATTGCAGTCCCCTAGCATCTCAAAACAGTGAAGCCGTGCTTCTTGTCGCCATCTAGCAAGCAAAGCCGCGCCTCTGGCGGCAGCATGCAACGGGAATGGGCAGGACTCATCAGTGTTGATGATCGCATCAACCGCACTCTGAGATACCGAAGCATTCACTAGCGCCTCTCGCAGCGCATTTCGAAATCCAGGCATCATCGCAGCCTCACCTCCAACGATAACATGGGTGATAGGTCTACCGTAGACACTGTTCCTTGGTGGCACGAGTTTATCCCGCATAGAGTCCCAGTATGCATCTTCGGAAGGAAATTGCGGCATGTTGTCTAGACCAAGTTTGCTGTCGAAGAAGCTGTAAGGTTCGCGTTCTCGATGTACTTCAAAAGGTTGCAAATAAGTGTCAAGACTCGTATAAAGCGCGCTTCTCGTGAGCGAGGCATAATAGACTGTGACATCTGATACATTCGCCGAGATCGGCTCAATGCAGACTTGCCAGGAGCCGTATTCCTGGCAGAGGTTCACTCCGTGCGCAGCCAGGGCAGCTCTGTTCGGACTTAATTGATTTGGGTCCCATTCGCCGTTATCGCTCGTGTGGAGCCAGGATTGTAGGCCGGCGTACTCAACCGCATCACCGATGTCCTCTGCTCTCAAGGCGGGGAATCGGAGGTGAGAAAGAACAATCTTGTCAAGGTTGATGCCAAGCTCGACTTCTGTAGCGTTCTTTAGTTGGAGGATCAGATCGCTTATGATGCCAACGTCTGTAGTGCTCGGGCGACCGCGCTGCTTGTTCCACCATCGTTTGAGCGAGTCGATGTAGCTTGGTCGAGACGAAGGGCTTGCAGACAATCGCACGATTAAATCTTTGTACTCTTGCGCGGCTTCAACCTTGACAAGATCCTTGGTAGGGCCATTGTAGAAGTTCACGCTTGATACACTCGGGGGATATAAGCTTCGCCTCCAGGACTGTGGTTTTGAGACTTACCCATAGCCTGCCGTAAGGTCAAAGCCCACGCCCGGTGCATCATGAACTGCGATAGGCAAGCACCGCGGATTGCGGCAGTCAGGATATCCAACAGTCGCAGAAACAAAGGCTAGCGAGACGACAATCAACAGGACGTATTCCAGGAGGCGATTCCTCGCAGCCATGGTGGACAGCTTTGTCGAAGTGCATCGGGAACTACGAGAGTAGAAAGGTAGCTGAACAGGACCCAGGCAACAGCTGGACGAAGAGGGACAGTCATGTGATGCACGCCTGTGCTGCAAATATTGGCAGACTCTTGGACTTGTGGCCTTAGCTCTTGTAAAGCCGCCAGCCCTCAGGAAAGTGAACAGCAAACTCACGTGCTCGAGACCTTGCTATCCACCGTACTGTTGCAAGGCTTCACTTTTTGGTCGTATACTGGATCCGAACGCTGCAGCCTCTTCGCAATGAAATGCTACTAATGAACAAGTGAGTCAGCTTGATCAATGTCGTCTCGTAGGTGAGAGAGCTCGCGCTCATATGCCTGGTATATCAAACCCACTCTCGTCCTTCCGCATGCAGTGCTCTCTTACTTTTGATGCAGAATGGTATCTACAAATATGCGCAGTACAGAAAAGAAAAACAGAACGTGACACAAACACATATATCGTGGTTGTTTGCTGTGCCGCGAGACTGGAATAGCTCATTGAAGTCGTTGTCGAATCAAGGCTCAGCCCAGAGGTCATCAGCTTTGTCGGGTGTAAATACATAGCGATGATCAGCCGCCTGGTGCGAGCATTCCTATTGCTGCGCATTTGGCTGTCGTCGCTCGGTGATGGGAAGGAAATTCCCTACGATGAGTGAGGGTCTGCAACAAAAGTCAGCCTGCGCTCTAGAGGGCAACAGGAATTGCCACTCACATGTTATGGGTATCTCTCCGAATGGTAAAGGAAAAGCAACATCGTACAGCCTCCATCTTCACCTTCTCCGTGGTCTTGCCATCCTTGCCCGCAGTGCTCGTCCCTTCGTCCGCTTCCTCTCTTCTTCGTGCGGGTCTCATGAGAGTGCAGCTGGTCAGGATGGCTTTTTGAGATTGATCGAATGCAATGGCACCGAACTTCTCCCAATATGAGACGAGACTGTCCTCTTTGACAATCTCGTGAATCGCCATCTTGCCGTCTCGCAGATTCGAGACAGGCACACGCACAAGCTCCGCCATTTCCGCGTTGCCACGAAAGATTTCTCCTGTTCGTCTCCAGCAGCAGGCGGGAATGGCCATGGAGGCAAAGACACGATCGTACTCCATCAAGCTTCGTTCGAACCACATTTCGACCAGCACCAACTGCATGTCGGTGAGAGACTGCATTGCCTCACGAAACTTAGGTCGGAAGCGATCCAGCTGCTTCAGTATTCGTAATTGTGATTCTCGTGTGAGGTTCTTCGACATGTACTGATTGAGGCGAGCGTAGCCACGGACATAGTTGAACGGCTTGAGCATTCCAGCATCATACTTGGCTTTCAAGAGTTTGTGCAAGCGGTCTTCCGCAGACGACAGACCCGCGGGATCAGCAGCAGTCATGTAGAATTTATCTCGCGCTCGAGAGTCAATCGGGAAGGTCGAGCCAGGCCGTGATATCTCTTGACCCGCTTGTAGATGCGGTTGTGTGGGAGGCTGCATCTGCTGCGAGGTCGGTCGTTGCTGCGGCTGTGGCTGATGTTGTTGTTGCTGGCCCGCATTTGATGAAGTTGGCTGCTGACCGATTTGTGTGCTGAGGTTCGGATTCGTGAGATGGGCAGTCATGGAGGATGTGGCCAGTAGCGGGTCATTGAAGAGTGCCTGAGCATCCGAGTCGTTATACATGGCGCCGTCTTCCATGATAGAAGAGGAAAGGAAGTCATTGAGCAAATTGTACTCATTGGTCACTTCCGATGTGTTGAACATGTAATTTGGATGCAGATGGTGCATGTCCTGGAACTGACTGTGCAGAGGATTGTTGTTCCAGTCCACGTTCTGGAAGAGGCCAGCATTGCTCCCTCGCTGTGGTACGGGCGTTTGCAGTGTCCGCGGCGAGACAGGCGTGGGCTGCGCGAGCTGTGGTTGCGAGCCGCCATTCACGTGTGACATGCCATTCCCCAGAGGATGTGCCATGTGCCCGTTCGCCAGCTGCATGCCGTCTCCCGGAGCAGGAGCGATATCTGCCACGCCTATGTCGCTCTTGCTCCTCTTGGCGGGCTCGCGAGGCTCATCGTGGCACAGATGGCCAATGTCACGCTTGACACAACGAGCACATGGCCGCTCCAAATCGCAGGTCATATGCGAGCGCCGACAGTACACGCAGGCGTGGTTGACCTTGCGCCTCTTCTTCTTGCCCTCGCCATTGTTCTCGGCGGCGTTATTGTTGGTTGTGTTGTTGTTGTTGCCGGTAGCCTCGGAGGCCTTGCGCTTGGGCGACTTGGGGCCATCTTTGTCTTTGCTCGTGGTCGCGTGAGAGGTCGCAGTGGTGGGTGAGTCGTTTTTGGTGCCTGCTGCTGCGGGAGCTGTGGCCGCTGGCGTGGCCTCGGTCTTTTGCGGTTCCGTCATGTCGGATCACGGCGATGGATGCATCTGGCAGCTATACCAGACTGTGGGCTGCGAGTTGTTCGCTCGGAATCGCAGCGAGAGCGTCGCGCGTGCTCGTCGTCCAGCTTCGTCTCGTCTCGTCGTACCAGCTTGGCGATGGGGGCCCTTGTGGAGCTCTGGTCGCGCGGCGCAGATGGGTGCGAGGGAAGGCCGTGTGTGCTGTGCTGTCGCGCCCGCAACTTCTCCTCGCGCATGTGAGCGTCTGGTTTTCTGGCGTGGACTCCTCTTCTCGCGGACTCAATTACACCACCACCTGCCCATGCTCTGGGCAGCTTGCGACGGGGGATGTGGAAGGAGCGCGGAGTGTGACTGCTCGCTCTGCTCACCACCGCAACGCACCGGCCACAAGGCAGATGAGGAGTAAAGCAGAATCGCAGCACCCCGGCTCCCTGCCTAACTACTCCACAAACCTTCTTCACGGCCTGCCTATACTGTAGGGCAACTTCCCACTCCACTTCGCTCTTGCCTGTCATCTGTCAATCACAGTTCACCCTCGTGCACTCATCTCCTCTCTTCCACTCGGCCACTGTCCACGTTTGAGCTGGCAAGAACTATCGTCTGTCGTTCATATCATCACCACGATCAGATGACCCACGAGTGAATTAAAGTCGAACTCCCACATCTAGAGCCCCTCCGGCTTCTAGCAGACACATCGCATTCGCCGAACAACACGCGCTAGTAAAAACCAGAAAGCTCCTCGGTGCATGTCAGAGCACATTTTCACATGTGCCATCGCTCGGCGTGCTCTCTACAGAATGCCTCCAAACCTGTTCCTGACGCCGGGCGAGCTGGCCAATTGCCGCTGCGCTCCATGTGCAAATTCACCATCATCAGTGTCTGCTCGACTTGCGCTATGTGCCAAGCTTATGTCTTGGTCCAAACGAGCTGCGGAAGATTGGGGCTGTCACAGCAGCTCGCTTAGAATTCTCCGGCCTCGCCATACTGGACGAAGCTGTAAAACGTAAATCATGGCCTTGTTGCCCTCTGCTCCACCGTTACAAACGTTCAAGTAATGGGTGACCACCATTCAATTGCACGATTGCCCAGCGCTACCTTCGATGCAACAATCGAAAGTTTGCAACACTGACCGCTGTCTAATCATATGCAAGTTCCGCTTCGATTATCGGAGAGAGTGCCTCGATATATACTCAGCTCCAGGACCCGAACAACCATGTCCAGCCACTGCTGAACGTTGACGATAACCCGCCATTAAACAGCCAAACGCCAGAAACGACGCCGTCACGATTCCTCTCATGCCCAGTATTGCTTCGAAACAAAATCGACCAGCCATCCAAGATCACTCTATATTACAAGTGCTAAGCTACGCAGCTCATTCTCTCAATACCACTTCACCGCACAAGGATCATCGGGAGCTATACACTCTCTAGCCCGTTGAGACCACCAGAGGCTGATACACTGTCATCCCAACAAGACCCTCAATAGACTCCTCACTGCCATTTCCGATGCCGTGGAGCCCAACCATAACCGCATTGCGAGCCCTCGCACTGCCCCTCTTCCTTGCTACAGCGTCAGCCATAGCAATGGATCCGGACCATATCCCGCGCCAAGCAGATTGCCTTACAAACTGCCGTTCGTCCCTCACCCACTTCCTTCAAGTCCACAACACAACGCTGACCCAATCAATCAGGCAGTGCAACAACTCCAAACCAAAACACAAATTTCTGCTCCGACGTGGCATGGATCAACACATTCAACGCCTGTCTATCCTGCGCCATACCTGCCAAGATATCCGACACTTTCCGCGAACCTATTCAATATTTAGCTTCGCGCTGCGGCTATGAAGTCAAATTCCCATCTCCCGACGAAAACCAACATCAAAACATAGAAGGCAAACTTCGACCACTTCCTCTTCCCTCGAACTCGAACAGGAACACGAATTTACCTCGATCTGATCACAAATCTACTGGCCCTTCCGTCCCTGCCATAGCCGGTGGAGTCATTGGCGCGATCCTCGCTCTCGCAGCTCTTTTCATCCTGATCCTTTACCTCGATCGCAGGAGGAGAAAGAGACAACAATCCGAACAAAGAGTGACTGAAGAGCACATGAAATGTGTTTCGGAGATTTTTGGCTTCGCCAATACTGGACCTGCTGGTGCTACGCCGACACGCGGTCCGCACTCGCGGAATGTTTCTGAAACGTATAGTGTCGGAGATGGGAAAGATTCTATGACGAAGCAGAGGGATAGTGTAGACTCTATGGAAAAGGAACGATCGCGTGCGTAGACGATCTTGGGGCGAAGAACTTCGAAGCGAGGTAATGGGTGGCGCAGAAGCATAAAAATGGGATTGATGATTATAACGATTTCATGAAATGTGAATGAAGCAGGGACGATTGGCATGCGTATAGATTGCAAATGTACAATGTTACGATATCTTTCTCCAGGTTGTTCTCCTCTTGTAATCAGTCATCCCCTCCACGAGATCATCTCTGCTGAGACAAAACCAAACGTGAACATCGTAGTCAATTGAAAATTTTCATTCTCGCCAGGCTACTGTGTCCATCAACTGTCACCATCGGAACCAATATATCGCCAAAGAGCGCCATAGGCACGACACGACCTGGTATTCTGAGACTAGTCCTAACACCAATCAGTAATCAGAGAAGGTAATTCGCTTCAAGCGATTGGCCTGGTGGGTGATGAACAGGTTGAGTAGTGACTGAATTCCCCATATCGATTCCGATGAGCACGTGAGTCCACGCACAACGAACGTCGTCGATTTGGCGGGAAAGTCCACCACTGCTCTGGTTATAGAAAACGTCAGGACTGAACTGAGCTGGGGAGCTACTTTTATCAGTGAAGCAACTTTTATCAGTGAAGCAAAGATGTGCAGGTCGAGCGCAGTGTCAAAAGTGAAAAGTGAACATGCCATGCAATGTATTAGCAACAGCGAGATCGAAAATGTCGTTACCCTGGCAGCACTGCAAATCGCAATCTCGTTCTCGTTCATCAGCGCAGCAGTGCCAGAAGAAAATGTTGCGCGAGGCCCGCGTATCTCTCTTCGCTCACCCTTCAGTGAAGAGATTAACGACATGTCGCCATAATTGGACGGGCCGAAAATATGTTCGGCTCGCTCTATCGGCATCAGCTTCAAAGTCGAAATTTTGATCGAGATCGGGCAGCATAGCCAGCGAAGTCGGAGGCAAATACACAGCCAACGGACCCTAGGTCCGCGAACTTCAGAAATGATCTGCTCATCGGCAAAGGTGGTACGGATGATGTTCTTTCACAAGTGGAAGGTGCCAATTGCGAATGCAGAGATGCGTCGTCATACCCCGACCACATTGTTCCGAGCTACGCGTGGCTTCTCTGCGAATGTACCTCAAAAGAGCTGCCGGGTTGAGTGAGGTATCGGCCACGGCACAGGTGCAGATGCAAGAAGTGAGCTTGTCGTTTCAGATCTGCACTTAGCTTCGCCCATGGCCGAAGAGCTCCAGGATGCATACACCCGTGCATGCCGCGCGGTCATGAGGAGCTGGCTAATGTCACGATTGTGTTGTGGCACCCGAATTCGCTTTGTGTCGTGGTATCGGGCGATATGTGCTCATGGGCGGCAGCACGCCTTCGTGTAACAGCTTGCTCCCTCACGGAACTAGATAGCGTACGCAGTGGTCGTGCGCAGGCGAACCGCACAGATGTGCTCTCGATTATCGAAGAGTAGGAGTAGCACTTGGGGTTTGACGATGCGAACCGACTTGCTCGCCCAAATCGCAGAGAAGAGTGAGGTCGGGGCCAAGGCGATTTGGCGAGAATCGCAAAGTAAGTTACTATAGCATCCGAGCCGATGCGGCGGAGTCGTGTCAGAGGATTCTTCTCGTCGCTACGCAGCACGAGCACGGCATGTTGCAAAAGAAAGCCCATTACGGTTGTGGCTGCTTCTCGCTTGGATACACTGTTCCGCTACAGCATCGAGACCTTGTTGCGACGCCTGCTGAAGGAGCGGATAGGATGTTGAGGAGCTGGTGCCCAGGCGTGTCGATGCGTGTGGTCCGTATACCAAAGCTAACAAGCGGGCGCGGCAAAACTTCGTCCAATCCACTCCCATCAATCCGGTATCATACTTTTGACGAGGCTGCCACGTGCTGCTGTAGATCGGCGCCACGGACGAAAAGTTACGGATCTCGTACATGCACCTCGTTCATAACGAGAAGTCGCGACAAGACATTGCACCAGCCGCACAAGCCAGAGCGAACCGACTTGGTAATGCGCTCACTTCAACGTCGAAGCAATCGGATCGCGAGGCCTGCCCGACAGTCAAGAAGGCCAAGTGCTGAACAAGACCAACGCGGCGCCATATAATTGTCTCACGAAGTCGATCTTTCCGAAGTCGGCAGTCAATACTTCGACTCACCTTCCACTTTTGGCCTAGACCATTTCCCTTTGCAATGCGACTTCGCCGCGCCCGACTTGCTGGCCTGCGACTCTAGATGTTTCAATGGTCTGTCAGACAAGGAAGGTACCGGTGAGCTGTGCCTCCAATCTGCTGCGTGTGATGAATGATAGGGCCGTGTCTGTGTCGCGGAGTAGCGTTTAAGCTGTGAAAACGCTACCTTCCCGATGCGGTCGCCACACCGTCGTGACGCATGAGCCGCATTCGCCCTCTTCCGGCAAGCTTGTTGCGCCTCGTTACCGAATGACGAGTGTTAAAGGTGCGCGCTGCTGGTCGTTGTGTCGTCGCTAGTCATCTCTCTCCACAGTCGTTACAAGCCAGGCATTCAGACATGACTGCTATGAGGAAGGACTCCCATCAGTGCCACCACATTCATCGTGGGCAATCTCATCACAAGTGGAACAAGGATGAACCGCCCCGGCTCTCTGTCATATCTGGAGATGTTGTAACATTCGACTGTATCGATGGAGGAAATGGCCAAATCACTTCGCGGTCCTCGGTCGACGACTTGCTATCCTTCGACACATCCAAGGCGGATCCGGTATTCGGACCAGTGTATGTGCATGGAGCTGAACCTGGCGATGCTCTGGAAGTAGAGGTGGTAGATTTGCAGACAGCCGACTGGGGATGGACGGCCGTCATCCCCGACTTTGGTCTCTTGGCCGATGAATTCACAGAGCCGCACTTGAAGATCTGGCAGCTGCCGGCGGGCGAGAACGTGGCCTGGTTCAACGACAAGATCCGGATTCCTCGACAACCTTTCATGGGCACCATGGGCATCGCGCCTGGAGAACAGGGCGAGTTTTCCACTATACCGCCGCGTGACACTGGCGGCAACATGGACTGTCGGCACATCACCAAGGGTGCGAAACTTCTGCTTCCAGTGCAAACTCCGGGTGCGCTGTTCAGCTGTGGGGATGGTCACGCGGCGCAAGGCGATGGCGAAGTATGCGGCGTTGCCATCGAGACTCCAATGCAGGTGACGTTGCGATTCACGGTGAAGAAGAACCAGCCGTGGGTGCAGTCTCCGCATTTCTCGTGTCCACCCAAGGCTGCCGAAGACGTTCTCCCGGATTGCGGAACGTACAACACCATGGGCATCGACTCAGACTTGCTCGAAGCGACCAGAAAGGCAGTCCGCGGAATGCTCGCATATCTCCAAGGCGAGAAGGATATGTCCAAGCTTGATGCATACATGCTGTGCAGTGTTGCCGTGGACATGAAGCTTGCGGAGGTTGTCGATATGCCCAACTACGCCGTGGTGGCTAGCCTACCGCTGAATGTGTTCGTGGATGGATGAAGGGGTACATCTTGCATTGCTGTGAGAACTTGATACAATCAGAGTTAAGGCCTGAGTCGATGCAGGGCCGTCGAACACGGCGCCGAGCGTTGGCCGAGCCGCTATATTGCCAGCAGGATCAAGCCGAGAGGAGCGTGTCATTGTCTCAGGAACATGGATCAGTCGGCCGGTGCACTGAAGAGCCGCTTTTGTGAAGACCGAAGAAGCCGACCAGTCGTTCGTGGTGCTTGGGATGAGCTTCAGCAGAGAGGCATACCGGGCTTTATCGAGGGAAAAATCTGTTTGCCCATGAGGCGGGCCATCGTGAAGGCTGGGAATGAGACAAGCCCAGTGATGGACATGGTGTTGGAGAGTTGGGGTTCGGCTGGGGAGAGGAGTTCATATCGCTGCGAACGGGGTTGCAAATAGGTTCATTCGGTAGATGATGAAGCCGCGGTCGTCGTTCTTCAACTTGTTTCGCGGCCCAAAAGTGTATCTGTTGACTGCCATGCGACATCACTCGCCATGTTGACGATGGAATTGCAAGTGGCGCGAGGTCGAGGCCAAGCGAGACGTGGCATGCACCTGCCTTCGTATTCACAGCAGCGGAGTTGAGCCCGCGTGCATGAGCCCCACGCAGCAGCCAACGACAACGTCCGTCTTCTTTCGTCTACAGACCAACAAACATACAACTTCATCTTGCTGCTGTCCTGCTAGCACAGTCCGTCTCAGACTGGTATAGCATCCAGACATGTTCTTCGTATCGCAGGCAGCAAGCCAATGGGCGCCTGCCTCGCTTCCGTCAAAGGATCACGGCGCTGAAACTTCAGCCGCGCTGCTGCAGACACGCGTTGTGCTATCTTGAGCATCTGGCGCTGGGCCCGAGGTGGTATCCTGTCTCCCTTTCATTGTTCTCATCTTCTCTTCGCATTCTCCTCGCTCTCGTCTTCCTGCCTTCGGCACAAACTCATTGACCATGGCCACTCACCTTGATCACAAGCGAGCAGCTGCGGCGCTTCCTACATCCAAGGCACAACCGCCTTCCAGCTATCGCGATGACCCCGAAGCCGTGTCTCTTCACACCACACGCAGCGACTACGAGTACAACGATGACCTGCCCGAACTGCCGTCATACCACGACAGCGTAGCCGCTCCAGCCAACAGCCCATCCGCTCCCATCGACGCATATCGCAGCATCTCTCAGCCAACTCTACATCGCCCTGGTCAAAATGCCTCCAGCTCGCACGCCGTCTCGATCGGCTGCGAAACGAGCATACGTATGGAAGAGTCGCTCATGGACCCCGCCAGCCTGCAAGACTACATCACAAACTACCTTCGCAACGTCCCGCCTCGTCCTTTGATCCGCATTCAAGGCTCTCATTGGCAGCACACAGCACATGCAAACAATAAGAAGAAGGAGAAGGAGCGAGTCTACGACTTCGACATAGTCTTCAGTCTCCAGCCCTTCCTCCCTGAGCCAGGTAACGGCAACTTTTGCCAAGCCTACACCGTTGAGAATGGCGACCAAGCATATCGTGGCAGCTTTCGCAAAATGCGAGCAAAAGGATACAAGCAAGATATCGAAGTCGGCGAGGAAGAGAAGCCCACTCTCACAGCATGGTGCGAAGAGTTCTGCTCAAGCAAAAGCTGGCTCAAGATCTTTCGCATATCTCGTCATGTCCACGGTCTCGACATCGAACAGATCACGCCCGCGCTCGAGAAACTCGTGCGAGCAACACACTACCGCGGCCGTATAGACATCACATACCCCATGGTCGACAAGAATGTTGACATTTACTCACCGCATTGGATTAACACCGCACGCATTACTTGGATCCGATGGATATTCTATCTCACATTCCTCTGGCTGATCACCTGGCCGATTCTTTACTTCATGACGAAAAGATGGTCCACCTACAACGTCAACTGGTACTGGAAAATGTACAACAATGGTCCGGAAGGCAGTGTTGAACGATACGCGACCATTAGTGAAAGTGATTGGATCAAGCGGCATGCGAATCTGGTGCAGAGCCTGGTATTGGACAAGTATCATGGTGATGCGAGTGAAGTGCCTTCAGATATTGCTGTCAATACGGAGAGAAGACGCTCGGAGATTCGAGTTCCGAACGTAAATTTGCGAGGTGGTGGAATTGGCGCTGCGGTGGGTTTGCTGCAGTCTGGCGTTAGTGTGTGGAACCAGGCGAACGGGAGGGGCGATGCGGGTTGGGGGAGCGACGAGTGCTGATTGTGCAATGATCTTAAGGTGACATCTTCATGGTTCGGACGTTTTACCTTTGCAGCATTTTCCACAGGGTTGCCTGTGACTGTGGTGACTTTAGACGATCTCATGGCGTCCGCGGGCCTACCGCGAATGGAAAGCGTGGGCCGGTGGCATTTGCATCTTGTTACGATGGACCTTGATATGAGAAGCATGTATAGCTAGATCACAAGTGACATATCTTACTGGTTCTTACTTGATGCGCTTCTAGCTTTTCTTTAGATATCTTGTGTATGTTGTCTGTCACCATGCACCTGTCATTCTTCTTGGGAACCCTGAAATTGAGCTCTGAGTTCCCGCTGCCTCGGTGTGCTGTTTTCGTGGTAAGGAGCGGTGAATTGGTTTCCGTAAATCCCAGACTTTCCGGATGTGAGATTTTGCTGTCTCTTATAGTGGACGACGCTTGAGAGCCGTGAACCTGCGAAATGCTAGACATCAGGTCAGTAGTTGACGAGGACGTGCCACACAGAGTGCGCTGCGACTGGATTTGCGTCGTCAAGCGAAGTTTCTGCTCCACCCCTTGATGGTCGCAGCCGTCATGGCCTCAGTCAAAAGATTCGATCCGAGTATCTCCAGTGACTCTCTTGCATCCTTTCATTGTGTGTGTCCAGCATATTGCTGCCTCAAGCTTCGGCTTCGTCATTCGGGCGTCTCGAGCTCGTCAATCCGTTCGCCTGCTTTGCATCTTGTGCTTTGTTGGAGTCTTCGTCAGGTAACAATCGTGTCACTACAATCAGCAAAGCTGCAAGAGCGATAAAAATGAACCAGACCAGATGGCCATCCGCCCAGCCCCACCGAATTCCCAGTGCTGTAATGTTCGTGAAAAGAGCAGGGGCCACAGCTCGCACACCCGAACTGACAGTCAACGACAGGGCGTTTACTGTGGCGAGTACTTCTTTGGAGGGTGAGATATCATTGATGAGGAGTTGCACGGCAGCTGCAATACACGTCAGGGATTTGTTTTCCGCGACTGGAGCATGCATAGAGAGGGAGAGACTTACCGAACGCCATGCTCACACTAGAGCCAAGGACCATGACAGACCACATGAAGACCCAAAAGACCGTGTCCTTGCCATGTCGCAGCAGTTCGTTGCCAATAGGGTAAGCTGCCATGAAAAAGACCCAGAGAATGCTGCAGTAGAAGAGGATTCGTTTGCTTCCGATCGACCTTTCGAGAGGCGGAAAGACCAAGAGTGTCCACAGTGCTTGAGAAGCACCTGCAGTGGCGAGGAAGTAACTGATCTGTGCTGGAGTGAAGTTAAAGCCGCTTTTGTCCACGGGCTCAAACATGACCACTGGAGACGTTGCGGTGTATCCAAGAGCGAGAGTCATGGTGTGTCCGAGAATGAATAGGACGAGACCCACTCCTGGTGCGCGGAGAATCTCGACTGTTGTCATTGGCGGTGCTGAGGTTTTGGAAGCTGATCTTTCGTCGCGCTTTAGCGTCTGTGATAGAGTCAGCGAGGCCATGCAATACCCGAGGGGATATGTTAACATACTTCATTCAGCAAAATCAGAGCGGCTATTGTGCTGCTGGCACACATCAAGCCGGCGCCGAAAGTGGGTAAGGCATATGGGTAGTCAATGAAGAATTGGCTGTGGCCAAAGGTACTCGGGAACTGCTGTGCTGGGTTGGCGAGAGCGCCTCCTGCGGGATGTGAGCATGTACATTGTGATAGTCCGTGTATGAGGTGCGAGAAGACGAACCCAAAAGAGGGCCCACGAAGATGCCCAAGTTTCGTGTAAACATATACCAACTGAACGCCCGGCCTTGAGTCTCCTTGGTCGTAATCTCACTCAACATAGTCCGGATCGTCACCACCGTACCAGCAAACAGACCCGCGACGCATCGCAAAACAATCATCTGCCACAGGTTCCTACTCATCCCGAACAACGCAGTTGCTACCGACACTCCTGCTAATGAAAAGACCAGAACCGGTTTGCGGCCTATCCGATCTGCCATTCGTCCGTAGAAAATCATGAGAACCATTTGTACTAGACTGAAAAGCGATTCGATGGATCCAGACCAGAAGCCTACAGACTCGGACGGAAGGTCTCCGTTTCGAGCCAGCATCTCATTGATGAAGGGGAAGATGGCGAAGTAGGCCACTGGCTCGGCGAGAGAGGCATAGCAGAGCACGATGACTTGCGTGTAAGGCATCGGATTGCTCTCTTCTTGGGCCGCTTTCGTGCCATTTTGCGCGTGCCCATTTGCTGAGCCATTGGTGGCATAATCCGCAGTCGCAGGAGCAGAATCTGGAGCACCGAGGAGAGGAGTAGATTCACTTGGTGCATTCACACTGATGTCGTGCTTGATCGGATCGGCAGAGGGAGCCATGGCCGGGTGTATCTCCCAAACTGCTCAATGCTTGATGGATCTTGGTAGAGCGGTACAAAGCTCGTGATAGTCTTGGCACGAGCAGATGAGTATGCTCAAGACACAAAGAAAGATCGCGTGGTAGAAAGACAATAACAACAGTTCTCATTAGGTAGCAACAGACGCGTATTCGCCATGGATGCTGATTCTGACAAGCGTGGCCACCTTCAACCACTACAGTGACCTCTCAAAAGTCTGTCCTCTAACGTCAGAAATTCGCGTGTTTTTGAACGCGTGTTTTCTATAGGATTAATTCAAACCACAACATAAACACGCCACGTACGCCTCTAAGGCCTATCTCTTGTAATTACGTTTATAATTATAAGTTTAGTCTATAGTATAGAGCTTAGATATA